AATTTTGGCCTTTTTTGTTTGCCAACGAGGCGCCCCGGGATGGATCTCTTCTGCTCCTTCGGTTTCGGGGCTGCGGAAAGGAGGTTTGGGTTTCTGGGCCTGGGCAGATGATTTTTTAAAGGCTCCCGTGGGTGGGTTGGGAGAGGTCAAAGCCTGGCTGAGGGGGTCTCCCCCAGGATCCTTTGAGCGGTAGAAAGTTGAGCTCCGGTTTCCCTTTGCGCCAATCTTTTGTTTGTAGGCCTGCATACTGGCTTCGAGCTCATCCTTCTCCGTCTGGAGCACTTCGTACTCTTGTCGCTTGCGTTCCCGTGAGTTGTGGGCGGCGAGGCGGTTGCGCTTCACACGTTCGATGCGCCGTTGCTCCTTCTCGTCCTCGGTCTTGGCACGCTTGCGTGGGGGTAGGCTAGTCTTTGGTTCAGGGAGGACTTGGCCCCACGACTTGCGCTTTTTGACTGGTTTTGAGCCACTTTGGCTCTCGGGCGCCGGGGTGTGTGAGGGCTCTGACGAGCTGGATGAGTGTTGTGCGGGTGAAGGGGAGTTGTCATAGCCCTCGATCATCTCCAGCTTGATGGTGGTGGGCATCATGGCTTCTTGCTGTGGTGGGGGCAGGGGTGTCGAGATCATTGCTGGGTTGGTGATTGTTTGAGAAAATAGGGTAGAGTCGAAGGTGTGTTGTTCTGCCATGGTGAAGTCAAAAGATAGTGGGGAGGGGTGGGCATAGTGCGTGATTATTACTATGGCCCGGGGCTGTGCTGAAGAGGACAGAGTGGCATTTCGGACCCTTTAATAGGCAGCTGCCAAGGGCACTCACAGCCCTGGTAAGCTAGGCTGCATGGGGGAGGCGCTAAATTGAGTGCAGGTCCGACACCCTCGTACGCTAGGCACTCAGCCGCGGGCCGCCCACAGTTTCACTACCCAAGTCAGGGGAGGGAAAGGGTGCGCTGCAACGCTTCTTACCGTGCAGCCCACCCTGTCTCGCCTGTCATTCCTCACCAGCGTCGTTTTGATACACAATGGCAGTGAAAAATTATCTTCTTCTACATAGCATCCTCACCGTCCCTACCTATCGGCCGCCAAGACTGGCCAGAAACTCCTGAGTCGTCACGAAGCTTACTCTAGGCGTAGCACGAGCTGGAATTAGCTCTCCTCTTACTGACCCACCTGTATCACTCGCTGCACCTCAGTGGCGACACGAAACAAGTTCAATGTAGCATGTCGTAAGATGCCGTCAGCCAAACCCAATCCGCCCTCAGCCAAGCGCTGCGTCCTCGCCCCCTTCGGTCCAGCTCAAAGTCACGCTCCCTCAGGGCATAATTGCGATCAATTTGCTCGTATACTACAGGCATGATTGTGTAGATGAAGTCCCTGCCGCCGTTCCTTCCTGACCTTCTCGAAGCATCTGCACCCCATAATTGCAATCTATTCTCTCCCATGGCTAGATACACCACCAACCACACCTCATATCCCCACACGACTGCTAATTAATCTCACCTTCTCTAGTGCGGCCTTTTACCGGAAGATTTGCGCAACCTGGGGTAAAGTTCCTTTGTTCGTGGGCATGGAAGCTTTGCCGTAGCCTCCCGCCTTTTATTGCAGCGAAGAACCCATGCGTCACACGAGACCATTTTGCTGCTGCCTCGTCTGCAGCACAGGGTCGTGGTGAAATGCCGACGGTTTCGTTCCACCTCTACCACCCACGAGACGGCGTCTTCTCCGGGAGCGGCAATTATGACTTGCCGGTGCTATCTGGCAGCCAACCCACAAACACGGGCTCGTAATTACTCCTGCCTATCCGTAATCCCAACCTCCGCCGCCTTCCACCCAATGGACCGAATGCGCACGAACGTGGGTTTGAATAACGGCAATACCCACCGCGTGCGTAATTCAATCACCGCCTTCTTTGTAGTCAATTGTCACATCCCCTTTATTGTCGACTCGTCACCGTTTCAGGCACCAGAATTCGGACCTATGGTATCGCGCAAAACGATGCTGCCTCGAATCAACGGTTCTAGAGCCTTCGGTCCGTCCATGATCTGCGCCCATGAGACTACCCTGGATGATCCTGATCCGCATCTCAATCACATGAAACCACTGCCCCATGCGACCCGCGAAGCAATAACTGCCGCCTATCTAGCACCCGTTGGAATCGCGCCCCAGGCCTCCAGCACCGTCACTCGCAGCATACGCTGACTGTATGTACTGTCCGATGGAGATATCCATCGCATGAGCACTGCACCGTGGAGCTGCACATGTGCTTACCCCCCCCCCCCCCACAATGAGGATTTACAGGGGCAACTTGCCCGAAGAAATCAACACCCATGGTACCGGCGATCCATGGTTCCGATCTAGATGCCTCAGCAGCTTTTCGATCCCCAAACTCAATTTTTGCCTCTCTCCGCACCGTTTCCGACAAAGTTGCCATTCCGACCAAGGACCATGTAGTGCAGCACCAAGTACACGCACTACGAAACTTACCTCTTCAACTGACGTCGTCTAGTACCGCTCTACCTCCTGAAACAAAAAAGGAACGAGTGAGCCTGACATACAGTAACCCGTCTGTGTATGGTGTCGCTTACCCAGTTTGAGCCTGAGGTACTTACCGCTATCTTGAACCCTGCATCCATCCCAAAGACTGCGGTGGGCTAGTCTACCCCCTCTCAAAGATTATGGTGCAGGGCTAGCCCTATCTCATACCATCTTCCTTCACTACCGCATCCATTGCATTGCAATTCACCTGCATCATACGGGCATACCATGTAGTGCGTAGTATACCATGTAGCCAAGCGACCAACTCATGCACTCGTTCCTGTCTACTTCGTAGCTCTCACCTAATCCCCCAAGATCAAAAAATTATGACTCGATCTCGGCGCCTGCTTGGCTGTTGGCTGTCGACAACACCGAAATACGAACGATAAGATTTCACCAGAACAATCGTGATAGGAGGCAACTAGTCCGGATTCCGAATTGTTAGAGCTGACAAAGTAATTGTATTAGGAAACTATTAGTTCAAAATACGATCTACGATTGATCTAAGTTTGGTAACATGGAAGGAGCGCGACACGAATGTCGCTGAGTCATTTTCAACGGACATTCCCACTAATCAATCAGTCCGGACATTCCCACTAATCAATCAGTCCGGACATGAACCCTCTTATGTCAGACAGGATCTTCAGGATGCTGATGCTGGTCGAAATTGTACAAAAGCGCCGTCAAGATGTTGAAAAGTACCCGGCATAGGACCCGAGATGTTGGTCTTTGTTGTGGTGGTGGGAAGATCGCCTTCTCTTACGACGCGCCGATGATCACTATAAACCCCCGCATCATCACCGTCGGCACCCTCTGCAATCGACACTCTACCCAAAGCAGATATTGTAGAATCGCGCCAGCTCCTCTCCGTCTCCTTGGTTCGCCAACTCGTTGTAGAGAAAATACTCGTTGATGTGGATGGAGCGGATGAGCTGGCGAGACTGGAGGTTTTTACGCTACTTGTCCTTAACGGCGGCATGGGCGCTGAACGTGTAGGGTGGAAGAGGCGCGTTGGAGACATGGAGGTGTGAGCATGGGAAAAGGTAAGTGTGTTGAACTTCAAGGATGATGTTGTGGCGCCTGTGGGTGAGGTGATGTGTATTGCGGGTGGAGAGGGTAGGACGTTTGACGATGTAAAACCAGCACTCGCTATGTTGGATGTCTCTGAGGCTGAGCTCGCGACTAAAAGGACAGGTTGGTATGGTCTCACGGCTTTAAAGTTTTCCCTCTGCAATGTTGGGATTGGGGGTGGTGGTGAGTCTGGTGGTGAAGGGGGAGGAGGCGATCTGAGTGGTGGAGGAATCTGTTCCCGGGATTCATGGCTCTCACTTGACGAGGGGACTATGTCGAGACCTTCCACGAAGCGGGATCCATGGCGGCGCTCTGCAGGAGAGGGGAGACTGTACTTGTCGGGGTTTTCAAAAGTGGTAAGTTCTGGTGTTTGCGGCCGGCGGCCCAGCGGTTGGTATGTTTGGAAAAGTGAGGGGAGGCGCTTGAATAGGTCCAGCCAGGCTTGTGCCATTGACCGGCCGAAGAGTAGAATGAAGATCTCTATGCCGACCAACTGTATTTGCGATTAGCCTTCATGAGAACAGTGTGAACAAAATGGACTTACCGAAGCAAGAATCAACGCAACCAACACGTCCGCCTCCCTCACCGTGAACCCCTTCACATACTTCCTACACTCCTTCTTATCCCCATGACTCAGCGTCTGACAAATAATCCACATCTTGACCTGCGTGATATCCCGACTATCATTCAACACAGACCCCAACTTTCTATCCTGCGTCCAAAACACCAAAAAGAACACCAGACTCCCCGTCAACACAAACACACTAGCCAGTATATTCCTCCACTGCAGCAAAAACAACATCTTTACATTCCCCCACGTCTGCAAATCGCGCCTAAAACCCGGAGAATTCGGATTCGACCTCTCCCGCCTCAGCGTCTTGATATACACCCAAACACAATACCCCGTCGTAAAAACCTGCAGCACGAACCCGAGTGCCGCAAAAAGCACCAACCACGTACAAAACGTTACAATGGCATCTTCGTGGTTTGGCAAACACGTCTGCCCCATTCGATAACTAAACCCCGTCCGCGTGAGCACTGCTACTAGAAAAATAACAGGCACACCAAGTCCCGTGGCGATACTGCCCCACATGAACTGCCGTCCAGGTGCAACATCAAATACAATCCTCACAAACAGCCAGGCGCTCCGCAAAAAAACCCAAACCACACAGCTCAGACTGCCGAGCGTGATGAGTGACCCCGTCCACGCGCACGACATGCTGACGTGCATGTCGGCGGGTGTGATGGCATTATGACAGTAATCCGGATTTGTAGTTACGGGGATGGAAAAGGAGAGGCTGACCAGGAGGACGGGAATGAGGAGGCCGACGGAGAGGTAATGGCGGTGTGTTTTCGAGGGGGGTAGGGCAAGGAAGGAGAGGAGGAGGAAGGTGCAGAGTGTGACGCTGAGGATGGAGAGGTAGTTTGGTATGCGCAGGCGGGTGCGCCAGTCTAGTGATTGTTAGTTGGGGGGTTGAGGTTAGGAAGGGGGTGGCGTACTGGGTGCGTAGATGTAGTCTTGGATTGGACACGGAAAACAGCATGATGCTGTGCCGCCGTCGATTTGGAAGGAGCCGAGGCCGCAGTAGCGACCTGGTAGATCTGGGGATGGCCGTTAATATGTGGTTGCTGGGCAGTGCGCCATGGACTTACATCCTCCTTTCTGTGGGAATAGTGATTCATCGAGGAGTGGTGCCGTGCAGGCTGAAGTCGTCTCGTTTGCGAAGATACCAGTGGACATGGTATTCAAGTCGATTAGTTCATCAGTCGTGAATGCGGGTAGATCTCACAAGAAGGAAAGCAAGGTGCAAAAGCGAGACAGTCTTGTAGACATGTAAAGATACAGCTATCATTTGATCCATAATGTCTAGACCAGATCCTTTAGCTCGGCCTACTACAGAGGACGAGTACGCAACGCAAGTCGGCGTCTTTGCCTTTGTCGACAGGTAAGTGGCGTTTAGTATCTTGGCCGCTCTTTATCTAGAGTGTATACGCCGTCTGCCAATAAAGTGGGTGTGGGCAAGACAAAGAAAGAGCTCGGACCTTAATAACATGGACTACCTCCCCAGCACGAGGCCAAAGACCGGGAAACTAAATTCTGTAATGAAGGTAGCCACACCCCTACACTGGAAAAGAATTGGTAAAGTGTGAATCAAAGTCGCCACCTCTGGTCGTCAGCGCCGGGTGCGAAAGGAACACCCTAGAAGAAACAATATAAGCAGGTAGAAGCAGACTTCGTTGCCACATATCCCTCAAACGGGAACGCCTACGAAGCCTATCTTTGGTTTACCCCGTGCACCATCTGTGTTCTCCCCGCCCCAATGACTGCGCCATTCTTGCTCTTCCCGTTTGATTTGCGCAAACGCCTCTAGTTCCTCTGGCTTCATCTGTTTTTTGTCTTCCTCGTCCAGAGTAGGTATACCGTTGGTGCCAACGTCGACGAAGTCTCCGTCAGGCCCAGGTAAGCCGAGACCAGCAAAAGGAGGTTGCTGGAATACTGAGTCGACTACGAGATACTTGCGACGAACTAGCGGAGGCACGTCGCTCTCTTCCGCCGGAACTTCCTCCCATCGTGCGTGCGTTGGTTGTGTAACTTTTGGATAGCACATTAGATTGGTCTGTGGGTCGTAAACACCCGTGAGGTTTGCTCTGCGGAGCTTGGAGAGGTTTGAGTTGAATCGACTATAAGATGTTAGCTCTGACTGTTCCAGATAGACTGAGCGCAACAGGAGGCACATACCTAGCGGCTGAGCCGTGCTCAAACTGCCAATTAGCGGAAGTAATATTAACCTTCCGCTTCCCAGGTACGGGCTTGCCGTTCGCGGTGGGCACACTAGGCACACCAGTATGGTATACGCTGCTAGCACCATGCCACGCAACATATTGGTTCTTGTTGTATGGCTCTCCTGGGGGCGGTAGCCTGTCGTTCGGGTCTGCGAGCTCGCCCTCGACTACGCCGCTTTCTTTTGCTGCCGTGACGTAGTAGTCATCGATAACTCGCTTTCCGCCAATAATGATGCGAGCGCCGAACTCGCGGAAGACTGATCTCGCAGTGACGACACCGATAGCACGACCCTTGTAGGAGTGTGGGATGATCTCGCGGTCGATCAGGTCCCTCTTCTCCGAGTCGTCGATGATGATCTTGTAGAGCTTCATGTGCTTTGTGAAGAACAGGTAACTGTCCCTAAAACCACAGCAACGGGCCGGCTCTGTTGATAACATGTATTGCCTATCCCCTCTGCCCTTGATGGTGAATATGCGCACTCGGTAGTCCCGTCCGCCCATGAGGTTGCCCAACTTGTCGACCTTTTGCTCGCCCTCTTCGTCCTCAGGGAGGTCGACCTCGTCGTTTACAACGTCCATCATGTTGCCCTCCTTGTCGATGGGAACACGCGTGGTGTGCGATGGCCCTCCCTTCGGTGGACGTCCTCGACCTCCACCGGACGGCCGCCCCCGCTTGCGCTTGATGGGCGTGCCACCCTCAGAGGTGTTGTCGGGCTCGATTACATTCCAGTCCGGCGGCCTGTTCTTGGGAGGCCGACCAAGACGCTTTTTGCGCGGAAACGGCTGAATAACTGCTGGAGAAGGCGAGCGCTCAGAGGGCGCGGCTTCCTCCTCGCTACCTTGGGCTGCTGATTCGGCGTCTTCCTCTTCCTCCTTGGGTGTGTCGGCGCGCGATTCTGGGGCATCTACCATTTCATCGTCGCTGTCTTGCTGCGGCGTTTCGCTACGGGCAGGCTCGCTGCGACGCGCTGCAGCTCGAGAAGGGCGTCCGCGCGCCATTGTGGCTAGTTTGCGATATCTGTGTGGAGCGTGGGGCTACAACTGGTCAATGTAAAATCCGGGTCGGCGACTTCAGTTTCCGTTGTCGGAAATACAATTGGTGAAAGTGAGTTGAGCTGGTGGATGAGGTGCAACTACTTCAGAACTGCTGCCGACCGCGACGTGAAGAGCTAAGCAAGGGTCCGCGCACGGCTCATGTCTGTCACGTGCATCAACAAATCTTGTGCAAATCCGGCTCGTTATCGACTTCCTTTCTAGAACACTGAGGCACTGGGTGTCATAATACTTGACTAGCACCTGGGTGTCATAAAATACTTGACATACTACCTAGGTAATGTATCAAGGCCAGTAGTCGCCAAACACGCGTGCTATTATTGTGAATGGGCACCTAATAGGCATGCTTGGTGACTACAGTGGCTTTTGTACACCAGTATGTCAAGTATTTCATGCTACCAAGGTGCTCTTGCTGCTTACCATAAGTACAATCGATCTTGCCACATCCACCTGTGAAGCTCTTACTAGAACTTACTATGTATCAACAAATGGATAAGCAGGACCAACCCTCTCTTGGGGTGTTCACATCCCGAATACTCTCCGCCTCTACAAGCACTCCCCAAGCTTACGGTCCTTGATCAAGACAGCACCAACCATTCATGATGGCTCTCGATCGACTGACTATCAGAGCGAAGAAGAGCATCTCCGACCTCTTCTCTCTGATGAGCCTTCAAAAGTGGGTGCTCATCACTTTTGGACATGAACTATACTAACGTACTCGACCAGTGAGCCATCCTTTCCGCCTGATCATCAGAAAGAGAACGAGATCTCAGATCCGAAGGGCCCCAGTGTTTCTTCGATGAGTGTAGGCTCTGCAGCAGCAAGCGTCGGCAACGAATCACCCAGCGAGGATAGCCCATCGAAACGCAAGGGTCTGATGGGTTCGCTGCGAAAACAAAAGCTGCGAAGCATTGGTTCTCTACGAAGTCTTCGCTCGCCTACCAAGACCAAGCAGACTGATATCATTGTACCGGTACAACCCTCGGTTGATGTGATCGCTGTCTGTCAGAAACCTCATACTCCAAATCATCCTCGCCAATCGTCCCTCGTACTTGACTTCCAAGAGTCCCCTCCCGGGCAGCCGATCTTTGATCTTAGCCACAAAGAGTACCCCAGCTCCGGATTTGACATACGTCACTCATCACCCGTACCTGTTCCTGCTCCAAACAAGCAGAGCCTGCGATCGCCGGTCGAGCTATCTGCCATACCCAATGGAACCGTTGTATCTTCCCCGGCCCCAATTCGGAAGATCTTGGACCTGGATAATAATACTGAAGATAGCCCATCAAGGGTTTTCGGTTCCTGCCGTGTTCCGAGCATGATCATGTTGAAGGCAACAGCTCCCGTGAAAAATCCTCTCTCTGACATGCTTCGAGCTGCTGCAGATCACTACCTTGTTCCGACCATCGATGCGCAGGAGAAGCCGATGAGCTCGGAATCGATTGCGGAGACGATTGAACTCAGACAAACAAATAGCAACACAGAATCATGGAGCGCATGGTCCGAGTATCGCCGCGGCCTCCTTGACGAGTTCGATGAAAAGAGTCCACCCAAGGATGAGGTGCCTATCGAGGCAAGCAAGGAGACAGCAAACAATGAAGCAGTTGAAGTAGTGGATAAGCAAGAAGATGGAGCTGATGCAAGACCCAATGCGACAGCACTAGATCTTCTCCGTCAAAAGCAACGTGCGAATATCTACCGCCGAGCAGACGGAAAACGTCAAATGCAAGTTAGACTCACCAACGCAGATATTGGAAACGCAGATGGATTTGACAGGCAGGACGAGAATGAAGTTGTCTCTGCGGGCCGGGATGAAGACTTTACTGCCGCCGAGAAGATAGTGTCGAATATGGGTGTCTTTGTTCGGGACGATGAGATCCTAGTCAAGGCTGAAGGCATGGAGCTGACACCTGACGAGGCGCATGCAGCAGGCAGAATTCCAGCATACGTGGACATCGATCTGGAATCGTCCAGCCCCGAAGAGCTGGGGAAGCGCGGCAGCTCTTGGGGAGCCCATACTGGACTTTACGACGGCACCGGCTACGGACCAGGATCCACTTCACGTCCTATGACTGCCATCAATGTAACGGAAGGCGACCATGAGAGCTTGATGCTAGTGCGAACGCGGGCCAACAACCTTTCCACCGGTACAGCAAGCTCGGATACGCGAGAGTACAAGGACTACGCGGACTTTGAGGATTTCCTTGCCACCCGCCACGTCTCCTAGAACCGTTGCAATTGTACGTCAACACGCACGCAAGGCTTGAAAATACCCACCGGTGTAAGTATCGCAGGCAAGCATGTGAGGATAAAGCGGAGAACAAACAAAAGCACACTAGGGAAGATACATTCACCCCATTCATAGCAACAACCCCATTTTCCATCGTATAGATCACGCATACGTAGTCATCAATGCAAATGCAAAGCAGATTTCCCAAACCGCACATGCAATGCCCCAAGATTTAAAAACCTCACTCCACAAAAAACACCGCAGGATCATCGCAGTCGCCTCCTTGGGGTGGCGCCACAGTACACCAATAGCAGCACCAATATGTGACGATGGAACCCACGTGAGGCAGTAGATCATCCGAGCCGTGCAGCCGCTAGCATGCCCGTAAACAAGGGCGAAAGCAGTAAAGGATGGGGGCGAGGGAGGCGGCAAGGTCCCAGACTGCGCTGCGGCAGACGAGAATCAGGCCATGTCGGCTCATCACACCTTAGGCGAGGGTTCAACGGCGGACCACTTGGCGACCTACGGTCCTCGTCGTACGATGTCTCTTTTACCGTGGGATCGATGGGAAACGGTGGTCCAACGCGACTTGTTTACGCACTTGATGCAAGGTACTGGTCCCAACGGGGAGCTGAGGTCGAAGCCCACTTAAAGGATGGGTAGGGAGGCGCGTTTTTGATGTTGTTGTATAGCTTCCCTTGTTTCTGTTGCTGTTGCTGCTGTCATTGCCCCTCAATCTGCCCCACGTCACAGTAACTTACCTAATAGTCTGGAGTTCATCATGGACCGCCGCGAGGATAGCCCTGTTAACGCCGACGCCGACGCCAACAACACCGTTATTCTCGGCTGCGGTATCATAGGCTTGTGTACGGCATACTATCTAACAGATAGCGGGAATACGGCGCCGAATAGTATTCACCTGGTCGACTCTAGTCCTGAGTTATTTCGGTGCGCGTCGGGTTTGGCTGCGGGCTTCTTAAGCGCAGACTGTACGTTTCTACCTGCCCCTTTTCTCGCGTCCTGCATCTGCATGGTACTATATAAATCAACGGCGTTGACTTTTGACTATAGGGTTCGCGCCTTCAGTATCTTCTCTCGGCGCACTATCCTTCAAACTCCACGCCTCTCTCGCACAAACATATTCTGGGCGCAAGACATGGGGCTACTCACCCTCTACCGGCATCTCCCTTTCGCAAGATAGTGAAAGTGAATCTGCAATCGGTGGTAGCGGCGAAGATTGGCTTGAAAATGGGACAAGTAGAGCACAGGTGGCGAACCATAACGCGCCATTAGAAGAGAAGGCTGCAGTACCACCATGGCTACGACGGACTCAAGATGGAATAATGGAGGTTATAAGTAGAGAGGGAACGACCGCGCAAATCGACCCATTTCGGTTCTGCCAATGGATTGTCAAGGAGCTGAAAAGGAGAGGAGTCAATGTGCACCAGCCTGCAAGAGCGAGAGAGATTGTCAGAAACGAAGATGGTGTCTTGTGTGGTGTGAAGCTACAGAAGGGTGAAAGTGCAGAAACAAACACAGAGTGTAAGACTCGATCCATCCCCTCCCCTCAACCTATGCTAACGTCTCATGCATAGTACCATGTACCCGCATCGTAATAACATCCGGCGCCTGGTCCCCGCGTGTCTTCAACACCCTCTTCCCCCAATCCAAACTCCGTATACCCATCTCTTCGCTCGGCGGCCACTCGCTACTCGTCCGCAACCCGCACTTTAAGCCCGAGAAACTCGACGAAGAAGTCTGCCACGCCGTTTTCGCAACCGATACGCTAGGGTTCTCGCCAGAGTGGTTTGCTAGATTAGGCGGAGAGTTATATCTAGCCGGACTGAACAGTACCAGCATACCACTACCGGATACAGCGACGGATGTAAAAGCCAGTGAGAAGGCAATTGAGCAGCTGAAGCAGTGTGCGAAGGTGATGATGATGAATGTGCCGGGGAGGGAAATGGAAGTCTTGAGAGAGGGATTGGTATGTTGATTATCTTGCATAAGCTGCTGCGCATGCAGTTGTTAACGACCTGCAGTGTTTTCGCCCAGTCACATCTAGCGGTCGACCCATAGTATCACGGATACCGGACGAGAAACTCGGTAGTGTCAAGACGAGGGACGGGGCCAACGGCGGTGTTTTCATAGCGGCGGGGCATGGCGCATGGGGCATATCGCATGCGCCTGGCACTGGGTTGGTGCTTTCGGAGCTGATCGAAGGACGAAAGACGAGCGCAAAGATCGAGGCGCTGCGATTACCTCTTTGATTATTTGATGCCTGGAATTTTCTTTCAAGCGAGTTTCTCCTCTCAGGTGTGCTTGAGGTGTTTATCGGTTAGAGGAACTAACATATGTCAACACTGACATCATATACCAGATGCAACATTTACAGTTAGCGCGATCCCGTGCCACACGTTCGTACAGTGACTCTTATGTTGTCCCTTCTTGAGTCTGCAATCCATATACTTGTACACATTTCGATCAGAGACCATGTCTACTAATCCTCCAGATGAGGTCGCCGCTAGGAAGAGACGTGAACACTTGGCCAAACCCATTCACATACATCATGTCGATAGTAAGGTTCTAGCTGGTACGTACACCAATATTAGTATACGCAATTGAACAATCCAAGCTTATACTCTCAGTATTGCCAAAGGACATTTCGTTCGTTTCTGTTGAACCCTCCGGTGAGAGCGCAAGGTGTGAGAGCTTCCATATCAAGACAAAGTCAGCAGATGGTACGGAGAAAGTCTACTTCATCAAGGTGCCCATCCCACGCGAAGTACTCAAATCATAGCACTGTTAACCAACCAGCAGACTAAATCAGGCGAAGTAGGTAAACGCATGATGGAAGGTACCTACGAATCAGAGCAACTCTACCACACCTACTGTACGGACCACGTTCTCCAACCCATCGCATGGGGGAAGTACGACGACGACCCAGATACATGGTTCTACCTCTGCAAATTCCATAACATGAAACAAGAACGCTTACATCCGAAGACCTTTGTCAACATCATAGCCAACGTGCATAAAGCCAGCATGGGAAAGTCGCCCAATGGGAAGTACGGTTTCTACGTCCCAATGCACCTCGCCCACGTGCCAAACGACAACACCTGGGCCGACTCATGGGAAGTCTGGTATACTCGAGCCATGCAAACCATGTATGATTTTGAAAAGAGCAGATTCGGGGTAGACAAGGAGTTGGAAATCATCGTCATACCGCGGCTCCTCCGCCCTCTAGAGACCGGTGGTTGCGAGATTGTGCCTTGTCTCGTTCACTCGGACCTCTGGCCAGGGAAATGCATGATGGGAGAAGGTACAGGCAAGATCATCATATTCGACTCGTGCGCATTTTGGGGCCATGGCGAGTGCGATATGGAGAGTTGGCGTGCGCAGCGGTACAATATGGGCAAGGACTTTTTCGAAGAGTATAGGGATACTGGGCTTATTTCGGAACCGAAGAATGACTGGGATGATCGTAACAGGCTCTATGCGATGTTGGTATGTCCATGTGGAGAAAAAGACGGGTTGCTTACTTTATTTAGTCGCTACGATCTGCTCGTGTCCGGGCTTTACCCTGATCAGATCGAGTCTCATAATATGTGAATCTGTTACCAATTACATGCATTGGGCATTGCTGACTTCACCTTAGTGCTAAGCAGGAGATGAAGGTTCTCGTCGACAAGTATCCTGATGGTTCTGTGGAAAAACGCACACCACGCGTTGATTGAGTGTGTTTGGAACTTCTTAGCCGGGAAATACCTGCAATTGAGTTATCATGTGCATTACAGGCATGATCAGAGCCGTGAGAAGCAACCAGTGATTCTAGTCGGTCTGGAATCTGAGAGACTGTCTGTCTTATCATTGCTCGCTTCCCACGTTGCGTCAGAGACAATTAATCGAATTCATGCTCTTCATATGCACACACTTTTCGCACAGCACAACTTTGTTATAGATTATTGCTGTCCTTTTGGGTGATGATGCCAGCGAAAGCTCTGAAGAAAACTAATCTCGGTTGTAACCCAAAGTCACAGCCGTGTGACATCGTGTATCGGTGCATTCGTGAAAAATGACCAGAGGTAAATTCTGAATTATCCGGCGTCTATGACGTGGGGAAGGAGCTTTGGAAGCACGGAGCTGCGTTTGGGACTCGCACGCTAGGATCAAAGAGAAGTTCCCTTTTGCAAAGGCCAGACTACGCTCTATTTTCCCCGTCGTCGTCATCAGTTCACTTGCTACGGGCAGCTTATGGCTGGATCATACATGCCAGGGCGCATATTGCGCTTTTATTGGTCGTCCAGTTCTTCTCTGGTGCGACACAGGTGTGCATCTTTGCGACATGTGGGACACTGCTTACGGATTTGAATCCCGAATGGAGTTCGACTGTGCAGGCGAGTTATAGTCTCGTGAGGTGTGCGCTAAGTAGCGGTGGAGTCGCCGAGCAAAGGTTGGGCTTTGGATGGACATTTACAATATTTGGATCGGTAGGCCTGTTGTGTGTGTACCTGTACTGTTCTTCTTGAGAAGTAATCGTGCGATAACATGAACAAGAAGACGTCGAGATAGGGACATCTTGTCCAGATGAAACATATCTTACGGCTATAGCTCTGTGGATATAGGCTTGCCGCACTCGACTTGGTTTTGTACTCTCGAATAGGCCTCGGTTCTGAGCCTACGGATTTTTATAAATTCTACCAGGACACTACCTGCTTTCTTCCTTCCGACATGAAAGCTCATGTTTTCTGCTTCTATACCAAATCTCATACAACAGGTTTTGATGGCCTAGTCTGTAAGTTCCATGTGTACCTCACAACGGCTTTACCTCTCTCATCTCCTCTTTCATGCACCACATTCTGAAAACAAAGTGTTCAAGAAAAATATCTATGCTGTGAGTTTCCGAGGTTGATAAAACACTCATGTACAAAGCTCATAATTCTCTCCTCCCTTTTCTCAACACATTCTTTCTAGATTGCCTTTGCAGGTAGGTAAGAAAGCTAGAAATAGGATAAGATTATAAACTACATGGCCTTCTGTACGATGTTTTAGGCTGCCATTGCCGAAAAAAGCCAGTATTCAATATTATAATGACACCAATATTATGGCTTTTGCAAATAAAAGTATATGAAGACAAGTACATGTATTTTACGACTCAGAGAGGATTAATATATCAATTTTCCGGCTTACTGGGTCAGGCATAAGCAAGTTGTATTGAGGTCTTGGTCTTCAAGTGCTGCAGTGTTGTACACGCAAAAACCAGCGCGCAACATAGCAATGACATCGTGGATTTTGATAAAGATTCTTTCCCAGCAAGAGGGACGCAGACATCGATACTGCCAGTCTGCTTTTGGAAATGTTTTGCAGAAGCCCAAGAGAAAAGAGTAGAAAGTAAAAAATCTGGAAATCTTCAACCCTCCCAGTATGAAATCAGTCCTCCAGGCATGCGCCATGTATAGGAAGCATAATGGCGCTTTTGATACCAATATAGATTAGTTTTTTCCGACAAAAAACGCCACGGGCACATGACTTCAATATGTCCCCATGTTTTGAATTTTACAACTAGGGACTTTTGTAATGAGAAGAAAGAGCTGAGGCAAAGAGTCTTTATATACCCAGCCCCCGCTAGTCTCGCCACAAGAGGGGCAAGCGCGAGCGGAAGCCCTATTGACTTTGCTATTTTTATTTGGGTATAAACATCAGGAGACGTACTCTAGACGTGTAAGAGGTACGATACGATTGTGATAGAAGGCGCACATGATACCTTGGTAGAGTCAATTTTTAACAAAGAAAAGAGGAGAAGACGATTCCCAGTCATCATACAAACGTCCTCATTTTCCAGTCCAGCAGAGCACACTTATGATCAATTTTGTCGCGTTATTTATTGTTGTTTGAGATGATAAGGAGAACAAAAAAGTGAGAAGAAATGAGGGGTAGCAGGCGCCTTTATACCTATGCTACCTTACTCTCTGTAATTTTTAGCCTTTGGGAATTTGGAGGTGCCGCAATCACATGGCGTCTGGGAATCTTGAGTTTTAGAGAAAACAGGGCACAAAAAGGCAGAGAACATGCCATTCTGGCCTATTCAATTTTCAACACACGAGGAAAAGATGTAAAACGTAGACCACTCAGCTCCAGGACAAGCCATGCCCAGAACGATGACTGTTTTTAATATTTCAGACAGGAAAGATCGGCAGGATCATGGGACAATAATGTGATAACGTTTTAGAATTTCAAAATTTCGGGTGTGGTTTTCGAAGACCGGTGGAACCGGACATGACGACAGCCTAAGCAATCTTTGGGAGAAAGGAGAAGCGAGACACTCTCCATCGTGGTAGATAGGAGAAGATTTTTGGAAAGTAGATGTTTTAATAGAAGAGTAATGTAGGAAGGATGCAAGGAACCAGAGGGGGCATGTGAGGTTTATATACCCACATCTACAAGCACAGACTCCACTCCGTGTTCTTGGACGTGCGTTGTTCAAACGGAAGAACTCCATGAGGGCACGACGCGAAGTTTTCAGATTCCCATGTATTTGTTTAGACTTTTTTTGAAACTCTCACACTACTTCGAATGTCCATGTACAGACGTTCATGCCGCCAGTTATAACACTTTCGGGGGGTTGTTTTATCCCCAGCCCTAGAAGCAGAGTCAAACCTTCTCCCGATGTTATTGTACACATCATTTTTACGTTTTTTCAAGCAGCCATATAGGCTAAAAGACATTCTTCTCTCTCAACCGAATTTTTGAACAACTCTTATGAGCAGACCACACATGATCTCCTCCAAGTCACTTTTTTTATGGCAAAGTTTTGAATACACAGAAAGGAAAGAGCCAAGAAACTCATCTACGCGTAGATATCATTTTTTTAGAAAGAAAGATTTGGTATTTAGTTTTTTGTTATGTTAGGAGGAGAGAAGGAAGGAAGGAGGGGAGGGGTTTATATACGTCCGAGACCGTCACGTGCAAGGTGCGCGTTACATGACGGATTGGCTGTAGTCGCCAGGCAGTAGCAACGCAGCACCGCGCACAGTACCGAATATTGTTTTTTGTCAACACGCAATCTGTACTCGATAAGGAAGGATATGATTAAAGTGAAGCGGAAGCCGTTGACTCGGTATCAAGTACGAGTGTTGAGAGGTATGTACATTGCAGTTCACCGAGCATCGCTAGGAGAGTATCGAAAGACGAGAAGGATGAAGGAGTCTGTATTATACCCACTATAGTCCTATAGATACAGAATCGCTTGAGAAGTACAACATACAAGAAACGAAATGATGAAGAGTAGAGAAATGCATAGACCGCAACACGGGAAGGAAACCGATCTCGTACAAGGACCCAATCATACACACATCATCCTAAGAAACGCCATGAATGCCATCATCCCAGATCTATACCCATATTCCTCCATTTAATTGTACTGCCTCCCCCTCGCGGCCGCCTCCTCTTCCTGCTTCTTCTTGGCGGCCTCCAACTTCTTCAACTCTCTTGCTACACCTCCACTCGCCCGCCACCAGACATCTGTTCCGCTCCTGATCAGTCGTTCCGCTGCACTCGTTGGCCCATCAACCGCTGGCCTGACATCAAGGAAGAATACAGGCTCGCCCGTTGGCTCCTCGGGTCCCTCATAGTAGTCAATCACATAGCGAATCTCCCTGCACCCCTTTTCATTGCATCGCTCAACGAACCAGTCGTGGCGGTCAAATGGCGGCGCGGTACCGTACTGGTCAGGGAATGCGCGACCAAGCCATTGCAGGATCTGCGATTTCGGCGTTGGCTCCGTGGGGCGGCCTGTAAAGCGGAGGAGTTTGGGAGGTGGGATGTCCTTGTCGTCCCAGGTTGTGGTGTCGAAGGGGTTCTCGTCTGTGCCGAGCATGAAGTTTGCGACGTCCTCACCCTTCTTGCAGATCTTGTAGCCTTCTACGAGACCGCGGGAAAAGCGGCGCTCCCAGCCCATGATTTCTGCCCAAGCGCCCTCGTTGAGGAAGTTGTGCACGCCAACCATGCTTTCTACTGCGGTAATGTCGGTGTCGGTATAGCCTTTGCGCAGCATGGCGTTGTACATTTGCTGGGGGGAGGGGTACTCCCATAGCGAGCCATCGCCCTTGGGTATCGTCGAAGTTTCGCGCTCGAGGGGGAGGTTTTGCGATTGTTTTTCCGCACGCTCGTTGGAGAGTTCGGAAAACATGTTGTTTAGAGGATTCAGTCGGGCAAGGAGGCCGGTTCTTGGTGGAGGCTCTGATGCGTCCTTGGAGCCATTTTCAGGCGGTACGTAGGGACAGGCGCCCTGGGGCGTCTTCTCGGCGATAACAGGTGCTGTGGGTTTCTTGTGCATCGGGCATTCTGGCTATGTACTGTTAGTGGCGCGTGTGAAGGAAGGGTAAGAGTACGTACGGGAGGCTCCATCTTCCCCTTTGGCATTGGATGTGGCGCCATGCGTGCTCCGGGCGCTGCGGGCGCGGCATCTGCCCAAAACCAACCCATGCTGAATTATGATAGAAAGAGAATAATTTCGGAAGAAAGACACAAGCAAGCGTATAAGGCTGAAGAAGATGCGACGGGTGGCGGAGATTATCGGGAGAAACAATTTCGTGCAGGGTCTCGTCCACATCGTCATCGCTCTAAGTAGATCTGCCGTACGCCGATTGGCTGCATTGCCTTGTTCAAGTGAACGACCAAATCAAGTGTTTTATTTGCATTTGTTCGGTATTATCATCATCCTATCGCACGCTCAATCGCTCAATGTCCATGTCCATATCCCCTAACTAATGACAACGTCCTTGGTTTTGAGCGGCGTCCTTATGATCCCGCCGCCTTCGCCGCCAACTGCCCGGTGCCGCGAGAGCTGAAGATGGCCATGATACCAAAACTGCCATAGAATAGAACCATAGGGTATGCTACCAAGCCTCGCATCGATGTCATGCGTCCTGACAGCTATTAGTCTCTGCAAGTAGTGGGGCAATATGGAATTGAACTTACCAACCACAGTGAACATAGAGCTCGAACTGTATGCGCACCATGTGATGGCCAAGCTTGTCAAAAGATATCCGAAAAGGCCATCCAGAGGTATAATTATTCCTAGTATCGACACCAATACAAGGGGAAGTAGGCAATAACCAAGGACCGACGCTGATCGTGGGAAGGTCAAGGAGGAGCCGAGATGGGAGCCCTGTGGGTGACTGTGATCGCCCGGAGTCGCTTCAACGGCGTTGATAGGCGGCGACATGAGCGAGAGGATCTGGTGAAGCAAAATGGTGCCTAACAAGGCCAGCCCTATACATCGTCAGCCATGGTTCAGCTGGATAGAGATTAGACGTACCGTAAATGTAGCCGAAATGTAGCTTGCCAGACAACTAAGCAACATCAGTCTTTATTCTCCATATGGGTTCCGTCGGTCATACCAGTAATGATGTGCCAAAGATCAAGAAGAACAATATGGGGCCTGCTACATCGCTGTCGTCCATGATGTGTTGGTCAATTCGCCCGAACGGGTTCAAGACGGCCAATGTCTGTACTAAATATTAGCTCCATCCCACTTATCAGTCCCGTCCTTGCTCACCTTCATCTGTATATGTCTGAAGTTTACACCCAATTCTTCCACTATATATTGTCAGCTCGTCCAAGGCCATCATGGGGTCGATGCTGCATACGTAGCGGTGGCTCTGTAGGATATCTGCTGAAAGTTAGCGATGCCCCATCAACGCGCCTTGTTCCACATACCCTTCCGTGCCAAACGCTGCAAGCCATCCTGTCCGTAGCCCCTCAGCGCCCATGCCCATTTGCCCACTTACTCCCGGTGCTGAGAAACCGGCGCCATACTGTACGGGATATGCTTGGCTCTGTGGCGCGCCATAGTTTGCTTGGAAAGGGGTCGAGTGTCCAGAAACTGGCTGGTTGGAGAACGAGGAAGAGTAGAATTGGAGATTTTGCGCGTTTCCCCCGCCGTATTGGGGGTTTTGTCCGTAGCCGTATTGCGCCATGGTCGTGTTTGCAATTTGATGTGAGTATCGCGATCGAAATTACGTGTCAATGTGCAGTGACCTGGCGGGGGGGGGATAACTTGGAAGCCTGGCGGAGGTGTCGCGGAGGCGGTTCTGGCTGAAGCTGTTACGTGGACTTAGATGCGACGTCACCGGAACTTTTGAGCGGAAAGGACAGATTGGTGAAAGAAGTGAAAAACGAATCGTCAATGAGCAACTTGCGCGCTGAAGTTCAGGAAAGCAGCAACTGTTTGTTTGCATTGATCTTCTCAATATGGGTAGCCACATGTCATCGTGTGCATCGGCGCTTTCCCTTCATTCGCCGACGGCTTAGTCAGACTTGGTCGTGAGATGCGCAATCCGATTCACCACCACATCTCCTCAGTATTAAACATGCAGAGATGTTGGAAATCACGCACAACACTTAGCCATCGTATACATTCAGAGTGGTGGAAGAGTGAGTAGAGTATCTGATTGTGATACTAAGTGGAGAGTCATAATTCATAAGCCGTAAGTCCAACAACATATCTGTAGCCACAGAGGTATACCCACGCCAGAAATCAAGTTCAATACATCTCCACAGTCCTCCGCGATGTGTAATTACACCAGTCACACTGCGCATGAATTAGTATGTGAGTGTCTAGTTGTACAAAATGCACCTACCATGGTGTCGGAAGAGGAGTCGTTGTCCTCACGACAATACTCGTTCTTGCACTTTTTGCAGGTTCGAATGACGAGCTCTTTGCAGCTTATGCACTGTCGAGAGTTAGCCCTGTCTGTCCAGATGGAAGTGGACTACCATACCGTATGGCCGCAGCCAAAACAGTCACGTCTGACGCCAATGACCTGTATTTGTTCGTGTTAGCCTTTGTTCTGGCAAAAGATTGAGCACATACCTTGGCGCGCAAGTGCCAGTTTCCAGGTTGCAATTATCCAATAGCCAGGCTCCACGGCCAGTCGGGAAAGACTGGTTTCCGGAATCCAACTACTTCGTAACGGCTACAAGGTCGCATCGCTCCTCACGCGCCAAGGTAGATTCATCATCCCCACATCCCGCCGGCCCCGGCTCCGGCCATTTCTTCTTCAGGGAGGCAGTGTTCCACGCAGAGGCCATTATATACCTTGATTTTTTGCTCTGGGAGCATGACAGTCTTTCCATCGGGCCCTATGCTTTCTCCCAGTTCGATTTGTTGTATCTCCGTACGTTGGGCGGTAGTAGATCCTGTGTAGCAACCCTCGTCCCACCACTTGTGACACCTCTCGCACCAGCGGCCTTTGAGACAGTCCTCACAGCGCACTATGAGAGGTGGAGGGGCAGATCCATCCAGAGTATGTGGCATCTGAGCCGCGCGGATAGAGCTTCCATGCAGCGGAACGGGACTGAGTAATGGATGATGAGATGTGCTAGACTGGCCAAACACTGCTGGCCCCTCTGGAGATGAATGACAAGACTCGCAGCCTGACGGTCCTAGGGCTACTGTGGCGACTGTAGGTCGAAGAAACGAGGCTGGATGAGGGGCTCCATTGGCCGTGCTATCACTGACATAGGCTTTGCTGGGATCATGTCGAGGACCCCTGCAGAGAACAGCATCAAACGAGATGATGCCTTCACATGCTTGGAGGATTTCTGCCCACTCTGGGGTAGGCCGCTTCGAGATCAATTTTCCAGACGGCTGGTACCACTTGTCTTCGGTCCGCGCTAGCGCAGCGTCCAAAGCCTGTTGAGACTTTTCGTTCCATTTGGCCCCGATTTGCGCCCCCTGTGATGACAAGACGCCCCTGGCGATGGGCAAAGGCTTCCTGCCGACGGGTGACGCAGAACGCGGTAGTGGATCACGGGCTCCAAACAGATAGATTCCCTTGACGCGAGGAGTGCCAGCAGGCCTTGACGGGCGAACAGCATATCGAAGGTATTGCTGAAGCTTTCTCTCGTTCAGATGTTTCACATCGCGAATGGAGAGTATGCGGACGTTGAATCTCTCTTCTGTAAGGAGTTCCTTGACAAGCTCTGCTGTCACGCTAAGCCCATCGAGCACCAGCGTATGTACATTTCGAAGAACATGTGACTTTTCGAGTCTGTTGAAAATGTTCCGTAATGGACCACTGTAGAAGTCGTCTTCGGTAAGGGCTTCATCCATGCGCTCTGCGCGGAAGCTGATGCCCCCAACATCGAGAGGTCCATCGAATGGTAGAATGGCAGACTTGACTGGAGATAGATCGAGATAGCGAAATGCTTCGGGCGATTGGATGACGATTTGATGTAGAGCCTTGGAAGCCCGCGACAGATTACGGAGAGCCGATACCGGCAGGTAGGGGGCAGTCTGACGTAGGATCAAGGTATTGGAGAGAAGGTCCGCCAGGGAGGTAGGGAGGTCGTCACGAAAGGCAGATGGGCCCATGGTAGGCGTCGGAGAAATACAAGCAGAGAAGGTTGACAACAGGCCGGACGGGTACTCACTGGGTCTATATTATATTGTAAGGCGGGACGGCAGCCCAGACGGGCACGTGCCAGTCACTTGTCAAGACACTGCAGGTGTCTGCTGGAAGTAGAAACGAAAGGGCTAGTCGAGGTTGAGACGCGGCGTAGATGGGGTTGCGCGCTGACGTGGGACTGGTCCCCTGTGGCGATCGCCAGGACAAAGCCCTGCCAAGACGTTGACAGTGCGTATTTATGATTTCCGTAGAAGATCAGGCCGAGATGAAGCATGGATTGGAACACTTGTTGCAGCCAAGGCCGCAGTCATAGGCTTGGTCTTCCAGTGAGGAAACAGACTAAAACGTCCGCTGCGAGATGTCCTGCAGAGGACGCGACGCATCGACGCACAGGCATGGTATCGCGCCCCACGCTGGCCGGTTACGACAATGAATCAACATATCGAAACTCAGTGTTGAGTGACGGGCCAAGGCTCGACTCCGCATCCGGTGAAACCGGGTGTGGGTGCTTTAGAGGTGCAGGACTGCAGGTGCAGCGGTAGGGGTCCCCGCATCCTGGCCGCCTCCCACGTCCCACGCGAAGAGGCTTATCGATAAGCTTAACGGCCCGACGCGCGACCTATGACGCCAGCCATTCACCCAAGACCGAAGCTTCGAGCAGAGCCGCATATGTCAGCCAGCGTTGCTAATCGCCGTCTTTGCCCACGCCTAAAAGTCCAGTCTCTACCGCTGCTCCTTGTTTCAACCCCGCATCTACCATGGACTCGGAAGCAGAGCCCGCACCCGAACTAAAATGGTCTGCGCAGTACCAGCTGGCGCATGCAGGTGCGACTCGGAGTACGCTACCGGGCGATAAGCTTCTCCTTCCTCCCTCCGCATTAGAGCAACTACTCGCCGCAGCCCCGGTTGTGCATGTCAATGCAGACAGGCCGCATATCACCGCTTTCGATCCCTTCAATCCCTACACCTTCAACGCCGAGCGCCACGCGCGGGCACAGACGCAGGACCGCTTCCAACAGTTGCCGCACCCGCTCACCTTTCGCCTGGTCAATCCTGAAAATGGCCGCGTCGTACATGCTGGAATTCGCGAGTTCTCTGCAGAGGAGGGGCAAGTCGTGCTCAGCAGTTTCCTTCAAGAGGCGTTGGGGATAGAGACACAATCTACCGAGACTTCAAGAGACGGAAGTCCGAATGGCCAAATGGACACGGAGGATGGGGAAGGGGACGGAGTAAATGGGTTGCCTGGAAATGGTGCTACGGCTCCAAAAATCACGGTGCACGCGAAGCAGCTGCCCAAGGGAACGTTTGTGAAGCTACGACCGCTGGAAGCCGGCTACGACCCCGAAGACTGGAAGTCGCTCCTGGAGGAGCACTTGCGATCCAACTTCACAACGATGACTAATGGCGAGGTACTAGTCGTATATGGTGGTCGCGGTGCTGGTGGCAGGCGCGAAGAGTTCCGCTTTTTGGTCGACGGTTTCAAGCCAGAAGGGGACGGGATATGTGTGGTGGACACAGACCTCGAGGTCGACATAGAAGCGCTGAACGAAGAACAAGCACGCGAGACGTTGAAGAGGATAGCGGAAAAGAGGCATCGTGCGCCCGGCACATCGCAAGGTAGTTCGACTGGCGGCACAATTGACATTTTCAAGGCCCAGTCAGGACAGGTGCTGGAAGAAGAATACGTCGACTTTGAGTTGCCATCATGGGATCGATCTCAAGGAATAGATATAGTCTTGGATGAAGTAGAAGATGAGGATGAGATTGATCTATTTGTCAGTCCGTTTTCAGCCCGACAGAGAGTCCGCCCACGAGAAGACGAGCACGTGTTCGCCGATCTAACAAGTCAACACCCTAAACGCATACGCTTACAACCTACGAACATCGAGCTTGACGAAGCGGAAGCAGTATGGATCTCGGTCCACGCTTATCCCTCCGAATCGCCTTCGAGCACTCCGAAACCGTTCCGCCTGAGGGTCTCCATATATGATCCCAAGACAGAAGCTGCAGAACATGGGGGAGAAGCTGCGATACCGGGGCCAGATGAAGTGCAATGCAGGAACTGCAAGCAAATTGTGCCCAAGGGTTCTCTTTTCTTACACGAGAACTTTTGCTTGCGGAACAACATCCTATGTCCTCAGGGTTGCGGTCAGGTCTTTCAGAAACGCTCTCCAGCTTTTCAAAACCATTGGCATTGTCCGCACGACACGTTCAGTGGTAACACACCACTGAGCCGCCAAAAGCACGATGCTATCTATCATACACCACAAGTCTGCTCATCGTGTGGCCTAGACTTCCCCTCAATACCAACTCTATCCCATCACAAAACTACGGTTTGTCCTGGGAAACTAATACTTTGTCGCTTTTGTCATCTTCAGGTACCACAAGAAGGCGACCCAAACGACCAGTCCCCTGAACTTCTCCTTTCTGGCCTCACACCCCACGAACTAGCAGACGGCGGTCGCACAACTGAATGCCATCTCTGCAACAAGATTGTCCGATTCCGAGACATGGACACGCATCTCCGCCATCACGACCTAGAACGCTTATCCCGCCCTCCACCACGTCTCTGTCGCAACATAAACTGCGGTCGTACCCAAGACGGTGCTAACAAAGCTGGCGACACGCGAGCTGGAACACGTAAAGGCCAAGGGCCTGGTAATGAAATCGGGCTATGCAGCGTCTGTTTCGGTCCCCTCTACGTCTCCCTCCACGATCCAGAAGGCAAAGCGCTCCGCCGCCGCATCGAGCGTCGCTACCTTTCCCAACTTCTCACTGGTTGCGGAAAGCCGTGGTGCAAAAATGAATACTGTCGTACCGGCCGCAAGAACCTTGGGCAAGAAGACAAGTCCGTCCCAACGAAAGACGCAATTCCGCTTGTGAAGCCCTTCCTACAAGGCATGGATGGCAAAGGCTATGATACACCATTGCACTTTTGTGTTGATGAGCGCACGCAGAAGTGTAGAACACTGGCGGAGATGGTCGCAGCAGAGACGGGGATCGAAGGAAAAGGCGGATACGGGCTGGAGTGGTGTGTTGCAGCACTTGAGGCTGAGGGCGGGGATCTAGACAAGGCGAGGAGCTGGCTTAAGGGGTGGGCACCTCAGAGGGCGGAGGCAGGACAGTAAAGGAGTGTCATATCGCATAACATTCAGCATAAGGGAGGCGCTAGACCGGTGGAGACGGTGTAGTATATATAGACTTATGAGATACCCAAAGATAATGCATATGGCAGGAAATCAGAAGCTACCTCTAAAATATACCCCCTGAGAATCATTTACAGCTTACTCGTCCCGTTCTTGTCCATCCCCTCCCTCTCCGTCTGCCTGTCCATGTCATTCGTCGAACTAGTCTCTGCTTTCAAACTCGCCGGATCACCCAACTGCGTCCTATTCACCTTATTTCCGTCCTTATTTGCCAATGTTCCCCGAACCGTCTTGCTATGTGGCAGTTCTTCTTTTTGTGCGCTGCCCCCATTGCCGATCGCCTTTTTATCTCCTCCACCCGCGCTCGTACCGGCTCCGCGGTAAGGGTCGGACACTACAGGCGCGGAGCTTGAGTAAGAGCATGAAGGCGAGGAAGGCGTGTCGTTGTTTCCATTTGCTGGCGGTGCAGAGTCGTTTGAGGGGAGTGGTTTGTCATCCCGTTCAGGTTTTAGGCTTGTGGAGTCGCCGAGGCTGGGGGTGGATTTGTTGGATTGCTTCGCTGCGGTGGTCTTGGGGTTGGATAGTGTGCCTCGGACGGAGGTGGAATGGGTTGTGTTTACCATTGTTGCTGGTGGTAATAGTTTAAGATGTATGGGTCGACTTGGAGATGAGGTTTGACGGTAGGAAATCCAGGGGAGACATGGCGGGGAACTTGACTACTAGTACCTTTGTAACTAACTACATCATCAAGATACGTATACATGCTTTTTGGGTTCAATCTTGTGAACGGCGCCCGCTTCACTGACGTACTGTTTAGTGTATCGAAATGACGTCTTGCATTCTCAGGTACCCGTGAGCGCGCATGCAATCACGTGTCAGTTCTAGGCCTTGGACGCTGGATTTCCCTGTGCGAAAGACGTGGGATAATGAGTATCTGTGTACATGTGAAGTGTTGTGAGCATTGTGGTCGAATCGTCGCAGTGCGGGTGTGTTCGAACGTCGTTGTGCCTAGACTTCCGTCTTCCGACCGACTCACCGCCGAAGATACCGTTCTCTGCTTACGACCTCGGCATCTTTCCGGGCACCGTGTTTATAACTTCGCCAGACGCCATGAACTTATTATCGCTGCACAAGCCATTCCCGACGCAAGTTATTATGAGCATACAAAATACACGATAATGGACGCTGCTATTGCTCACTTTTCCTCCGTGCCTTGGGCCGCCAAGCTGATCAATGATACTGCCAATTGGACACCAGTCCCCACCCGTGCCATTGCAAAGAAGGCATCCGGAGAAGATGCATTCTTCGCAGAGACCATCAGTACCGATCGAACAATACGGGCAATCTTGACGCTCCGGTCCAAGGAAGAGGTGGGCGAAGAGATAGCATACAGAGAGATTAAAGAATTTGTGGATGTTGGCGACGGGCTCGATGGCTATCCTCATGTAATGCATGGCGGCATTACCGCCACTTTGCTCGACGAGGCATGCGGTGCCCTGATAAACTTCAACGCAATGAAAAAGGTCGAACGGGCAGGAGAGGTTGGGCGCAGCATAGATCGACCGAAGTGGATGACAGCCTGTTCGTTGCCGCACCGTACCAACACCAAGAGACGAGCTAAACATGGGTAGATCTGAACACAACCTACAAGGCCCCGGTCCCGACTCCTGGGGTCCTCCTCTGTACAGCGACCATTGTGCGACAAGAGGGCGGCGATCGCAAAGTCTACATGCGTGCGACTGTCCAGGACGGCAACGGAACCGTCTGTACAATCTGCGAGGCTTTGTTCATCAAGATCAAGTCGCAGCGGTTATAGTTGCAGCTTTAAGGGTACCAGAGCTGGTCATGCGCTCGGGGCGTCAACGGCGGCGGCTGGGCGGTCGCAGATACTTCCACCCACCCTCTTGCTTCTTCCACGAAGTAGCACAGCTCGCGTGGCGATCTGTCCACCACATTGGTGCTGGCTGCATGCAAATGGATATGGTGTTACGCCCACCGGTGGCTCGACCCATCTGCCCGCCCGACAGAACACCTAAGAGCTTGGCCCTTGGTTGAACTACCATCGTAGTGATTTTCCACATCTTATGACTACTATGGCGTCGGCTTCAGTATATGCGCCGCTGCCGTTTGTCCTATTAGACTGCGATGTGGTGGTCCGACTTTGGCCGATGTCGTAAGCGTACATTCGCTCGACAGCCCAGATTCGCCCATCTCCGTACCTGCTACATCGAGTTCTTTTGGTATTTGCGACTCATGAAGCTATGGAGAATTTCATCTGTTGTTTTCTCTTATTGGCAGATACCTCCGAAATTGGAAGCAGGGTTGTGGCTTCTGAGTGGTTACAAGCAGATTTGCTTAATCTATTTTGCACTGGTCCACATGATCTCCTTCTTGCATGACCTCGGCCTGCGCCTTGCGTTTGAAAAACATGGAGATTTCGATTCGATGAGTAACTTCACATGTCGCAATCTGCCAGGCACGCACCAAGGCTTTTCCTTTTCCCCAGGTTATGGCGCTCTCAGTCTAATCCGATTACACGTCTACACTTGTTTTGACATGGGCAACCGTTCTCCACATACCGCTCTTTGCAAAAGTTTCCCTGCGCCTGACTCCGCCATCTGCAGCCTCCTGCTGGCGTGTACCAAAAAGCTCTCACTCCCAAGAGGCAGGTCCGAGGATCTGTCTTGGACTGCCGTTTACACCGGTCGTCTTGCGACAGTCTCACAAGACTTACTACCACTGCCCCACCACTTCAACTCAACCTGTAAAGGGTAGGATTCTCTCGCAGTCAAGGCACTAACATGAGCACGCGCTCATGAGGCTTATGCCGCAGCAAGAGATCATAGGGCAGCTTCTGCAGTGCGATGCATGGCTCTAATACCCAAGACTACCCCACATCTGAACAGTCGCGCCCAAACTACTGTTGACGGTGCAAACTGGGGTATCAGAGGTTCATAGCAGCAGGGCCAATTACAAGGACAAGTCGTTGTGTCTCAGAACTAACAGACGTCACATGCTTTTATCGGTGTAGCAGCATCACTGGACAGCGCGCTTCGTGGAAATAACATGCGTAGGGCCGACCCGGTGACCAGTGCCACATGCAGGTTAGCTTCATTGACCCCTAGAAATTATCACCACCTCTATTTTGCTTGTAACTTTACTTATTACGTATCTCGAAAGGCGCGTAGAAGAAATACTGTTCGGAGATTAGGTACTTGATCGAAAAGGTTGCGAAGCTATTCGACTCAAGGAAGGTCACACCAAAAGAACGGGGATTTAATGTCACTCCCGGACTACCTCCAAGCGAATGTCGGAGGTCATGCTTGATGGGGCATGGGGAAGTTGGCGCCCTTCCCCAGACTGTGTGACTTGCAATAGGTGGTTTCGACCCGTGGTCGAGTGTAAGCGATGGAACTATGCAAACGGCAACCTGCATAGCCGCAGATCAAGGGAGTAATAGACAGGGCCGTATGACCTTCTGAGCGGCAAGCGGTAAGGTCTCATCACCGGATCCCTAGTCGCGAAGGGGCAGATCCCTGTGTGGTCGCGTGATTGCGTGGTACTCCTCCTATCACTATTGCCACTGGGGGGCAACAGTGAGGTATACTGGCGAGAATAAATATCACAGCAACGCTCACTTGGAACATCATCTCACTACCAACGGTCTACATTCCTTTGTACAGACTCCCAGTGTACATTTGCTCTTGTAAATACGCATTACGGTTTTCTACTGGTACATACTTAGAAATATGCATCTTCCCTCCTTGATCGCCTGCCTGGGCGCAGTAGGTGCACAGGCTGCTGCCATAGGTAAGTTCACGTTCTCATTCTGTCTTGAAAAGACTGACAAGTTGTAGCACCTTGGGCTAGACTCAGGTCTGTAAATGAGACTGACTTCGCCGCTGCCGCTGCTTTCCCCGATGGCTACTGGATGAATGACCTCTCCGGTAAAGGACGAGCAGCTTTCAACAGCAACCCGAACTACAAGGTCTTCCGCAATGTCAAGGAATACGGTGCCAAGGGTAAGCAACTCAACACCAGAAGTCGTGAACTACACTAACATTCACAGGCGATGGTGTAACTGATGACTCTGATGCTATCAACCGTGCCATTTCCGATGGCGGCCGCTGCGGTCCCTGGGTCTGCGATTCTTCGACTGATTCCCCCGCCGTTGTCTACATTCCTTCTGGAACGTACCTCATCAGCAAGCCCATCATCTTCTACTATGAGACTCAGCTCATCGGTAACCCTCGTGCTCTCCCTATCCTCAAGGCTTCTCCTTCGCTCCAGGCTCTTGCCCTCATCGACGCCAGCCCTTACAACAACCAAAACGGTCAGCCTGGATGGATCTCGACCAACCTCTTCGTCCGCCAAATCCGCAACTTGATCATCGATGGCACTGCTGTTCCACCGACCTCGGGCTTCCAGGCTATCCACTGGCCCGCCTCGCAAGCTACTACCATCCAAAACGTTAAGATCCGCATGACACAGGCATCTAACTCTGTCCATGCTGGTATCTTCGTCGAGAACGGATCTGGTGGTCACATGGCCGACCTCGACATCTCGGGTGGTCTGTACGGAATGAACATCGGCAACCAGCAGTTCACCATGCGCAACGTCAAGATCTCCAAGGCCGTCACTGGTATCTCTCAGATCTGGGACTGGGGTTGGTTGTACGCTGGTCTCTCCATCAGCGACTGCGGAACTGCTTTTTCCATGAGCAACGGTGCCTCTTCTGGAAAGCTTGAGGTCGGCTCCGTTGTCATCATCGACTCTGAGATCACCAACTGCAACAAGTTTGTCGACATGGCATGGTCAAGGTCCACTATGCCCACCGGTGCTGGTCAGCTGATTCTTGAGAACATTGTTCTGAACAACGTACCCAACGCTGTCGTCGGAAACGGTGCCACTGTTCTTGCTGGAGGTTCGCTCACGATCCAAGCTTGGGGACAGGGTAACAAGTACGCTCCCAACGTCAACGGACCTCAGAAGTTCCAGGGACCTATCACCCCGGCTCCCCGCCCCAGCAGTCTTTTGGACGGTGGCAAGTACTACGCCAAGTCGAAGCCCACATACGAGACTCTCACTACTGGCAACTTCATCAGCGCTCGTGGTGCCGGTGCCACTGGCGATGGTCGTACCGATGATACTCAGGCCGTTCAGAACGCCATCAACTCAGCTGTCTCTCAGGGCAAGGTCGTCTACTTCGAGCACGGTACCTACAAGGTTACAAACACCATCTACGTTCCTGGTGGCGCCCGCATGGTCGGCGAGACATTCTCCGTGATCATGGGTTCCGGCTCTGTGTTCGGAAACAAGGACAGTCCAGTTCCCATTGTGCAGGTCGGCAAGTCTGGTGAGAGCGGTAGCGTCGAATGGTCCGACATGATTGTCGCTACCCAGGGCGCAACACCCGGTGCCATTGTCATCCAGTACAACCTCAACACTGCGCGTGGCTCTGGTATCTGGGACGTCCACACCAGGATCGGTGGTGCAAAGGGTACCAACCTGCAGGTTGCGCAATGCCCCGCGATCGTCGGACAAGTCAAGCCTGAGTGCATGGCTGCGCACACCAACGTCCACATCACCAAGGGTGCCAACGGAGCATACTTTGAGAACAACTGGTTCTGGACTGCTGATCACGACCTAGACGACGCCAAGTCGACCCGTGTCAACATCTACACTGGCCGTGGTCTTCATGTTGAGGCTCAGAATGTCTGGCTTTGGGCCAACGGGGTAGAGCACCATGCCGTCTACCAATACCAAGTAAGTCTCACACATATAGCTACTCTCTACATACACTAACAGCCTCTTCAGTTCAACGGTGCAAGCAACATCTTCGCCGGTTTCATCCAAACCGAAACCCCCTACTACCAGCCCACACCTGACGCCTCCACCAACCCCTACGGCAGCTCAGCTGCCTACTCTGACCCCACCTACCCCTCCGGTGCCTCAGCATGGGGACTCCGCGTTCTAAACTCCAAGAACGTCATGATCTACGGTGGAGGTCTGTACTCTTTCTTCCGCAACATCGACGTCTCGTGCTCCTCTCCTGATGCGCCTGGTGGCAACCGCAACTGCCAGCAACGCATCTTCAGCATCGAGGGTGCGAGCACCATACAGGCTTTTGCTCTTAGCGAGGTCGGCGTGCAGTCCATGGTCACTGTTGATGGTGTTGACAAGGCGAACTGGAGCGACAACTTGAGCGTTTACCCGAACACCATTGGGTGGGTGTCCAACGGGTTCTAGATGGGAAAGAGGGCTTGGAATGCTCAATAGATGTGAGATCGCATAGACTTGTGCAATCTCATAGCTGGGTCTTGGATAAGACCAAGATATTGGGTCATATAACAGCATCTTGTATATTTAAGGCTGGTGCTGGCCTGGATGGGATAAGGGTAGCCGGGATTTCCTTCGTTTTGTATGCGCTTATGATTCATGATTGAGGGCCAAGGCTTGTCACCATAGCTATAGAGATGTAGGTATGCTTGTTGCCTGAATATATAAAGTTGACAATATCTTCCTCGCTTTGCATTGTGTTTTTGCTTCGATGAAACCGGTTCTTGATAATAACACTGTCATAGTTACCGTGCTTGAATAGGGAAACTTCTTATGACCATGGTGAATGAAGAATGCCAGCATCTTTGAAGGATTTCCATTTCTCCACGTGGGAGGTATGTCATTACGAGGACCCTGCATGTCGCATCATCGCTGCCCCACCGCGGGGCAGTCGACCAAGCTAGGTAGCACTGACGTTTCCCCAGAAATCAATGCAACAAAATGTTATAGCTCCTCCTTCTAACCCGAAAACCTATCACAGCTCTCTCCCTTTTCCTTTTCAAGATACCAAACCACCTCAACTTGCCCAACATGGCCGACTCCAACCCCAACCTCCGCGAAATCCACGACTTCATGATCTCCATTGCCAAAAAAGCAGGCGAGCGCATCGTCTCCGCCACACCCACAACCGCAGCCTCTGGTTCAAAGAAGAACTGTATGGACCCGCTATCTATGCCCCTATTCCATAGTATAACAACTAACAAGCCCATTCCAGCCGTCGACCTAGTAACCCAAACGGACCGCGACGTCGAAGCCCTAATCTCCACCTCACTCAAAAGCCAATACCCCAGCTTCGCCTTTATGGGCGAGGAAACCTACAAACCAGGTGACGTGCTAACCGAGACACCGACATTCATCTGCGATCCCATTGACGGCACCACGAACTTTGTGCACCGCTATCCTTACGTGTGTATCTCGCTGGGCCTGGCCGTTGACCGCGAGCCTGTCGTGGGCGTGGTGTATAACCCCTTTACCAAGACGCTGTACTCGGCGATCAAGGGACAAGGTGCGTATCTCGATCAGACGCACAAGCTACCACTGCAGGAACCGACAAAGTTCGAGGGACTGAGTAGTTGTCTTGTGGCGGTGGAGTGGGGGAGTGATAGGGGTGGGAATGATTTTAGGGTCAAGAATGAGACGTTTAAGAAGTTGGCGGCGGAGAAGGAAGCCGGGGGTGGCATGGTGCATGGGATTCGGTCGTTTGGTAGTGCGGCGCTGAATCTGTGTGGAGTAGCGAGTGGTGGATTGGATGTGTACTGGGAGGCTGGGTGTTGGGCGTGGGATGTTTGTGCTGGGTGGGTAATTCTCAAGGAAGCGGGAGGTATCATGGTCGATGCGAATCCTGGGAACTGGGAGCCGAAGGTTGAAGGACAGAGGTATCTGGCTGTTAGGGGCGGAGAGGGACAGAAGGAGATTGTAGAAGAGTTTTGGAGTTTGGTGGAGGGGAAGTTTGAGGTTGGTATGTAGATTGAGTGCGCATGGGTAGACACCAAACACCATAGATCATATAATCATCACAGCATAGAAGACACAGTATATTAGCGGCGGTCAAAATGGTTTTCTCATTGCCACCACTACCGATATCCTCCACGCGCCAGTCTGGCCCCTTCAAAGCGGTCTCAGTCAATCAGTCCACCGCATCGGACACTTCAATCTCCACCAGAGAGCTTCATGTCCTCCAGCACGATGTTCCAAGATAGACCATCGCAACTCCACGACAGGGTTTCCGAAAATGAATGTTTTTTTCTTTCTCTTTCTTTCTTTAGCAATCCAAATCCCTCTCTTCGTAACATGTCCCCAATAATAAATAAACAATAGCGACGTTCATTTCCCTCCATTAACAAAGACGACGTTAGACAAAGGAGAACACAGTTTACCAAAGGCTTATCGGCAATGTACTCCCTCTTTCCCTCCCATCTGCAAGCAGAAGAGGGGGGTTAGAGGGGGGAAGGAGGGTTTCTTTCGTTACATGTTTTGTGATATTAGGGTGGTGAGAGAGGAGAGGAGAGGAGACTCGGGAGAGAAGAAAACAAAAACGCGATGGGGGTGAGCAAACAAATCCACTTCCACTCGCGAGAGATGGAAAGAGACAAAGAGGAGAGATGATGATGCAGCCAACATCCTTGTACGCCGAGAAGAGGGAGGAGTAGATCCAGTATACTCCGAGGTCCTTGTTTTTGGTTTTTCACGTTTTGTTGTTCGCTGGGTCGGCCAATTTGGAATGGGCCCAGCGGAGTAGAATGTGTGGGGTTTCAACTTGATGGGTACTCCGCCGGGTTGTTGTGCGTGTGTGTGGTGTGTGTGTGTGTGTGTGTGTGTTTGTTTGCGGTTTGTTATAATGAGCCAAGTTCGATAGGTAGTGCGTCCTCATGTCTTTAGATGGTCCTGGGAGTGCCGCGAGCGCTGGCGCTGCGAGGACTGTTAGTTACGGTAATACCAACATCACAGCAAAACACGAATATCAGAGAAGGGAAGAAGAATCCAATAAAAGAAGAAGCGCAAGGCGTACCTCGCATCCGCAAGATCATCGACATGGTTGCACATTGCCACAAACAGGTCAAAGAACAGTTTTCCCCCCATCTCCATTTCCATCTGCATGGTGCCACTACGCTTGAAGGTTTTCCGGCTGCGGATAATCAGAGCGAGGTAATGAGCGCGCAGCCGCGAGTCGCTGTCCGGCGTGTTCTCATACGCATAGCGTGCGCTACGCAGGATAGTACCGACTTCGATCCCGCTCTGCAGGCCCTGCTTGCGCAGAGAGAGCTTCTTGAGCTCTTCGAGGCCGTAACGATCAGCTGCACAGTACACGGCCGTGTCCCGGAGAACAACGTCTCCCACGCCGGAATGAAAAAAGGTTGGCTCGACGGCGGCTGCACGGTCGCCGGTTCTGTTTGGGTCGGGTGAGGAGATTGCACCTTCGAGCATCCAGGTCTGGCGGCGCTTGTCTTGAACAAGACGCGGGTAGTAGTCGCCCTTGTAAAGATACTCGAGGATGCAACTGAAGATTTCAGGCTCCTCAGTTGGCAGATCGATGCGGCGATTGCCGGATTCGAAGAACTGTCCCCGCAACAGCTCAGCAAAGTACGGGGAGTGACAAAGCACGTCTTCGTGCGCAGCGAACAATCGCTGGTCGGAACCAACGACGACTGTCACAATGGCGGAGGTGAGTACTGGTGACTCGCCGCCCATTATTGGACTGTCCTTGCGCGCATCCAGCTTCTCGGCCATCACCTTCTGCTTTGACGCATCGCGATGTGATCGCTTCGGCTGCTTGGTTATCTTGCCTGAACGGTCCTTCTCCTTTGAGCTAGTAAAAGAGCGCTTGCCGAACATGTTGGAAACCGAAACGAGCGATCAAAGTATAGCGAGCGACTTGTGCAAAGAGTGGACAGGTTAGTGTGACGCAACGTTCAAGTGAGAGAACAAGAGCTCCGGAAACTCTCAGATCTCGCAAACCTTTCGGGAGAGAAAAGTTGTTGAAAATCCGAAGAGCTTGAGCGTGTCTATCAACACTGGTGGTGAAGATAAGCACACTTGTTGTCGAACTCTGGCTTGTCGTGAGGCGTGCAGGCTGAGGATTGTGGGGAGCGGGCGATTAAATACAGGGCTTGCCAAGTGCCATCCCTGCAATATGGACAGCTAGCGCGGGCTGTGTCGCATGCAGATGTGTTGTTCTATTCGTTGATTGTGCTTGTGGGCTGCAAGACTGCATGCGGGAGATATCAGGCAGCGAGGCGTCATTCTTGCGGACTCCTCATTTGGTCGCGGCCCAGAAGCTGGAAGCCCATGGAACAACCTTGGTGTAGAGTGAAGTGGCAGCCGTGGAGTAAGCGAGCCATGAGCAGGCAGCAATGTGACGTGTCTGCGTGAGCGACGCAGCATCGAGACATGTGCACAACCAGCGTGAGCGTTGACGGGAACTTGACATTTTGCACACGGTATTTGTTTTCTCACTGCGCGTCGCGTCTCTGTCGCGGTGTAACGTGACTGGCGAATACGGCGTGCATCTATGGCTCAGGGTAAGCTCTGACTCACATGAAAGTAAGCCAGAGTTCCGGCCCAGGCCAGCCTAGCATGGCGCCTAGTGCCTGCTCCAAATAACACAGAAGAAGGTTTGCTGGATACGTGCTGAAGACAGGGCGAAGAGACTTGGAAGCTTAGAAGCATCATGCTACGCTTGTGCGGCAAGGTGAAGCACACCGACGTTATGAAGCGCACAACACGAAGCTTGTGAGGGCTACGAGATGTTTCGTATTCCGCATCGCAAGCAACACCCTGTCGTATGTTAGTAAGCAGTCGTATACGCCCGACAGCGTGCAAAACGTAGTTCGCAGGGTGAACGGGCTGGCTCTAAGTTCGCATCTAGTGAGTGCTAAGTAATTCTAGTTGGATCTGGCCACAACAATGGCCGGAAAGGTCTTGGGGGGCTGGCATTGGGATATGGTGGGATATGGATGCACCTGGTGTTCGGTACAAGTGCAGCCGTTGATGAAGCGGAAGTGCAGTACCGAGATGGCTCTTTCCCGGCCATTAATGACGTAGACATGAATACGGCATAACCGACCGCACAGAATGCATACAGTGAGAGGCGGCGATGAAATCGGACAAGGCGTGCATGCTAGTGAAGTCCTGCAGGAGGCTCCAAGTGAAGGGTCACTCACGACCGGTCCGCGTGCGGAGCTTGGGCTAAGCATCCAAGTCCTCGTCATTCATAGGCAACTTTCCCCACATCAACAACCCTCTTTTCCCAACCATCAACAGCCACTGTCCCCCACCTACCACGAGCGCAGTGACTTTTACCCATCTACGCGGCTTTGGCGCAACTCCTCTACCTACACAAAGACGTCCCGATTCCTTGTTCGATAAGCGCTTGCTTGCAGTGGAAGCACACCGCCAGCCAAGGATCCGCATTTAGAAGCCCAATCTCTACACGACACCAGGCCAACCGCAATCATGAGCACCGGGGCCAAGAAGCGTATTATGAAGGCAAGCCTCTCGTGTTGTGTGGCCAAAAGCAAGTATACTAACTGCGCCACAGGAGTACACGGAATGCATGAATGACACGCCGCCGGGCATGAAGATCAACTTTGACGAGCAGAACATGACCAAGTGGGAAGTGTTGATGGACGGGCCTGCGCAATCAGCGTATGCGGTATGTTACTTTGCCATGTGCTATGCGAATGGACAAGATCAGCGGGCAGCAAGCAACATGTACTAACGTGAGGGCAGGGCGGGCACTTCAAGCTCGAAATCACCTTCCCAACCGAATACCCATTCAAGCCACCCGTCGTCAGCTTCCGAACTAAGATCTACCATCCCAACGTGAGCAACGACGACAAGGGCTCCATGTGCCTGGGTCTGTTGCGCGCGGACGAGTGGAAGCCGCCCAACAAGGTGGTGTCGGTGCTCCGACTGATCCAGACGCTGCTGATTGAGCCCAACCCCGACGATGCGATTGAGCCATCCATCGCCAACGAGTACCGGGAAAACCGCAAGGAGTTTGAGAAGAACGCCAAGGACTGGGTCAAGCGCTACGCCAAGTAAAGATTCAGCCAGCAGGCAGCGGCTGATGTCGGGTAGAGCATGTATTCGAGTAGGACAGTGACAGCGCATTGTCGGATACATATTGCATCTTTGGCGTTCGGCGAAATTTGCATGAGAATGGGGCAGCTGATAGTCGGTGGACAAAGAAGCAGCGTGTGCGCAGATGGTCGTGGATGGCAGCGGCGGTATCACCGGACGATTATGCAGGGAAGGCTTTACTGGGTTCGCCAAATAAAATGAGTACAAACCGCAATATGTCGTCATGTGCAAATCTCCCTTGACAGCGCTCGGGCAAAGCAGAAGCGAGCCGGGACGTGATGTGACCAGGGTATGCCCCCGGAGAATTGCTTCTGGAAGGCAGCAAGAGGATTCGGCGGGCCGTCACCCAAGGGTACAAGACCGTCCGAGATTGATGCGCGGGCTGGGTAGGGCTACGCATCTAAACTGACAAGTACTTAGACAAGAGGCTGCCTGCTTGCTGCATGGTTGAGAGAAGCTCAGTGCTGGCGAGTCAGGGCCGGACGGTGCATTCAGCACGCGCTTCGGAAGTGTAGCAGCAAAGCAAATAACGTGCGTGAGCGGCTTTCCCCCCTGAGGATCCGTCGCGGTGCCGTGGGAGCCGTGTGGAAGACGCCAGACGCCTTTCTCGCCGTGATGCCATATACTTACACGGCGGCGTCTCGAGGCTGGCGGCCACTTTTGAGAGAGAGGCAATGCGGAGCAATCAGACGGTGCGGACGAGGCGCCAAAGTCAAGCCTTGCACGCTCGAACGGCGGCGTTTCAATAGCTCGCGGACTCTCTGGGTGCTGATTGGGCCGGGGGGCGCGTCACAGTATGTAGTCATGTTTGCCTGGGGTTATGCATCCCGAGTTGTGCCGTTGCAGTTACATGCCAGTCACGAACTCGTCGGACAAGTCCCGCTGCACAGCTGCAGCTTCTAGGGACGCTCCTACCGGCCCGCGCCCACTTCGCCTGTGCTTCTAGGGATCGCGGATGGGGGAGGGCGCCGCGTCTTGGCAGCTTTTGCACCAGAGTCAGTGGTAGTAACGCATGCAGGCAAGTTGGACTCGTCCCAAACACGTTGGCTGCACTCCTCTCCTCACCACCGTCTGAATACCCCGGCGCCTGTGCGGCACACACGCTCCTTATCATTCACGCCTTCATTTTTTCACGGCGTCCCTGTTGCACCACGCACTGCCGCATTAGGCCCCACGCACTACCATCCCGCCGACGTGCTTTTGTTGCTGCCGGACGCTGGCGCTTCCGCCGAACAGTAGTAGCATTAGCAGCCTCTCGAGCAACCGCAAGCCGCACACCATAGCTATCCAGCCCGCCCTCGGACAGCCAACGACCGCCCTCCGCCTGCCTTCTCATCCACTCGTTCACCCTTCCACATCCTGACACACCACACAACCCTTCCGGCCCGCATCCGAGAATGTCACGGCGATCCACGACTCCCGAGCTGTCCTGTATCCCGTCCGAATGAGCGCCTCTCCCGCCCAGCTCGACCCACTCCCGAACCTCGACACCTCGCAATGGGTGACGCCCTCTTGCGCGTCGCTCCTGCCCTTTCCCATCCAGGGGACGCCGGTCGCAGCCCTGCGCCTGCCATGGCTGCGAACAATCCCTCGTACGCCTCCTTCCGTGCAGCGGCCACCGAATACACTCCGCCCGCCTCGCCCCAACCACAGATACCATACGCCGCGAAGAAGGGGGGCTTCGGCTCACTACGGTCCAGACATCCTGTACAACTCCAAATGGACACGACGCAAGAAGCCCCCCTGCGTGACCGTACCAGGCGCAGCCCGACTTCTGGAGATAGCCCGACACTGCCTTCCCAAAAGTTTACCCAACGCAAGCGCACTCCTTCCCTCCTCCGCCATGCTGCTGTTCCGTCTCCCCTCCACGAATCCCACGCTACTCCGGCGCCGCAGCCCATGTCGCCGATAATGGCTCCAGCAATGGCCCGCCAGGACAGCAACGGCCCACGCTCGCCTGACCTACGCGCCATCTTCAACCCGCTGGCCAGCAACCCCATCGGTTCGCCCGGCCCCGCATGGAACTCACCCATCGACGACATGTCAGTGCCGCCCGTCTCGCCCCTCCGAGCCCGTGGCATGACCAGCTCATCACAGGGGCCTTTCCCACCTCCGCTACGCTCTGTGACGTCAATCCCCGATTACGCCCAGTATCGCGGAAACGAGCGCACCAACCTCTCGGGCACTTACAAACCGAATCGGGGCGTACCCAACTGGTCCCACAAAGACTATTACCCTCCACCACCGCGGCCCTTCCGCGGCGAAGAGCCACGCTCCAGCTTCAAATCCACATGGACCACTGCTTCCTCAAGTATCCTTGAGACTAGCGGTACAGAACGAAGCAGCATAGCCACCGCACGCAGTTCTCTTGCGAGCGACAGACACCCTAGTATATACTCTCGAGATGAGTCCAGAGATCGTCTGCGGGAACGAGACGACTCTCCAGAGACGATTCTGACCGAGGAAGCGGCCGAGGAAGAAGACAATCTCGATGCCGTTGGCGATGTACTAGATTCGTATTTTTACGACGAGGACGATGAAGAACGCAGCCCCATCACCGAGCAACATGACCGGGACTTCCAGAGCCCCTCACCACCAGCCCTGGATTCAGAGCCTCCAGGCCTTTCCCAAACACCGTCTCGCGACTTCGATTCCTTGGATTCCTTCCAGTCGAGCGAGAGTCTCAAACGATGGGACGAACGACCGAGCTCACGCGTCGGCGACTCGACAGACACCAACGCTGAACCAAACACAAACCCAAAGAAGCCTCTGACTATCCGGCCTCCATCTGGATCGGATTTTGATGACGAGGTACTAGAGACGGAGTCGACGAATCGTAAGGCCCTGCAGGTCGACTATATGCCCAAGGCCAGTCCTCTAAAAGCACCGCGCACACCAAAGTCAAACGCCGTCGCGCCGCAGCAAAAGAAGAGGCAGTCGGTTGCGCTGCAGCGGTCGAGCGAGGAAACGCCCCGCCGCAAGTCGATTGCCTTACAGGCCCTTGCACTTAGGACAATGAGTTCCTCGGACCGAGCTAATCGCACACCCGCCAAGGGTCACAACCTGAAACGATCCAATACAAGCCAGTCGCAATTCGATCATATTCGACGTGATATATCCGCACTTCCACAGTTGCCCATGAGTCGCTCGCGTCTCTCGCGCCAGGATTGGGCAAACATCGAAGCTTATTCAAAGAGACACAGCAAGAGGAATAGTACGCGCAAAGGTTCCAATGACTCCGGAGTCAATAGGTCGGGGCCGTTGTCTCCCCAGTCTCCGCCTTTGCAAAGGTCAGAGGCTCTCCCGGAGGTTGACGAAGACGAAGCCATTCCGAGGCGCGCTTCTACTAGCGTATTCGACCGAAAGAGCGCAATGTTCGATCTTGGCATGATGTCGCAACTCAATGCAGTGAAGAGCAAGCCTGATTCAGTACGAAGCCCAACCCTGGCTCCACCCGGTCAACAAATGCCCACTGTGACAGCACAAGGCCTGTGGAAAGTGGCGGCTCCTGCCGAGCGAGATCGGTATGGCTTCAAGAAGGCTTCCGACAAGATTAGCGTCCAGGAGTACAACGCGTGGTCCTCGAGATACGAAGAACACATTGGCCGACGAAGGGGCAAGTGGATCGCTCTCATGACCAAGCAAGGCCTATCAACGACCGAGCCAACCAAGTTCCCAGATATGTGCGAGAAGGTCAAGAGGTACGCACGCAAGGGATATCCTCCTGAGTGGCGAGGCGCCATGTGGTGGTACTATTCTGGTGGACAGCATATGATTCAACAGAAGGAGATGGTTGGTCTTTACAAGTCATTGGCAGCCCGCGTAAACCGTGGCGAGCTCAACAAGGACGACAAGGATGCGATTGAGCGCGATCTCGACAGGACATTTCCAGACAACATCCATTTCCGTCCAGAGGCCGCGACTGATCTGCTCGATGGCGAGTCCGACGATGAGCCAGCGTTGATTCACGATCTTCGCGAGGTCTTGTCATGTTTCGCCCTGAACAATCCCCACATCGGATACTGCCAGTCTCTCAACTTCATCGCCGGTCTTCTTCTCCTCTTCCTGAAGCAAGACAAGGAGAAGGCCTTCATCCTTCTTACCATCATTACGCAAAATCATCTTCCAGGTGCCCACGCTCGCAGCCTTGCAAACACCGAAGTCAATGTTCTTATGATGTTGATCAAAGACTACCTACCCAAGGTCTGGGCTTCGATCAACGATACCGACCTCATCAACAGCGGCGCCGGCTCAAACGCCCACCCCAACTCCAAGTTCCAACGCCAGCCTACAGTGGCTCTCTCATGTACATCATGGTTCATGAGTATCTTCGTGGGCGTGCTACCCATCGAGACTGTTCTCCGTGTCTGGGACGCGTTTCTGTACGAAGGACCCCGTGCCCTGTACCGCTATGCGCTTGCCATCTTCAAGCTCGGTGAGCCGGAGATCCGAAAGTACCGTCCAGGTGATGGCGAGATCTTCATGGTAGTGCAGACGCTGCCCAGGCAATGTCTGGATCCGAACATCCTGCACGACTTGGCGTTTGTAAAGAAGGGCTTCGGCAACATGTCACAAAACGTCATTGACCAGAAACGCATGTTCTGGCGCGAACAAACCATGATTGCGCATCAGAATTCGGTCAAGAAAAGCGCGACTGGTCGCACCCAGCAGTCGACTGCGCAGACGCCGGAAGACGAGGACGGCGATAGGGATAGTCTCAGGAAGGCTATTGGCCATGGCCTGCGCCGTCGCGCGTCCCGCAAGTTCCGCAAAATGGGCATGAAGTGAAGCAAGCCTTCTGCAGGTCCCTCGTCGGCCACACCAAGCCACATACATGTATGTACATATATACTAACGCCTTTTCTTCCACCCTCGTTCCCTCCCCAGTGGAGTCCGCACAAGGGGTTTCCAAACTACATACATACAAACTTCTTTTCATCTTTGACTGTCTTCTTGACCATCATTTTCCGGCGTACAAAAATGGGATTTAAATACAGGATTAGGGAATTTCGGGGGTTACTACTCTTTTTTTTTTCTCGACTTTCTGTTCATCATCCTCATCATGGGGCTACAGCTTTTGTCTTCCTTCTTTCTTTTCTTCACCATCAGTCGCGGAGCGAACGAGAAGAAGATATCCGGGACGAAAAGAGCAAGATGAGGATGCGGTTTTTCTTGTATAATAATTACGATATACCCTTTGGTGTTGTGGACAGGAACACACACAGATATGCACGTATGTACGTACGCGCGCGCAAGAGAGAGAGAGTCAACGAGAAGAGAGAGATGGCAAAGTTTGGGCAGAATGTCAACAAGTTCAATCATACAACAAGTGGACATTCTTTTCACTTGAGCTATCGGCGGTGGTGGTTCCCTCCCTCGGGGTCTTTTTTCTTTCTCCAAAGTTTAACGCATTGTGTTATCTGGCGCGTTTGGCGGGTCTGGGCATATTAGAGATTTAGCATAGCGGGGCCTGTATTTTTTCACAGTTGGGTATAATGATGATGAAATTATGACCCTCTCAACCTTTGCTCGGTGCCTACTTGTTGCTTCTCTTCTTCGAGTCCAATCTGGCCGGTTAGTTTTCGTGAATGTGGTGCTGCCAAGTTTTGATAGACGCGGATACGGGTTGCTTCTCGGAGCGAAAACAAGGGAAAGGGGAAAACGAGCGGATCAGCGGGCGTCAGTCGGTCGGCCGGGCGGTCGTCGGATACTCTAAAAAACCCAGATGATCCGCTCTTTCCCCCAGTAAAACATGGTCAAAACTCTATGTATACGAAAAGAAGGGGCTACATGGGTGTTACACTCCGGTCGTATTATTTGATCGGGTTGGTTTACTCGTTACAGAGACTAATGTCCGTGTTATACGAGGTCATGAGGTGCCTTTCCCTGTACATGTTGATTGTTGTAATTTTTTTTCTTCGGGGATCTGCAAAAGATTTGCGGGCATATCCTCGTCCCTTTCCCCTGTCATCCCAAGACTTCCACTCAGAAGTGTCGTGCTTCCAAAAGGTTTCTCACTAATAATAAACTCCAGGTGTATATCCTTGCCCCGTAAACGCTAACCCCAATTGCCCGACTTGTTTGTCGCGGCTTGGTGCAAAGGGATATTATCGTAATGTTGAATGGCGTCGCGAATCCCCCCTTTATTTCCATCTATGTTGGAAGGCCTTGTACGATCGTACGGTGAATAACAGTAGCTAAGGTAATCTTGTGTATTGGTATTCTGGTGTATGATGATTCTACGAATGTGGGGGCTACGAAGGTATACATAGCGTTGGGTCCGAGTTGGGCCGAAGTAGGATCGAGGCGGTACATTGGGCCTTATTAGGCGACACACCGTGTGTATGCCGACAATCTATGATTTTGTCTCTTGTGCCTTGGACATGCGGTCGTGCTCGTCGATGTCACTGCCAGGGTTATTAGCTGACATGTTTTTCTTTACTCTCAACTCCAGAAATACATACGTAGCTTCCCATGGATAGTTAATCCATACATCGCCCACAGTCCTCGCGGCAATATACCGCCCCTTGAGGATTTCCTGGGGTAGTTGGCCCTTCTTCGCCTTGTCCTTGTTATGTAGGACAAAGATTGAAAAGTTGGTCTTCTCGCCCTCACGGCCGAGCTTCTTGACGGCAGCCTCAACATCCTTTTCTAGTTCGCGCACGGCGTATTCAAGTGTTGTGCGCGTGTCATCTACCTCATCGACGATGAGGACGTTCTTGCCAATTAGGTTGGCCATTTCAAGCGACGATAGGTCAAGCCATTGCGTGCGTGTTACTTTTGTGCCGGGGGTTTCGACGTCGGCGTCGGCGCCTGAGCCGAGTTGTTCATAGAGGGAGAGACCGATGGCTTGGATGGGGATGTTGGGTGTATCTGGCTTCTTGAGGAAAGAGCTGGGGAGTGTCAGTGCCTGTGTCTGGATTCAGCTGGCGGTTGATACGTACCGCAGGATGCGCGCGGGGACATAGCCGCCGCCGCCAATGGCGATCATGAGCGTGGGCTTGAACTCATTGAGAATCTGGTCTGCCGCTTCCTGGCAGAGCTTGTGCACCTGTAGAGAGAGTATGTGTCAGTCTCGTCTTATCGGCTGTGGGACGTTTGTGCCATGACCAAGCTGCAGCGATAATAGTCTCGAGATGCATTGCTATGTGCAGCGAAACGTGTAAGAAAAGCCTGTAATGCGCGCGCGGGGTTCTCTGCATCATGGCATGTGTAACATGGTTGTATACATACCTGGTTGTACGTGACGTAGACTTTCTCAACCATTGTCGCGACTATGAGATTATCGTTTTGGAAAAGTTGAATTTGAGAGGATCTAAGAATGTAAAAATTTGATCGAGTGGGATTGTACCAAAAAAAAGTCTGTCGCCGCGGGTAGTGTGGTAAGTGTTTCCAAGGTGACTTGCTTGAGTAGGCAAGGCCTCAGCGGCGTACTCCGAAATTCCATAGTGGGGTGTGCCCCGCGCTGGGCTTTTTGTGGTGAGCCAATCATGCAAGTCAGGCATTCACATGCCCCCCCTACTTGCTCGTGTCACGATTATTAGTTCGTGTGGTAATTGTGTCTCTTTGGCAGCCAGTTCTTCTTTTGAAATTCATAGGCTACATAAACATTAGATTAGGGTACGCCTCCAAGTGCAATAATGCCTATAGCTAGCGCTTATCTATCTGCTCGAAACGTGCCTACATTAATGTCCTCTATGCGACCGACTTAGTCATCTATAAAGCTGACTCTTACTTAAATTACATACATATTAGATGAAATGCTACAGCCACTACTGCTGCTGCGTCAGTTCCGGGACGAGAAGAGTACTTCAAGCTCCCCGATGTCAAAGAACGAGTCACTCTCCTTCGGTCGGCTGCCATTATCGTCATCGTCGAAACACAGTATGAAAAAGCTCTTGTTGTGTGTTCGGATAACATATTCACCGTTCGTCATAATGGCCCTTTCAATAGCAAGGTAGCTAGACCTCTGCTCAGAGACGATCAACGTGTAAGTTTTGGTATCTTTTGTTCCCATGTAAGCGACCATGTCTTGAACCTTTGCGTCCGACGGTCGCGTTTTAAATCCATAACAGGTGTCGTTCAACCAGGCCATTGTGCCCCGTTCATTCTTCAAGGGTTCAGGAGCAGGAAACTCTGACCCCTCCCAAACCCTCAGGTCGTTCGCCTTTTCATCAAATCGCAGCAGGCATGGGGAATCCATTGATTGAGATATCCAATATATGCGCATTGCAAGTAGAGAGCCGTCGTGATTCACTGGAACGAAGCCGTTCGCAGAATTGAACAGCTCCATCTTGTTTAATCCTGGGAAACATGGACGGAATGTGCCAATACACTCCCCACTGTATGTGTAACGGCTGAATGCCAAGTGCTTCCCGCCTTTCGGATCGTCCGAGGAGTGTCCGAAGAGGGAAAATAGTATGATTGTCTCCGCCTCGGGTTGGAGGAGAGGCGGCACAAGTTTCCTGGCGGGCGGGCTAAGTACAAGTTAGCTTTGCGTATAGGCCCATTGTGACAGCTTAGTTTGGTCTATCCAGAAGTTTGAGCAACGTAAGCATCCACGGGAAATACACCTACTCCGAATCCAGCTCAGGGAAGAGGCTATCGGGGCCATGGCTGACCTCAAAAGACCGGCCGCGCTGTGTATTGTATTCCCAAATGAATACGGTTGTACGTTTAGCAAGATGAGCAACACACGCAATGGTGCGACCACGACAAGCAACGCTTGTGAAGTACATCATGTTCGGCACGCTGAACTTCTTGGGCACTTGTCCACCCTGCAATTCGTAAACATAACATATGTTCGAGTATGTCGTCAGTGCGATGATCTGATCTGAGACAAACACACCCGAGAGTTTCTCACGTGCTTCTCCACACAAACTGCGGAGCTGCCATGAGTCCAGGTTAAGCACATGGACGTGACGTTCAAACCGGCCCAAAACAAGATGATTGCCAGCGAGTATGGGTTGGGCAGGCTGCTCATCTAGGATTATCTTGATGACACTCGTCGGCTTACCTGTGCGGAAGGCATGGATTGCTCTCGCTTTTCTCTCGCACAAAGCATGGTCGGCATCTCCGAGGTCGGCCGTGCCTTGGTACCACTGGTCAAGGCCTGTTTTAAGGATGTGCAGACTCCCGAGTTTATGGTTCCAGTGTTTGGAGACGATGCGCAGGCGATAGGGCGCAGCAACATCCAAGTGGGAGAAGACATGGGCCACCAGCTCAAGAGGAAGTCTTCTAATGAAGTCGCAGTGGAAGGTACGACTGGAGATGAGTGCTCTCCACTCGGAGGAGGTTAGCTCCGTGGCTAGAGCATCGAGCGCCTGCCTTCTCTCGTGTCTCTGCAGCCGTCTAAATGCGTCGATGAAGTCTGTGGCCATGTGGGTAAAAGGTACAACAGACGCGACACGCGTGCAGTTGCAGAATTGACGGTAGAAGGGTAGGTAGCTGGCCTGGGGAAGTGCACGCTACGGACAATGGCGAGGGGGGGAAGGTTGGCCGAGCGGAGTAATGACTCGGCCAAGGTTCGTAGTTTGGTGGTTGACGTTGGGAAAGAGCGTCTGTGCGTGTGACACGGTCGTGGTCGACCATTTCAACGGACCGCTCCATGCGACTCTTTCGCTCGACATCCGTGCAGTAGGATGCAAGCCGGTTCCGCGAGCCGAATGATTGGGTTTGAGCATTGCGTGAGGCGATATTGGGAGCAAGTTTGGCGAAGACGCCACCTGAGGATTGGTGCCATTGTCCGCATCGGCAACCTCATGCCCGGGGCTTGGAAACTGCACCAAGTCTGAACGCCTGTTCTAAGAGGCGGGTTGGCAGAAACGTCTTCGCACCTGGGCCGATATTGAAATCAGAACAGCCATATCTGCGGCGGCATTATGCGCTGGTCCCGCAACAGAAACAGTTGATGTTATAGTAGTGATATTCGCGGTGCTATGACAAGTGCAGCCATGTTTCACTTTGCAGGGCCCGTATCCCGCCGACGTCGCGACCATGACAGGGGGACTCGGCGGGCATGCAACCTCTCGATGCCAGTGCCAGGATGACAGTCTTCTGTGACGTGCATGCTCGCGGTCCTACAGCGACAGCAGATGGGCCATGAAATGCTACTTGCGGACCGTCTCGTGACAGCGACAGCGACAGCGACAGCTTGGGAGACCTGACAGGACACTCGTCGTCGTCTACATGGTACGGTCTAGTGAGTAGATATGGATGGCAGGGCTTTGGGACGCACTGCACTGCACTGCACTCTGCGCAGAGGCCTTTTGGATGCTCCCACTCCCGCATCCTGGCCAGCAGCCAGCATCGATCCCCCATAATTCTTCGGCAACGCTACCGTTCCGCGCCCTCGAGCTCCGTGCCTGGGCCTCCTTTCCGTTGCAACACGACGGCGACGGCATACTAGTATCTCGCCGCCGTGTGCCCAGTCCCGCCCATCACCTCGCCTTGGACTTCTCCTCATCCCCGCCAAGCCGTCACCCTCAGCTCTCGTCGCTCAGCCCGGCTCCGCTCACTCTCACCCTCTACATGCACGTGCTTCTGGGCCCCAGGGAAGCGTGTCAACGTCGCCCAAGGAGCTCCGATTCGTAACCTGTGCCCGCCCGTCGTCTCTGGACCGAACATCTGGAGTTTCCACGGGTCGCGCCCACGCTAGAACGACTCGCCCCGTCTACGAAGCTTCCAGGGAACTTGCCCGCCGCAATCGAAGCTTCTACACACGTTCCGGCCACACATATCGCATGCGAGTCGGCTTCTACTCCACCATCGCACGTTTGTCGCAACCCCAAATCGGGTCCCTGCAGACGAGTCTCGGCATTGCATTTTACGAGACACACCTGAACCCGCTCCTCCATTTTCTGGAATTGCTCAGTTTCAATCCCAGAGCGAGCGCCCACGTCCATCTCAAGTTACGACAGAGACCGCCCTGCTCTAGCTGCCCACCACCACTCTCCCCTCCACTCTGACCCCCCTCTACCCTCCCCAAGCCATGGCTTCCGTCGCAGAGGCCCGTCGCAGTCCCTTCTCCGCCGATCCTCACAACCCAAACCTCCACAAGTCGATTCCCATCCTACCCTCGTCCAGCTCCACCCTCGCGCCGCCCCGTGAGCGAGACCGGGGACGCAATGGACATTACGCCCACGTCAGCATCGACCATGGGCCCGCCCACCGATCGCAATGGAGCCAGCGCCTTCCAATCCCACTCCCAGCGGGAAGCCAACGGCGACTCGGGCAACACCTCCCCCAATGGCAACGCCGCGCCTGCCGTGGGTGCTGCCGCCGCCGCACAGCAGCCCAAGGTCGTCCAGACGGCCTTCATACACAAGCTCTACAAGTGGGTATGCCGCATTATAGGCACGCAATGCGACACTAACACGGGCACAGCATGCTCGAGGACCAGAGCATCCAGCACCTCATTTCCTGGGCGAGCACAAACGAGAGCTTTGTCATGTCGCCCTCCAGCGAGTTCTCCAAAGTCCTGTCGTACGTACTCCTGAAGCTATGGCCTTTTTAATCTATCTGACCATCCTAGCTCCTATTTTAAGCACACTAACATCTCCTCATTTGTCCGCCAATTGAACATGTATGGCTTTCACAAAGGTCAGTGCCAACGTACGTTGTCGCGCACACCCATCACATGCTAACGCCCGTGCTCCAGTGAGTGACGTCTTTCACACGGGTTCTCCAGACACCCCGCTATGGGAATTCAAACACGGCAATGGAAACTTCAAGCGCGGCGATCTGGTTGGTCTTCGCGAGATCAAGCGACGTGCCTCCAGACATGCCCTCATCCACCGTGACTCCTTTTCCACCCCCAAACTCCCCACCGGCCCACCAGCAGGCCAGCCGGTTGAACCAATGCCGGACCCCACCGAAGCACGCCTTCAGAATCTCGAGCACAGCCTGTATGACATGCATGCCAAAATGCAGCGGTCAGAAGACACATGTGCCTACCTTAATCAAAAGACCCTGGTTCTGGCCGAGGGCATGATGCGGTGCCATCAAGTAAGTTGAAATGTCTGCCCTCTGGCCCATCCTAGCTAACGTACCGCTTAGTGGAATCAGGAGCTTACAGGTTATATTATGGCCATGGTGCCGGACCCGGAAAATCCAATACACAGGGATGGTGCGTGTCTGCTGAAACCTTATCTGCGCGACACATTCACTGATCTGTTTAGTCGCCATGATGCAACGCGATATTAGTCGACAAACCGAGATGCTCAGAGCACTCGAGGCCCCAGAAGAACCCCTCTCGGCACGACAGCCCTACTTTATGCAGCTCGACAGCAACAACGGCGCTCCCATCTCACCTCGGCAAATGCCGCAGGACAATCTAGCCGAGTCACGCAGAGGGTCGCTGGCCAACATGTCGCGACAAGCGCCATATAAACCTCCAGTCCCGGCACATCTCGCAATTTCTCCGCGACGGTACGGCTCAATAGGCACGGGTAATTACTCTCCGTCTTCAGCCAGAACCCCAGTTTCACACCAGCCACCCCCACCTCCACCACCACCTGTCCAGCAGCAAGGAGCAACTCTGGGAAGCAATCTGCCAAGCAGTTCGTCCCCACCATATAACTTGTACAGGCGACACACATCAGCAGATATACGAACTCATGGCTGGCAGCCACAACCGCCTAGCGGTGCAATGCACTCACCCTATGCTTCTGGCCACAACTCTACACAGTGGCCTTCTTCACCACACCGGACACCTATCGGAGGCGGTGATCAACAGCTCCGTGATGCTTTGGAATCTTACCAACTACCCCGCGGACCTCGGCAGGCGTCGTCGAGACATGGTACTCCGCCTTTGTCCCACGACAATATGCCTTCGACATTGAGTGCAGACAGCGGATGGACGCTGCCGGGCGCTAGATATCCATTCAAGGGTATTGATACGCCTGGCCCACCTACCCGACGCTCGAGCATGGCGTCCAACGTGCATTCACTACTCAACCCTGCCGAGACTGCGGAGCGCACAGACGAAGATGAACCGGATGACGCGCGCAAGCGAAAGCGAATGCAGTAGTTGTGACACCCACTTCCTATTTGCACTACGCCTCTCTCGTTCCGCTACCATGATACTTTGTCGCTCATTGTACTTGTACGTACCGGTCTGGCGTTGATCTTGTGGTCTTCTTCGTTGCATTCCGTTGAAAAACATTTTTTTATCATCTAGCCGTCGCATTCTGGCGAATCTTGGAATATTCATGCATTGTCAATGTTCCTCTATTCTTTATCATTTTACCGGCAAAGGCCCGCAGGCGTAACACGTGCATATACACGCATTGGTGAGGTAACGACACTTGCTTTTTTCCTTTATCTGATCTGTTGACGTGTGGTTGTGTCGGATGTTTAAGAATGTGAATGTCTTGGTTCCGACTTTGGTCGCCCTCTCTACAACGCCTCTTTCTTATTTTCCTTGTCCAATACCAGTGGAATGGCCGTCTGTCATCATCCAATCTTCTGTGCATACATAATATATTTCTTTTTCCTACCATTCTACTACAGTACACACTTGAGCTATTCGTTTTCAAAGCAGTTTTTCCATCGTGCTTCTTTCACTGCGCTATAGTGCCAAGCTCTTCTGTTCATAAAAATCAAACGAGGTTTTTCACAACAAATACGACGTCGTTGGAGTCCTTGGCGAGCTCGTAACCCTTGGTGCATGCTTCTCTGAGCTTTCGTCCCTGTTCCGTCTACGCTAAAGTTACAGCTTCGCCCTTGGCGCCGCATCATCTTCGTCATGCTGCCACCCCGGCATATCCGCCAGATCCTTAGCGGGCGCTCCTCGTCTAGATTTGAGTGCATCACCAGTTCCAGGCCGCCATCTCCATGCATGTGCTAAGTCTTCTGCTAGCGTACCTTCGAGCAGTTCCACAACATGCTTGCCAATGTTTGGAAGTAATTTGAATGTATGTCTGTGGGATACTGTCAGCTTTCTTCTTTCTAATCAAATGAGTTTTAGACAGCCCGAGAAAAGAAAGAGAAAATGCATACCCACTATCACCTGTCGCCAGCACAAAATTCTTCCACTGGGGATGCTCACACATCAACAGCGCCGCATCTGCCGTATCCGTACACCAACACAAATGTCTGTTGGATAACTCCTTCTCCGTAAACTTGGGCAAGAATGTCGCAATCGCTTTCCTGATACTGACTTCTGACGCATTTGGATACGTGTCGGTGGGGTGCTTCGCTGCTGATCGTGGTACAGAGATGCGTTTCGGGGCTGTGGCGCCGTAGGGCGTGTGTTGCTTGAAGCGCGTGTAGCCGGGGAATTCGTCGCACACTTTGATGACATTGTTTTCGTCAGGCTCGAAGAAGAAGCCGATGTCCGAGTTGTAGACCACAGGGCATGAGGCGTATTCACGGGCTTCTTGGGGCGTGAGACGGATGTGAGCGTAGACCCAGGCCTGGGAGTTCGAGATTAGCTGCGTTGTTCTTTTTCTGAGGGGTGACATTTGTTGCTCTGTCGTTTTGTCCTTGGATAGACTGTTGGGCAGAAAGAATGACGGTGTACTGTGCTTGAGAGCTGTCAAGAGCACCACTTTACTCACCTTGCTAACACACTGCTCCTCTAAATCCACCAACACCGGACTCCACGCCCCCGTCGCCAAAACTACTTTATCGGCATAATACCGCGTTCCATCCACCGCTTCTACACCTATACAGATACCTTCTGCCAGGAGCGGTTGCTTGAACGAGCCTTTGTCACCAAAGCCAAACTTCACGCCCCTATCGCGTAGAAATTCGCCGATGGCATTGATGGCTTTTGCGGCAGCGAGCCAGCCACCGTCAGAGCTCCAGATAGCTTTCCAACCGCGAATCTGGTCGCGGGAGAGAAGGGGCGCTTTGGATAGGATTTCGTCTTCGGTGTCGAGCCACGTGGTTGTGTCTTCTAGACCGGCGTTGGCGGAGAGGAGGGATTGGTAGGTATTTTGAAGGGAAGAGAGGGAGGAAGGCGTGTGTGCGCAATCGAGCTGTGAGTGTTTGAGATCAGCGTTGAAGTCTTGCATTCAGAGATCACACGTCATTGCGCTTGGTTTAGGAGGGAGCTTTATGGTTTCCACTTTTCCTTCCTCTTGTGCCTGAAGTCCACCCCCGCTCTTATCACCACTTCAACCAAATCCAACATAAACTTACCCTTCCTGTATTATGGAAGAACGGCTTAAACAACTCGTCTTCTCTCCACATCTGCCTCGCTTCCAAACTAAGTTGCAAATCAATCTTATTCTGCATACGAATGCCCATGATCTTGTTCAGGTCATTTCCTGCAGATTGGACAGACGGAATAGGATATGTGTCGAGCACCGTGATGTTTGAGGGTGTGTAGCCTGAGCGGATGAGGTGTAAGGCTGTCGAGGACCCGATTGTGCCGCCGCCACCCACGACGATGACAGACGTATTAGCTCGCGAGGGAGCCATGGTGATTGTGGGATTACTTTTCACCAGAGATGTAGTAAAAGTGTTGGAGTCTTGTTGAGCGGGTGTGCTGGAGTTGTTATCAGAAGTAGTCCCGTGATATGTGATGTTGGGGCAAGAGCTCCAACCCGCCGGTTAAGTATCCCTCACTCTTACCAGTCTCAGCTTCAAGCGGTCATGCCAAACATGTTTTGATTGTGTAATTGAAGCTTTGCCGTTCGTCTCCAATGTATTGTCGACGGGGAGACGCTCGGACGACAACGCTTCGTGATCCCGACTGTTACAGTATCCAAATGCCGTTAGTCCTGGCGGGGAACGTTAGCGAATCGTCAATCGTCGCGTCTCCGTGATCTTTTCGGTCACAAGTCACTGGACTTGATAGATGCCACTTTTCTTACATCGCCAAATAGCGATGACGCAAAAGCAAAAGACTTCTTCGAGTTTGCACTTTAAAGTACTACTATCTTTGCTGATATCAACAATCCTCCTACCTACTCCATTGGAGATACCGAGCCCACGCATCGTCGCCGCGGAGCAATTCTGACTCGGGCCCATGCATCGCGAACCACACATCCCTGCATCAAAACGACCCCTGGAGTAAGCTGACCATGCCTTGTTGGACTTAGCCAGGGACCTCCACTTTTCCCGACTGTTCGCACTTCCGTTCACGGACTAGTTCCTGTTCTCTTAGCTAGAAAGCCGTTTCCTGGGAATGTCCCACCAAAGCTATCGAACTCCACAATGCCTATCAGCTGCCGTATCTTGATTATGGGAACGACCATGGGTTTACCCCAGCTTGGGGTAATTTAGTCCCGAGATCCACTGATAAGGCCGGTTACGGGCTGGGTTGCGGGCGGGAGGTATGGTGGGAGGAGGGATAGAAGGTTTGTGTATATAAAGGTTGCGTGCAACTCTTCTCAACGCATATCCGATCGACGCTCAAGTTGTACTTGGTACTGGGCTTTTTCTTTCGGTTGGTTCTTGTGTTGGTTTGTGAGATATGTCTCAGTTTGACGCTGCTCCTCCCAACACCCACGCTGGTGGCAACAACGATGCTCTCCGCACCAAGGGTAACGATCCGCTGAATACACCTCTGGAAAATGAGGTCGCTGATGAGAGGATGAACATGGAAGAGTATGCTAGGACGGTGCCGAGATGGAAGAGGATTTGGCAGCACAGTTTGACACAGATGATGCTCCTCAGTGTCCAAGCTTTTTGCGGTCCTGCCATGGCTGATGCAATTGCGGGTGAGCAACCATTTATCAAGACTAAAAGCGGTACACAATGCTAAACTTTCTCCAGGGCTTGGTGGAGGTGGTCTTGCTACGCCTCAAACCTCAAACATTGCCACCGCCATCAACTACACTATGCTCGCAATTTGCTGTGCTCTTGGAGGCCCTATCGTTAACAAACTCGGGACGAAATGGTCATTGGTCATCGGTGCTTGCACTTTCCCTATCCGGGGCTCATCATACTATTGTAACTCCAAGTTTGGAAACCAATGGTACTTGATTTTGGGTGGCTTCATCACAGGTATCGGAACGGGTACGTGGTATGTCGCTGAGTCGGGCACTATCATGTCGCTTGCTCCTTCAAATTCACGTGGAAAATACTTGGCACTTTGGATTGTTGCTCGGAATCTAGGACAGCTGGTGGGTGGTGCTATAAAGTAAGCTTCATATACCACATACACGTTGTAACGAACCACTGACATCGCCGCTTCTCAGTCTTTCCAAGAACCACGAAAAGGGGGTAGTCGGAGGTGTATCGCCGGACACCTATGTCGCGTTTATGATTATCGAGTGCATGGCGTTGCCTTTTGCCTTCCTCATATCGCCTCTCGAAAGAGTGGTGCGCTCGGACGGGACACGCATCCTTGTTTCGGAGAAGATTGGTACCATGCTGGAGATCAAGCAGATCAAGATTACCTTCACGTCGAAACTCATATTGCTTTCTTCATTCTGGGCGATATGGTCCTTCTTCTACAGGTCAGTCAAATCTAATCAATATAGGATTATAACGCACTAACAGATTGAAGCGGAACCTGGTCAACCTACCTCGCCACCTACTTTAGCGTCCGCGCTCGTGCACTCTCGTCTCTCATCTCGCCATTCTTCTGTATCATTGGCTGCTTCGGTCTTGGTTTCATCCTTGACATGAAGAGCTTCAGTCAGCGGCGTCGCGCGCAAATGGGTCTTTGCGTTGTCGTTGTCCTCAATCTTGGGGTGTACATTTGGTCCATCGTTATGCAAGCAAGGTTCAACCACAACAACCCAGGTAAGATTGATTGGGACGACTCGCTGTATGCGCGCTCCTTCTTGCCATACTTCTTCGTCCAGACTACTGGTCCTCTTTCGCAGAGTTACATGTACTGGCTTCTTTCTTCCTTTGCTACTGATGCTCAAGGTAAGCAACTCCACTCGGCAGTCTTTGGGCAGTTCCAAGCTAACCCTGCACAGCAAACGTCCGCAACGGAGCTGCATTCCGCTGTCTCGAAGCCATTGGCCAGGCGATTTCTTACGGTATGAACACGCAGATCAAGACTAGCCCTATGGTTGGCTTCTGTGTCACTTTCGGATTGATGGCGCTAGCATTTGGTCCGATGTTGATCCTGGTCAACTCAACACCCGATCGCATCCCTGCTGATGTTATTGCCGAGGAGATGTATCGCGAGGAGAACAAGATTGGTAATGTCGAGGTCAAAACGAAGGTCTAAGGCTAGGAGGCAGGACTTAGAAATAAATCACTGTTACTTGGCGTACGTGTGAATCGAACGATCGAAACATTGCCTCGGACCTGGATTTAGGTAGTCTCTAACTAAGCCTTGTAAGCGCGGGTGAGGTGTGTGAATAAGTGCTCCTATCGGATCATCGACCCTACGTGGCGAAGCCATGCGCGAATACAATCCCAATAAATCGTTCTCCTGCTTCGCTCCGAGTATTGCCTTTCAATAGATATTCGTCGTTTCAACTCTTCGCAACAGGCGGCTTAAACAGACAAGTCTAGACAAACAACTCGCGCATCACTAGCGCGTGAGCTTGTATGTTGTGCATGCATGGGTTAGCTCAGCACTAGGTTGCATCAAGCAAATGCAGTTCCGCTTGACGTACGCAACATAAAGTCAACCTGTACTTCGTACAAGGATTCGAAGTCCCGGTATACTCCGAATGGGTTGTTTAGGAGCCGTTCTTTTTCATTGCCGATCGGTGAATCAGGATACTCATGGTCTTATGAGCCAGCACAGTGGCACTGTGTGTTTCTCATTTAGGAAAGATGCCATACGGTAGTGGGGAAGGTGGGTTATCTCCGACTCGTGCTGATGGATGATGCCGCCGGATTTAAACGGTTTAGACGGATATGCGTGTAGCCGAGATTAAGGCGAGGGTAAGACGAGGTGTTGATATGCGAGACACTCGTATCATATATAATATGATCATTGTTTTCGGCCGATATTGATACCCAGTTGCTCACCAACGCAATACTGTAGCTATTTCCACAGTAGCCTTCTGAAGTCCATTCTTCTTACTCTTACAATCTCAAGATGGGTTCCTTGGCAGAGGGCGAGCTCAAACAACCGCAAGGCCAATTGCTGGTGCATGCTATCGACGAGAAAGCGCAATGGATCCCGGATCATATGTACATGCGGTACGCCCTCAAAGACTGGGAGCAGGCTGGCTATCAAGTGATTACTTGGAGGCAGTATGCAAATGCTATCAACAAGGTTGCATATTGGTTTGACGAAAAGTTTGGCAAGGCGAGTACGTGCGACACAGTCGCGTACTTTGGACCAAACGACCCGCGATATGCAATTCTGATACCAGCTATCATAAAAAATGGACGCAAGGTTAGTTTGGATACATTGTCTTTTGTGAGAGACGCTAATAATTCTCGCAGTTACTGGTTCCAGACGGCCGTATAACGGAAGAAGGTTTGGACGGCTTAGTTGAATCGACGAACTGTAGAGTGTGGCTCTATGCAGAAGACGATGCCGGAGGATCTCTAGTGAAATCAAAACCGGGTCTAGATATACATGCGCTGCCAACGCTGCACTGGATGCTCGATAACGAAGGGCAGAAGCGATATCCGTATGAAAAGACATACGAAGAAGCCGAGTGGGACGAGATTATCATTATACATACATCTGGAACGACCGGTAAGCACATTCCTGGAAATGAAAAGAGGAAAAGTCGCTTATCTCTTCTAGGTGTACCCAGGCCAATCTATCACACCAATGGTATGTGGGCTGCATACAAGAACGTGCCCGTTCTTAACAAAAGACACTGGCCTCGAGGTCTTGCATATGAGTCTTGGTTCGGGAAGACGAACCTCAATCCGTGCCCTCCGCAATGGCTAGCTGGTCTGCATGCGATGATAGTCAGCCCGGTCTTTCTAGACAGCCCCTGTATCATGTTGCCACAGGGTGAGGTCAGTTTAACACCCAGAACATTCAAGAAGATCCTCCAGATGAACCAAATCGACGGTATGAGGTGTCCTCCATACACAATCACCACGCTGTATGACGATCCAGCTTCTAAAAAGTTACTAAGATCCTTGGAATTCGTCGTATACCTTGGCGCTCCGTTGAATCAAGCCATTGGTGATGACCTCTGTCAGTATACGCGACTGAGCCCTGCGATTGGTTCAACCGAGACTGGAGATCAATTGAGTTTGCGACCAGCGAATAGAAAGTTGTGGTATACCCATGACTTCGTCCCGGAGAACGGTCACAAGATGGTTCCCCTTGACATCCCGGGCGAGGACCTCCACGAACTCGTCCTCGAAGCTCCTAAAGACGGGCGCATGAATCCATTTCAGTTGGCGTTCTGGAATACTGCACACAGACACTTGGATCGCATTGAAACGAAGGAGCTCTACAGGCCTGTGACAGACTCGGACGCTCGGACGCGATGGGAATTTTCCGCACGCAAAGACGACCTGACAAAGCTAAATTGGCTAGCGAAGTTCAACGCACAAGATATTGAGAAAAGAATCCTGCTACATTCGGACGTAGAGCAGGTGCTCGTTGGTGGCGAGGGTCGACCCACACCATATATCATCATGCAAGCGAAGGTAGGTGTGTTGGACAGAAAGAGTGAGGCGCAACTGCTCGAAGAGCTGTACGAGCATATAGTTACCGGAACCAACAAGGCCGATATCGATGAAATTAGGATTCCGAAGGAAACCTTGTTGCTTGCGAAGAAGGAGAAGCCTTTTCAAGTCAATTTGAAGCAGGTGGTGCAGAGGAGGGCAGTCGAACAGGACTATCTGGGAGAAATCGAGCAGGCATACATGCGCTTGGAGAATGAGAGAAAGAGTAGTCTCGTATAGATGAGAGGAGCGTTATGAAAGCACATACTATCTTCTTACTTGTTGTGGGGTTATTCGTCGCCTCCAAGACTTTCTTAGCACTCAATGAGTATGTTGCTATAATCATCGTGTTCTCGCTTGCTGGTTATGAGCACGTGGGTGACATGAGATAATTGACACAGCTAGTGCTTTTCAGGACACCTCTTCTATGAATGGCAGGACTACCAGACTCATCACAAAGTGCACGACGAATCGGGTTGAGCTAGTCCTAATAAATATCCATACGCACTATAAAGTCCTGTCTCACGCATCTTGCTGTCTTTGCTTCTTCCACTCTCGTTCTACGCACCGCATAAGTCTTTCTCAAATATCAGATCCAGTCGGTTCATGTCCTATACTAGTGACGAAATACTTTTGAACCGTTCAGTCCCCGCCTGGAATATCCAGTCGTGGGTTTTCGCTGCATCTACCAAGCATAAACATATCTAAAATCTACTCCTGTACACACACACACACATATATATATATGCTAGTCTCTGTTTACGAACATTTGCAGATGAAATCATGTGTGGTCGACCGTAGATCTGTAAAAAGACACAAGTTATGAGAACCCCGTTTTTGAAATATTCTGAGGCACATAAGCACACATAGCACTTAGTAAACGCTTTTGACAACACCTAGGGAGGCTTCAAACATGCATTTACTCAGTACAATTTTTATCATCACAGGGGAAATTCTCTCCCACTACCCAACATTTCATTGAGACTTTTGAGAAGTTAACGTTTTAAGATTCGATAGTAAAGAGAAGGGAAGGGAAGTGAAGGAGAATAATGGCGTTCATGAACACGCTTCAGAACTTCTCAGGAACACGTAACTTTTTAGTCTGGAGTTTTCAGTCGCACCATGAGGTTTGTGCTACTATACTTCATATACCGGCTCTTGAAAGACAAAAGCCGTAACATGATCCATGGGCGAGCGGCGCACACGGGCGAGCGGCGCACCCCACCAACTTTACTCACCTTACTGATCTTAATCTACAATGGCTCAACGCAGCGCTACTCAATTACTATCAAATGAAGCAGATATTCAGCTTGCTATCTCATCTATTAATGCGCACCAGATCCAAGGTACCCGTACTGCTGCAGTAGTCTACAACGTAGCCGAAACAACGCTCCGCCGCCGACGCGCTGGTATACCTGCCCGACGCGATTGCCCGCCCAACTCAAGGAAGCTTACCCAGAGAGAAGAGGAGGTGATTATTAGCTATATACTTCAGCTAGATCTGCGTGGATTTGCGCCTACCTACACAGCTGTACGTGATATGGCTGATAAGCTGCTGGCTGCGCGTGGTGGAGAGCAGGTTGGAGTCAACTGGCCATCTACCTTTGTTAAGCGTACAGACAGTCTTCGGACGTGTTTCAACCAAGCGTACGATAGGCAGAGAGCTCTTTGTGAGGATGCAACATTAATAAAGAGGTGGTTTAAGCTTGTAGAAGAGACAAAGGCTGAGCTAGGTATCTGCGATGAGGACGTCTACAACTTTGATGAAGCTGGCTTTATGATGGGCAAGATTACAACGCAGCTAGTTATAACAGGAGCAGAGAGGAGAGGCAGGCCGAAGAGTATTCAGCCAGGCAATCGCGAGTGGGTAACGCTGATCGCTGCTATCAGCGCTGCTGGCTGGTCAGTCCCACCGTTCCTCATCTTCGCTGGCCAGTACCACCTATCAGCCTGGTATAAGGAAGCTGAGATCCCACGCGACTGGGCGATCGCAGTCAGCGATAATGGCTGGACGAATAATGAGCTTGGAGTTGAGTGGCTAAAGCACTTCAACGCTCACACGCAGGCTCGTAGTGTAGGCGCGCGTCGCCTGCTTATTATTGATGGCCATAAGAGCCACCAATCTCTAGAGTTCCAGGAGCTCTGCAAGGAGAACAATATCCATACGCTCTGTATGCCTCCTCACTCATCTCACCTACTCCAGCCACTTGATGTTGGCTGCTTCTCGCCATTGAAGCGCGCGTACAGCCGTGAGGTGGAGAGCCTTATGCGCAACCACATCAACCACATCACCAAGCTAGAGTTTCTGCCAGCGTTCAAGGCAGCATTTGATCAAGCGTTCACGCCAGCCAATATCTGCTCAGCCTTCCGCGGCGCAGGCCTTGTTCCTCTACAACCAGAGGCTGTTCTATCAAAGGTAGATGTACAACTGCGTACACCTACTCCTCCAGCAGCTCTGCCAGAGGCTCCCTGGGTAGCTCAAACGCCGAGCAACGCGCGTGAGCTTGAGGCTCAGTCAAGCCTAATACGTGAGCGCGTGCGCCAGCACAAGAGCTCATCACCAGCTTCAATTATTATGGCGATTGACCAGCTAAAGAAGGGCGCCGAGGTGATGATGCTCTCTGCTGAGCTGATGCGCGATCGGATCTCTAGTCTTGAGAAGGCCAATAGCGCAGCCTCAGAGCGTAGGCGGCGCTCTAAAAGGCGTATACAGAAGCATGGAGTACTCACAAAGGGAGCTGGAGAGGATATACTGGCTCAAAATGAGGCTGACCAGCAGATTGCTCATGAAGAGCGTCAAGGAGGAGCGCGATCAGGCCTCAGCCAGCGGGCTCAAAGGCGCTGCACTAGGTGCAAGGAGACTGGGCACAACTCGCGCACATGCAAGACTGATACTATTAATATAGAGTAATCTACTGTATCAATATCTAGCAATAATATTATCGCGTTGTTGAGATGCATCGCTTTAAAGTTGCAAAAGTTGGTGGGGTGCGCCGCTCGCCCGTGTGCGCCGCTCGCCCATGGATCATGTTAGTTGATTTTTAGAGAGCTGAAATACAGCGTCACGTAGAGTTGAGAATCTTCATTTCTTCTCCTCCGCAGCAAGACAACTTGTATTAGAGCACACAAAAACTTTCTTTTAAGATCTAACATGTGAGTTCTCCATTTTCCTTTTTTTTTGTGATGACTTTTTGTAGCACTGGTACTCATTAAACAATTGACGAGCAGTTTCTGTTGGATCGCAACACCCATTTATCTGGTTTATTTGCAAAATATATAGGCAGAACCGTCATTCAGGCGAGGAGGTGAAATTCTGGGAGGAAAGAAGTGGAAAAAAATCTCAAGAGAGATATTTCATATGTTTTTTTTAGGTTAGGGGAAAGACATGCGTAGTGGGTATGCGAACTTTAAGATTGGGGAAAATGAGTAGTTTTAATTTTCTTCCATTGCCATCATATTTTGGGAAAAGGGAGGCAACGGCCGAGATATGTTTTGCGGAGATCGGGGTTTCGTTTTTAAAAGCAATAGCTGGTAGATGAAGAAACTGCAGAGGGGCATATATAGGGAGATTATATATATCTACGAAAGGGCTAAGACGTATGTGTCAGGACATATTTACATATTGAACAGATTTTCGACCATAACCATCATCTACAACTTGCCCTGGCTTTTAGCCATTTCATCTTGCAACACCATCCCAACCGGGCCACCCCGACTTCCATCACCGGCCCACTGCTCTTCCGGGATTCGCTCAGCCGGCCACTCCCAACGGCCCTTGAAGTCTTCCGGTGTCCGCCCTTGTATACACTCCACGATACTGTCACCAATGACTGGCAGGAACTTGAAACCATGTCCTGAGCCACCCGTCGCTACAAACAATCCCTTGTACTTGGGGTGGTACGAGATCAAAAAGTCACCGTCTCTTGTATCAGTGTACCAACAGATCTTAGACTTGGTAAATGGCCGCGAGGGTGTAGCAAGTGAGGGATGAATAGCAGCCAGAAAATTGCGGCATTGTCGCTGTCCTTCAATCGGTGCTGCTTGCGATGGATCATCGAAAGAGGTATAGGGCAGAGAGACTGTAATCGTCTCGTTCGGGTCTTCTGATTCTGGGTGTGGAATTGTAGTTGGATTGATGTAGCCATGGCCGTGTCGCGCTACTTTGAGCAATCCCTTGTGAGGAGGAATCATGAAGAGACCATGGGAGAGATTTAGGATAGTCGGCTGCTTAGACATTTTGGCTTCCTCCTCTTCAGAGATTGGCATGTAACACAGTGTTTGGCCAGTTGCCTTGCAGATTCCACGCAGATCAATGAGAGACGCTGTCCATGCTCCTGCTGCCAGCATGGTAAGGTCTGCCTTCAATTCACTCGAGTCGCTGAGCCGAACGCCGGAAACGGTGTTGGTTTTATGGTCGATCAGAAGTTTTTGTACGGGCTTCGTTACAAAATTGACTCTTTTCAGCTTTTCCACCTTTTCGCGCAGCCACATCATGGCACCTTCAGCGTTGGCCCAGCCTGAACTCCAGTTGACGTATCCTGTGCTGCCATTGCCCCAAGGATCCTTGCCTTCCAAGCCGCATGCTTTCTGGATATCCTCTGCTGAATTGAGCACCTCGACCTTATCTGTTCCTATGGCGCGGACGTTTGCGAGAGATTCGGAAACGTATTTTTGCTCGGGACCCCAGGCGGTCACACATAGTCCAACCTCATGGTAGTGTTCGGTCGCGAAATCGGTTCGCCAGTGGTTCTGGGCGATAGTAGCGAGGCGGGTGTAGCGTGCGGCTGCATAGTCTGGACGGATGATTCGTGAGGTATCAATCTATAAGTCGTAGTTTGAGCTTGTGGTCACTGTTTGAAGCATATTACAGGATGACTGATGAATGTGAAGCGCAACCTAGTACATTGAACTACACTACTTACGCTGGAGCCATCTGGAGTAGGAAACGGATGACGGTCTACAACAGTGATTGAAGTGTGATTGAACAGGGGGTTTCGACATAGAGAATATGCAGTAGAAAGCCCAAAAGCACCGCTTCCGACAATCAAGATGGACGAGGGTATCTGGGAAGATGCAGAAGACGCCATTATGGAAGATGCAGTAGGGATACAAAAGCAAACAATCAACAGAAAAAGGGAAGCGACGTGAAAAAGTCTGTCTAAAGCTATCAAAGTGCCGAGCAGCACTGGTGGGCCGTTTTGTCGTCTGAAGGCCGCGCATCGGCTGGGCGCGGTGCAAAAGCCAGTGGCTTGCAGGGCGCTTGGACCTTGACGGTACCAGGCGATCGGGTCGTGCATCAAAAGTTTTGAGGCTTCATTCCAGCGTTGTGACAACTTTGCCAATTGATCGTCCACACCATTCACTGCTCATATCGTCCACACCTCATTAGTTTGCCATGGCGAAGCTTCCCAAGCCCCCAAAGGTGTTCCCGGTGAAAGCTGCAATACCATCGAGGCCCGCCACCCCATTCCGCAGACGGATACCGCAAACGCAGCCCGATGCTGATGAATCATTACGAAGCGCCAGCGATCCAACACCAGCACAGATTGGGCAGAGAATATGGAGGGAGCGTCCAAGACTATCGGACCTACAGCGCTTGTCGGATGAGGAATTGAGGTCGGCACAGCACCAGGCAAAACTGCGGAGATGGAGGCAATGGCCCATGTTCGGTATCGGGCTGGTCGCATTCGGCATGGGCACATATGGAGCTATGCTTTGGGTATCGCTAACACAAGATGTGGACCTGCAAGATCTGCCCGAGGACCTCTCCGACCGGTTCGACAAGGAGGCTGACGGCTACGACGAGAAGGTGGACACATCGGAGATGCTGCTCCTCCTTACCTCGAAGCGGAAGAAGCTCACTGCCATGGCCAAGGGACATGTGTTGGAGGTTGCTGTGGGTACGGGCAGGAACATGCCATACTACAATACCAAGCAATGCGACACTGTCACATTGCTCGACTCTAGCGGGCCCATGCTAGCGGTTGCAAAGCGGAAATGGAACGACACGCACAAGGAATACTTTAGTCGCGTCTTCTTCAAGCAACAATCCGCCCTAGATCCGATAACCCCGCCTTACGGTGCCAAAGATGGATACGACACAGTGATACAGACCATGGGACTCTGCTCCACGCCAGAACCTGTCAGGTTGCTGCAGAATCTAGAGGCATGCACAAACGAGAAGGGACAGATACTGCTGCTGGAGCACGGCAAGTCGCATTACGAGTGGCTCAACGGTATATTGGACAAGACTGCGCCAGCGCATGCCGATGAGCACGGTTGCTGGTGGAACAAAGACATCGGCAAGATCGTGGAAGAGAGCGGGCTAGAGGTGGTGGATATGAAGCGCTATAACTTTGGCACGACGTGGTGGTTTCAATTGAAGCCGAGGAGGGGCATACGACAAGCGCTGGGCGAGAGTATGGCGAGTGAGCAGCCGCCCGCGGCGCAGGGCGCGTCGCCGGTCGCACAGAAGTCATGGTGGTCACTGTGGAGATGAGCCGTCGACCGTGTCACTTCTCCACATCCCACCACGATTGCGATTGTGGGGGGGGGGGGGGGGGCATGGCGCGCTATTACAGTCCGTGCCAAACTTGCTTCACCTAGCATGGCTGGACCATACCGATAACCTTTGTTTTGTTGAAAGCGACGTCAAGTTTACGCGTCGAATGGGCGAGAGGAGCGGGGGAAAACGACCCGATTACCGGTATTTCCCAGATGGTGGCCATGAACCAAGCAGGTGAAGCGAGATCTGCAGTCGGGATCATGGGCAAAACAGACAGGCACGTCACACGTCTCCGGGTCCCAACGTCGCCCGCACAAACTTTCGAGTCTTATCTTTGCGTCAGCCGTGTTGTTGCATGTGCGCTTCATGTTGACATTGATGGTCGAGCGTTGAGCTGACAACCAAACCCCACATGCTATCCACTCGTGTTATGGTTATGCATTGTTATCTGATTCGACTGCATTGTCGGTGGGAACAAGCAAACAGACAATGCATCTTCACCGTCTTTCGCGACATGCCAACTTCCTCATGCAGTGCGCACTTCGTCTGGGGAACATGGGTAGCGCATCCGTAAAGACTGTTTGCCCACAGGTCAAGTGCGGCGCCAGACCTTCCAGATCCCCACAAAAGGTGACGCTGTGCTGCGCATGCAGACCGGACCGGGTGGCATGCAGTTTACCCTTTTGGGGTAAGACATATGCAACAATCCCTGTTCGAATATCGGAAGTGATGGCAACTCGCGTGCGCAATGCTTGGGGGGGGGCACTGGGGGCGCTGGGGACAAGTGCAAGGTCGTGATCCGGACTTGCGGAGTGAAGTCTGAAACAAAGTTCCAGAGCTTGTTGCTCTGAGCACCCACACACCATGGCAAGTGTGCGTGTACGACACATTAAGATGCTTCCATTCACCCAGCGGCATCTCGGACGCCTCGGCTCGCGGTTTGGCCCACGACGTCGTTGCCGAGGACTGGCCGCATGTGAGTGGGAAAACTTCAGTCGTTGAAAAATTCTCGAAAAGTATGCTCACCGCCCTGGGTCATCCCGGCTCCGGCGTCGAGGCTAAATCCACTTTAAACTCCTAGGCGAAACCTTAGGACAGGCATGTGTGGCTCTGGGCACGATGATATGCACGCGGCATCAGATCATGGAAGGTATCCAGCCACTCGCAGCACAGCCGTTTTGATTGCTGGGGGCAAGCCTGGCAAGGCAAGGTGCTGAGGCGGTCAGCTTGCGGGACAACTGTGTCGACCCGCCGAGGTGCAGATGGGAAGGATGTGGATGCGAGGGGCCCAAATGGAGCATGAGGTCACTTTGGCGGAAAATCCGTCTCAGGGCACAATGCGTGCGCGTATCCATAATGTTGGCGGAGGTTTATCGGCTGCCCATTATCCCTACCAGTCTCCACTAGCATGTACCACTTTTGTTGCCCTCGGCGCGACATGTATAGAGATGCAAGTGCAAGTGCAAGTGCAAGTGCGGTGTTCTCTGTTTCGGGCCCAGCTGAGACCATCTGCTGCCTGAAGCTTGACACAGGGAGAAGTGTCAGTCACGGGTCCAGCACCCCGCTGGATTGGACAAAATAGCGAAGCCTGCACCTGTGAGAGACGTTGGAGCAGGCTGCCGGCAATGCACATGGCGACAGAGGCCCTTCCGGCGACTACTTGCTTTTAGACGACTCTACCGTGTGATACATGCAGGCAGCCACGGCACCTTGATAGGAGCGTAACGCTCTAGCCCCTGACCAACAAAGCAAAAACGGGCTCTAAAAGTAGCATGCTGTCATAGCCATTGGAACCATCCCTGAGTACATTCACCCTACTACTGTGCACGGACTTTTTACCGGAGCCTAGTCGCTCCTTCTTCACCCAGTGCTCCACTACGCGCTCTGGGTCTTTCCTTCGTTGCATCCCCTCCCTTCACCACCCCTCGATCTCCATCAGGGACCATTACCACTGCCCTGGCCCATTTGCCCATTGCTGTCCAGTTCACCCCAATTCACTCCAATTCACTCCAATTCACTCTTGTTTCCCACGTTTGTCTGATTTCTGTCTTGTTGTTGTTGTTGTTGTTGCTGCCAGCGCCACTTGATTGTGTTGCGAATTCCGGAGGCAACAGACGTCGCCATTGCCTAGTTACGTATTCACTCCCCTCAGGAGGCGAGCCGCATAGCTTGCGACAGGACGGGTGCCACTCAGCGTCCCTCCACCACCACCAAGCATCCATCACACAATAAATCTGTCCTTGGACGCCATACCTGCAGTGCAGACAGAAGCGTTGCGAGTTGCTTGCTACCTTGCATACTCGCCCGCAGCCGTCGTATAGGCTGCATCACATTCCTACCCGACCAATCGACAACCCTGGCATTGTCGCAGTAACAAAACATTCTGTTGGCTGCACACCCTCCAGACGCAATAATTCTTCTCTCCCTGGAAAGACATTCTCCTTCCTTCCTCACGCCTTGTACAACAATTGCGATTGTGTTGCCGCGACAAGATGCCTTACAACACCCGCCGGAAGTCGCTGTCGCTGCCGTCGCTAGGCATACAGCTACCAGGAGGACCGCGATCCGCCCGTTCACCGCCTTCCACAAGCGACGGTCAACAACACGTCGCGAAGAAGCAGAAACGCTCACATTCCGGCTCACTATCTTCGGCACTCCCATCCCCATCACGACCAGTATCATTGCGCTTTGATGAGCACCGACCCAGAAGCTCGGGCAGGGTCGCAGACACCCCGCCACCTTCGCCAGGCACCGAGTCTGGGTCAACAAAGGTCGACACCCAAGGTATCGACGACGAAATCGTCGTGGGTGTCATCGAGCAACTCCAGAAGACCGGCAACCGACCCCACTTATTGAAGGAGCTCGCCCTTGTGCTGTCGCCTATCATCCCCATCGTTGAGAGGTACGTACCAAATTTCAAGCTGCAACGCTTGGTCCGTGTTACACACGCTGACGTGCCTACAGTTCCGCAAATCCAGCTGCCATCATCTCATCTCGCCTGGCTACTTATCTCAAGCGCAATTGGACAGCCTTGTCAAGATGTCCTCTCGACAAGAAACTTGTTGGCACCCACCCAAAGCGTGTTTACTACTTCCTTTCCACCTGCCCGCACCAGCCCATTCCTGCCGATGGTGGTAGCGCTCTTGTTACGCCCCGTATTGTAACACCATCGCTTTCGTCTGCGACTTCAGAAGAAGAAGACATGGATGCACGATCACGAGATCGCATGTCGCCGTCGCCAGAGTTGGACTTGTCCGACTATGACAGCCACGCTAGCGACCCCTTCTCGAACCAGAGCCATCCACCTACGACGGCCAACATCTCGCACAACCGCCGGGCTCAGTCACCGCCATTAGAAAAGGACGAACGCGAATTTACCCAGACCGCTTCGTTCCTTCAACAACGCCGAATGAGCCAAGAAGCCGAGCGCCAACGATCTGCTAGTGCATCTGCCGAGCCGCCTACACAGAGCAATGATGCCAAGATGGAGGAGATCGCTGTCTCTGTCGAGGAGACAGTAGAGAGTGCTGCACGCAAAGATTCCGAAGCAGCTGCAGCGCTATTCGGCCAAATGGACCAGCTTATGAACTTCCATGCTGCCCTCTCACCCAACAGCCCCGCGCTGAAGCCCATTCTCGCTCTCGAGATGCCTCCACCGTCGCTGAAGCGCAAAGAGATGAAACTCGAGCTCGACGACGACTGGATCATGAAGAGCCCGGAGCTCATTGACCTTGACGAGCTTGACGACCTATTTGGTGGCTATTAGTCGGATAGCCAGATGTGCACTCTCCATCTCATTACACGACATTTACGATTCTCTTGGGACATGTTTCTCGTTTATTTTCCTCTATCTATTGTATTCTCTGCTCTTTGTCCTTTCTCGGCGTATGTCCTAGATGGATTCAGTTTGCCGCTCGCACTGGGTGATTCACTCTAGGGATGTTGGTATGTCGCATGGAGTTCTTGAGATGTGGGCGTCTAGGAAGGAATTCTGTACGATACGTGTAGAGAGTGCTTGTGCGATGGGCGGCCAAGGGATCTGGCTGGGCATTGGATGTTTTTCTGGCGCATGGGTGCGTGGATCCTTGAATCCGGGGATCCGGGACAGGTGTTGGCGAACATCTTGCGGATAGTTGCGGCGGTGCGAAAGCGGCCGAGAAAGCAGTGAACGGTATCAAAGGAAGTTGACTACTAGATAAAAGTCGTTCAAATTGAAAAACAGTTGATACTCTCGATATAACTCAGCTCCCGGCTCTATTCACAACTGTCTTCATGCACAACTGTCGGCGATGATGTCGAATGTCGCAGACTTGTGGTGGTGGGCCGGGCAGTCCCTCCCATCCACGTACCGCTTGCTCACCGCCCGCTGTCCGTACCCAACACTACACCTGGCATTGCCCTAATGCATAACAGAGTGTTAAATTGGGCCCTCACCGGCAGGGCCACATGCGCCCAATGCGGGCTCGATGTTCGATCTGAGCCAGGCCCTTCTAGTCTCAGAGAGGAAGTGAAGTCTTGCTTGGCGTAGCCTGTTGCAGAAGTTGCGGTCGAGCGTGATGTGTTGTAGAACAGCCTCACTCTGGGCCGTGTGCACACACAGAAGCATGTTCGAGACGCAAAATTGTGCAAACCACTTCTCACATCTCTGACAGGCTTGGTTTAGTATACAATCTCCGAGAGCAACCGCATGTTCGCAGAGAGGAGGCTGGGTAAGCGAGTCCAATGACTTGGGCACCCCCAGCCTACAGCAGAGCTTTGAAGCCGAAGCCCAACCACACGACGTAAGAGTGCGCTGTGCGCTGCGCGACACGTCCGCGCCATCTCCTTTCGCATATCGACTGCCCAGTTCCCCCATTCCACCCAACTTTGTGCCCTGCGTCAAAGTGCTTGCTGCAGTGTCCCCGAGGCTGATGAAGTTCCCGACTTGCCTCGCTTACTCCCGCTGAACGAGTTTGAAGCGTTCGGACGAAAGAGCTGGGAGTGTGAAAAACGGAGGTTGGGGGGTTCGTGACACTGGCGTTCGGTCTGTTCATCGAGATTCAACCGGGTTTGGGACGAAGCGCATACATCCGGACACCACTTTACGTGGTATACAGGAAGAGTCAGATTGCCAACAACCACGCCAAGGCTGCGATCCCACCGACAACGCAGCGCCAGCCAGCAGCCTGATAGTCGACAGTTGGACAGACAACTACCCAGCTAGCCGCATTGCCCGTCAACAAGCACCGCCGCCGCCGCAAAAGACTCTCTCACATTGACCTAACACTTTTTGACTCTCCTCGGACTTGGCCTGCCTCCACCACTCGCCAGCCGCTACCTTTTTCAAAGGCACACCAAGAAAGGACCTGAAAACTCAAAAAGCAAATGTCAGTAGCAATGTCTCGAGCACGAAGCAGAAGTCGCGCGCCCAGTATCCGGGCGCCTTTGAGTCCGGCACCCATCGTTGTCGATGTTCCGCGAGGCGGCGCTAAGTCCCCGCTTATCGTCGATGTCGACGTACCACGGCCAAGATCGAGAAGCAGGAGCGTTGGCAGAAATGGACCCTTGGTCGATGCGCCTGGGCTCAGTGGAGGAAGAGGGATGTTTAAGAGGCTGATTGTCGCGTGTGACGGGACCTGGCTAAACTCGGACGACGGAACAAAGAACGGCACTCTGTCCATCCCAAGCAACATCACGCGCATTTCAAGAGCTATTAAAGCAGTTAGTCAAGATGGCATCCAGCAGATTGTGAACTACCACCAAGGCCTCGGAACCGAAGGAGGCAAGATTTCTCGCTTGGTTGGTGGTGCTACGGGCAAGGGCCTTGCCGAAGATGTTCGCGAAGCTTACTCGTTCCTTGCAAACAACTACCACCCAGGAGATGAAATCTTCCTGCTTGGATTTTCGAGAGGCGCATTCACAGCCCGCAGTATCGGTGGTTTGATTGGCGAGATTGGACTTCTTACAAAGAAAGGCTTGAACACCTTGCCAGAAGTTTACGAAGACGTCCAGAACCGACGAAACCCAGACTACCGGCCGAAGCACGAAGATATACCGTTCCCACGGAAGCCAAGCGCAGATGACCCAAGATACGCCGAAGAATTAGAACGTAGAGGATTGACTAGACTGGATATTCCGATCAAATGCATAGCTGTGTGGGATACAGTCGGTAGTCTCGGAATACCGCGAATCGGCATACTTCAGCGTGCAGGTCTACAGATGAAGCAATCAAGAGCGACATCTTTTTACGACACCAAGCTCTCCAACTGCATCGAAAACGCGTTCCAGGCGCTTGCCCTGGATGAGAACCGATCTTCGTTTTCGCCTGCCGTATGGGAAAAGCCCGAGGGTAACCGTACCACGCTTCGCCAGGTCTGGTTCCCAGGTGCGCATGCGAACGTCGGTGGTGGATATGACGATATGCAAATTGCGAATATCAGTCTCGCGTGGATGATGAGCCAACTGGAGCCGTTTCTGGATATGCGTGGCGAGTATCTTTTCGAGCAGGACGATCTGAATGAGAAATACTACAAAAAGGAGGAGGGTGCAATCCGACCGTGGAGTTTTGGCAAGATCTACAGCGAGCTGAAGGGCGCGTTTGCTTTGGGCGGAAGTACTGTAAGTAGTTCCTACTCACTCCATCTGACTATCAGCGGACTCGTGCTAATAGACGGCAGCAACGCAAACCTGGTCAATACACGTCAGTCGACCCCTTCACAGGCCGCGCAACAGATCGGCCTCTGCGCCAGACAAATGAGTACATTCATCCCTCAGTACGCACGCGTTTCCGTCTCGAAGGCCCCGGTATTCAAGACCGTGGTCTATACGAGGCGCGCGCTTTGACAGACAGTTACAAACTCGTCGTCGATTATGGAACCAACAATCAACGTGCCGGTGACGCGGAAGTCTACTGGAAGATCAAGTGGAGAGACACTCATGCCGTCAAAGTTCTCCCCGAGGCGCCTTTGTGGAGATTAGAGAGAGAGCTTGCGCGTCGCGACCCAGCAACATATGATTATGTCAAACGGCCGCCTGCGACGAGTTCCACAAAGACGAAGCGACGCAACGGACGGCCCATGTCTGCTGATATGTCAACGAGCAAGGTCACCAGCCCCACAGCAAGAAAGACGCGCAGGGACACGTTTTCGCCTCGATCAACGTTTCCCATTGACGATAGAGCACCACCGCCCAAGAGGAGCAATACCAAAGTAGAGAGGGCAAGGAGTCGTAGCAGGGCGCGGAGTGTGGAATTTGCTAGCGACCGGGAAACGGATATCAGAGAAAGCATGCCACACAGGCGCGAGAAAGACAAGGCGTGGTGGGAAGGACGAAGGTAATGTTCGACACGAAAAAAAGAGTTGATGGCGAAATTTTCTTTTTACTTGTGTAGATCAGCTAGATATGCGCGGATACCCTTTGGTTGTAATAGTCGATGCCTGAGTATGGACATGAGCATCGTTATGAATTTATTCTTGTATACTTTTTGCGCATAAATCATGACATTTGTTGGGTAGGATCTGCGTTGAGTAAGTTTTCTAGAAGCTGGGTAGAGGCAGTCTAGATCTGCTGTACGCGGCAGATCTCATCTTAACAGACCCTGGCGGACGAAGCTGCAGTAGCTGGAAGGGATCCCCGTCCACTTGTTCAACAAGAGTTTCACAGTCTCAGTAAGCAGGGACAGAAGCAGGTGACATATGATGAGAATATGCAGGATATACTTTGTTGTGCTAGGGGCTGGGGTGGTGTGATGGCGGGGCTGATAGCGATTTCAGTGGCAATACGATGGTGGTGACGCGATCGCCATCCGTGGGGACTTGGTTCTCGTGTCCGTCGGGCTCTCAGTGCGGCACAGTGCGGCACGAAGGGGGAAACGGGATGGGCATCGATGTCAACAGCTTTACAACGCTCGCACTCTGTAAGCGCATGACGACGGCGTCTCCGCGAGCGTACGTAAGGCGTCTGCGCGTGGCAAAGTGCGATCGCGCAGTTTACGCATGAGGACGGAGTCGGACAATAATATTGTTGCGGAGCTAGACTGTTATATTTAGTGATGCATTGCCCTAGCGCAAGGCCGGCCCCTGGTCTATTGCGCTGCTGCCACGACGCTGAGACCACTCAGCCTGCTCTCCTTTCACCAACCTCGAACTCGAATAACTTTCAATCGCTTCTACCGCCTTACCTTCGTTCTTGTGCTTCTCGATATTGCATACTAACTCCCTAATTCCTTCGCCAGTCGCTCGTTTATCGGACGAAGGAGTTGATCAACTAGCTAGCTTGCGTCATCTTCACCTTGCTTCTGTGTCGCGTCCTTGCCGCCTTGTTGACACCACCGAAGAAGTTGCACCACCCATTTCCCACGAGGGCCGTCCGTTCGCTCGCTTCCCTCTCACCGGCACCGACTTGTTACAGCTTGCTACTCTGCGATCTACGTAGTGCCATAATTGCAACAACATGAGGCCGTCTCAGATTCTCGCTGCAGTGGTGGCGTTTTCTTCCGCCACGCAGGCCATATCCATCGCTGATGCTTTTGACAACATCCATGGCTTGACCGATGTCAAGGAAGTTCTCTTTGGGCGCCAGAACAACAATGAGAACAACAATAACAATAACAACAACAACGACAGTATGTACATGATTTTAATTAGGGATGAGACGGGATACTGATGCCATCTAGACCAAAACAAGCCTACAGACGCACCAGCCACTACACAGCCAGCTGATAAGCCAGCTGCGACGGATAACGGCGGCAACAACGACGGTAACAACAACGGCAACAATAACAATAACAACAACGACAACAATAACAATAACAACAACGACAACAAGGATGCGTCAACAGCAAAGGAAACCGGCACAAACAAGCCCGCGGGCACCAAGACACAATCGGGCAAGTCAAAGTCTACCAGCTTCGACCCTCGACTACCCGCCGGTGGCCTCACCATGGTCACACCGAACGCCATTGCCGGAACGCAATACTACAAGGTTGGCGACTGGGTGACGTTCGCCTGGAACTACACCTCTCTCTCCGTAACGCCAACTGCCATCGATGTGCTCGCCTCATGCACAGCCAACCAAGCTACCTACACCATCTCTGTCAACATGTCCGCAACGCAGACCGAGGTACTTTGGAACACCGGCGAGACACCAGAGGGCCAAGCACCCTTCCTGACGGAGAACTACAAGCTCCTAATCTACGACTCTGACTTGAGCGCGACTGCTCCCCCGCGTGCCGGTTACTTGGGCGCCTTCACTGGCTTCACTTTCGGCATGTACCTCAAGCAGCCATACACTCCTCTCTCAGGTAAGTCATCATCGAGCCCATCCCTCGTTATCGTTTCCATGTTAACAAACATCTAGAGGGCTACACATGCCCCAACTGCAATGGCGCGCTCTCCCACTTTGAAAAGATGACTCTCTCCACCATGTTCTTCACGACCGGAACAACCATCGGCTCATTACTGTACTTTACCTACCAGTTCGGCCTTTGGTAAAACCACATGAGCTCTCACCACAATGAGACGTAGACGTATACGGCAAGAATCTTCTCCGACGCTTCATCGCTTATGATACGATATACGGCATCCTTTTCACGCTTCACATCTGTCTATATATAAACCTTTCTGTTTCATTCCTTTTATATCTCTTTAAACCCATGTTGTCAGTCATAAAAATGGGGTCGGTTGCAGCGGCGCTCCTGGTTGTCAATGCTTGGGTTCAAGCATATGGAGCAAAAACTCTACATTCATTTTTGGGACAGGGGAAAGCGGTGATCACAGCCACGGCATCTGGTGTTACGGAGTTGGACTGATCATACTTGTCTCTTGATTAGAGCGAGAGAGTGTGAGGGGAAGCGAATGGGGATATTCTGGTCCTCTTGCCGCGTTGCATAGTCATGGGGTTCGCAGAAGGCTCCCATGGGCTGTAGTAATTGTGCTGATTTCAGTCAGTGAAGATGATGGATAAGCAGTAATTTGTTTAGTCTAGATTCTGGATTCTCGGAGGTGGATGTCAGGTAGCAGAGAGGTGGATAAACAGAACAAGCTCAGTGGCGGCGCTATGCCACGAGAATCATCTCGATCGTTAACCCGAACGCTGGAAAACAGAAATATTCACAAAACATTTTGACTCAAACGTTTCTTGCGTGTATCAATCAGTTCCCCTATTCGATGATTGTTTACCATGGTCTGACCGAGACTATTCCGACTTCACATTCCGTTGGACATCGATCATTGGTGATGTCAATAAAATTAAGAAAAAAGGGTCCACGTCTTGCTTCTTTGCATTGGGCAAGAACTAGCGAAAAGAACGCCGGTGAGCAAGTGAACGGGCTTCAAAGTCGATGCACCGATACTTCGATGACCAGAACAGCGCTTGGGAAGCAAAAAAAGCGAAAAGAAAGAAAAACAAGTGAAAAACAACTTGTTATATGACATCTGGATCGTGGTATTGGTTGCTGCGAAGAAAGAGCCCGCCAGATTGGATATCCCGCTGAACAAAAAAAGCAAAGTGAAAAGAAGAACATGTGTTATCCCACGGTGTCCTTGTTACGCCTAGGAGATGCAACGCCAGCCACTGAATACCTCGTCGCTTAATAGACGGGGAAAGAAGAGAAAGAAACAAACTGTCAGAAAGGAAATCAACCAGACCCGCCCGTTTGCATAAACCCATCCGAGAAAAATACTGCTCGTTGCTCGTTCTGCTCGGCTATAGTGACCTAACGTCCGGCAGCACCAGTAGGTCTCTGAGTAGTAGGCGCAGCAGCAGTAGGTGTGGATGTGGGCTGAGTCTTCCATTCATCTTTGAGGACCCATTTTCCCCTCTGCGCACTGCCGCTCTTCTCGAGTGTAGCAATCAGCTTGAGCATCTCCTTGAACTCTTCGTTCCTGCCCGGCTGTGCGCGACAGTAGTGGTCAAAGTGATCGACAAGCATGCGACTGGGAACCGTACCACCGTGTGTAAGCATGAAATCGCGAATCATCTCGAGCATGCGGCGGCCGCGGAACGTCTGCGGTGTCGTCACCCCAGATGTGGAGCTACGAGAAGTAGAGGTTGCTGCTAGTGATGTTGGATTTGGACGACCTTGGCGGGCAGCGAGGTTGTTGAGGATGGCTGTTGAGGAAGGCGCGCCCAGTCTGCTGCCTCCCCGGCCACCGCGAGAACCACGTGTGGATGCCGATCCGCGTGGTGTGTCGGGACGGCCGGCTTGGCCAAATTGTCCGGTCCATGTCGGTGTCCCGGCTGGTACGTTGCGTGCTTCTTCCATGCTCTTTTTCAGCTGCTCGGCTGCAAGGGCGGCTTGCCGTTTCGCCTCGCGTTGAATGTATGCTGGATCGGCCTGGACTTTGCGCTTGCGGCCACCAGCTGTCGAGTTCATGATTGCGTCATGTTCAAGGACAGAATGAACACCTGTCTTTGCGAAGATGGTGGACATGAGGCGAGAGTCCGTGGGAGGTTTGTCAGCAGACGTGGTTCCATCTTCATTGGCGGGAGCACCTTCTTCGGTGTCGGAGACGGGAGCCTGGAAAGCTTCGGATCTCGATATGCCTTTTACGGCTGCGAGGGCTTCAGCTGCTGTGGCATCTGCTGTGGCCGTCTTTCCGTCTTCTTCGAATTTGACTTCTGACCCACGGAACAAGCTACCCGTCTCTGTCTCGCCCTCTACATTCTCCACACCCAACGTGAATAGGTCGTGGAGATCGCTCATCTGGAATGTCTGTCGCTGTTTCGGGTCTTTCAAAACCTTGTTTGTCAAGAACTGCTTGAAGATTTGACGATGGTAAATCTTCTCTTCAATCGTGCCGGCGGACATGAGCCGGTATATTTCAACCTCTCGCTTCTGTCCCAAACGCCATGAACGCTCCCGCGCCTGTATATCTGTCGAAGGGTTCCAGTCGGGGTCATAGATGATGACACGATTAGCACCTGTTAGGTTCACACCAAGACCTCCAACCTTTGTAGTAAGTAAGAAGACGTGCAGGTCTGGGTTGTTGTTGAACTCGTCGACAAGGTTCTGTCGATCCTTGATGGGTGTATCGCCATCCATGCGACGCCAATTTATATCAGGTAATTGACTGATAAACTTCTGCAAGATATCAAGCATGATGCGATGCTGCGCGAAGAGCAGTGTTTTGTGACCGCCCTTCTTCCACAGCGAAAGCAACTCCTTGACCACTTGCATCTTTCCGGACCTATTGGGATTACCATAATCATAGCCAGGCTTCTTGGAGAGCGTCTTGTGCTCAGTAAGATCTGGATGATTGCAAATCTTGCGCAGAAAGTCGACGCCAAAGAGCATCTGGCGCTTGCCATTCGCGATCGACTTCATGTCTTCCGATGCCAAAAAGGCTTCGTATGCTTGGCGCTGTTGACGTGTCAACTTGCAAAAAAGAACCTGCTCTTTCTTCTGAGGCAGATCAGTCGCTACATCGACCTTGAATCGCTGGAGTAGGTATGGGCTGACAGCATCTTTCAGGGTTTCAGCGCATTGCACGGCAGTCTCAAACTCCAGATTGGAAGCGTTTGCATAGCCACCCCGCTTGATAGGAAACTCAAATTGATTCCGGAAGTTGACGAGGGTACCGAGACGCATAGGGAAGACGAAATCGAAGAGTGACCATAGCTCCGTCAAGTTATTTTGCATTGGCGTACCAGATAGAATGATGCGGTTTGGTGTTCGCAATTCCTTGCAGTGAATCGTGATAGCAGTGTTGGGATTCCTGATCTTATGTCCTTCGTCTAGGATGGCGCATTCCCACTCAGTAGGAATCAGAAACTCAGCATATGTTTGAAGCCCAGAGTAAGTCGTGACAAGTACGTGACCATCACGCTTGACCTTTTCGAGGACCTTCTTTGCAGCCTTGCCGGCGCCAGTCAGGGTCGTATCGTAGTCACCGTACTTCCGAAGCTCCATTTCCTGCTCTAGACGATCTTCTCGTCGAGTGTCCAGCATACCACTGCCAGACGTATGCAGGATAGAAACTCGGAGAGCAGGCCACCAGCGGTGGAACTCGTTTACCCATTGCTTCATGACCGTCGCTGGGCAGACAACAATAACGGGCTTCGTGAGCTTCTTGGAGTAATGAAGGCCCGCAACCAAGCCGATGGCCTGTATGGTTTTACCCAAACCCATCTCATCGCCGATGATACCGCCTACGTTTTGGGAGTACAGTTCCCAAAGCCATTGTACACCAGTCTTCTGGTAATCAAACAGTGCTGGGTAGATGTCTCCAGGAATACGAAACCCGCCATCGAACTCTGTGTCAGCCTCGGTGGGATGAGGTTGGTAACACTCTTCCTCTCCTTCTTCATCTGCAGCCACCTCACCCCTATTCGCCTTGGCCTTTTTTCTTGCCGCTGCGCGATTCTTCGTCCAGGTCTCTATGCGTTTCCGGTACACTCGCTCGTTGCCATCGTCAACGCCGGCCAGATCCTCAACTACAGCCTCCTCCACAGGCTTAGCTTTGGCCTTCTTTGTCTTCTTTCCTTTGGGTTTACGTTTACGACCAGTAGTCTCCTCCGCATACGAATCGTCTTCGTCGATATCTTCTGATACTGCGTCAGACTCATCCAGTGTCGCAAGTTGGCGATCTGTCATGCCCGGCTCGAAGGCATCGTCGGAGTCGGGATCGGTAAAGCCAGGCCCGGTGCTCGGCTCGCTGGAGTCTAGGTTATCACTAGCAGGAGTCGCCCTCCGCCGCTTCCTCGGTCGTGGTTTAGATGTTGGACTCGTTTCTTCTTCGCTGGACTCAACGTTCTCGAACCCAGGCTTCATCAAATTGCGATGTGACACTGGTCCCTTGTCCGCATCTACAACCATGTCTTCAACTTCAGCATCTAGCATGACCTCGCCCAAGGTTCCTGAGCCTGGGTGGCTTTGCGCCACCTTGGAGAAGGGCGTGATCTTGCCTGTGCGGATGAGCCACTCGCGCTGGGTTTCATTTGGTAGCGGTCCATTTGCGCCATCTTCCGGTGCATCATCGACGCCAGGCGCTTTGTGACGATCGTTGATACGCTGCTGTATACTGTCCATCTCCATATCTAGATCGTCGATCTTTTGTCGATATGCTGCAATCTCGCCGCGCAATTTTGCCTTCTGAGTATCTAAAGCTGGGAGTGCTAATCGATTCTTAAGCTTCTGTATGGCTGCCTCAGCCCGCTTTGCTTCGCCCTCGAGCTTCTCTATGCGCTTCTTGTCCCTCACATCAGCTTGCTCTGTGAGCATCTGGTCCGCCTGTCGTCCAATATCCCGTTCCAAGTCATCTTGCGCCCGAGTGCCCGTAGTGAGCAACTTGAGGCGCGCCTGCTCGTCCGCATCGGATGGTATATCTTCTCCTGATATTTGTGTCCCATCATCCATTACTGTATCATTTGGCTCGTCGTGGCGCGAACTCTCTGAGTTGGTGACGGTGATTGTGGGCGGCGCGGCCAGCGCCAGCTGTTCGGACGGCGACGACATTTCAGGTGCACATGAAGTCACGGGAAAGAGAGACAAGGTGAGTCTATCTTGGCGTGAGCGGTGGGGTCCGGAGGTATGGCGAATGCAGCGCCTCGCAGATTTGTAAGGAATTCGCTCTGAAGGCAACAGCAGGCAGGCGAGGAAGGCGAACGGGGGGTCTAGGCGCTACAAGGCAAACGGCGCTATCGCAACGTCAGAGTGAAGGTGAAAGGGCTGGTCTATACAGCATACGCGTAGAACATGAAGTCCTGAATAACAAAGGCGCAGTAGCCATGGTTGTCGCTCTTGCTCAAAACACATTTGCGATGATATCACTGAGCCTCAAAAACACGCTAAGACCAATGGCCGCGGCTCCCTTCCGCTCTCATTTGCAAGCGCCTCATCACCTCATGTCCTCCCTCTAGCACATGACTCCGACCAAACTTGAGCAAAGCTGCATTACGGCCATGGGTTGAGAACTAAGAGGGTTATATAAAATAGTAGCATTCGTTAAAGGGTATACCACCTGCGGCTAGTCGCGGTAGCCGCGTCCGCGTCTTCGGCTTTCTTGTCCGATGCCATCGTCCTATGTCATTGACCCCTGTAGCATACCAAGGCTCGCCATAGCATCACAGCCATCTCAGATCTAGTAGATCGTCAATTTCATAGCCCGTTCGAGTTGCAAATGACATGGCAGGATGCAGCAAGCGAAGTTTATTTCGTTGACATATTACGATCTCTTGGCACTATCCTATCTTGCGTTACGCGAAGGACTCGGTTCGTTTCATCCTTCGCCTCTACACGAAGTAGCGTACATTACCTCTACCGGCCTTCAGCCCCAATTGAAACAATACCGACTGTTCGGCCCTACTATGCAACGCATGGCGCTGCCGTTTGGCATCTGGACCTACATCCCGTAAGCTGAGCAGCAGGGCATAACGGACCGCGACACACGCAAACGGAGACTTCTCTCGAAATAGTCACGCAAGACTTGCAGCACGAGGTCCGGGGTTGGTTGCCTATAACTGCCGGACGCGGTACTTATAATTAGGCATAAGGTTCGTCGCACCGTTTGCTGTCAATCTCTGTACTCCCACCCCTTACGGTATGTGAAGCGACGTGCAGTAGTGGACAGGGCACCCATCTGCAACGGTCGCATGTTTTTCCCGTATCGCAACAGATCTGATGGCTTCAGTTGCCAAGGTGGAACAGCTGAATCGTATACACATCGCGCATCGTATCAAGCCTACGCATTGGCCAACAACAGAGCATGAGCAGTAAGAGCTGGGATCAGTTTCTGGCTGGCGAGTAAGGAGTACCCGTACTTACGTATAATCAATTCACTCGATGGCTTGTCTCACACGCCATCCAAGCTTCAACTTGCAGATTTATCCACAACCCGGCTTCGCCGGCAACTCAGATACGCAGGTACATGTCGCGTGGTGTAAATGCGGGGAAACGAGACAATGTGACAGCCTGCAGCCATGCAGCTATATACACGACACCTCCGGTTTTGAGAAACCCATAGCCTCCATCATCCAATACTGTCGGCTGAATGACTGTGGTGCTTCTGGACCAGGTTGAACGCGTGCGACGACGCGCCTTATGCCCACTTCTGATCAGTCCTCTCCTGACTCAAACCCTTGTGGAGCACCCGTCCGCTGCATGATGGCGTTAGAGAACCGCCGTCGTACGGACGATCGTCCGTTGGGGGTGCTGCCCTTGTATGTTTGATAGCTAGCGCTTGCACCTGTGTTCCAGGTTTTTCTCACGTCACCTTCGAGGTCCCTCCTTGATGTTGACACCTTAGTTTTTCGATGGGTAGTCGTTCGGCTCCATGAACTGAACATCTCAACTTCAATACTACTCCCAAATGGCCCCTCACCATGGACGACTCTCGATTGTTTTGGCCTTTGTGCTCACTTCCATGTCCACTCTGGTCGTAGTCCTGAGGTAAAGACATGCTCTTGTGGCGTTGATCACGAACCTCATTAATATTCAATAGATTCTACACTCGACACTTTCTTATTGGTAAACTCACTGCTTCTGACTGGGTCATCCTTCTTGCTCTTGTAAGTAACCCGGTTTCTTCTAAATGACTTCACTAACCGGAGCCAGATCGCAACATGGTAAGAGGCATACTCCGACCGAAATGACGTTTGTATTGACTATTACAGGCTCTCCGTAGTGATCAATGTTTACATGGTCCGTTTCATGGAGTACACGCCCACTCAAGTATGTTCGCGTCCATCATTTCGCATCTTGATGCTAATATAAAAAGCTCCAAAACCCAGAGACCCTAGAAAAGATGATTACGGGCTCATTACTGTCGATCTGGCTGTACCGCATTAGCCACATCCTCGATCTTTGCCTCATCAAGACGTCGATTTTATTGTGTACGTCCTATATGGTATATTCACAGGCTACTGCCTGGTGGACGGCCTTGTTGTACAAGACGCGCAGCTAACAAGGCCTCGTTAGTCTATCACCACATTGCTGCATCGAACAGGCGCTTCCACTACATCATCCGTGCGCTACTCGCCATCATCATCCTCGGCGGCATCTCTATGTTCTTCGCAAGCTTATTCATGTGCTACCCGGTTAGTGATGCATGGTCCTTCAAGGTGTTCATGGGCGGTATCCAAAGAACATATTCTGCCCGTTGCTACAACCCAGGACCATTTTGGCTCTTCAACGCCGTCTACAATCTCGTCACCGACATAATTATCTGGACACTTCCAATCCTATTCTTCCTGAACCTTCAAACGATACCGCTGAGACGACGTATTGAGCTTATTGCCATATTCTCGATCGGGGTCGTGGCCATTACAGCATCCGCGCTCCGACTTCATACGATCATTCTATGGCTTTCCAGTTTTCAGCAACAAGCGTTGCATACAGCAGACCTGTTGCTATGGAGCCAAGTTGAACAGCATGCTGGTCTCATTGCAGCATCGATACCTTTTCTGCGGCCGCTCTTTCGCAAAGCTCTTACAAAGACAAAGACTAAAGAGCAGCCCAGCAGTCCACGACCAGCGGCACTTTTGTGCAGACAAGCGGTACCGGGGTGCAGTCCAGCGGCTATGCCTAGGACGCCTATTATCCCTTCGCCCACTTTTTCTCTCGGCTTCCAAAACCAAGAGTTTGTGCAGCCTAGATCTGCTCTTACACCTGTTGAACTGGTGAGAAGTTCGCCTACTTGGGGGTCCGCGATCTGGGACGGAAGCCAAACGCGGAACCTTCTGCCTGTTCAACCTGTGGGAAGCTCACCTATCAGAAGTAGCGACTCCATGGGCAAAGCGCCTCATTATAGTTAATTCAATTCAATATGCCATCACAAGATTTGCCCCACATGTTATATATGTCCCCAAAGGGGTCGCCAAGACATTTAGGCACACAGTCACTATTTCTTGTTCACTGTTTACCACTTGTGTGATCACCCGGGTGATCGCTGTTCCACGCTTAGCCTTGATATATAACGCACGCCCCCGCCTGCAGCTCAGGGACCTTGAGCGACTACCTCAACCCATTGTGCGCAAGTTCGCCCCAATGCCAGCCATGATGACAGTCAGCAATCCGCTACGTGGCTCTGCTACAGCACCGAGTATTCCAATGCCCGCGCCCGTGCCCGCGTTCGACCGGCTTCCCGTCGAACTCCTGGAAAGAATCCTGGACCCTTATCGTGACGACACAGAGACTCTGTTTGCTCTGCGTCGCACTTGCCGCCTCTTTCGCTTACTCACAAACAAACCACTGGCGCTTCGTCTGGGTAACGACCTGCGAAATCTGCGAGTGTTTATGACGGAAGAAGGCCTGAAAACACTACTCGGACTCATTTGTATACCAGAGTGGAGGTGCTACGTACGCCTTGTCGAGCTGGTGGACCCAGGTGTGGAAGACTTGAGGCAGGATCGGCAAGACAAGGACCAATGGTTCGGCTATAACATTCTTCCACAGCTTGAAACGATAGTGAAGAGGGTACGTCAAATGCTTGAACACCTTGAAAGTCTGTAATTGGGCTCAATATGCTAATATGTTCCAGATTAGGCCAGCGCAGCGCGCATTCTACGCTGAGCAAGCACCAGGTCTTATGAAAGAGATGTTTCGCTTGTTCAAGACGATGGACGCACTCAGCGAGATCCGCTTTGGCGTGAGAGGAGATGACTATGATCAAATCCTTGGTCTAAAGTACATGGTTAGGGAGATTGGCTTTGATCGCACCAGCTTGGTCTTGGCTCCCATGCATGTCACTAAGAATATCACTAGCCGCGATTTTGGTGGACGTTGTCTCGGCGGACATGCAAGTTGGCTCTACAAGATCCTATCCGACAGCAACTATGACAAGCGTATCATCACGGTGGATCTGTATGATCGCATGCATCCCGGTATTTGGTCACTATCTCAAGTATGGACAGCTCTTGATCATCCGAGTATCCAAGAGCTTCGTATTTTCTACAGAATCCCAGTACATCCGGCAAACATCATTGTGCCGTCCTGGGTAGTGGACCTGGAGCTAACACCCGGAACATTCACACTGGCATCGGAGATGAGCATAGAGATACTCACACTGGTTGGGAGTCGAGGGGAGCAGAACTACGCAGCCAACGCTGAGACGTTTGCACTTCTAGCCAACACGACATTTCCGAATCTGAGGCGGCTGGAGCTCAGAGGCTACGCAGTTAGCGGCGACCAATTCATCAACGTCCTTGAGAGCATCAAGACCACGGTACAGTGTATGTGCCTAGTGAGCATCCATCTCATCTCAGGCTCTTGGTCGTCGGTCTTCAAAGCCCTCAGCAAATGCACAGAACTCGACAGGTTGGGTTTCCGCCAACTGACGGGTCGGGGAAGCTCCCAGGGAGGTCCTCCGATATGCTGTAAGTTCGATTCTGTTCTAAGGGAGAAATGGGATGTCTTCTGTAACCGTACGGGGGACAAGATGATGACCGAGTTCCTGGACCTGATGGGAGAATACGTGTTAATAGCGGCGGATTACAAGGGCGACAGCTACGTAGAGTGCTTCTCGTCTTTCCTTTGGGGGAGTGGGGGTTATTTCTGGAGGGCTCCACCGGGCGACGGGTAGTGGTGGAGAGCTTTCTCGCCTGTCTGGCTCTGATTTGGTTTCCAAGCTGTAATGCTGGGTGCAACCGAGTATCAGCTTTGGTTTGAAATACAGCCACGATATGGCTCCCAACAATCGAGTAGTTGCTACTAGCAGATATGAACTACATTGAGACTAGCACTGTCAAACACGTGCATCGTACTCGCGATGCCCTGATTCGCTAGACCAAGGTGCGGCGTTAATGCCGTTAGCACCGCCACACGTCGCAAACTTGCAACACAAGCAAGGCGTCGGGCGACGATTTTGTCAGCACACGGTGGGCTCATAGTAGCACGACGCGCAGTTGTGGGCATAGGGCGCCGCTGGTGTGATCAGAGAACCGGATGGGAGTGAGCCGCTGCCGAAGAAATCTCGCCATTGCGGCATCAAGGCGGTGAATGGGACTGGCAGTGGGTAATTGGCTCACGCCGCCAACGCGCATTTCTCGGCAGGCACTAGTGCGTTTTCATGCCCACGCGTTAACCCTGAGCCTCTCGGGACAGAGTGAAGCTTGGTGGCAAAAGTGGTACGAACGTCGATCAGGGTGGTCGCCAAACTGCAATTTAATCCCCAGCCGCCTCCTTTGCTGCTGCGTCCGCTCACTCTTTCACCCCATCCGCGTTTGCAGTCGTTCCTTCTTTCTGTCCCTGCATACGAGAGTCACATAGCCGTTCTCTTTGACTCTGCGTGCAGCCAAAATGTACGTTCCCGATGCCTTCCGAAGACGCATGACCTAGACAGACACTTACAACACGATAGGAACAACGCAACCTCGATCCTGACGCCAATGGCGCAGGACACGTACTGGGGTTCTTTTGAAGAGATCTCCAAATACAATGTACAGCTCAACTACCTCGAGAGGATGTGGATGGCCTGGTACGCATGGATGGGCAACGACGTCCTTGCGACAGGTATCATGTCCTTTGTCATCCACGAGGCCCTCTACTATGGACGCTCGCTCCCCTGGATCATCATCGACTGCATACCATTTTTTAACCGCTACAAGATCCAACAGGTATGCATATAATCAGGAGAAGCTCCCTATAACAAACGCTAATTTGGCCTAGCACAAAGTCCCTACTGCTTGGGAACAAACACAATGCGCACTCCTTGTACTCCTGTCCCACTTCACCGTCGAGCTTCCCCAGATCTGGCTGTTCCACCCCATGTGCCAATACTTCGGCCTCTCGACCTCTGTCCCCTTCCCCAGCGTATACAAGATGGCCTACCAGATCGCAATCTTCCTCGTCTTGGAAGATACGTGGCACTACTGGAGTCACCGCGCCATGCACGCGAGCTCTTTCCTTTACAAGAACATCCACAAGATCCACCACCAATATTCTGCCCCTTTCGGTCTCGCTGCTGAATACGCGTCGCCTATCGAGGTCATGATTCTGGGATTTGGTACCGTCGGAGTTCCCATCGTCTTCTGCGCCATTACAAAGGACCTTCATATCTTGACCATGTACGTTTGGATTGCCTGCCGTGTGTTCCAGGCCATCGATGCGCACAGCGGCTACGAGTTTCCCTGGAGTCTGCATCACTTCCTGCCTTTCTGGGCTGGAGCTGAGCATCACGACGTTCACCACGAGAAGTTTATCGGCAACTACGCCAGCAGCTTCAGGTGGTGGGACTTTGTCCTTGACACCGAGGCTGGCGCTGAGGCATCCAAGAGGCGCAGGGAGCGCAAGCTTGCAAAGGCCAGGAAGGTTCAGTAAACGAGCCATGGATGTTGACGTTGTATGGAAATTTGTCGGTTTTAGCCGCACATTCACTAGTTGCACGATGGTAGAACCACTCTCCATCGACGACTTACAAGCTCCGATTTGAAGTTGATATGCTACATGGCGTTTGGGTAAAGGGAACCCGCAGCCATGCATTATGGCGATGGCAATAGACAGACCAGACCCTGGATAATGGGGGGCAGGTGCATGTGTAAATAGGAGCTGGGTCTTTTGGAATAACTAACGTGTCCGTGCACCTTGTGCCCGGATTCATCTCATGCCCCGCGAACACCATCTTAGCGATCTCAAATTTGAAGCTGTACAACACCACACAATAGCTTAATATTAATAAAAACATAGCATTGCAGTAATTAGATACTTGCGATTAACTTGTACTATCTGAATTTTTGTGGGAGGTTGACGTTGCGGCCACGTGATGTGGTCTTTGGTGGTGGAGGCGATGGAGGAGATGCAACTCTATCGCGAGCTCTATCCTCCATCGCTCGTTTTTGACGCTTGTTCTTAGAAGAGGGCGCTCTTGAGGCTTTACGCTTGCGTTGTTGAGCTTGTTGGGTGGCTTTTTTCTGGTGTTGAGCTTCAACTTTGCGCGCGCGTTCAGCTGCTTTCTCAGCTCGCTCAAGCTCCCTTATCTCCTTGAGCCTCTGCCTCTCTACACGCTTCTCCTCGAGCTTAACTTGACGCTGCAGTTGAACCTCCTCACGCTGCTTCTTGGCCTGTGCTTTTTGGAGTTTCTCCTCTATCTTATCTCGCTCCCGTACTACTTCTCTAGCTCGAGCCTCGCGTATCTTGCGAGGAGACCAGAAGACAGAGCCACCGTGATACTCCTGGCGCTGTTGAAGGTCAAGAGCTTTGCCCTTCTTCTTATGCTTCTTTTTATGTTGAAGAGCCTCCTTTAAGCCCTCGTTCTCATGCTGTAAAAGCTTATACTGCACAGAGAGATGGTGAACGCTTGAGCGCAGCTTTCTTGCCTCATACTGATGGCTATCATTGACAGCAGCTCGTACTAACCGATCGAGCTTTCTCCAGTCATGATCAGAGAGCCCTGAAGATGAGCTTCTCTCAGCTTCTGGCGTGCTGGCAAATCTACGAAGGATAACGTTGGGATCTATTGGCCATATACCAGTAGCTTCAAACGCTTTTAATATAGTTGATTGCTTAAACGAGGCCTGCCAAGCTCTCCAGAAGAGTGGGAAGAAGTCTCCTTTCTTAATTGGAATGAGGCCTTGAGCCTTGTAGAGATGGTTAGTGAGCTCGTTGGAGTAGGCTTGAGAGAGTGGCTTGAACAGCACTACATCGAGCGGCTGGAGCGTATGAGTCGAATGGGGAGGAAGGATCATGAGGAGGATCCTATGGCGATCGCAGTACTTGATAAACTCCATCGTGAGGTGAGATCCATGGCCATCAAGGATGAGCAATCGCCATCTCCCTGATCGCTGCTTTGTATAGCGATCAATGACGGTTAAGATGACTTCTATTCAAGCGAGTAGAAGGTTAGCCTTTTGCTCCGCAACACGATCAAACACCTGCTCTAGCCAAGCTAGGCCTACGTCATTGTTTGACCAGCCTGTTAGAGATGATGAGACAAAGACCTCATGTTCTCCTGCCTTAATATCCTCCACCCAACTCGATCGTATGGCTCCATTTTTAGCTGCGTAGATAAGGGCTGGAGGCAGCGAGCTCCCATCGGCGCAGCAGCAGGCCAGGAGTGTCAGAAACTCGCGTGATCCATCCTGGAGAGATGCTCGAACCTCTTTCTTATCCCATTGACGCCTGCTAAATATCCTCTTACTCCTGCCTATCATACCAATAAGGAAGCCCTTTTCATCCATATTGTATATATCTCGAGCCTCTAGGTGGTATTCGGTGATCTTCTGGTGCAGCAGCTCGAAGTAGAGTCTATACTTTGACTCAGAATCAGCCAGGTGGCGCGTACGATCCATGGCGGTGGTCCACTTTGAGATAAGATAGATCTCGTGTCGGTTAATGAAGCGAGTAACCCAGCTCTCGCTGAGCTGCTGATGGGCTACTTCTGATGAGAAATTCCTGATCATCTCTCTTGTAGGAGGTAGGCCTTGCTTAGTGAGCTTAGTGATATATCGTACAAGCTCTAACTCTTGTTGTGGGCCGATAGCTTGCTGCTGAGCGTATCCATCGCTCCTAGGCCCTGTCACGCGCCTCCATCTTCGCCCTAGCGTTGAGCGGTTAACCCCCCATTTTTCAGCAACTTCTTTTAATGTGAATTTCTCTCCTGGATCGCGCGATTCTAAATCTGCAATCGCTTCATCAATCGGAGCCATAGTTGTGGAGTTATTGCGCGTCAAAGTTGTAGTATTGAGACACGCGTCGGTGTTCGGCGGGGCATGAGATGAATCCGGGCATGAGGTGCACGGACACGTTATCTATTTAATAATATATCACGGTCGTTACGATGCAGCCTGTTCGTAAACTGGACACAAGTGAGAGTGAGACTACATTGTTTATTAGTATTTATAGCCGCCTAATCGACTAGCACATGTCAACTGCTTGGGTGGAACAATATCGATTTGTGACAAAGGCCCCTTGGTGAAGGCGGAGCTAGGCTTGGCATAGTGAGGACTGGCGCGGCGAGGGATCTCGCGCGTCGGCGTTCGAGCTTCATCAACTTTCTTTGACCAGCTCGCAGCGCGCAATCACGACGGCACCAAATCCTCGGCGCACCCATACGACAAGATGAGTTCCGGACGTCCAGTGGTCCATCAGGACTACATTGCGAAAATCAGATACTCCAATGCGCTCCCTCCTCCACCATGTCCACCCAAGCTGCTAGACATTCCCAATACTGGTCTTTCGAGTGGGCAATACACGTCAGCCGGCTTTGCTTCGCGGCTTGCGCGAGAGCAGTCGCTGAACATTGAAGCGGATGCTGAGCTGGGTATGCCCATCGACCTCGTGGGTATCCCAAAGGTGTTCGATGGAGACGAGTCTGGTAGGACCACGCCTATAGCGCAACTGTATTTACAAACTCACGCGTCTTATAGCTATCCAGGCCATGCCTCATCCGCCGCCACTCAGTGCAGCAGACAGGGCGCTGATGCGACCGCCGAATGCACTTGGCAAGGCTGTTGTCAGTGCAACGGGTGCCACTTTCTTGCGACGAACAGAATATGTCACCTCAAGTACAACCGGCGGCTCCAAGTTCGAGTCGAGCAACTCGTCCAACACGATGCGCCTGAGGAGGAAGCGAAAGACAGTGGAGACATCATTGGACGACCCCACAAACATCTCGAGACACATCCTCAAGGGCTTCAACATTGCCTACCCAGCAGATGCGTACAATGGACAGGATAGCACGGAGAACCTTAGGGCGGCAGAGTCAACACCAGAGGAGCGAATGGCATGGAACAAGCCCAAGCACCCCAGGAACCCTAACTTGAAGCTGCTCGACTCGTACCCGCTCCTCCCAGATTGGGATGCGACGCCCGATACAGGCGGCTACATGGTCTTCAAATTCAACGCGCCACCTGTCAACAACCCACTCGATTCCTCATACGACCCGCGTCTCGACGTGGCCTTGCTCCGCCCAGCAGGCCAGACCATCCAAGACCAAGCAAAGTACCTCGAAGACCAGGAGGCGCACAAGCTCGACCCAACCGTTCCACCACCTATTGCACGCTGGCAATTCGAGTTCTTCCTCCCCTCGGACAAGAACAAGGTGCGCGGCATCAAGCGCAACTTCACCACCTACGAACCCGCAAACGAGGACGACATCGATTTCGACATTGCAGAAGACGACGAGGGCCAGCCACGCAAGTGCTTCAAGTACGACAACATCCGCACCTACGAAACCTCGCAGCAAGTCGGCGATCCCAGCGATACCTACGGCGACGTCATCGCTCTCGCCCTCCACGACCCCGAGAAGCACGAGAACGAGCCTCTACGCGACACAAAGCTGCAAAAGGCAGCTTACTTCTACCCCATTACCCAGAGGACTAGCTTGCGACCCAGGCGGCCAGGTCGCCTTGACATGGTTGAGGAACAACCCAAGGTAGACATCATTGAAGCTGCTGGTAAAGACCCCGAGACGACAGACCGAAGGGACGAGTATAGGAAGAGGGCTGAAGCTATTGAGGCATAGTGATGCTTAGCAGGGAAGGGAGCGTAAGACAGATCTAACCGAATAAAAATTGACATTACTTCTTCTCCATCAGCGCCGGCGTTTAGACTGGGAGAGGGACGGGCAAAGGGAAATGTACAACATTTGCGTACGGGTCAGAGAGTTTGATTTGCCATGGGGCAAGTGGCCATGTGGGTTATTTCTTCTTATCTTATTTTCTCATCTTTTCTAGAAAGGATATTTATCAATGAAAACTGTATCTAGTCGCAATCGTTGTGCGTGTTTGAAGACAGGAGGATGGGATGTGATGTGATGTGATGCCTGCGGGGAGTGAACATGTAGGGTATGTAGTGCGAAGTAGGTGATGAGCATAGAATATGCGGAGTAGGAGTAGTGAGGTTATACATACATCACACATAGGTCCACAGCTTAGGAATCATGTGAAGTGGAATGCCATCGATGTGGTTCATGGCTCCTGTCGTCTCTTTTGCAAATATATATTTACTTGTAGTTATACAATACCAGGTACAATCAAGCTTCTCCGCTTACCGAAAACGAAGCTTGATTGTATTAGACTAAGCATTATGAATTGCTTGTGTTTTTACGTGTAGAATTTTCTGGCTGTAAACTTTGCGATGGGCCTATGAGGGTATTTCCATCTACAGTGCCCTCCCAGACCAAAGTTCACAGAGAATATGCCGCGAAGACAACGTCTTAATAGCAGCTTAGATGCCGTTACTTCGACTTCCTTTCCAACCTTGCAAGAACGCGAGATGGGTTGAGATGCCCATCTCTAGCAGAGAAGTAGAAATCCCCACTCTTTACAGTTTCTCCCGTCTCGGTCCAACTTAGCTCTCAGCCATGCACACAAACACGGAGCCTGCACCACCAACCCATATTAATCACCTACCCATATTAATCACCTACCCATATTAATCACCTAAACCCCCCCGGGAGGTATATGTATGTACTAGGAACCCCATTGCATACCCACGCCATATCCCTTTGTAAACTCCACCAAGAGAAAAAATTAACTTTTGTTCGCGTATATACATACGCTCATCTCCTTTCGCGTAACCGTTCAGCCTGCAAATCCTCCCCACCCAACTCGTAAGCCATGGTGTTGGAAGGCATCTCTGCTTTGTAATGCGCATCGGCTTCATACGCCGTTTCTCCTTGCGTCATTTCTTCTCCGCCAAGTTCAACTGGGCCGTTGGTCTTGTTTGGTTTGCGGTTCCGGAGGAAGAAGGCTAGTATACCGAAAGCTATCACGACGATGGGTACGACGACACCAACCGCTATGGCGACTGTGTTTGATTTCTTCTTTGGAGCTTGTTCTGGTTCTGGAGAAGATGAAGGAGTCGATGCAGCAGTGGGTGTAGAAGGTACCGAAACAGGTATTGAAGCCGGGGAGGCCGAAGCAGAAGATATCGAAGGCGCCAAAGATGTAGCGGTGAAAGTAACGCTACCTATTTTTGAAAGCAAGCCACGTCAGCTCATCTCACCCACCACCTTTCCCAAACAGACAGGGAGAGAGACCGAAATTCACTTACCAGCCGGCTGCGCCAACTTGGACTGACCGACCTCGCAGTAACTACTAAAAACTTGCAGGGCCGTCGTATTCTGAGATGGATCTTTCGGACACACCGTCTGCACATGAGCGCCAATCATGCTGGAGAACTTGGCCGAGCTCTCATAACAGAAACACGTAAAAGACTGATAGACGTTGTTTCCTCCGTCACCGCAGCCATACACCATGTCGCGCACAATGGTCGACAACTCCTTTTCTGCGCATTGTGCCAGTAAGTGGTATTCCGGTATCGAGTCGATGAAGATGCTCGTCGGACCGTCTGCGGCAGCTATCGCCAAAAAGGAAAGAGCAACAGCGAGACCCGAGTATCGTATCCCCAGCATGATTTCCGAACTAGTGTTACCGGGAGATGATGAGAGGAGGGCAGAGTAAGTGGAGTAAGGCTTTGGGAAACGGGATGGAAAACCATGGCTGCATTTGTAGCCACAATATGACCCTGGTCGCTAATCCTGGTTTCCTGTCCCATGGAGACGGCGCGAATCTTGCGGAGGGGTGCGAGAGGGGCCAGGGCATTTGCTGCAGGTAGGATGCTTGATCGTGGGCTCGAAGCACTCCAAGCATGGCTTTGTTAGGTTTGAGGATCGGGTAGATAAGGCAGGGGCCATAGAGCATCTGCACATAGTCTCGAGGCTGAGCACAATTACTGCAAAGAGAACAGAAAGCGGGTCACGATGATATTTGATGGATTCCGATGGGGCCATGGCATTCTGCGCGACGTCTATGAGCTGCTACATCTAGTGAGCCGTGGAGATTGTGGCGTCTGTCGTCAATTTTACCCTGCCAATTGAGTCAGGGCAGGTCGGAAATTGCCATGGGGTGCAAAGGCGGAGGCGTCCAGAGGTGTGGTGTTAACACATCGTTACAAGGCGCCCCGCAATAAGAAAAGATAAGGTTACCCGCATCTGGACTAGGCCATCTTCACAGATCGGCTGTAAGCCTCGGCCTTGTCTTGCATCTGAAGCTTTTCTCGACCGGCAGGAACGACCGAGATTATTTTTAGTCAAGTCGAGGCCACGGTAGCTGACCTGTATCCACAATGGCGAAAACGATCGTCTTCTTGCCCCCACACACAATCTTAGTTGGCGTTGTAGAGACGGGATACTCGAGATTCATGACGTTGCTTGCCTTGGGGAAGCCGACAGATATAAGGTTCAAGGTTGTTGACGTGGAAAAAAAGAAGTATCATATTAGCGGCAATTATATCTGCTACAAAAACCTGGGGAATCTTTACAACCCTCTCAAACCTGCATAATCTCTTATCAGGCTGTAAGAATGCGCAGCTCCGTGGCGATCACTACCTTATTGGGCTTCTCCACAACAGTGGTGAATGGTTTAGTTCCAACACGAAGACAATCCGGCCCTTCCTTTGCGGGAAGTAACGAATATTTCCTGCATGCACTTCCAGAGTCAGAGCAGAAGACGTACATCGAGACGCTCGCTGCACGGGGAGCCAAAGTCTTGAGACTATGGGGTGAGCAACCCAAATGTCCTACCAACATTCCAGCATGAACACTAACACTACCTCACAGTAACCAATGTCGAAGCCGGCTGCCTCAAAGGCTCCCAAATCCCTACCACAATTCCCCCTTTTGAATCTACAATCGGCACCTATGACTCCACCGTCCTCTCCGCCCTCGACACCACACTCTCCCTCCTTCATGCCTCAAACATGAAAGCCATCATATCCCCGCATAATGCCAATTCGCTCAGCGGCTCCGCCAGCTGCGACGCCTACTGTGAAAAGTATGGGGCAGCACCCACAACATTCTACTCCTCCGTTGCTGCAAAAGCAGACTACGATGCCCGCCTCTCCGCAATCCTGCAGTACGCCTCCCCCAACTTCGACGGCCGTGCATGGAAAGACCTAAGTGAAGTGATCCTGGCCTTCAACCTCCAGAACGAACCTATGATCGAGCAGCTCGATTTGCTAAAGGGAAATGATCCAGATGACTGGCTTTGTGGCCGCGCTGGGAATCTACGCCAGGAGTTAGGTGATTCCATGATCAAAGTCGCGACGGGAGGTATTGGCGGCTCGCATTATTGCTGTGATCATGAGTTTAATACGCTCCCCAAGGCCATGCAGTGTGATGCTATTGACATTATCAGTATACATGGGTATAATAGTAGGGCAGGTGACTGGGCGTATTTCATCACGGGAGATGCGGAGGTTGTGACGCCATCGAAAGAGGCTGGCAAGAACGTTATGATTGAGGAGTGGGGGGTTTCCGTCGACTATCAGGATGGGTTTGATGCGCAGGTCAAGGTGTTCAATGACGCTGGGATTCCTTGGGTAAGTGGTGTTTCCTGTTCGTGAATGATGATATTGCATGCTGACTTGGGAACAGTTGTACTGGCAGGTTGTGCCTGGTCTGGACGGTAGCCAATCGGGAGCTCCAACAAACTGCGGTTATGATACCTTTGAAATTGGGCTGGATAGCTCAAAGGGTGATGTTGCTAGCGCGATTAGTGCAGCGAACGCCGCCACTGCAGCCCAAAGCTGGGCGGATTATTTTGATTGAAGACAGCTACTTTACGTACGAAATGATGTCATAAATGTATACTTTGTCCTTGATCTAGCCTTCGTGGTCTAGTATCGTATAATCCTCTCACACTCTTCTACCAAACACCATGAAATGCATCCGATTGTTCAAACAGCCTCCCAGTCTAAGAATGTCCAATCAATCCATATTCTTACTCTTCACGGGTAATGTCTAACGCTGGCGACGGTAAATTCGTAGGACTTATGTTCATCGGCTCCGAGCCCTCTGGAGTCGGGCTGAAGATTTCCCCATTCACGTCTGTGATTGGTAAAAGCTCTGCTCCCTCTGCTCTCTCTTCTGCTCTGCCTCTCTCTTCACTCTCGGTCATGTTGTGTTCCTTGCCCTTGCTGCTGCTCCGCTCGAAAGCCTCGGGTACCTTCTCACTGAGATCGATAGCCACAAAGGATTTCGGGAGTTTTACACTAGCTGGTGTTAGTAAATACACAAGTAAAGCGGGTCCCAAGTAAACCTACGTGTGAAACTTTGCGCGTAGGGTCTCCAGGACTTCTTTCCAGTCTTGGTGGTGGGTGAGACTGCGACGGGGAGCGAAACCAATCATGTGTCGCGAGTCGAGTTGCCTATGTGTTCATATAAGCCGCTGGTCCAAATCAAGAGGCGAGGTGAAGACTTACACATCAAGTGGAGCAAATGCGTGACAGCCTGGTGACAGAGTTATCCGAATGCTGTAGTTGAAAGTATGAGGCTTGTCGTCGATACTAGCATTCTCTGACTCGTAAAGCTCAAAGTTAATCTGCGACAGGTAATCGAGCTCTGGAATTGCGTTGCGTTCAATTTTTGTCTGAATTCCACCCTCTATTATGCAGTTGAGTAAAGTGTAAATGTGCGATTCTTTCGTGAAGTAGAAGAAACACTTGGGCATATCTGATGCCTGTAGCTCTTCAAGGTCTCCAACAATTTCTTTAAGTAGCGGAAGCGATGTAAGTAAGCCAATCTCTAGCTTCTCTTCGCTCTCGATACCGTACTCTTGTGGACCAATGTAGTCAAAGAGCACCTTGCAGAGATGGTACATCTCACGAAGTTTGACAAGTCGCGCATCAGTCTGTGCCTTGGAAGCTGCTGTCCCGAGCCCAGAGTAGAGCTTGAAATACGACTCGTGAGCATAAGATGGTGGTGGTGGGGCCTTTATAGCGACCTCGGACCTGCGCCTGAAGCCCATGCGATGAGAGAGGCTACCGCGTTCGTTCTTCTCTGTTTGATCCTTCGCATCCGCTTTCTGTTGTGCATCTGACGGGGTCGGGCCAAGTTGTATCGATTTCGCAGAACGATTATCAGGTGTGGTCTGCTTTGAACTGCCTTCTGCAACAGATTCTTCGTCTACGAATGTAGCATCTGGGGTGAAGACCCATTCTAAGAAGGCACGGTTATGTAGAGCATCGAATTTCATCGTATCGTATAGCTCCGATATTTTGCTAGGATCAACCTTGTCGGCATCACCAAACTCTTTGAACAGCTTTTCCCAGCGTTCCTTGAACAGCTCGGGGCCTTCGTTACAACACCAGCGCGACTGAATGTGGTTGACATTGGTGTACTGGGATTGCCCTGGCGTCTGTCCTCCCGATGGTGGAGAAGCGAGTGCAGCTAGTGATGAGATGGCTTCCGATTCGATCTTCTTGAAATTGTGGTTCATGACGCGCTGATGGAATTTCATCAGGTCCACTACCTGTCTAACGACAAGATATGGCTCTTGTACATCCTTTGGCCATGCAAACTGTGGCGGAGCTTTATCACCGGCGCGTAGCAAGGTCTTGAGCTTCTTCTTGACTTTATCCATGACATCCTTGGCCGCATTAGAGTCGTCTAGAAGGTCTTTGCGGACTTGAATGTGTTCAGACGGGTATTGGTCTTTGTCAAGAAACGAAGCACCGAAGATCTGTGCACTCGTTGTAACTCGTCGCTCTGAGCTGCTGAAGATGTGCACGTCGTCAAGTACATCCCTGTTCATCAACAAGAGATCGTTGCGGAAGTTTGCACCCATATCTTGCGTCTGATGTCGGGCGGAGTGCGTCGGCTCACCTCCCCACTTGATAATGAGCTGTAATTTATCCAGAACCATGTTGTTGTCTTGCGCAGTGATACGAGACAGTGTGACCCCAGACATGGAATCACTCCTGTTCTTGAGAAGTTCAGGTTGCTCGCCTTCAGTGACTGATGCAGTGGTTGCGTCTGTGACATCTGTAGCTGTCGACTCGGACATTTGGGCTTCAGGCATCTCTTCGGGGACCTCTTCTGGCAGCGTCTCTCCCGGTTGCAACTCTTCCTTTCTCCTCTTGCGGAACATGGGCTTGATCTGGACCTTGGTGCCAGGCCAAGCGCCCTTTTTGTTCAGGTACAATTGCAGCTCGCGCAACTTCTTTGGATCTTCAAGGTTCTCGTCCATGGCCACTTTGACCGCATCACTGACACTTTGCAGCGCTGCGTCACCAATCAATAGTACCTCAGCCTGATGTCCTTTGAGGAGATCAACGAAAGGCCTTGAATGAAAGGTGTATTTGAACTTTTGCTTCGGAGTGCGATCGGCATGACGAATGACTGAAACGACACCTTTGAGCTTCCACTGTGCCGCAGTTGCTGGAGGAGGTACGTTCACGTGATCATCTGATGCCGATTTTTCGTGTTCAAGTTCTAGGTCATCCTCGTCGAACGCAGAAGGAAGTGAAAACTCAGGTTCAGATGCTGGGCCTTCAGGCGTCGATGTAGATGTGATTGTGGTGGTCGTTGTTGGAGTATCCGCCACAGCCGCAAAATCGGCCTTTTCGATCCCAGGCGAAGCTGCAACAGGCGTCGAACTCATTGATGCTTCAGGAGAAGAAGGCATAGTACTGGACTGTCGCATATGTGGTAGATGGACATGGCCCCCCATCTTCGACATACTAGGACTCTTGAAGAGCTTTCCGAGGGATTTGCGGTGAACCGAATTGTTCTTGACCGGAATGCCAGAAGCAGTGTCAGTAGTGGCTTGCGCATCGACGGCGGCGTGCTGTGCGGCATCTTTGCGTTGCTTTCGGGCAATCTCCTTGAGGAACATGTCTTTCAAGATGTTGGCTGCCTTGTCGTAGTAATCGCCATTGTCTTTTACAAAGCTCCATCCGTTGACGTCGATAACGTAGCTCTGTTCCCCAGTACGGAGTAGGTCAAAACCACACACTCGTTGTCCAAATCCCTCTGAGATCTTGGCTGCGATAGCTGCTTCTGATTCGCTCAACTTGGTCACATAACGCACTTCCTTGCCGCTAGGGTTCCGCTTGACGAGACCATCGACGACAGGCGACTTCCTCGTTTCGGCGTGGCAGAAAGTTGGGCCGACAGTGTATGCTTTCACGTCCTCTGAGTTTTCGACCTGCAGAAACTGTTCGTAGATGTAGCTGCCTGTTGGTTCGAGAATGGCTCGTGGTACTTCAAGGGTATCGTCCTTTTCTGAGCTTTTGTTGTTGATCTTCCGGAACAATCGCCGTCCGCCGCCCCCGTCTTTCTTGTGGAAGTAGATGTGGATGTTGTGATCTTCACCGCTGACCGGCTTTTCTACAAAGGGCTTCGTAAGGGTGACACCGTCGACGCAGATAGTGTTGCCGTCGTCAATGAGTTCGATTTTCTTTGGTGCAAGAGAGCCACCGCCTGTTCCATCTTCAGGTCCTTCCAGCTTCAGTCCCGTTCGCTCGTACAGAGCTTTGGCGAATTCAGCCGACGGTAACTTCGGACCGCCGTCTCGGCTCACATCAATGCGCTTCGGGGTAGGCACATTGAGCTTGTCCAGTATACCCAAACACAGGCGACGATCCCACAGCACTTGTTGCATGGGCAGGTCGTTTACGCAGAAGGGTTTTCGCAGTTTGGTGTAGGCAATGGCTTTTTCTAGAGGGAAGCCATCTGAGAAAAAGGATATGAGGAAGTCGCAGACGGGCCAATTCTCGACGGCCTCGTCCAGGATAATCTTGTCGCCAAAGATCTTGACGTCAAATTCGTCCACCAATTTGCCAAAGATGTTGCGTGCAGGCTTGCTACGTGCCTTTGATTCCAAGGCGCATACGCCAATTATGCCCTTGGTCTGCTTCTTCTCGCGCATATCTCTGCTCGCCGGGCTGCTGCTGGTGGCTGTGCTTCCGCTGATGCGCCTCTGGGCTGTTCGACTTCGCGAGCGACGGTGCTGGGGTACTACGTGGAGCGGCGGGTGACCAAGCTGGGGAGAGGCGGGGTGGACGGGGGCGGTATTGGGGCTCGTGCCTGGCTGGTTGTGGTTTGCGTTTGCTTGATCCTGGGGGAAGAGCATCTGAGTCGGCGATGCCTTGGTGCCGAGACTGCCATTCTGACTCGACGTGGTGACGGAGAGCGACGTTGTTGCCGTCGTGGTGCCGTGCGGGTTCTCCATCTTGACTGTGCAGAAAGTCAGTGTGTTCAGGTGTGCATGTGCATGTGAAAACAATCAAAGATGCAGTGCATGTCGGACGCATGACGTACCCTCGCTTTCTGAGCCTGCGACGGAGCTTTTCCCACTCCAACTGTAGGCTCTGCTAGATATGGCCGACACGAATGACGAGACAGACAATCGGTTTGATTCTACAGCTGCAGTACCGACGTCAGGTCGCGCATGTCGGTATGATTCCGGCAACAGCATGGGATTTACTGGGGCGCTTGCAAGACTGCCCCGGGTACTCTCTAGCGTTGGCGTGACATCGGCCTCGTCGATGGCTGAGCCTGAGCCAGAGCCAGAGCCAGAGCCAGAGCCAGACCAGACAGATCCAAAGTATTCAATCAGACTATCAGATGCTTTGGAGGCGCGGCGGGTGGGCAGGCTCTGTCGAATTGCCCTTGCCCCCAGCGGAGGGAGCGACACACTCGCACGCTCGGCCGTGGCGATGCCCGTCTCAGCTTCACTCGACTTGGCCTTCTTTCCCACGCCCGATGTACCGCTCGCACTCGTGAGGTGTTGCCATGATCGCGTGCTCTCAGAACTCGGCGTGCGGGTGAGTGGTGGCTCCATTGATGCTACGTCCTGTACCCTGCCTTTGCGGGGTTATGTTGGACGCTTTCGTTGCTTTTCCCACAAGCGAGTGAGCTGACACAATGATGATTTGGCGACGGGTCTTGTTACAGCTTCAAATCCATCGTTCTCTGGATGCGCAATAAGAGAGAATGCTCCTGCCGCGGGACGGGATTCAGGCCTGTATATCAAACATCACGAATAGTACGTCACTGAGCCCGACTTGGCGGCATGCGACAAGGCCATCGTCTCAATGGACAGGTTCCATCTGTCGCATGCATATGCTGTACCATTTCGAGCTATCCATGTCCACTATGGGCCCGGTAACAACCTTAAGGTGCGCCACGTGTGCATAGCACATCGGACCGGAAGCCCTGCCCTGAGATTCGAAGCGTGGAGAGCGCAAGTCAAATCGATCAAGGCCGATCGTCGACGCATCAGGAAGATGAAACAGATGCGGTGAAGGGATATGCTACTTCTAAACATGCTGCGCGGCGTACCACAGTTGGATCTGGGGAAGCGGTGTACATACAGTAGGCTCTGTAATGCATAGTGCATCATTTGAGCGTAGGTACCATTCATCTCGTCCAAGGCCGGAGAGGTCCAGAGGGCCGGGTACCCTGCGTCGATCTCTTGGCACCGACTGCAGGCGGGAGAAGATCTAATCTAATCTCATCTCCGCGTCCGCAAAAATTTGGTGAGAACCACCGGCACATGCATGCGCCCCGTCGTTCTTTCCCAACCAACCTTAAACATGGCAGGCCCCAAGGTGCATGATGGTGCTGTCACTGGCCCAGTGAGCAAGCGGCAAAAAATACAGAGTAATGCCGAAGAGAGCTCTGCGCCACTCGTCCGCCAGTCCAAGATATTTGCGCCGTTCAGAGTAAGCTCCACCGGCGTCCTCGTCAAGTTTTGCGCACGACTGACCGAACATAGACAGTAGGCCTTGTGTCGCCAACCAATGTTCCCTTCACCTCGCTTCCGCTTGGAAAGACTACCTTCCAAATCACAACCTCTGTCGGCCGCTCCCTTCAGACTTATGATCTCAAGCGCGGTCTCAACCTCGTCTTCATAACCCGCCCGCAGACTCCCGAGGATATCACAGCAACGCTAGCATGGAAAAAGCTTGTCTTTGCAGCCTGGTCTGGCGCAGAGAGCGAATCTGAGCGCGGCGTCTGGGTTTTCCAGCGCGGAAAGAAGGTTGGCGAGCTAGAGCTACCTCGTGGTGGCATTGAGCGCATCACGAGACTGGTCGTCCTTGGAGAATGGATCGTGGGATGCGGCAGCACCAAGATTGACGTCTGGAGAACAGCGACTTTGGAACACTACACTTCTCTCCAGGGCGCCTCTGCCAGTGAACTCTCGGGCTGCATCTGCAACATGCCCACCTATCTCAACAAAATCTTCGTCGGGCGAAAAGATGGATCCGTCGAGATATGGAATATCAGCACCGGAAAGCTATTGTATACGCTCCTTCCACCCGCCGCAGACTTTGGTTCCGTGACCGCACTGCAGCCGACGCCAGCCCTGTCGCTCCTCGCCATCGCATACGAATCGGGTCCTGTTACGATACATGATGTACGTGCGGATAAGGAGGTAATGCGCTTGAACACAGGTGGCTCGCAGAAGCACCCAGTGACGTCCATTTCCTTCAGGACCGATGGTTTGGGCGCTGGGAATGATGGTCGCGAAGACGGTGTTATGGCGACGGCTAGCAGCGACAGCGGCGACATTGCATTTTGGGATCTCAACAAGGGTGGTCGTAAGACAGGTACCTTGCGAGGAGCTCACAGTCCACCCCCGTCTGCAAGCGGTGGTGTCGGTGGAGGTATCAGCAAGATCGAGTTTCTGGCTGGGCAGGCCGTCATTGTATCGAGTGGCTTGGACAACGCGCTGAAAAGTTGGATCTTTGACGAAACCCCCTTCTCACCTGTACCGCGCATCCTACATTCTCGCGGCGGACATGCGGCGCCAGTCTCGACCCTCCGTTTCCTCCCTTCCAACTCGGATGGCTCTGATGATGTTGGCAAATGGCTTCTTAGCGCGAGCAAAGACCGTAGTCTATGGGGCTGGAGTCTGCGACGAGATGGACAAAGCACAGAGCTCAGTCAGGGAGCCATTCAGAAGAAGGCCAAGAAGATGGGTCTGTTGGCCGGAAATGATGAGACATCGAGGAACTATAACAGGTTGGAAGATCTCAAGGCTCCCGCTATCACCTGTATGGCGTGTTGTCTCAATCGCGACGGTGGCGTGGGGGCAATGCCTGGCGTGACTGGCATCTGGAACAACTCATCCAAGATCAAAGGACAACCCAAAAAAGCCACAGAGGTCAACATGACTGGATGGGAGAGCATTGTTACCGGACACGCTGGTGATAAGAAGGCGAGAACCTGGTTCTGGGGCCGCAAACGAGCAGGAAGATGGGCGTTCGATACAGGCGACGGAACCGAGGTCAAGAGTGTCGCAGTCTCAGCCTGCGGCACTTTTGCTTTGATTGGCTCTGCTGGGGGTTCCATTGACATGTACAACCTTCAATCTGGCCAATTTCGACGAAGATTTCCCGCTCGACTCACTCCGGTGGAGGCAAAGCGGTACAAACTGCAACAATTACAGGCCCAGGACGTCGCCGATGATTCTCCACGCAAGTATGCAAAGGGAGAAGGCAAACACAAGGGAGCTATTACCGGACTTGCTGTAGACGGCCTGAACCGCACGCTTATAAGTTGCTCGGATGATGGCAAAGTGAAGGTGAGTGAAGCATCCCTTTTAGCTGGGTAATACTGACATTTGATAAAGTTCTGGGACTTTGCTACAGGTATCCTACTGCACGAGATCGACTGGTATCCCATGACCAAGATACTTGGCATCCGCTATCATCGAAACAGTGATCTGATAGCGTTGAGCTGTGACGATAGCTCCATTCGGGTATTGGACATTACGACTAAGAAGCTTATTCGAGAGCTCTGGACATCTCGATCCCATGCTGAGCTGCAAACACTCGACTATACATTTTCGAGCGATGGTCGATGGATCATCTCTGCTGCATCAGACTCTACTGTCAGGGTCTGGGATCTACCGACTGGCCATCTCATCGACGCAATGAGGCTACCAAGGAAATGCAACACAATGGCCTTTTCACCTTCTGGCGAATTCCTCGCCACTGGGCTCGAAGGGGAGGTTGGTGTGCACATCTGGACGAATCGAACGCTCTTCACGCATGTATCGACACGCCAGATAACAGAGGACGACATTGCCACAGTCAGCGCACCTACAGCATCCGGCGAGGGTGGTGTTGCTGTTGTTGAAGCTGCCACTGAAGAGCAGTCAGAAGACGCAGATGGTGACGAGGTTACCGTTCCGATCATGGATCAGCTTAGTGACAAGATTACGACTCTCAGTCTAGTCCCAAAGTCTCGTTGGCAAACGTTGTTACACCTCGACGTAATCCGTGCTCGCAACAAACCGAAAGAAGCCCCCAAGGCACCAGAGAAAGCCCCATTCTTCTTACCATCTGTCGGCCAAACCCAGACAAAAGGAGCAGAGACCGATGCCCTTACGTCACTCGATCAAGATCCAAAGTCTCGCATATCCAGCTCCGCGCTTGCTTCGCGTTCTAGCGCCGCCACAGCTACAGATGAGTTCAGTCGCCACCTTGCGCATGCAGCCGAAACCGCTGAATATACGCCTCTCCTATCCCATCTTGCTTTGCTTCCACCTTCTGCCGCCGATATCGCAATTCGCACCCTTGACACTACCGAACCATACACAGAGCTACGGACGTTCACCGAGGCGCTCACGGCACGATTGAGACAACGTCGAGACTACGAGCTTGTACAGGCATGGATGAGTGTTTTCTTGCGACTACATGGGGATATTGTTGTCAAAGACGCTGAACTAGTGGGGCAATTGAGGAAATGGCAAGAGGAAGCAAAGAGGGAAAGAGAGAGGGTGGGTGGACTTGTTGGGTATAGCGTAGGCGTTGTGGGATGGGTTAGGAGTACAAGGTGAGCCATGAATGGACAATCGAAAAGTTGTTTAAGCACGTTTACCGCACGAGCTGTTGTTCGGAGTTGCCGGCACTCCCTTGGTATGTGTGGTCGCACAAAACTGAAGTCCCCATTCCTTCGCTTTCGGATCAAATCTCAGACCTGCATTATCGCATTACTATACCTACTATGGCATACGTCATGTTTCCCACAAAGGTGTCCATGGTTTTGACGCTCGGTCGTGCCTTCCCTTGTGGCAGCTACCGACGAACACGCAAAGTAGGATCTTATCACGTGCCCGTTCACATGCGGATCAAAACGACCGCATTTTGCTACGCCTTCGATGTAGCCTTTGCGCCTGCTTGTTCGTATTAAGACATATCTTATCATAGAGTTGGTTGTCGAGTCCGCATGTTACGGTCTTGCCGCTCGGTCGTCCCTTCCTTATCACCTCAAAACAAGCCACCATTACGGCTAGCGCGGCGAACCAGCTCCAAGCCGTGGGGTTAAAAAACATTCCCTTGCAACTACAAACTTCCCTTTTCGCATTGCATATCTTGTCTTGCAAATCGCGTTATCTCTGAGCAATATTCATCTTTCAATATCCAATCTTTGCCCCTGCAGATCTTCCATCCTTGTGTAACTAATCCACAATGCTTGCACAACAGGCCAAGCAAATTGACACCACTCGCGCAGACAGCGGCCGAACGTCTCCATCCAGAAAAGGGGAGAAACCCCCGACAACTTACATGTTTATCGACTCTAGCAACGGCGGTATCAATGCAAAACCAGACAAGGTCGTCAGGTCCTTCGTTATGAAGTCAGCTCGCAACAAGAAGCCTTGGAGTACTAGACCAAAGAGCCCGAAATCGGAATCGACTTCGAATATCAAGGCGAGTCGAGGGACTTCATGTCGTTATAACGCACCACCTCAAGCTAGCAACACCCATGCACTGGGGTGCGGCTCGCCTCTGATGCCCTTGGAGAAGTGGACGGTTACATCGCGAAGTAGCAGCAGGAGCAACAGTGTATTTTCCAGTAACAGCAGTACTTGGACGGGTAATAGTCCCGTGTCCAGGTACACCAGTCCATGTGCAGAGAACAACTATGCAGACGAAGCTTTCAACTTACCAAATACTGAACGACCCTCACTGTCAAGCCAGAGCACCCTCTTCATACGCTCACTAGGATCGTTTGACTGCCTATCAGTGCAACTGGACACCAAAACGAAGTATCTACTTCATCAGTGTAAGTTGGGATATCAGCGCATGTTTGTTTTTCACTAACAAGAATAGTTGTTCAAATGTCCACACCACGCCTGTTACCTATAGATCTACACAGATTCTCAGAAGTAGCAGCTACAGAGTGGATTTCCGCTTGTATCCATAGCCCTATGGGAGCTCCTTTCGTCTACGCAGCACTTACCCCCGCATCTCGGGCTACGAAGATCGATACAGACGCTTATAAATAGCGTGCCATCTCCGAAGTCAACAGGCTGCTTTCCGATCCGAGCAAAAGCACAGATGATACAACTATCGCTACTGTTCTCATCCTGCTTGCGCTAGAGGAAGCCGATCTTGCAGACCTAGGGAAGAAGGGAGATGATAGAAGGTGTAGCGTGAGTGTGAGCAATGCTCATCTCAGTGGATTGCGGACGATGATAGCGCAGAGAGGTGGGCTTGCTGCACTGAATGGAAATCGATGTTTGCAGGCGTTCATTCTCATGTGAGTTCGTCTTAGAAGGTCCCCAATTCCTAGAGGATACTCTCGCTTCTTGTCTTCCTCTGAATCTTTTGGCGAGTGTTTGCTAACAGTTTATAGGCACAGCATCGCTCAATCAATCACAACTTTTAAGCGACCCTACGCGCTTCTAGTCAGCGCAAACAAGCAGATAGACGACTACGCTACTCTCTCATTTCATTCACCACATTCTTTCACGAACATGCTACGGCAATTTCACAATCTTGGCATTGACCGTGGGCTATTCAACATCACTCCTACAATTGCAGTTTTCATTTCTGACCTTACAAGCTGGTACGATACTGGAAATTGTCCAGTCGACCCCTTGGATCTACAAAAGCACGCGAGTCTCCTACTATACAGACTCTTCAATTGGTACGATAACAACCAGTATGACCGGAACCAACACGATAATTCCCAGTCGACTGTCAGTGAGAGCATCTGTCTCGCTCTTATTATTTTCATGGTTGTCGCCCCAGAGCCAAATGCGCAGCCCCTTGGTTGCCGTCTCTCACGAGTTACGACGAAGCTCCAAGACACTGCAGCACATACCCATCTACAAATGGTCCAGCGCCCCTGACCTCTTATTCTGGACACTCACGATCGGTGCCTTGGGAGCGAAAAGCATGTCCAAATGCTTCCGAGCCAACTCTGGTCAGAACACTTTGCCATATTTCTCGCAATACTGTCGCAACGTTGTTGGTCTACAAGCGATATTCTCCAGCGATCAAATGCTCGAGCGCATGAAGAGCTGCGTATAGGTACCTTGTAACCTTGATGAAAGAGTGAAGAGACTGTGGATGAACATGGGACTCTGCAGGGCAGAAGTGCTCGATGCTGAAGACATGAGCACAAGCAGCGAGGGAGAGCGCGAACAAATTGACGATGAATACACCGTAGGCCAAAGTACAGCGATGAGATTTTTCGGCAACGATGGGAAACGTTGAATGGGGGAAAAGCGTGGTAGGATAGTAGAATCAAACGGCTCAGACAATTTCCTACATCCCCACTTTTTATCTCAACATCCAGAGATAGGGGAAGTGTCCCTTATAAGAGGAGTCTCTTGGGCACGCTCTTCCCAGTTTTTGATATCAGGTTCCAGCATCATGAGTAGCCCAGGCATCATCTTCGCCATCTCGTTCCCTGGGTCTAGCCAAATACTTGGCGCAGAACTATACGGTTGCAGACCCCCTTTCGCACGACGTAGTGCATAGGCTGGATGTGTAGATCCGTATTCTTCAGTGTATGCTTCATAGTCTATTGGTGGGAGAGTGTGTGCTTTCTTGGATGATGGTGGTGACTGGGATGGTACGGTGGTACATGTATCGTGAGATTGCTTCATGTCTTTGTCGGATTCAGACCAAATAGATGAACCAAACATGTGAATCGTGATATGAACCTTGTTTTTTTGTGTGAAGTGGTCTTGTTGTGTAGTGTGCCTGTGTTTTTTTCAGTGGATATCGTCGCGTCTTGTTTGTATCCTGTACTTGACTTGACAGTGATCACCTTCTCGCCCACATAACCAGTGGCGAAGCCCTTCTTATGTTTGAGGGAAGCATAAAAAAAATTCGATAATACCAGTGCTGCACAGATACCTAGCCCATGACACAGACCTCCGTCGTCCCGCAGCATGCAAGTCCAACCGTTCACTCCCAGCTCGCATGACAGCCCACATGAGTCATGAAACCTGCTTCCGTATGTCTACAGAACATTTTGAAGAACTGCACAATGTATTCCCAGCAGGTTTATCAGATCGTTCCTTCCGAGGATGACCAACTTACCATCTTTTCTCTGCAACATCTGCAACCAACCTCACTACATCAATACAGCGATTTCCTCTTCATCTTTTCTTCTTGAATACTAAACATACGTCGAGATGGCATACTTACTCCTCCCCTCGGATACAACGACTGAGTCAGTCCAGGAAACACATACACCCCAAACTATTCCTATTCGGTTTGCTGGAACGACAAGTGGAGATATGGCGTACAACTACAACCCCATCGAACATAGCAGCGAGGAAAGCGAGACTAGGAGATCTGGTGGAATCATATATGCAGACCTGTACGAGCCCTATGAAGTGGAAGCTGCGGTGCCTACGCCTTTGGTGTGGGAGAAACAGGCCCGCGCCCCAGCTGCTCAAGCTCTACCTTCAAGACCAACGGAAGCTCATATCCGCCGTTCTTACAGCGATCCTTCTCCATATCGGGGTGCTAGGGTTCAACAGCATCGTGGTAGTGGTGGTGTTGCATCCTCATCTACAGGACGAGTCACCCGTCAATCACAATCACTCCAAGCACGACCACAACCACTTCCCCATGACGAGCCAACCCCCCAAGCTCCTTCACTATTAACATATCACACACCACAAAACCTTGACTGGCATGACACTACACGTCGTCCCAACCCTCGCCCTCAACTCCATCTCTCACACATCCCAACACGCGACTACGAACGCCCTTCCTATGGCCCTCTGTGCTCCCCTCTCACACACAACGAAAATTTTTTTGACGACACGATCTTCACACCCTTTACCGCAGACTCCGCTGTGAGCCTCCGCCCTACCCGCCGCCGTGCTTCCGACGCTGGTGCCCGTCAGAACCGCATCTCACTTGCGCCTTTGGAGGCGCAGTATATGCGACGTGATATACAGGGGTTTAGGGTACTTTCTACGACGTTGGGTCGTCTTAAGCACATGGGTAGGGTGGTTGCTGAGGGTTTTTGGAAGGATCGGCCTTGAGAGGGGTTTTGTGGGGTTTTGTGGGGTTTTATGGGGTGAGTGAGACATGAAGGGGTTGGGGCTGGGAATTGGAGGTTTGAGATGTCTTGAGGAATTTCGCAACAGTGTCTGACTTGTAGAGGTTGAACTGTCGTGGATTGATTGGTTTAAGTGCAATTGTGGAGGATCATTCTCATATTTATGCGCGTGAATGCTGTAGAGAAGTGAACAGTGAATAGAACAGTGATAGTTACGGCAGCTTAGATGTATGTCTATCTGAATGAAGTTTGTTTACCGCGCAGAGAAGCTTCACACGTTTTAATCCACTGCGAAAACATGTTTCTTAGACTGAATTCCTGCTTGTACGATCTGAGACGGGGGGAAACACATCCCAAATATATGACTTCTCAGCAACGCCAACATGCACCATTGTACCCACAACCAGATTTGATCAAGACCACTAGCCTCACCCAAAGACACCGATCTACGCTCGCAAGCAGGTATACACAGAAGCAGAAAAGATAGTGGTATACCGGTATGCCTAACCTTCTAACTAGATGCTTTTTCTCCTAGTATCCCTAGTCATCCTCCCTACCCGTAAAGAAAGCCCAATTCAACCTTACCTCACCAGCCACAACAGCACATCAAACCCCACTCACGGACATGCTATGCTGTAAACGCCCAAATAGCCGTAACGGCCGTACCCTACCGCACGAATCCCCACCCCACTGCATAACCCCCACCGCACGCACCCTCAACACCAAACCCAAATCTCACGATATTGCCGTGCATAGTCTATCCCTACTACCACGTACATCCGAGGCTCGGACGAGCCGTGATCGCCTCATGTCAATCAATACCCGTGGCCCCCACTTTTTACCCTGCAGGAAAAACACAAATTCCTGCCTGGTCCCGTGGATGGCCAATGCATGCATGCAGTAGAAAGAAATGACATGATGGAAAACTTTTCCACGATAGTGGTAGAAAATTCTAGTCTGGGAGGCTAGGAGCAAGGAGCCACCACCGGGCATGTTCGGCGAAAGAAAAGTTTCCCGTCATGGTGTGGTTGGCGCAGGTGCGGGAAGGGCAAATGTTTGCTAGAAAGGGGTTTCCGGCTGCTGGTTTGATTGCTGGGATGGTCTTTAGTGCAAATTGAGATTTGCGGTAACTAGAGTTGCGGACTACGTATGCGTGGATAAGTTGATGGTGGTGAGATTTTTTCCCTCTTTACTAAGCTGTCCAAGCTATCGAAACGGAGGAAGGGGTTTTCTTCGTACGAACTGCGAAGGTCGTGCTTGCCTCGGCACGGGATGACGCGAGGGTAAATTTCATCATCCGTTTGGCCAGAAAGCAAATAAAAAACTGCCGTCATGATTACCCAGATATATTCGGCTTGTAGTTAGTCCACCCTCTCATGCACATGTGAAAAACACGGTGGGTCGGACAGTCGGAAATCAGAAGCCGGACAAGATCGGAACACCACGGCAATGTCGAGAGACCGAAAAACCGATGTATCTCGTATATCCAATATAGCAACGGCAGGTGACAAGTCGTTCGTGGCTTGCGGTACTTACCCGAGGAAACCGTTATCCATGGCAGCCGGCTGTAAGTCACATGATCGGCTATGTCAGCAGCCGTGGATGGCATAGGATAGTTTTCCGATGAGAAAGGGAGAACAGCATGTGAAAACCAGGTTTTGATCCATAATTAGCGAGCGCCCGCCGGCCCAATCGGATCCACCCATGGCGATAGCGGGCTGAGACCCTGGTTTGCGACGATCGACGGAAACCATGTCACATCGAATCGCGCGGTGTCAGAATCGCTTATCGAACATGGATCGGTCGAGACCTTCCGCAACCTTCGCGATGAGCGCACAGAGCTGCTTATGATCGGAGGATATAGCAGCATCTGGGCACCTGGGAGTCCAGGAGAAACCAAGAGAAACCGATGACTTGTTCATCTGGCGTCTTGAGACATGGCGGCTGATCCTATACTATTCCTTCCCTTATCTTGTCGCTTAACAAGTTAATCCCCGGAGCTGACATGATCTACAAGACAGCTTGCTACTACTCTTCTATTGGAGAGGATGCGTTAAGCCTCACCTCGTCGTCCCTGCCGGATGCAGCAAGGTCTAGAATCCTGCAAGACAATCCAACATGACAAGGCGCTCCATGCTGAGTGAGAAGCCCCTTTGCATGCTTCCCAGTAAAGGAAGTATATATCAGCATAGTTGGTTGTTGAGCGTGGGCCTGTTTCACCAACATTGGAGGGACGCTTGGTTGAGCGTTGTCCACGATTGTTGGTGTTGATGACGGGGCCATTTTGTCGCGTAGACGAGTTGATGGCGGGATCGGGATTCGTCTGAAGCACATGGCCCTTTTCCCTGTTTGACGTGACAAAAAGCGCGGGACCTAGCATCAAGGTTATGAAGGCAGCGGCGTCTGGTAAGAGTAAGCTTGCGGTCCAGAACACAAAATCAAGGTGTTGAGTTGGCATTGTTGCCAGCTCACCGTCGCTGCAGCGACTGGTACGTGGTAGTGTAGCGGTGTCCGTAATGGGTAAAGCAGGGTTTCGCTTCATTCAAAGCCCTGCGTATTCCGTGTGTCGTATAGCTGAGCGAGCTACGCGCGAGCTGAGTACTTGTTTCAGTTCCGCCCGTCCATCAGCCAGACACAAGGCAGCGTGGCATAAACATGGTGAATGAGCTAGTTGGGCCATGTCGTGCTTGTACCGTTGTGGTGTGTCTAGTATACGTGTCTAATCAATCCAAGACCAACCCACGGCTGAAACACGGTGCTATTGCGCACATGGATAATGATAGTATTCGTCAAAAGTCCATGGCTGCGCACAGTCGTGTTTGGAATGTTCCGTAACATGGCTGGACCGAAATTTGTTTGATTCTCACACTTTGTTGTGGTGTTTCGAGAAAAGCACCGTGGAGTATCACCGCCGCCGCTATCGCCCGCGACACAGTGGAGCGTGGGGAAAGGGAGAGATGGTGATCAGCGCTGTAACTTCCTGATGCAACTTGTGACAAGCTGTGGATTGTGGAGAGGGAGGGAGGGGCTTGGCTCTTGCGTGATTCAAGGAGGTCCCTGAGCACATGGACTCCGCGCGTCGCGATGCCATGGTCGGGTTACTGTACCAGTACCATACCAAGATTTGAGCGGAGTAAAGTGGAAGATGTCATGTCTTGGGTACACGGATCATCCGCTTTCTCAATGATCCGCCTTCCGTGGTGCAGACTATTTTCCCGTGTTTCGACCGAGCGGAACACCAGACGTTGACCGAACTTGGTCGATCTCTTCTTCCATCGGAGGTTTACAAGTCCCGAACTCGTACTCGTGTCCACACGCAGCGCAATCTTCTCGGACCATCACAAATTCTGTGTGCCGACCGGTTGCAAGCGGCAGGGCTTTGCATACGCATGCTCCAGGCAGTCATGTCTAGGATTAGGCAATCACTTCGTTGGTCATCTGGGCGGTGCGTGGGGCAGTGCGGTCAGTGAGTACGCATCAGCAACAAAGTCTCTGATCGCGTCTGCATGCGGGGACGCGAGTAAAAAGGGAGATCATATCGCCTCACCGGAAGCGGCCTTTCAGCAGGAAAGCGATGCGACGAAAGCGTCACTTTGAACTATGCGAGGCGCCCCTCGGCGACTTGGAGCCGCGGGCCCGCGACGCGAAGCTCCTCGCCCTGTGATGCGGGGACCAGGGTCTGACGCACTGTGCAAAAGTCGGTCAACCCCCAAATTTTTACGGCAGAACGGGTATGACTGGGCAAATTGCGCATCGCAAAGCGAGCACCACGGATATGCGTCGTGTGCCGTACATGCTGCTGGTTGTCATGCGTATGAGGGAGGGGTGCCTGTGACTGAGGGTGACATGGCCTGATTAGCATGCAGCGTGCAGAGATAGCGAATGCGTCACCTGAGAGAAAAGTGTGGTGGAGTTTGTTTTCTTGGAGGTCGATCAATATGATGATGATTTAATTTTCTAGCTATGACGGGAGCCTCAACCAACTGGTCTCGGGAGATCTCAGACCGTTCGCCACAGAAATTCCCCCCCACTGTCCATGTTCCTTCTAATCGTGCAACGTAGAGTAGAGTAGAGTAGAATAACTTCCGGATATCGTCGCGAACCCATTGCCACTGCCGTGTGGTATATGCCAACAGTAAAAAGAGAGGATATATAGTGCCCAAACAAATAAACGCCACGCTATGTTGTAAAGAAATCGCTCGCTCGCTGAAAAATGCTGTATCAAAATCAAAAGGTCGGAACATGTTGGTGTGCTGGCCTAGTAACTTGTGATGAGCGGCGCGCTTGTGTCCATGAACAGCGGGTGGTCGTCTTCGAGGTATTGCGGTTGTGACTTTGCGTCGTAGAAGGAAGTGGTGAGCATGGCTTCCTTGTCCGAGAAGTTGAGTGTGGTTTGCGGGGGCGATGCGAGGGGTGTATCGTCGTCCGACTCCTCTTCGTAGGTGAGCTCGGGTGGTGATTGCGACTGGGATGGCACGCGGGTGAGAGCGAGGTCGGCAACATCGTCCATGTCATCGTAGAATTCGTCCTCGTCCTCGGAGTCCTCGTCAACTTCCATGGTGCTGATCTGAACCGGTGATTGAGCGATGCGGCGCGGTATAGGGATCATGTCGAAGTCGTCGTCGTCCTCTGACTCGGAGTCTGATTCTTCGTCGTCGTCCTCTTCAGCAATGCTGTCGGCCCACTGGATGTGTCGGGACTCCTCAGCCTTGGAGGCCTTGGACATGGTCTGGTTGAACCATTGCTCTTGCTGGCGTTCGGCGTCTTGGAGTTCGATCATGAGGCTGTCGAGAAGGTTTGCGTGTCCAACAAGTAGGCGGAGGTCGTGGTCGGCCCTGCATGCCTCCTTGCCCAGCTTGGAGCGGGCAGAGGCGGCAATGTAGTAGGTTTGGGTGAGAGACATCTTCTGCTTCTTCTGTGGTGGTGAAGAGACAAAGTGGGAGCGAGTGGTCTCGGCGGTGAAAGGCTCAAAGGAAGATTGAATGCGGAGGTGTGATGAGGAAGGCATGTTTAAAGTGTGTGTAGGCAGATATATGATTGCCTAAAAAAAAAGTGTGAGTCAGTTTGGTCTATGACTGTAGACAGGACGAGGGTTCACGAACCTTAATAGAGGAGCCAGTAGATGGAAGGTGATCCGAGCTTGCAGTATTCCCGAGATGGTTGATGTAATATGTAGCAGATCAGAATGATGAGCAGTCGATGTCAAGCTGGGGCAGTCGTGTTTAAAGATGTGTCTGTGGGATGGAGTGATGATGGTGGCTTCTGAAGCGCGGGCAAGCGTGTTTCTTATGTTTCCCTGACGCATGAAGGATGACCACGATGGTTAACGGGGTGCTCGGAATTATTGGCATGTTTCCACCGCTCTTGGCCGAGTCGGTGAGCTAACACACTATGATTCACAAAGGCTGCAGGGGTGGTAGCGCGGCTTACCATGCCCCGTCGCCGTCGGTCGTAAAGACTTTCGCCCGCATCCACCTGTACGGGCGTTACGAAAGCGGAGACCGGAGCTTGGGCGGATATACAGACTTGCCATGTTAATAATCACAGAGGGCGTGGTCGGCGTTTACTGTGTCGCGATGCATGCCATCACTCACCCGGTGCAGCCATCACGCTGGCCGAGTCATCGGCCTTGACTGCACATGGCACTCTTTCGCTCTCGCTTTCTGACCAGGACACTATCAATTTTTGCTTTTCACCTCCCCCTTGCTAACGACAGCTTGGGCGGTGCGCTGTCCAGCTAGAGCTTAGGGGTGCTTGGGCGAAATTGAAATTTGACGCTGCCTGGTGCCTTGCCTGGCTGCCTGGTGTTCCAGGATGCGCTGTCGTAAGGCTAAGCCACGGGCCTCTCCACCACCAGAGCGGTCAGCCCTTTCATCTGTGGCTGTCAGAACGTGGCCCCGTCGGCGTCGCGTTTAGTGGGTCAGCTACACCCTTCATTGCCATTGTACCGTACACTGCCTATGCGGTTGGGTTGCGCGTGCCATGGAATTGCCGACCTGGACGCGAGGCTGTCGGGCCCGAGGTAGCTGAATGGGCTCCTGGCGACTGAATGGGCTCTCTCTATTCCCCTAATCAGGCTTACACCGCGAAACCAAGATGCAAGGCGCAGGCGGACAAACTATGCCAACTGTTAGCACCCAAACCTGTCCACTGCGCCCGGAACCGTTCATGACTGTTAGTCGTCATCTCCGTCGGCCACTGGGAACCATGGTTTCCACGCCTGCCTAGTAACAACCAAGTCGGCATTTCGGCTCTCTGAGCGCTTTCGTCCGGCCACGCCATCTCGTCATTTCACAAAGACACATAACGTTACCCCCGCCTCAGCCAAAACAAATCACAAAGGGACAAGCTGTCTAATCAAACCCCATCACCAAACCAGGGCCGTCTAGCTACTCTAACGCCGCGATTACAAAATCTCCCATCTGCCTCCATCTAAGAGCGCGCATGCCATTGGTGGAGCCCTGGCTTTGTCATGGCTGCTGAAAAATGCCGTCTGACAAAGCCCCCCACCAACCCTGCATACTGAACCTCCCGATATCAATGACATGATCATGCGCGCAAGTCTTCCGACATCATGCCAATATTCCATCTTGACTGCTCCGCAATCGGATGCAGATGGATTTCGCTTCATTTTGCGCGACGGCATTTTCGCATTCAAACCATGTTGAGATTTACGCCGTCGTATCATTGCCATACTCAGGAACAAACAAAGCGGTGACCACTGCGCTTACCCACGTCTGCTGTAGTACCCGTCTCCGCTCCGCCTATCCACTGCACCGGCTCCGAGCGCGGGCGTGCTTTCAGGACGAACGATCCTAAACGAGAAAAGCTGATTCGGTACCTATACCGGATTGTAACTGTGCGCTGCATTCGTCCAGCAGTGCACCGCCTTTTTGTCGTACGAAATGTATCGACCCAAGCTAGCTGCAAATCAATATCCGTTGTTTTGGTCCTCCCCTAACTTCACCGCTGAACCTGTACGAGGCTGACCACGAGATGGCACGCCCGACGGACTGCGGTCTACGTATATGCAAGCTGCGGCGCTGTAGCAACGCAATCCTGCCATGTTACTTCACTACTAACGACGGATATATGAACCGTCCGTCTGCCAAGCAGGGTATTTGAGTCTTGGGCGCCTCAGCCACCACCTGTCCACGACGACCAGAACCTCGCGTCAAAACCTCCTCACGAAGACCGCTCAACACGATTGCACAGTCAGCACGTACATTCCTTAGCGCTGCAGTTGTTTGTCGGGGAAAACACTCGGCCGCCAGCTTATTGGCATCAGTGCTGAATCATCCCACCTCACAACAATGACAGACAGCCTTAGCGGCATGAGACTTTGCTACAAGGTTACCGGATCCGACGGGTTTAAGGAAAAACGCTCACAGGGACTAGCGGCCAGTATGTAAGCCGTCAACTTCACATTTATCTCCGGGAATACTCCAGAAGACGCAATGGTTTGACAGGATGCTGAATAACCACCAATACCCTGCAGTCCTACAGCTGCAGCTTGTCTCGTCTGCATACTCTGACGCACCTTCACTAAGCCATAACATCCCGCCGGTCCTGTTTGCAATGTGGAATATCTGTCTAGGTTTTGCCTGAAGCGTTTTGCTAACGCTTTCGCATTGAAGGGCTTGGCGCGATTCGTCCCGACCCTCACCGGCTTCCATGCATCACTAAGCATCGGTTTCCCTGTATTGATTCCCCATACTTGCCTGTCACCAACGTGGAAGAATGTCACATCTTTGTTTCTTCCCTGTCGGCGATGCGACAATCGTACGAACAGTGCATGAAGATCTAGGCTCATACGAAACTTGGCAGAATTGACTTTTCAGGCATCGTACTCAACATCTTATCGTCAATGCTTAGTGAGGACCGCTTGCTAGCATCGAGCTTTCATCAGCGGTTCCACAAGCCTCCGGCCTCAGAGATGTCATGCTTCCATGTCTACACATGCTAACGCTCGAGGCCATGTTACGATCGTGGCAAATGTCGTCAGTGACTTCCAGCACCGGCGTCGCCGGACTCACCGACGTTCAAAAGCAAGGAACTCGACAACACACTTTCAGGGTCCGGTCCATCTAACATTTGTATTCAACAAAAACTCAATGCAAATGTGGAGATGACGGTACCGAAGCGGCACCGAACGACACAGGGGTGGGCAGAAGAAATATGAACTCCAAAGCCTGCCTAGAAACATTGCCCTGGAGTAAGGGCACATGAAAGAGCGGTGTCCAGGCTAGAGTTCATTTTCGCAAAACCATCGATACCGTCCATCTATCATGGCCCACCGCATTGAAACGGTGAACATGAATCCTGTGTCCACCCACTCAACATACGCCACATGCAAAAAGCTGGCGATCTATCCTGGTCGAATACGCGTTCTTCGTATATTCGTCTCTGTCCTTTTTCCTCGCCCTCTCATTTGATTTGGACCCAACAACTAATTCAATAGCTTACGAGGCTCTAGATGAACGTGATTGGTTGTCTTTCGAAATCTTGATTGGCATCGCCATTCGCCTACAATATCGCTTTCGCTCTCGGGTTGACACTCGAGACACTGTTGAGTGATATGCTCGTCGATAAGAACCAGATCAGAATCCGGGTTTTCTTTGAAATCTACGCGAGCCGTAGTATCCTGAGTATCTACATCTCGACTGCACCGATTGCGAAACCTCATCTGGGACGGGGTGTAGTCACTCACTGCAGCTTCCACTCCCACTGCGATAGGTGATCCACACAGCGATTTGAGACATGGCATGATAGATGGTATCTCCGAGAAAATTTCCATACCTCTTAGTCCTGCAGCGCACAATACGCAAGCTGCGGTTAACACCATGGATACGGACATGCAAAGCAAGGGCACCGTACGATGGGTTTTGCGCCGGAGAGTTGAAGTTGTACGACTATGGCGCCGACAAAAATTCGGAACCCCAGCCGGAACATAAACGACAAGTACCTTGTCAACAGGGTAGCGTACAATGCAACAGCATGCTAGTGGGCAAAATATCATCTATTCACCGGAGACGGCGCGTCGGAGCAATAAGTGCACGCATGAAGTGCTCGCTTGGATAAACGAACCACACCGTGATGGTATCGGAGATGGATGTCATCTGTCAAACCATACTGGGTTATTGAGTGATTACGAGATTTGTTGTTGGAAGGCAACGCGAGAAACAAGGTTCTGGGAGAAATGTTTGACAGCGGCGGCATGGTCGTGGTAGTGCTTACTACGGGCCGTAGCCTGTTACTGATCGTGAAACTGCTGGCTTATTGGTGGTAATATATACTTCAAACTCGTCACGGCCGTATGTACCTCGCTTACACGACGAGGAGTTGTATGCGGCAGGATGCGATATCCGGGCCTCGTGAACTTTGTGTTTCCAGAGGCTAATGTCATGGCGAAGTATGGTTTACGAGTCGATCGTTGGCATTTGCTCCCCACATCATTAGTTACGCTTGTTTTCACGGCTCATCTGGTACTTTCTTGGTATTGTAATTTCAAGCAACCGACGCTGCTGCCAACGGGGACTTTGCTGGACTATCTTACGAAACAAACAGGTGTTCACGAACATTGGTCGTACTCGCATGCGTGTTGGAGATTCACGTAATGTCTGTTGGCGAAGACACCAAAGCAGATTCAGGGACTGAGGTAGGGATGAGTGCCATGGAATAACATGCACGGTAGTGATGGTCGCACAAAAACATTTATTCCAGAACATATGCATAGTGACTATACAAATTTTCAACCGCATATCTCTGTTCAAGAACACTTGTAATAAGTCTGATGTCAACAACAGAAAGTACCCCACGTGGTACGCGGGTCTGTGGCGTTGCTAGGGTTGGCTAGCGCGCAACCCTGATCACAACAAACATTGCATGTGCGTATGTCAACACCAGCCCTACCGCACTCCGCATACAGCGTCACTCACCGACAAATTGCAAACAGATCGACTGCAGCGTTATCGCGTAGATACAACATACAATGGCCGACCCGGGTATGTTCTCGGTGCGCCGCCAAGTAAGTTTATGACGATGACACCCCCCTCTTTTGTCGCATCTCGCTATCGCGTTGAACTTGTCCCTAACAACACGCGCAGACTCTGGGCCCCGTCACCAACAACGTCTCCGCGATTCCCATGCCTGCGTCAGCTATGAAGCGGACCAGTTCCATCAACAATGGGCAACAACATCAGTTCCCGCCAAACCATGCGCGGTCGCAAAGTGGAAGTAGAATGTCCCTCGCGCCCGGTCGCCCAAGTCAGCCCCTCTTCGGACGCTCCTCATCCGGTACAAACCTCGCCGAAGGATTTCAATCGGTGCATCGCAATTCCACAAGCAACTTTGGTGCAAGCAGTGCTCGCAAGAGCTTCGCACCTGGCGCCTCCATGTTCCAGACACCAGCACCGTCATCTTCAGCTCCAACATTTGAGCAAAGCGCACAGCGACGAAGCAGTGTCTTCAAATCACGACAATCACATGGACCTGGTCAATCGGGCGTTAAGCAGTCTTTCTTTCAGACGGCGCCAATGCCCTCGGTTCCCCCCACGGATCCGCGACGCCTGAAGGATGCAAGTACGCGCGCACACATGGCTCAGGAACTACTCGAATATCTAACGCAAAACAACTTTGAGATGGAGTCCAAGCATGTACTGTCGAACAAGGCTATGACATCACCCACACAAAAGGACTTCAACTGCATGTTTCAATGGCTCTACAACCGCATCGATCCCAGCTACAGGTTCCAGAAGTCAATCGATCAGGAAGTCCCAGTATTACTGAAGCAAATGCGCTACCCTTTCGAGAAGTCCATTATGAAATCGCAGATTGCGGCGGTTGGTGGTAACAACTGGTACACCTTCCTCGGTCTGTTGCATTGGATGATGCAGCTAGCGCGTCTCATGCAGGCATACGAGGCTGGTACCTACGATGATGCATGCTTTGAGGCTGGATACGACGTCTCTGGTGACCGCATAATCTTCGACTTTCTGTCAGATGCCTACAGCACATGGCTTTCAGCAGAAGACGATGATGATGACGAAGAGGCACAAAAGAAGCACATGGAGCCCCACATCAGAGCCATGGCTGCAAAGTTCGACGCAGCAAACGCTCAGCACCATGAGCAAGTCAGTTTGTTGGAGGCTGAGCACAAATACCTTCAAGACCAGATTGAAGAGCTAGGAAAGTCTGGCCCAAGGATTCAAAAGCTCGAGGAGCAGATCAGGATTCTGGAAGAAGACCGCGTCAAGTTCGAAAACTACAACAACTCCATGGAGGGCAAGGTCCAAAAGTACACCGATCGCTGCTCGTTCCTAGAGAAGTCAATCGAGGAGATCGAGGCTGAGCTTGAGGCTTCCGAGAAGGAGCAGCAAGAACTCCAGGCCATCATCGACGGCCGAGGCATGACTATCGCAGATATTGACCGCATGGCAAATGAAAGGGATCGCCTTGATACTTCCCTCCAAGCGACATCCGCACGACTAGAAGAGTCGAAGAAGCGTGTGGCAGAAAAGGAATTGATCGCATCACGCAAACTGGATGAGCTCGAACAAACCATTGAGCGATACAACAACCTTGGCTACCAGATTGGCGTCATACCTTCCACAGCCGTCAACGCGAAGGGACAAGACTATGAGCTTGTCCTTACCATAACCGACGGACCCAATTTCTCTGGGTCACAAATGGGCGGCTCATCACAAGATGCCTCCGATCGTCTACTACACGACGCAGGTACAGGCTACTCGCCAGCCCATCTCCTCAACCTCGACCTTCGCGGCACGGTCAAGGCCAACATCCTGGCCCTCCGCAAGGAGATTGCAGAGCGTCGCAACCAAGCCCTAGAAGCCGACATGAACAACCACGATCTGCTCGACAAGATCAAAGAAGCCATGGACGACAAGCAAGCCGAAGTCGAAGCCCTCGGCCACCGCGTTGCTCAAGCCGAAGAAGAACTCGAAAAGCTTCGTGAGATCACAAACACACAAAAGAGCCAGTCAGACGCTCAAATCGAACGCATGGAGAAGGAACTAGGTCGCATGCGCAGCGGCTTAGGTGAATCAGTCCAACTCATGGTCCAACGTGAGATGGCCGTTAACATTGAGTAAGTTTCCTTTGTATTCATACCCAAAATCGCCGTTGCTAACACCCATCCCTCAGATACGAACAACTCCAACTCCGCGCCAATGCCCTCCGCGAAGAACTACACACGGAGATTGAGCGCATGCTTGACGACATTGTCCGCTTCAAACTCCACGTCCAAAAGAGTCTGGAGGAGTACGAGCAGTTCATCGCTGACGAAGTTGAGCGCAGCTGCGAAGAGCAGGATGCACTTGCTGAAGATGGCGAGGAGCAGGATGAGGATGAGGAGATGGTTGATGAGGAGTAAGAAAGACATTCTTTTACTTCTTGTTGTACCGTTTCTTTCGTCGTTGTTGTTGAGACGGACACGAGTGTAACGATTTTTGTGTAATGATGTCCAAGTGTCATGATGGCGTTTTTCGGTCAAACTGGCTGGCTGGTTGGCGGTGTTGTACAAATGTCGGCGGCGCTCCGTTTTTTTTTTTGGATATAAACACACATTTGTGCGCTTTTGTCTGGGAGTTACGGGGGACTAGTGCTGTTCCCCTTTTGCTTACGATTTACAACCCTTTCTGAGATACCTCTTTACCCTTTTTTGGCAAATTCAATTGTTCATAACGCACATCGACTTGGACCCGGTATCAAACTTGTTAGTTCAAAATGAGGAGGTATAATGGTGTTACATGTGTATATTCATACACTTGATACTTGTAGTTGTCTGTACTAAGTGAAGTAGGAACGGGTATCTAATATCTCCTCATCAGCACAAACAACATCCGCATCCGCCCATCCACTCCCAAACCACATGGTTAACCCTATCCAGCCAATAAACCCCTCCCACTCGTCATCATCATATTACTCAGCAACTCAACCTGGCTCCTCAAGCTCGCCATCTCAATAGTCTTCTCCTTGACCTCCTTTGTCTTCTCCGTTAACAACCGCCTCAACTCTGCATTCTCCAGCCGTAGCTGCTCCACTTCACTTGCTACCATCATTCCTGAATGGGCTGGTGTGGGAGGTATGTCGTTGAGCAGAGGGTCGATGCGGGGGTCTTGTCGAGGGGCCGTGAACTTGGGAGCTGAGGTTTTGGTGGCGAGGAGCGATGTGGGCTGGTATATGCTGGGTGGAGGGGGTTGTGGTAGTCTGGAGGGTGGAAGTGGGGCTCGGTGGGTATGCTCGGCTTGCTGTGGTCGTGGTTGCGGGTTGGGAGCGGGTGCTTCGTCGGGTGTAGTAGCGTCGTGAGGTTCGACTTGGACTTCGGCTTCGTCATCTGAGCTGTTGATGCCGTCACCGATTTGTTGACCTGCGGCTTTACGGGCTCTCTTGATCTGGGCTCGTATGTTGTATACGTCGCGTTTGAATATGTGTATGCCTGGGAGCCGTGCCTGCAGGACTTCGACTGTGCGGCCGACGCCTCGATCGCGGCCTTGGTTTGTTTCGCCTCTACGTAGCATTTCCTGCTCGACAATTTTCCAGACGAGACCTCCGCGTTCGAGACTATGCATGTGCTTGTTGGCTGTTGATGATGATGATGATGATGCTCCTCCGGCTTCTTCCTCATCGGCCTCTGCTTCCGCTTCTGCGTCTTCCTGAACGTCCTTACTGTCAGTGAGGTTTAATCTCGCAAGCTCCTCCTTTGCAGTGACACCCCCAACTCCGATGCGACCGCCGACAACGCCCCACGTGCGCTTGCGCTGTACAGCCCACCCCGCACTCTCACGCCCCGCGTGGTTGTGTTGGGGTTCCCCAACACGCAATAGCCAAGTCCCGTCTTCCTGCTTCTTGCCCTCAATCCACATCTTACATCCCGTCTTATAGCTGACCCTGTTCTTCCGGACCCTCGTCTCGGCCGTCAGTTTGTGGGTGTTCTTTGGCTGGCCATAGCAAACACAGGCCAACTTTATCCGCGACCGGTTCTTGGCCGTGGTATTAATACTAAGCGCGTATCCGTGTTCTGAGGCGTGTGATTGCGCAAACTCGTGCAGGGCCTGCCATGACGCGTGGACCGAGTTTGGGGGCGGGAGCATACTGTAATGGCCTTCAGACGTGTCGTCAGTGGCGGGCAGCGGCGGCGGCGCTGGGGTATGCTGGATGCCTAGGTAGGGCGGGTCGGTCGCTGGGTTGTTATTCATAAAGTCATGTTGTTTATCGGGCACCGAGTGATGTAACGCCGAGGACTTTGTCGGCGTGTCGTCAGGGGAATAGCTGTCCTCGCGCCGCTGGCCGCTGTCGGGCATGTTGGCGGATGGTTGCGCATTGACACTGGGCTCATAGCCGGCCATGTCGACATGTTGGGCAGCGACATGATGCCGTGAAGCCGAGAAGGTATGATAAGGCAGCTGTGGGGTCGTGATTGCGTTACGGTGGTTGTACGTCGGGCCTTGGTCGAAGTTGGGACGACGACGGAAAGTGGCTGCCGTCATGGTTGGTTTGATATGGAGCACTCCTACTTGGTGCTACGTTCCGAATCAGGGTTCAACCTTGTGAACTGCGGGCGGGGCTGATAGTCAGCGCGTAGTCAGCGCACATCGTAATCCAACTCAAAAGTTTGCATTGCGCATTGTCCGTCCATGTGACCTTGAGTGCAAAGGACGGTGTGCCTGTGGATACCATGTTTTTCGGACATGTCGCCAATTGGTCCTCAGACCCTTGGTAGAGGGGCTTTACAACAACACAAGCAAATCATGACCTAATATCCAGCCTTGCATAATTGTCCATTGCTCATTTCGGTATCCCCTCATTAGCTCGCCCACTGTTCGTTACCACACAAGTACGCTACACGTATAATCCATCCTTCAATCCCTCAGTGTGACATCCACCCACATATCCTTGATCTCCCATAGCCCCAGCGAGTTGAACGTCTTCCATGGCTCCAACGGATACGTCAAAGCAAGATCGAAATGCCGTAGCAACTCAAACACACACTTATGTATCTCGAGCAAAGCAATATTCCGTCCCAAGCAGAGCCATCGACCGTAACCAAAAATCAAATCATTGGTCCTTGTCATTCTCGCCAAACGCTCCTTCGCCTCATCGTCGCTGGTGTCGAAGAGCCAGCGTTCCGGTCGGAAGGCGGCGCAGTCTTCACCATAGAGGGATGGGTTGTTGCGATGCATTGTCCAAGCTGAGTAGCCGATCAACGTGCCGCCAGGTATGAAGCACTCCTTGTTATCGATAGTCACAACGTCGCCTTCGTCGGGTGTCACTCGGGAAAAGATGTTAGCAACCGGTGGGTGTACCTGGACGATACAGTCAGTTTCCTTTATGAACATGTTGATCTAGGCTTCTAGACTTACCCGCATTGCTTCTCGAATAACAGCACCTAGGTATGGTAGGCGACGCACTTCAGCATCCGATATTACCTCAGGAGGTGCGGGAGCAAGGCCTCTCTTGACTGTCTCATCAACTTCAGCCCGCAACTTTGCATACACACGTGGATGGCTCATGATATGGAGGAGAATAACCCGTATAGCAGCTGAAGTGGTATCAGAGCCAGCTAAGATTTGTTCAAAGACCTCTTGGACTATCACCACATGGTCAGCTACTGCTTGTGTACGCATCAAGATGCATGGACTTACAAAGATCGTCACCCGATACACCATGACGGACAAACGATGCAAACATGTCAGACTTGCCGTCAGTTGGCTTTAGGCTTCTGGATTCAACAATCTTGCGTGCTTGAGCCATCATGTTTCCAAACCCAGTGGCGTCGTTCTCCGAAGGACTAATCGCCGGCCCAATGACAGGCATGTTCTTGAGCCAGCTTATGCCCAAGGCGAATGCCGTATTACCAATCTTAAGGCCCTCCTCACTTGACTGAACATAGTTCCTAAGGTCTTTGTCTGCCTTTAGATCACCAAATGCCTCTCCCAGCCCAACGTGACTGATGACATCTAGGGTGAAGAACGGGATCTTCTCAGCCAAGTCCATGGGTCTTGAGGGCTTAGTCGAGGCCGTGGAAGACGCATACTTGCGTACTAGTTCAACGAGTTCTTTGACATGAACATCTATAGAGGGCTCCAAGTCCGGGTTCTCTTTGCCGGCATACTATTAGTCGTCAGTCAATTGCTTGGTCTTGTCTACGTTGTGGTCGGTTTAGTCGCTTACCCCAGACGTCATCTTCTTTCGTCTCGCATCGTGCCTATCATTGTCACACTCGGTGAAGATATTGTCCTTTCCGGGCTCAAAGCGGGCAGCATGATAGTACCACGTGGATCTCCTGTACGGCGAGCGCACAGCATTAATTCGCGTCCAGAGCTCCGGGTCGGAAGTGATGAGATGATTTGGTGCAATCCGCGCTATCGGTCCTATTGGACGTTGTTAGCTGGGTCGCATTCAGTAGCAGGTCTCTTTCCTGATGCGTACCATACTTTTCGCAGACCTGGCCGTAGTACCTAGGACTTTGACCGCTGATAACGGCCTTTGAATGCCACAGCCAAGAGAATCCCGACGTCGCGGGTCCGCGAAAATGTCTCAGGCGTAAATACTGCCGAATTCGGCCAATGGCGAGGACTGCCACGGCGACAAACACGAGGACATACAGGCGCCGTGGGACACGATCCATTAGCGAAGCGGTGTCCATGCTGACCTGAAGTGGAGTCACAACCGGGTTTCAGGGTCGCTGGTGATGGGACAAAACAACTGAGCGTGGTTCCCTTCAGTGGGGAATCCAGTCCTTGACAGCGCGTGCGGCGCCGTGCGCTATAAAGCTAGTAAGCGGAGAGGGGCACTCGATCTGGTTCGTCAATCGGTTCACTCGGTCAAATAATTGATGGGGTGATGGGGAAGTTGAGCTTCTAGGTAGCTGCACGGCCCGGCACAGCGCTGCGCTGTCAGCCAAAAACGATGAGCTGCATCGAACCCGAGGCCACAGCTAGAAAGTCCCTCACTTGGAGTAGTGAATGCCTAGCCGGGCAAGCGCTATCAATTTCCGGATGTTCCCAAGACGTTCGCGTTAGCGTTATGCTGTTTCGATCGTGCTTCCTGCTGAACTCCTGCAAGATTGATGATTACTCAAGGTATTCTGCAAGCGTAGGCGAGGTTAACTAACTAGAACATCTAGGCGGCCAGGCTCGGCGCTTCGGCCGCCACGTAACAAACCTAGGTACAGTTGCTTCTTCTGCAGTCAGTACACCCGCCGTTGTGGTCATTATCGCAAACTTAGCTACACGGACTTCTTTCGGCAGGCCCAGATGGCGAATCAACGGGGGCTGCGCTCAAATTTCATCAGGACCACGCGGAGCTGTCTGACTCGGGGACACTCGACAGGGCGCTCCCGCAATCCACAAACCACGTTTTGAATCCTGTCTGCATGTTGGTGGAGGCCATCGGACGTCAGCGCCGTTGCGTTCTAGCCTCGTGGAGAGCGGCGCTCGGGCACGTTACCTCCATGTCGTTCCAGCGGCTCTTCAAGATTACTTAACTGTCATGACAACCTCGTCATCGCTTTCTGGACTTGCTTTACAATTCTGTGTCGATTAAGGATCATTTACCAGAGATAGAGTCATTACGTGTACGGTACAAAGTACATTCGCTTACCAGACTCCACACTTCGCCCCGACCCGTTGCTGTATCATTGTGGCACAGTCGCGTCTAAGAAGCCCGACGTTAGCAGATAAGAACAGCGCGACTACAAGCGCCTAAGCGCCAGAGCACATTGTCTCAATTATCATCAGCTCCATACAAGTCTTAGCCACATACACGCTCGATATTTGATCATGGCAGACTCAGGAAAGGGAAAAGGGAGGGCAGTTGAAAACAATCCACCAACAGCATCTAGAAGTGGCTCTGCCGGCGCTGTTGCAGCTGCCTCACCACCCCCGGAGGCTCCCGCTGCTTCCAGCACCCCTCAAGCTTCGGCAGGTTCAGCGCAAGCACCGCTCCCCTCTGAAAATGAGGGTCCCGCTGCATCAGCCCAACAGGTGAATCCTCATGTTGTCGTTGTAAGTATCTTGGGCATCTCATCCCAATTAGCGTACCCCTAGGAGATTTACACTTGATAGTTTAGTCTCTACTCTGTTTCTTGACGACTCCTAACCACCATAGGACAACGACGATACAGACTCAGCACTGGGTGATGATGATGCGATAAGTGACACGACCTCGATCGCGTCTACCATCCACAGGGGCCGCTTCGAAAATGGGCGTCGCTATCACAAGTTCCGCGAGGGCGAGAATGACTACTGGGGTCCTAACGACGAGGTGCAAAACGATCAGCTCGACATTGCACACCACATGTTCCTCATCCTACTAGGCCAAAAATTACACCTAGCACCCGTCAAAGACCCAAAGAGAATCCTAGATCTCGGCTGCGGAACAGGAATCTGGTGCATGGATATGGCTGACGGTATGTCCTCCCCATCTCTCTGCCCCTCGAGCCCCTCAGACTGAAACCCCTATTTAGAATACCCCGGCGCCGAAATCCTCGGAGTAGACCTCTCCCCCATCCAACCCCAATTCACGCCTCCGAACTGTAAATTCGAAATCGACGACGTAACACTCCCCTGGACGTACTCGCAACGCTTCGATTTCATCAACATCCGCGGTCTCTACGGCTCCATTCGTTCCTGGCCTGCGCTCTACGAGCAAATCTACAACGGCCTTGAACCCGGCGGCTACCTGCACCACATGGAAATGAGCATCCAGCTCAAATCCGACGACGGCACGCTCAAACCCGATCACGTGATGTCACAGTGGTCGGACATCTTCCATGAGGCGTCCAAGCGCTTCGGCAAGTCGTTTTATGAGGTCTGGAATCTGAGTACGTATATTCGTAGTGCGGGATTTGTGGATGTTGAGGAGAAGGTGTTCAAAGTGCCAGTGAATAGCTGGCCGGCGGATCCGCACATGAAGGAGTTAGGGAGGTGGAATTTGCTGCATATTACCCAGGGCGCTGAAGGTTGGGGGTTGTACTTATTGACGAAAGTCATGGGTTGGACGGTTGATGAGGCGCAGGTTTTCTTTGCAAAGTTCCGGGCCGGGGTCAAGGAAAAGAAGGTGCATGCATATTTTGAGGTGGTGGTTGTTCATGCTAGAAAGCCGTGATTGGGCACTCATTAGCTTTTATGCTGGGGTAATGGGCTGGGTAGGAACGATCTAAAAGTGACAGATTTTTGTTATTGTGACGGCCATCCGCTGTGATTTTCATGATTTATTCTCATTAAGATATTACTTAAACCAGGGTATACGCATGGGGAAACTTCAATCTAAACCAAGATACACTTCCACTGCCACTCCAAGTCCCATTAGGAAACCTACTTGTTGTGTGCCGGTGCCGTAGCCATTTCCGGCGCATCCCCAGCCTTTGGATCAGGGAGATGCGACACACTCGGCAAGTCACTCAGCTCAGCCTCCTTCTCCCTGCCATCAGTGAGGATGAGCGGTTCCTGGGGTACTTCCCTATCCCCATCCTTGATATTCGCCTTGGACCCAAAGATGGAGTCTGCGTCTTCGTTGATGGAAGATGCGCCAGATTGGCCCTCTTCGGCAGCAAGGCGCTCTTTCTCGAGACGAGTTTCGCGACCGCGCTTGTGGCAGTACCAGAATACGAAGAGAAGGACTGTGTACTGTTAGCATGATGGACTGGTTGCGGTCTGAAAAAAGTGGGACTTACTGAATACCGCCAAGCTCATAATGAGATTTGTACCCGTAGCCAAAGCAGGGAACCTAAACTTGAGGAAGTTGACAATGCTCCTTAACGCGGTGGCAACGGCGCCTTGGGCTGAGACCAGCGACTTCAAGTTGGGCACTTGAGGGAGCATTGAACGTTTACTCTTGAACTTGCTTCCACCAGCAGCAGCCTTTGCATCGAAACCGGGCTTCTCTGATGACGCAGCCATGAGCTCTGGACCCAGTGTGGCCGTAAGCTTAGCTGGTAGGCTCTTAACCAGGTTCTGTAAGAAAGGAGGCAGACTACCATACATCTTCTTGAGTTGATTGTCGTAGTCTGTGAAGAGTTTCTCGAGGTCATTGTATGCTGTTGGCGCACCGTTGACGATGTCCTTCAGAACTTGTGTGAACTTGTTGAGGAGCTCTTCAGACTCCTTGCTGAAGCTGAAGACGCGGTTGTTTACAGCTGATAGATTCAGCTGGTCGAGTATCTCGGTGAGCTCCTTGTCCTCCTTTTGTGCATCGGTAAGCTCAGTGGCTTTGGCGGCTTCGGCTGCGGCGAGTAGGTCGTCTGCGAACTGTGTCCTCTCCTTATCCGTGACTACCAGCTTCTTGTCTTTTGGTGTCTTGTCCTTGGGCTTGTCACCGTCTTTCTTGGCGAATTTGGGCAGTTGGAAGTAGGACAAGACACTCTTCTTCCTAGCTAGACCACCATCAGGTGCCTTTCCTTTGCCCTTGTCACTGGCATGGGCAGTGGTCTCGGGTGGACTCATAGGGAGCGCAACTTTGTCCGCGCCGTCCAGAAGTGCTTCCTGTGCATCTTTGCCAACCTTCTTTTCGCCTGTGTTGTCGACCACCTCGGTTCGCTGGGGCAACGGCGGGGGCATGCCTTCGGGCTCTGAGGCGATAGCTGCAAGTCGCTCAAGGAACTTCTGGTCTTCGGCATCGAGAACTGGGTCGCTGCCTACTTCCTCGCTTGGTTCGGTAAAAGTTGGTGCAGGTGGTGTAGGAACAGCACCGCTAGGCCCCGCGGCGGGTTCTTCGATCTTAGGGACGGCAGCGTCCTCTATTTTCGGTGTAGTCGACTCTGAGACCTTGGGAGGGTCTTCGATTGGTGGCGCTCCGGGCTTTTGTTGCTTTTGAGGGAACAGTTGCTTTGACTGCCGGCGCATCTTTTCGAGGTAGGACGCCATGGTGTACGCGTACGGGTTGTGATGTTGTTGGTAGAACAAAAGGATGAGATGGGGCTTTGAGACGGTGATAAATGACGGGGTAGCTCTAACGCATAACTTATAAGTACAGGCGATCTTCTATCTTCTAGGCCCGGCGGTGCTCAGCATGTCGTCGTAGGCGCCTACGATACCCTGATTGATGTCCCGCGTTTGACAGGGAGCGGCGAAGCGCTGCGTCATTGGCAGGGATCATCTGCGCCACGCGTGGAGGGGCGATACGCAGACCCACCTCTCTTGGCAACCAGGCAAACCTCACACTGACAGTCTGGACATTACACATGCCCGAACCCGCAAAACATCTACGTTCCGGACTTTCTGGTATGCAGTACTACATATGAAAACGAGGCCGCGTATGCATCTCCTAAGTTGCATTGTACAGTCGCTATATCATGAAACCACCATCTCTTATCACAGAACGACGGCTTGTTTAATTATCTTTCAAATTCAAATCTATGTTAATTCAGCTCTTCTAATACACAAAGCTTTCGGCTTTTAGCTTTTAGGCGTTACATATTACCTATACCCCGACTTGTATTCAAGCGCTCACAGACGCTGGTTAAACTTTGGTTCGAGCGACTGCTCCTAGTAGAACCTCCCCTGACGACACCTAATTCACATGCCTGCCTTTCTTTTGTCGAATTTGTCCTTCTAATACTTTCAAAGACGAAATTCCGTTGGAGAGTGCGTGGTATACGCCAACTATATCTTTTACACGACTAACTATACCTTGCTAATATCTCCGTTTCCACACCTATTCGAATTGCGCAATGACTTATAGCCTCGTCCGTCTGCGAAGAACGCTACAATCCGGCAGTGCTAAGTCAAGGTGGGCGTACACAAAACCTGTATGTCGCAGGGGAGAAGAATTTACTTCGCTGTTCGGACTGCCCAACTTAGACTCCAAGCGAGATTCACACTTTGTACCCGGCACTGAAAATTAACTAGGCCAACATCTCCGTCACAACACTAGTTGAAGGTGTGCGCTCACGCGAACGTCACCTGCTTCTTCTCTTGCGCACACCCCACGTTGGCTTGTGTGTCTATTACGCACCCTTGCTATAAAAGTCCCTTCTCTCCTATTTCTACTCCCCTCTTCTGTCTTGCCAATTAAGCTTCTAAGGAAGTCACCGCTACTTGCATGCGTTCTCAATCTTCCTTTTACTTCATTGACGCCATTAGCCGACCAGAGGAAGCGCTTTGGCCACTTACCTTTACCTCTGCCGGAAACAGCTCGCTAGACCTATCTGATTACTAGCGTATGTCGGAGTACTGAGGGACTCTTCCTTCTATAAGAACTATCCCGCACACGTGCAAACAACCTAGCGTGTCTCGCTTCACACTTGCAACACCCCACAACCCAGCACCACACGCACTACTGAGTTCAACAACATGGCTGATCAAGCCTTGATCTTCGGTAGTAAGTACCACCGTAGTTGTCACGTTCATGTACCACTAACATGCTCTCAAGTCGACACGCCTTCGAAGAAAGTAATCTTCAAGAAACAGCTGAGCAGCAAAGGTGCCAACCTCGGTGATGGCGACGACGATGATCTCGGGGACGATGCTTCTGAGGCCGCTGATGACGTGAGTACAATCACCTAGACATACAGCACTCGCTGATGTGACTTAGGCCAACGACGATGACTACAGACTCGACGACTTTGGTGATCTCGAGATTCCAAGTTCTGAGATCGAGCCCGACTACAATGACAACATCGCTGGCAAGAAGCGCAAGCGTATTAGCCCCGGCTCTAGCTCCAAGCTGGCCAAGACTCCTCGACGTTCACGCAATGTTGCTCACACAGGCAGTGGGGAAGCCTTCTTTTTGGAAGACAATAACGAAATCCTGAACACTAAGTCTTCGCGTGTACCTGGCACTTTTGGTCGTCGTAACCGCCACAAGGGAGAGTGCCTTCCTGCCTACCACAAGCGTGTATCGCATGAACTGGACTCTGACGACGAACTCATGATGCAAATGCGTGAGAACGGCTTCAGTGATCGCCAAATCGCCGAGAGGTTAGCTAAAGATGGTCGTGTCCGTTACGATCAAAAGTCTATCTCAACCCGCATCATGCGTATTCGTCTCGCTCAGGCTGACAATGTCGACTTCCTGCTCAGGGAGGGTTACAAGGAATGGGAGACTGACGATGTAAGTCCCGATGAATGCTATCTGGCATATACAACTCCGACTAATACCACCCTTAGGACAAACTCCTCATCCAGGCCTACGCCCTTGCCGACATAGAGATTAGCTACGAGATGGAGCGTATCCGCGCCTGGCGTTTCCGCAAAGTCTCCGAGTACATGCGCCGTCTGAACGCTGAGGCTCTCTTCTCCGCCAAGGCCTGCCGCGAACGTTACAACTCCCTCATCTCAGGCAACGCGCGCATCCCGACTGAAGATGACGATGACCCAGACGCGCGTCGTACTGAGATAGAGACGTACCGCATCAACCGTGAGCATCTCCGCAACGAAGAGAAGATTGCAAAGGAGGCCAAAGAAGCCGCAGAAGCGAAAGCAAAGAACATCACGAAAGCCCGTAACGCCCAAAAGGCCGAAGAAATCGCTAATTCCCGCGCCCAGAAGGAAGAAGAGAAAGCCGAGCGCGCAATGGCTCGCGCTGCATCTGCTCGCATGCGTGCGAACCGTGCTGCTGAGAACTCCCTGGCTAAAACCCAACGGAACGCCCAGATCAAGAAGCAGAAGCAGGGTCAAGAGGAAAAGAAGCACTCTACCTTCACCGTCCCCTGTGCCAAAGACACAACGAAAGACACGCCCGACCCTCGCACCTACCTCTCCGTCGATGATCTCATCCACCTGTGTAATGACCGCGGTCTTGATCTTCCGCGCCACCAGAGTGTGAAGAACCTGGTGGAGGCGCTCAGGGATGCAGACGATGAGTACAGCCAGAAGGATCTGCAGAAGATGTGCAAGTCCAAGCACATGACTTCTAACGTTAACAAGACGACTATGAAGTACCAACTTGCGCTTGCTGCGGCAAAGGGTTGTGCCTCGTTTGAGGCGGGTGTGGCGGCTGCAGGTCGAGGTGAGGAGGATGACAATGAGGACATGGATGAGATGTAGGCTTTAAGCTACATGATCAGGGTAACGTCAGCAGAGGAAAAGTACCTTGAATCATACCACAGGGGATTATTGTTTGCGTTTTTGGACATATAAGCATAGTTGCGGAGTTCACGGCTAGACAAACTTTCCAACTGCATCTCAGTAACTCACTTCCGAATAATTGACATAGGAATTAGTATGACGGGTATATATGCCAAACACCAATTATGCAGCACATGTATCTCTCCTCTCAATCTCAAAAGCCAAACCATCAGGAGCATCCACTACTACCAGCACTCCCACTTCTGCCCACCCATAGCAACAAGCCGATTAAACAGCTCATCCCTCAACGGTAGCGCCGTAATCCGGTACTCATTCAGCCTCCGATCCGTAATCACCAAGCCATCCGCCACCTCCCTACCCATCGCCCACCCAACCACCAGCCTCGCCTTCCACCCAAACCCGCCCACCTTCCTCATCTCCATGATATCGCCCACGGGCAGACTCCACAAAGGATGCAAGTCCTCTCTATCTACACTTCCAATCTTTTCGATTGTCTTGTCAGTCGAGAAAGCGATACTGGGAATAGTGGCCTTGGTGGTGATGTACACATGGCCCTTTTTGCCATCGAACCGCGCTTTGAACTCGACGGGTCCGGAAGTCAGATCCATTCCGCGAGGGGGTACGGCACCTAGTCTGTTCTTTGCGTGGGTAGAGCCGGCAGCTGCTTTGACTTTGTCGGCTGTCATTGTAGTTTCTACGCCGCCTTTTACAGTGCCGCGGAAGAAATTTAGGATCTTCGTTCCCTTTTTACCGTGCTTGCTGTCTTTGGCTTTGTCGATGTCTTCGCCGCCTGTTTCGTGGGCTGTAGTTGAGTCGTGTGCCATGGCTGCATCGAGCTCTTCTTGCGTTGCATTGAGAGGCCAATCTGCGCCCGTGGCACGGAGCTCTTCTTCGTTGATATCGACTGGTTTGTCTGGAGGCGGCTCCGCAATATGGGGTGGTGGAGGTAGTGGAGCTTTGTTTGCTTCGCCGATACGGAGGAGAGTGACGGTGAGTTGGGCGTTGGTAGGGACGCCTTTGAGAAGCGTGTTTCGGAGCTCGAGCAACTTTTGCCAGTTAGGGTACTTCCTGTTAAGAAGTGATAGGCCTCTCTGGATGATAGGGTCACCGAAGAATCCGAACCCAACACCGAATGTGACCCCCTTCATGAACATATATGAGGAGGTAAAGAGTGATACAAGGACGACAGGAGCAACGACCGCTGCAACTCGGAAGTGAAACCTGTTTTTCGGGAATGGGGGAGTCGGTTCAAGCATACTGTTCAAGAATTAGCATCTGATGCAGTAAATCTATACCCGGCGACCTACTTTGCGAAGCGTTCCCACGTATCGGTAACCTCAGCAAAGCCATGCATGATCGGCCTCATCTTGGTCCACATGGCAGTCTCCATCGGAACTTTGGTCTTATCATAGTCCCTGGTAGGCTTAACGCCTGATGCCTGGTCTTTTGCATCCGCAGCACCAATGGCGAGTCTTGTAGGGTCCGGTACGTTGCTGTCAGGAGAGTCCTCATCCGGAGGTTCACCCTGGGGATGCTTGCCAGTGGCACTCGACAATGCTATTGACGCAAAGCCATTGACAAAGTTGGACGCTTCTTGTTCTACAGCCTCTCCCTTGTGGTTCTCTGGGGCTCCGGTAGCGCTGTCTGTACTACCCAGCGTTCCAGACTTGGGCTTCTGCACACCCCCAGTGGAACTGACCAGCGCCATGGGTGCTGGAGGAAACATAATTTCGCGAGCCGGTGGATATACAATGAGAGTGACTAGAGTAACCGAAAGTAGTGGCATTATCATGTCGAGAAGCCACGCCGCGAAGTATACAGAGCAAAACCAAGCAGTCCGTTGAGTTTCCCGCCATGAGCGAATACGAACGATGTGCTTGCCGAATCCCATTAGACCGATGCCCTATTACTGTTAAACTCAATCACTATAAGAACTTACACTGTATGGGCTTACAATAGTCATGTACAAACGCTCGATGTTGGCGCGAAGCTTGTCTGGTGAGAACTCCTCTTCATCTGCAATGTTCATATCCAGCCCCCCAGGAGGTGCGGTAGGAATCTCCTTCACATGGTACATTTGCTACGAGTGGTCAGTATTATTTTGCGGAAGCATCGACAATGAAGTCTTACCTTGTTGAAACGTCGAACCAGTAGCCACAAGTCCTCATTTCCCAAGCCGCCAACCAAAGGCTTCGCAACAAGTTCTTTTGGTTCATTCCATCCCAAGTCCACTACTTCGCTCCCATGGCCTACCTGCGCTGCACCCTTCTCTTCCGGAGCAGCTGCCCTTGCAGCATTCAAAGCTAGCGCATGGCTGTCCGTAGGTGCATCTGTTAGTGTAGTCGTCTTTCCTTCGTGTACTGTAGGGTCCGTGTCCGGGATAGGAAGTAGGTCTTTGTAGACCACTCCTCCAGTCGCCATGTTGATCGTAGGCCTCGTTTGTGAATGCGTACAGAGGTATGCAGGTAAGAGGTATGAAAGTAAGTAGGCAGCCCAGCTTTGCAATTTGGCCTTCACACGGCAAGAAGGATGGCGTACGGCTACAACCGCCCTTTACGTCATGTACGCACTCTGCACTAGTAAACGGGCAAGCCACAACATCAGTGGCAATCGGAATGCGCGCTTTGAGATTGAACTTGGATTGTGTAGCCACTTTACGAACAAAGATTACGCTAAGAATAAGCCCAGGAGGATATCAGCCTCTGTGTGCAGATTCCACGCGGCGGTGATCTGACAGTCAGAGGGTACCCATGGCATTTAGAGTCGCACGTTCAGCGATCAATGATCTTCACGCCCCCCCACCACATCATCCCCGATACGTGTTTCCCCTGCTGCGATCCCCTCTGATGCCTGTCAATCATCTTGTTCTGGACCCAGAGTGTACCAAATGAGGTACTCCGCGGTTTGCATGTTGCACTGCCGTGATGTGCGCCGGCGCGTCTTGTTGGGGTGTTACGTCATCGATGTCTCACAGAATACCACTCCCTAGCTGGGGCTGAGGTTTCCAGCTTTACTTCACAGCCTAGTACAGTTTTGGACGGCAACATTGAATTGTGTATTCATAATCCAGAAAGACATCGCTAGCATTGCCAAACCAGTAACAATACTCTCCCATCGCTACTGCAACTCATTCACTCATAATGAAAATCTAACCAACGAAAGACTTTGGATCTTCCTACTGGGATTTTGTCGGTACATCCTCGGCCTTCTTCTCCTCGGTAGATGTGCTGACGGCTTTCTGTTCCAGAGAGGCGCTTTTGCTCTCGGTCTCATTCTCTAGGCCTGGGCCCGAGCCAGGAAAGGCACCCGGTGCGTCGGTAGAACCGGGTACAGCCTCAGTAACCAAAGGCTCTTGTGGTTGAAGGGCAGATGAAACCTTGGAAGTGACTGACTGGAGTGCGTCTGACGCCTGAGAAGTCACCTGCTCAAGAGTAGAAGGCGTTTTGTCAACAACAGCCTCAATCGTTGAGGCAGGCTCACTACTCTCTTTTAACTTTGTCTGTGTAAGTGGTGGTTCTGACCCAACGGTCTTCTCTGCTTCCGTCTCGGTAACGGCAGGCTCATCAGCCTTTGCAGGAACGTTTAGCGCATGGTGCATCTGGGCTGCCATCTTGGCAGCGGGTACATCCAGACTGCCGTCTTCGTTGAAGCTCCAAATTGCGGTCACGGGACCAAAGTCCAGCTTCTGTTTTGGCACAGCAGCTTCAGATGCCGTCGCAGATGGCGAAGGAGATGCAGCAGGCCTCCTCCTCTGTGGGCCCTTAGCTCTACTCTTGCGGGCATCTGAAAGCGGTGCCGAATCCTTATCTTCTTCTTCCGGTTCAGGTTCCTTGATCTTAGGTGCGACGGGGCCAAGGCCGAGCTTACTATTCAAGTCCTTCAAGAAGCCTGCTTGGAGAGCAGCAATCTTAGAGCCGGCAGGGCGGGCAGGTACCGGTGGCTTTGTCTTCCCTTGTGGAGACTCGTTCTCACCAGCTTGTGACTCAACAGTCGCAACACTTTCGGACGAAGATGGCTTGGTCGGGCGTGCGGGAAGCTGGGGCTTCGGACGCTCTGGAATGATGGGCGCTTTCTTATCTTCGTTGGATACCTCCCTCTTCAAAGGTCGAGCAGGAATACTGGGTCGAGCCGGAACCTGAGGCTTTTGCTCAATTGGAGAGTCTTCCGCGTACTCGTTCGTTTCCTCCATCTGGGGAGTGCTGACAGTCGTCTCAAGATGACCATGAGATGGCGCATCTTCCCAGATGTCTTGACTTGGAAAGCGTTGCTGCATTCCGGGGCGGCCTGGCGCGTCTTCGCGCACTTTTCCAAGGTGTTTGTTCTCGGCTGCAAATTGACGAGTGTGCTCAGGCAGGAATGACTTCTGATCCTCCTTGTTGATCTCTTCCTTGCGTTTCTTTTCCGCGGCGGGGTCTTCAAACACCTTCGCGGGGCTGACATCGCCGTTACCACCGGCAGTCTTTGGCTCCTCAGGCTCTTGGGGGGTGTCCACGGTAGTCTCAAGCTGTAGACTGCCAGGGGTATCTTCCCAGACGTCTTGGCTTGGGAACTGGTGACGCGCAACACTAGGACGCTTAAGCTTGTCGACCTTTGTCTTTGGTTTCTTGCTGTCGTCCTCGTCCTCAGGGAACAGCGGCTCATACTCCTTGTGGGACTCAAGTGGGGCACCGCCGCGGTCATATTGGGCCGGGCTGGGGATGACGCGTTGCTGCGTGTTGTTGTTCCGGCTAGAGTTTCTACTATGAGGGCGCGATCTGGTGATGTATTGTGGAGTACCATCCTCGTTCACTGTGTATTCGTTGCCATGACGCTCCAGCTCAGGCGATACAGCAGGCTGTCTCCACTCGCTGTCTGGGTGCTTCTTCAGCTCATCAGAGGCCAGAATGGGAGTGCCGTAACCACGCTCAGTTACCCATCCGCCTTGTTCTGATGTGTTACCGCCCTGTGGACCAAGGTCCTCGGTTGGTGGATCATAGCCTCCACCGTGAACCTTGTTAGAGCGGTGCGCAGGGGGATCAATATGAATGACTTCACCCTTGTCGTTGACTTCCTGGCCCGCTTCGTTGCGGAGCGGCGAGTCGACGTGGCCACCTTTGATTGATGCAGGGCGACCGGAAGATTGTGGCCTAGGAGAGGCCATCCTCGAGGCATATTCCTCAGTGGCCCTGTAGCCAATTTGCTCATCGGGAGTGCTAACAGCTTCTCGGCTGGTACCTACACAACACAGTCAATATCAGTGGCAAATCGGGGTAGCTATGGTTAGTTACGTACCCATACCAATGTCCTGAGACCTTTTGTGTACAAGTTTCTCCAGATTGTCTGCACCCCAGTGGTATTCTTTTCTGTTTTCTTGGATGTGTGGCCCATATTCGCCGGCCTTTTCGCGCTTCAGATCGTCAGGATGATTTTGGTACCACTTCTGCTCGAAGTCGTCTGTCGAGATCTTCCCGTGGCCGTGCATGCCATAGCTTCCGGGGGGACCATGAAAGATCTCTCGGCCGCTCTTGGTCCTGCCATGATGACGGCCACTGGTCTTTTGGTTGAAGCCAACTCCTTGAGACGCGGCTGGTTGGGCATATGGCGCGGGGCTCGGTGCCTGAACGTCTCCAGCATTGCGGAACATGGGCACCTGAACGCCAATCTCCGGAATACCATGTTCATCCTTGTCGTTGTAAAGCGAACTGGGGCGCGATCCAGCAGAGGAGCCTGAACGGCCAGACTTGGCCTGCGCGACCTTGTCATCGACTGACAACTGCGAACCAAAGCCAGCAGCAGCAGCAGTCTGCGAATCGGTCCGCGTCACCGCCTGGATCCTACTCTTGGCGGTAGAACTAGGAACTGAGGCAGTAGGAGCATGCAGAGGCAAGTCTCCCGCCACATTCCCCATGTGTTGTGGGGAGCTACCCTGATTCTCGGTTGTAAGAGTTTTCGACAGGTCCTCAAAACTGGCGTATTCGTTGCCTTCCTCGCCGAGCGAGGGCATGGAGACGCTCGGTGGGCGGGACGGCACATCAGTGCTGAGTCGGCCGCCCTCTTTTGGCGGACCGCCATGTACGTATGTTGGGTCGTTCAGTGGGGAGCGAGCATATCTGTCACCGCTGGGGGAGACGGAGCGTTCGATGCCGCGCTTCGGGCGTGGGGGAATCTTGGGGACGTCCATGTGGGTTCCTGGTGCAGGAGAGGTGCTGTTCTGAGCCCGCGCTGGGCGTGGAGGTATTGTCGGTGGAGCACTCATTGTTTCTGTACTGGCTGTTGGAAGAAAACGCGGGGTGGAGGCTAACAAGTTCAATGTCAGTGACAGACTTGAGTCATTGAAGGACCAGAAGATAGAATGTGAGACAGACAGCTGTCTCAGAGAAGCGGACAGCTGGAAAAATCAGCGCAGCTATTCCCCGGCAGCTTTGAGCAAGTCAAGTCAAGTGGGAGCTGGCCAATAAGCGCGGCTATGACTGAGGGCGGGATATCGCTGCACAAAGCGGCATATATACGGAAGACTTACCGCCGAACACGCAATTGAAGCGGGGGAATTGAGTAAGATGAGAGAGAGAGGAAAATGTGTAGTTTAGCCCAGTATGATCAGAGGCGCAAATGGACCGGCTTCGAGAAGTTGGGGCGGGCACTTATGTAGCAAAGAGCTCTGCGACCCGCATTTGCATCATGGGTAATGGCGTATGGGGCCCTGGCGTCTAGCACGCGGCACCTCCTCATCGTCACCTCCAGTACCTGCCCACGTATCAACCGAGTGGGTATTTTGGACGGTATAATGCTCGTTGTCATCTAGAAGCGATGGAAGTGCCCTTTTTCAACCTAGGTATTCAACGTTGTCCATCTAACACAGTGGGCCACGTCCAACGCAAAAGCAGACACGAGTGCCTGCTTATACACTATTCTGTATCCGGGACTATGCGACCAACAAGCACATGGACATGTTTCGCAGCCCGGACCCCGCCAACACTCGCGAATACATACCTCTTGTCCGCAAGCCACATGCAAACCATCTTGTATCACATGTACGGTACTTTTGGGTAATTCCAGTCTGCAGCCGCCATCTGTGTGGCAGGATCTTCACCACCTGTGCGAAGCCCGACACTACTAGGCTGTTAGCGTTCCCCGCGCCGAGCAAGGCGTGGTTCCTGGTCAGACCCTAGCAGCCAGTAATCGTCACGCGAAAGACAAGCAGAAGCCAGCTGAGAATATGTGCGTTTCCGCGGTTTTGGTTTGACACTCTCCGTCGGACATGTTTGGCACAGTGACTCTCCCGTGGCCAAGGCCAGTCGCTGCCCAACATGTTGCGCTCATCGAGAGGGTGCGTCGATCTTCTCAGGCAAATGTGGCGCTTCGAAAACTCATCGGTTTTCTAGAACATCGTCATAGGCCATCATGTAGGCCCTGCGCTACTCTCCACATGTACACTTACGTAGGTTCCCCCACATATGGCCAAATCATTCTTGCAGCTTAGTACAAATACTCGATTGTTAAGAAAACGGCCGACTAAGCGCTCGCGGATCCAAGCAATTCTCATACAAAACATAGCCCCCGAAACGCCCAGCCGCTGACTTATGATACAAGAAACTCAACCTGAGGTATCATATAGATGAGCAGGCAAACAATAGTGGTGGTGTAGTCCATCTCGCAGCTCACGGAGCCATTACGAAACTGTTCGTTTACTGGCATTCCATGCCAACGTCAATTCCTTCGTCGTCCAAATGTCGTGATGTTCCCATCCTGCATATCTCTGCCCTTATATGATCATCTGCGCAACACCCTGACCTCCAAGCGTCTTACTGCCCTGGAACTGTTGGCCCTTGAAGCCAGCAAGCGCATAGAAGACGGCGGCGAGTAGCAGGAAGATGGCTGCAACGATGAGGCTCGTGGCCTGAGGCCAGATGCTGATCCATTGTATGACGCTCATGACACCGTAAATGGCAGCGCGCATGTAGTTTGAGCTGAATTTGCGGATAAATTCATCGAACTTTGGGGACGTCGGGCAGATGCGCAGGAGCAGCGGAATTTCGATGAAGATGATGATGAAGGAACATACTCTGCAGCGCTGGTTAGGTGCACGTTTCAGTACAAGCAAGGGAGGCGGAGACGTACAAGCAAACAATGCTGAATGCGATGACAAAGTTGGCGTGGAAGATGTTGGCGATGCCGAGGGCGAAGCAGAGGAATATGCAAAGCACTCCGGTCCTAGAGGGCTGTTTAGTATATTATTCCATGGCGCATATGCAGTGCGGTGCGCGACTACAAACCATTGACCGTAGATACCTGGAAAGATGCCATGTCAGCAAAAGGTGTCACAACTTGTGAAGCGCGAGTCTTACTGAAATTCCGCGACTTGAACTCTTCTGCGAGCGTCATATTTACGGTAGGGCTGGTGGTATTATGGGTACAGACGTCCTCGGTGGTGCAAAAGGGGATGTAGTGCAAACGTGTTCAGTATGCCGTCTCGGTGCCTTTGTTGATGGCGCAAGCTGGACGGAGCTCTGGGATGACGGGAGCTTTGGGGAACACTGTGTTGAAATGGGCACGCGGTGTTGATGTATGTTGCGGTGCTGCGTAATGCAATTGTGGCTGTGCGGTGGATGCGAAATCGTGTGCGGTGAATGTTTGTCGTTGCCTAGGCTTGTTGGATGACAGTGGTTGCTTCTTGGTATGCTCAGCCCATCCGTCGGTCGCGGCTTCCACGTCCACGTAAACTAGGCGCTAGTGCGTGCCGAAACCGTGTTAGGGTCAGAGGTCGGCGCACGACGGTGAGAAGACCGACCTGCACGCACTCGGTTTCAGGCCATGCTAGATGGTCGCAACTGCTTCACCTGGGCATGATTGGAATTTCGCATGGGAAGGGACCATGGGCGCCTTTTGCGCTTGGGTCTGCCGTTCTTGGCCTGACCCTGTACTATCTGCACTTGACCAGGCAACCTACACAGGCAAACATTTCACCACCGCTCACCCAAGATAATTGCCAAGACTACGACGCGACACACGTACCAGACGCCATGGATCCGGAGGAGAGAGCGTATCACGAGGGCTTCATGCGCGAGGCTATCGCTATGGTGTGTCAGACCCTATATCCTTTGACTTTTAGCCCTAGCTGCCACTGCAATTAGTCGTCTACAAGAGTATGAATGCTGACTCATCACTTGCTCTAGGCTGAACTGGCACTCAAGAGCGACGAGACGCCTGTTGGTTGTGTCTTTGTCAAAGATGGCGAAATCATCGGCCGAGGCATGAACGAGACAAATCGCACTCTGAATGGCACCAGACACGCCGAGTTCGTCGCCATTGCCGGCATCTTGTCCAAGCATCCCATCAGCATCCTAAATGAGACAGATCTCTATGTCACCGTCGAGCCATGCGTCATGTGCGCTTCCATGCTCCGTCAGTACGGCATCCGAGCTGTTTACTTTGGCTGCTGGAATGAGCGATTTGGCGGAACCGGTGGGGTGTTGAACATCCACTCGGAGTAAGTGCACCTACACACCTCCGGGGTGATAAGCAATACTTGAACACTAGTACATGTCAACTTTTATGTTGCGGATGCTAACTTCACATAGTCCCAGTGTCGACAAACCTTACCCAGTCACCGGCGGCATCTTCCGAGAAGAAGCAATCATGTTACTACGCAAATTCTACGTTCAGGAAAACGAGAAGGCGCCCGAACCGAAGCAGAAGAAGACCAGGGAGTTGAAGACAGAAATCTTGCCAATGGATGTTCACCAGCCAAAGTCAACCCCTTCGCCTGCTGTTCGCACTCCTCTTACTTCATCCTCGACTGGATCCATTCCAACCCTATCTTCTTTGGCCGCATCTGCTGTAGCCGTGCCCAAGACTGGTATCCAAATGCCAATTCGCCCCTATCCAGTCGCTGCTACCTCTGCCCTTGCTTGAGGAACATCAGGGTGGTTGTATACTTGTATTCAAGAGAAAATTATCTCAGCATGATGGTTATGACAGGGATGACATGGACGACACACATTGTATCATAGCTAATGACTTTTACTTCAAATAGTTGAAGCACACACTGCTGTGCTAATGATAATGCGTTTTCAGGGGGGTCAGATCCAACATGTCGTCAGCAAAGTGTGACCTTGGAATTGCGTATGTATGAGGAAAGGTATCATGGATAAAAGCTTGATAGTCATAACATGTGACTGCCTGGACTTATTTCTCTCCACCGCCACCTGCGACTAGCTGCACTACCAAGAAGAGCGCGAGAGCCCACCAGTATCTGCGCAGTTGTTAGCATGGCGGTAACCATCAATGAGTGCATCTTTGCGCACTTTTGTAGGAATGTCTTCTCTGGTTCCTTTCCGTCAACCTTTCCATCCGCATTCAACACGATAGGTTTGTTCAGCACCGGCTTAGGCCCATCGTTCTTCTTCACAATCTCAACTTCCACCTCTTCCTCACTGCCCTTGACCCTTGTGCGGAAACCGATGTGGTATGGCTCGCCCTTGTCGTCAACGTGGATGACAAACTTCTTGTGGTATTGATCAGAGAAGCTAGCAGCTGATGTGAGGACACCGCGCCACGGGCCGGACACAGAGTCTGTGAGACCGACGCGTAGAAGATGACCAGGCGAGTAAGAGCCTGTGGGTGGTGTATAGGAGGCTAGAGTGCCGACGGATTGGTCTGCATCGTATTCGATCTGCGCGAGTGGGATGGGGGAGGCGACAATGGCCGTGTCTGCAGACGCCGAGGCAGGAACAGAAGAGACGTAGAGCGTCACCGACGATGCGAGCGCAACGGGCAGCAAAAGAAGCTTGGAAAGTAGCATTGTGGAATACGGCTGCAATTGGTTGCGGTATGTATCCGCGGTGATGCTGGGGCGGAAGCTTGGGCTAGCTCACCGCGGGGAATCGTATCACCGAAGTACCTTCACTCAAACCAGATCCTCGCCTCGACGCTCCCCCGCCTTCCCCTTCCTCCCATACCTGTGGCGACGAATTGACATACCTTACTCTCCATGTGTTCCGAAGTCGCCCCGATTACTAAGTGAAGCTGCTTTACGTGGCGTCCTTGACAGCCAGCAGCAGTGTCCGGCATGCCTGAACAAGCGGACCCGAGGCTCACGATGCCCACAATTTTCTGTCCCTTCAGCGAGTAGATCGGCGCTCAAGCCGACGACCCTGATACTCGATAGCCGATTGCAGAACGTCTGGGTCAATCAGCTCTCCATTGCCCCACCCCCACCATACTAGGGCTTCTCCAGACCTCGTATGAGCTCATCTCGCATCGAGAGCTGTGTTGTAGCTCAACATTATTTTCTGAATTTACAGGGTCTCTGCTGTGTTCACTTCACTTTCTCTCTTCCAACCTTTCGTACCACTGTCACTCTTGAATTTCATCCACAATGGCTGGCGCAATTCCTTTCAGGCAGAACCAGCGCAAGCAGTCGCGGCAACTGTCGACAGACCCTCGCAATGAGCTCCATCCTCAAGTTGATCACTACATTGGCATCGACGTTGGTACCGGTAGTGCACGAGCCTGTATTATGAACGACCAGGGTGATATTGTAGGACTGGCATCAGAGAACATTGGTCTGTGGCAACCACAGACAGGCTACTATGTACTGCGCCCGTTTCAAGGTACACCCGTGCGTAACAGAAAACTGAACCAGCCCAGGAACAATCCACAACAGACATTTGGCGATGCATCTGTTCTTCCGTCCGTCGGGCCATGGACCAGCACAACATCGACGGAAGCACCATTCGCGGTATTGGTTTCGACGCTACCTGCTCGCTCGCTGTCTTTAGAGACGACACAGATGAGCCCGTCCCTGTGACTGGGCCGAACTTCGACAACAAGGACGGTAACGACCGTAATGTCATACTATGGCTTGACCACCGTCCTGTGGAAGAGACAAACAAGATTAATGCCACGAAGCACAACCTCCTTCGATACGTCGGAGGCAAGATGTCCATCGAAATGGAGATTCCAAAGGTGCTATGGCTCAAGAACAACATGCCGAAAGAGCTGTTCGACCGCTGCAAGTTCTACGATCTGACTGATGCTCTCACACATCTTGCTACTGGAAGCGAGAGCCGGAGCTACTGCAGTGTAGTTTGCAAGCAAGGTTTCGTGCCAGTTGGCGTCGACGGAAGTGTCAAAGGCTGGCAGGAAGACTTTCTGACTGAGATTGGTCTCGCAGATTTGTGTGAGGACAACTTCAAGCGCATGGGAGGTGTCGACAATGTGGTTTGTCCCTCGAAACGGTCGTCCTGGGTTGCGGCTAACGTTGACACAGAACGGACGCTACCTTACTGCCGGTGAGCTCGTTGGAACCCTAAGCGAGAAGGCTGCACAGGAAATGGGCCTTCAGCCGGGTATTGCTGTCGGTAGCGGTGTTATTGATGCCTATGCTGGCTGGATTGGTACCGTTGGCGCCAAAGTCAAGCTCGATGGAGACACTCTCGACATGGACCAGCCCAAAAACGACGTATCACAAGCCTTCACTCGACTCGCTGCTGTAGCAGGAACATCGACCTGCCACCTCGCCATGTCACGCGACCCTGTATTTGTCGACGGCGTCTGGGGTCCATACCGAGACGTTTTGCTGCCAGGCTACTGGATGGCAGAGGGCGGGCAGAGTGCCACGGGCGAGTTGCTCAAGCATGTAATCGAGACCCATCCGGCCTTTAATGAAGCTGTCTCTGTCGCTGAGACGTACAACACCAACATCTACGACTATCTAAACGAACATTTGCGCGAAATGGCCGACAAGGAAAGCGCACCACACATTGCCTGGCTCGGTCGTCACTTCTTCTTCTACGGCGACCTCTTCGGCAACCGCTCCCCTGTAGCAGACCCCAACATGAAGGGCTCCGTTATTGGATTGAGCTCTGACAAGAGTCTTGATGGCTTGGCACTATATTACTATGCAACCATGGAGTTCATTGCGCTCCAAACCCACCAAATTGTCTCGGCAATGAACAAATCGGGTCACGTCATTTCTTCCATTTTCATGTCTGGTTCACAGTGTCAGAATGGGCTGCTTATGCAGCTTATGGCAACAGCCTGCGACATGCCCGTTCTGATCCCACGATATGTACACGCTGCTGTTGTGCACGGCGCGGCTATGCTTGGCGCCAAAGCAGCGAGTACGGACAAAGATGGCAACAGCGAGCCCTTGTGGGACATTATGGATAGATTGAGCAAGCCAGGTAAGACAGTCAAGCCACTGGCTGACAAGGCGGTCAAGAAGCTGTTGGATGCCAAGTACAAGGTCTTCTTGGAGCAATGTGAGGGACAGCAGAGGTACAGGAGTGAGGTTGACGCTGCTATTGAGGGGTGGAAGACGACGTAAGCGAATGTGTTGGTGACGCTACAAGAGAACGGATGTGGATCTTGGCCAGTAATCGTGATTATGTATGCTCTAGATATCAAATGTGATCGCAGCAAGCTCATGAGCTCTCCAGCCTGTATATTCCCATGCTTCGTTTGGCCACTAAAGTTACAAGACCGTCCTCGTTGAGTGAAAGTCCACTCTAACCTCTGAATGTCTGCTCATTGCCGTAGTTCGTGAATGGGTATCGTGCAGCAGTGAAGTGAAATGAAATACGCGGCCGTCTCAACTCCTAGTATCGTCGGCGGGGACCTCGTGGCGGGTCTCGGCGGGCTGCGTCGTTGAAGCCATATCGTCCTTCTCGGAAGTTACCGAAGCCGGAGCGGGAACCACCATCCACATCGACATCCATGTCGTCAACCGATTGCGTCAGGCGGGCAGGAGGTGCTCGGGACTGTGCCATGTGCGTGGTCGCAGGGACGTCCTTCATGTATACGTAGAGCAGTCTACCATCGGCCTATTGTTTGCATTAGTCTCACTCGTCATATCATAACACTCATATATACTAACCTTTTGGTTGTTGAACGTAGCAATAACATTCTCAGCACCCTCCCTACTCACAAACTGGAGCTCTACCATGACCGTGGGATTCGCAGACAGGATCCTGCACCCCAGCGTCTCTCCGCCAATAGGGCTCATGACGGCTTCAACGTCTGCGGCCGTGGTACCAGGTGCAAAGTTACTAGCAATGACCGTACACGGACCGGTGTTGGCGACACCTCGGATGCTGAAGCCTGGTGCATCGTTGCTGCGGGCAGCCGCCCCGCGACTGAGCACAGGAGCAAATTTCTCGTATGTCCTGCTGTTGCGCTCAACTTGGGACGACGACGCTGTTCGGGGAAGGCTGTGTCTGGCACTCGATGGGCCACGGGGGTTGTTCAGCTTGTGCAGGTCGTGCTGCCACTTGCTGTCAGCCGGTTTTGCGCTCGAGGATCGCTTCTGGACACCAGCGCCACCGTTTATCCGACTGAGCAGCGACGGCTTTTCGGACTCGACGCGCGCCTTTCCGCCTGCACCGGTGCCAGATGCATTGGATTTTCGGCCCCGGTTTCCACCGCCTAGGAATTGCTGTGCGAGCGCCTCGTTCTTCTTCTTCTCGCGCGTCTGTTTGACGAAACTCTCAAATGACGCGGGGGCTGTGGTGTTTGGCGCGACCATGGTGGTTGATAACAGCTACAAGCCCGAGTGGTGTGGAAGTGTATGGCGTTGACTTCTTTGATGTTCAGAGGAAGCGCGTGGTTGCGGGATTGGGAAACATCGAGCGCGTCGATGGGGGCAGGGACGCTATGGTAAACGCTTGGGCCATTTCCCGCCCGGCAAAACTAAAACCCCGCTGCGAAAAGTTCCCGTACAAAAGTCGGACCTCTGACTTTCTCTTCACTCAACACCACGCAGCCTTTTGGTAAGTCACTCCTACCCCCCCCCTTCCTTTGCACTGTTGTCATGATGAACATTCGTGTCGCCCCTATCATACATTCTATGGTGATTCGACCACCCAAGCCAAACGGGAATACTGAACTCGCAAACCTTTCTCGATTTGTTACTGAAAGCTCTTCGCGAATTCCAGCTAACAAGATTTCAAGGCTCCTTAGTTGCCTATAATGGCTCATCGCTATCGCAGTGCCTATTCTCACGCGTCATCGTTGTCGCTACCCTCGTAGCTCCATGGAGCCCATCCATACCGCGCATCATATATTTTTGGGCATGGTCCATCGCAAATGGCGATCGACGGTTTCGGTACAAGGGTGCTTCATGGAGCTTCGAGTAGAGTTTCAAAGGTTAGATTGCCCCTACCCCTTATGTATTCCCAGCACCCATATGATGAGCAACAAATGTATTATCAAATACCGACCACTCCGTGGGGATCAAACTAGTTCGATTACCTGAATACTTTCCACATACGAGATTGGTTCGCAACGTTAATGTGCGTGACATGCCGCTGACATTGCGCCAGGTAATACAACACTTGCTGATCGCTCGGCGTCTATAAGCTACAAGCTTCATCTGACAAGGTACATACTCACCGCTTTTCTTTTGCCTATGCTATGTGATGAACACCAATTCATGCTAACTCAGACGGGGTCCGCCTCACTGATTGAAAAAACATTCGAGACTTTTCATCTTTCGACTGATCTGCTTCCTTTTATTGAATCTCGCGGAAAGTTACCTGAAAGGCCCTGTGCTGACTTCCGCTTCCAGAATATCACACTCTTAGCGCGGTCGTTACCCCAGCATCTCAAACCTTACTGCATGGCAGTCCTTCGGTTTATGAACGACATGCATGCCTAGGACTTAGAGGATGTGGAGTGGGACAAGCTTGCTGTCAAGTGTTGTTTGAAGAGCAGTAGATATATAGAGGTAGTTTGAGCAGTCTCCAATGCATTTTGAGTAATCAAGCGGTTGTACTCTTCCTTCAATCTCCCGTTGAGATGCAAACGACATGTTACATATGCATACACTATGTAGACATTGGAAGCTTATTTGTGCAGTGTAGTACTCGGTCTAGAATTTACTGTATGCTTGTACTCTAATTATAGGCTGCAATTAACTTGCGACGGGCACGTGAACACGCGTGCTGAGGGTGCGGAAATGGCCGACTAATCTCCACTCCAACAAAACCCCCTAAACATAACACCGAGGACACATTTCGTCTTCACAATCAACACAAATCACACAAAATGGCAGCGAAACCGGAAGAAGTAAACACAGCGCCCGTCGAGGCCGTCAATGCACCTGTCGGCGCTAGCGTAGAGACGCAACCCGAGCCTCAGCTCACGGCCGAGACTACCGAGAAGAAAGACGAATCCGCGGCAGTGGAGACCACAACGGCAGCTGTGGCTGATCTCTCGGTTGCAGAGAAGAAGGAGGATGACAAGACTGTAGAAGGGGAATCACCTGTCGTGGCCAGCGATATTCCAGTTGCGGAGAAGAAAGAGGATGACAAGCCCGCGCAAGAAGCAACGCCTGCAGCTGTGAGCGAAGCTCCAGCTGCGGAGAAGACAGAGGAAGCAGCACCGGCAGATGTCCCAGTCGTAGACCAAAAGATCGAGGAGGAGAAGACTGTAGAGCAAGCAGCCTCTGCAGCGGTCACAACAACAGCGGAAGCCACACCCAGCGACGCCAACGCCAACGTCGAGGCCTCGGAAAAGCCCGAAGCCAGCCCCGAAGCCAGCACAGAAACACCCACATCAGGAACCATATGGCCCCAGACAGGCCCCGAGCACCCCCTCACGCGATTCTACGACGCCTTCGAAGAGCTCGTCGCCTCCGCCTCGCACAATGAGGTATACGGCATCGAGCTCAGCAAGAACAACGAGTTCCACACCAAGCTGATTCTCCAAAAGTTTCTGCGTGCCAACCAGAACGACCTTGAAAAGGCAAAGACACAGCTCCTCAAGACGCTGAAATGGCGGAAGGAGTTCGACCCCATCAAAGCCGCGAGCGAGACATACGACAAGGCCAAGTTCGACGGGCTAGGCTACGTGTTGGAAGTCGAGGGCGTACCCGAGAGTCCCAATGCAAAGGACATTGCTACATTCAACATCTACGGCGCTGTCAAGGATAACAAGGCCACATTTGGGGATTTGGGTCTGTACGTATCCCAGATTGCCTACTTTCATACACACAAACAAGAAGGAATTCTGTGCTAACAACACTTCTCAACAGCTTCCTACGTTGGCGTGTCGGCCTCATGGAGAAATCCATCCAAGCCCTCCGTCTCTCCTCGGCCACAACCCCTATCCCCGACTACGGCCAAGGCCCAGACCCCTACCAAGGCTTCCAAGTCCATGACTACCTCCAAGTCTCCTTCCTGCGCCGCGACCCCCTCGTCAAGACAGCCACCAACAAGACAATTGAGATACTCGGTGCGCACTACCCAGAGACGCTGTCGCGCAAGTTCTTCGTCAACGTCCCGGCAGTTATGGGATGGGTGTTCCAGGCAGTTAAGCTGGTGGTGGCTAAGGAGACGAGTAAGAAGTTCGTAGTGCTGAGTAATGGGGGTGCGCTTGCGGGTGAGTTGGGCAAGGGTGTGCCCAAGAGCTATGGGGGTGAGAAGGAGGAGTTGGCAGTTTGTGCCGAGGGCATGAAGATGGAGTGAGGGTATTTTTGTGAGAGGGAAGAGTGTGTGTGATCATGATGATGATGATTGAGTGTGGGTATGAGATGGGTCAAGGTAATGGCAGTGAGGATCTTGGTCAGGTAATGGAAGAGAGAAATTGGGAATTGTCGTGGGTTCTTTTTTTTTGGAATTTGTGTTCTTTCGCGGGCTGTGCAAGGCCTGATATACCCCACTCGGCGGGTTCTATATACCAATGAGAGCGAGTTTATAGTCGTAGTCGTAGTCGTAGCCGTAGTATTTAGCAAGCAAGTTTTGAATAAATCTTTTGTTTCTTAATCACGCGGTATCCAGCACTGCTACATTCACGTCATCATTATCCATCATACGCACATATCCAAGCAACCCAAAACCACGTGTCATCAAAATAAAATCTCATTAGATCATTCCTCCTTCTCTTCTCGCTCCTCCTCTCTCACTACAACCGCCCTATCTACCCACCCCTCACCTCTCAGCACACCCAGTCCCTTTCTCGCAACTCCACTATTCACCGAGCGGGGACTAACTTCATAAAGCGCATTCACGACGGCCAAACTAACCACAAAAAGACACACATCACCATTCTTGATAGCCTTCCACCACCTCCGCTTCACACCCACCTTCCACGCCGAATCAATGCTCAGCCGCGCCATGTACAAGTAATTTCCCCTGCCAGCACTCCTCGCCAGAAACCCCCACAGGCCACCTACAAACCCGCCGAGGAACCATCGGTGGGTCGCGAGGAGGGAGCGAGGAAGGAGATTTTGCATCAAGCAGATGGAACCCCAGCTCGTGCCTATTGCGCCCGAGAGAAAGATGGTCATGCGCAAGATAGTTTTAGCGAGATTACGCATTGAAGTGATTGGGGCGTTAACGAAGTTTTTGTATTTTGCGATACTCATTACTGAGAGGATTACAGTGAAGAAACGGGCGATGCGCGGGAAGGCTTGGATCCAGTATTGGATATATGTGCGTAGGCAAGATGGGTCCTGGGGGTGTAGTAGTGCGCAGGAAAGCGACTTTATGGCTGGATGGGCGGGCGAGGTGATGGGAGCGATGGCGCTGAGGCTCTTGGGGAGGGTCTCAGCGGCGGGGAAAAGGATCGGTGAGACAAAAGGGGGCCAACGCTGTCGCGAGATTTCAGCTAGGTTATCGACGATATCCAAAGTACCTGGCCAGGGGAGGTGTGCGGGGTAGCCTTTCGGTCGCTTCTGCACATATTCGGGTGAGTTTCTCATCAAGTGGTCGCCGAAGCCAGCGGGGAAGCAGTCGCGGTCGAAGACGAAGGCGTGGAGGAGCTGGCCGCATGCTACGGGCATGATGAGCCAGGACCCAAACCAATTTGGGCTGTTTTTGAAATAGCCTAGTTCTTCCAGGTAGTTGTAGAGGAACTCAAGGGCCCGCGTCATGATGTAGATGGCTATTGTGACACGTAGCTGGTCGCCGGGGTATACGGCGAGGAAGAAGCCTGCCAGACTGGAGCCAATGGCTGGTGCGAGCCGTGAGGTTAGAGAACGAGATATACGGGGGTTCCGCCGCCGGAATGAGCGCGCTTCGTTGCTGAGGAGGCTCTCGCGGATGCGTACGAAGACGCGGCGGAGGAGCCGGTGGAAGAGGAGGATGAGGGCGAGAGAGCTGCTGAGACGCACATTGGGCGATTTCCAGAGAGACGTCCGCGTGGCAGATCTACCCCATTGTTAACTCCGAATTTTCATCTTCTTGGATACGTTCTTCCTACTTCTTCGCTGGCGCCCGTGATAACAGCTTTGTCTGAATGAGCTCCCACGCCTTCAGTCCGGTCAAAGTCACCACACCCAAGCGCAACGCAGCGCGGAAAGCGGCTACATTATAGTCATCAGGCCCCTTGGCAATCGCATCATATCGCTTTGGATGTATGCTTCGTTTCTTGACAACAGGCGCACGCGAAAGGAGGTACTGGTGGAGGAGTTGATACTCCTTTGCCGAGATGGTGTAGCGGAGCGCATTGCGCAATATAGGGTCGATCGGTTTACCTGACGGTGATGCGGGCGGCGGAGCGCTGGCCGACGACATGCTGGACGTCTGGTATTGTGAATATCCGGACCATGGCTTGAGGGGAAGGAAAGGGATCTTGTGCGGTACCGTAATCAAACGGCATCTGGGGAAAGCTAGTGCATCATGGCGATCCCTGGCTTGCCATGTCCCCATGACGGACCTCGGCTCAGTTCTTCGGGGCCGCACGCCGCATCTCCACCCAAATCCATTCACATGCGAGTCCATATCCGCAGCTGAGCGGCCTTTGAATTGCCCCGGGCATCTTGGCGTCTGATCACACATCACAAGACAGATTGGGAGTTGGAGGTGAAGTTTTGCAGTTTGAATTTATACATTGTCATTACTGTGTACAGTTCCAGAAAGCTGTACTACGTGTATGCTCCCAGATGTTCTATGTTTTTCATCCCACCCGGAGCCAGATATCTCATCATTTACAGAAGAAAAGAAGTGCTATCCCCTATTACAAGGATCCAACATCTAAAGAGCCAAAAAAGCAAGAACGGCGCCAAAGAGAGCACTCTTGGGCACAATGGTGAAAGCCGAGGCCGCGCCAGTGAACTGAGCTGGCGACGAAGGACGGAGGGCTCCAGTGCCGGTGGGAAGAACACCCGCAGTTCCCATAGTGGTAGCGGTAGGGTACGGAGGAGCAGGAGCACCGGCACCGGTACCGGCACCGGATCCAGAACCAGATGCAGCACTGGTGGTGGCAGCAGGGGCGTTACCAGGAACAAGAGCGACGGGTGCAGTTGGGTTGGGCGCATTGCCAGAGGCCATCGGGGTGGTAAAGTGAACCTGGGGAACGGTGAGAGTGGTGGTGCCATAGGTGATGGTAGTGCAAGGAGTCGACTCAGCAGGAGGAGGTGCGGCAGCGGCGGGAGGAGTCATGGCAGGAGTCTGACCAGCAGCAGGTACAGAGGGAGTCTCGACGGGGTAGCCAGGACCGGATGGGCTGGAGGCAGCAACAGGAGCAGAAGGGGAAGGCGCAGCAGCGGAAGGCGCAACCGAGCTGCTCTTGGGAGCCGCAGGAGGAGAAGCAGCTCCACTAGGGGCAACCGAGCTGCTCTTGGGGGCAGCAGGAGCAGGAGGAGCAGCAGGAGTGGGGTTCAAGGGAATGTACGAAGGGCAGTCTCCAATGATCTGGGGGTTCTTGGGGACGTGGTCGGCGCAGATACCAATGAAGTACTGGAGGGCCTTGCTGGTGTCATCGTCGTTTCCGCAGCGGGCAGTAATGCAGTCGATGACGTTCTTGGTGAACTCGGGCTTGACACAGTAGCAGTTGGAGTCGGTGTTGTCCTTGCATCCAGAGGCAGAAATCTGGAGCCAAGAGTTCATGCACTTGGGAACGACATCGGTGAGGTTCACAGGGGGGCTGGGCGTGGTAGGATAGCTAGGGTAGCTAGGGCTGGAAGGCTTGGGAGCAGCAGAGCTGGTGGCAGCCTCAGGTGTCATTGTGCTGGATGAAGCAACCGAGGACTCGCCGCAAGACTCTCCGTATCCGCATCCGGCAGCAGCAGAGCTCAAAGCAACGGGCTTGGAAGCAGGAGTGGAGCTCTTAGCAGGGTATGTGGCAACAGTGGAAGACTCGGGCTTAGGAGTGACGATGCTGCTGCTGCTGCTGACCACTACAGAGGCAGGAACCTGAGGAGTGTATGCGGGCGCAGAGCTGTTGCCGAAAGGAGCAGGTGAAGATACAGGGACCGACTTGGAAGGCGTCTCGGTGGTCTTGTAAGCCGACGTCTTGGCCTCAGGCGTAGACGAAGGGTAGCCACCAGTGGGTGTGGCAACTACCTTGGAGCTGGCGGGAGGAGTGGCGACAGACTTGACAACGGAAGAGGAAGCCTTGACAGGAGTGTAAGTGGCAGGAACCTGGGGAAGTGCTGGTGTAGTATAAGGGATCTCGGGCGTGCAGTCGAAGCCAATGTTATGGAAGCCAATCTCGCACGAGTCCTTGTCGCCCTTGTAGTGAGATCCAAGGTAAACGTCCACAGACTTGGCGCCACCGCACTGCGTGTTCTGAAGTGTTGAACCGCCGGCTGAGCAGCTGCCAAGCTGCTTGCATTTAGATCCATCCTCCATAGTATAGTGTAGCTCAAGCTCGACATCGAACTCAGCTGAAATGTCCATGTGAGTAATCGAGAAGCCGCGCTTGTTGCAGCCGAACGAGGCGGGCTTTTCCTTTGCGACCGAGTTCTTGATGCACTTGTTTCCAAACGTCCTCTTGCTCAAGGCATCGCGCTTGCCGAAGGAGTTGGCGCACGTCCATCCGCCAGAGAAGTCAAAGTCTCCGTAGACGCCTACGGAGGCGCCGTCAAGAAGGTCTGACCAGTCAAATCCGCCCTTCTGCTTGTCGCTGCACTCATTCTCACTGTATTTGGGAGTAGGAAAGTTGCCGAAGAAGTCCCAGGTGGCAGTTGCCTGTTGGGCAGCGAGGCCCATGAGGAGAATAGTGTAGGTAGTCTTCATCTTGAAAATAGTTGGAATGAATGTGTAATATGGTACGAAGAATTGTCCAAGGGAAGGTGAAGAAACACTACAATAGACCTGTAACGAATGATGGTCTAACAAGAGAACAAAGTCTGAATGAGGTTGACTTTATCCTTTGATAAGTGAGAGGAGCACCAAGGCAGTGATTAGTAGACAAATCGTGTGGAGGACTCGAACTGAAGGACAAAGGAGCATCATATACTCACCCTCAGCACAGGCACAACCCCTCCACTCTCCAAACATACCGAAGGATTGGCTGGCGAGAGCGTCCGACTCGCAAGCTCAGCCACGATGAATCAAGGGGCCTCCATGTCGGCCTCTGTCGCGCGCTCTACAGACCCACCTGGCTATACTGTCGTCGGTTACAGATGTTCTGGCAATGGGTCGAACGGCTTTTGGCGGGAGCGTAAGCGGCGCCATGGGGCGTTTCTGAAACGCCCTACTTGGTTTTTCTCGGAAGACAGCTGTGCAAGCACGAACCAATAGCGCCTACACATGGTGCTGGGCGAGCAAACAGGCATTATGCATACCTACATCTTGTCTCTTCAGCTCCGACAGGGCCATCTTTGCTATTTTCGATAAGGATAATCATGTAGGGTCTCGACGTTGACGCAATGCCGCTGCCACAGTGCTGCTACTTTTTGTCACCGGGCGACGGCGCTGGATGATGGATGCAAGCTACCTGCATAGGCTGAGTTTCAAGTCTGGTTGACTCCTGTACAGTACGTCGGGAACTGTAGTTTATCGATAATCTCCATCACTTCGACTGTATTACCCATTTAGGTCATGTCCGCCCCTCTCCCGGTGCCTGACTTTAGGCGTGACGCTGACGTTCCAAAATAAACTTGCACGAGCGTGTGTTTCATGGGTGTCCCGCCATCGCACCCTTGCGGCGGCCAACGAGCGTCAAGAACAACAAGCTTTTCGCGACATCATCGATTACGGGCCCAGCTCACGTCTCCAAGGCTTGTTGGCGATATTGGACGGAGCCCGGCGTAAAGGATTGCCATGCGATCGGGTGGGAATGTGATGAGAGTGGAAGAGCAGTCAGCGTAGGTTCTCGTCATGTTTCTCGTAACGTTAACTTGGACGCTCGGACAAGCTTTGGCCGAAGAAAAGGCACAACTCATTGGCGACCAGCTTGTCTGCACCTTGACTGTTCAATGTCGACTTTGTAGGTTCAAACTGGCACAAAAAAGTCATGTTCTTTTCAGTTTCTCAGAAATCAACTTGTGACAGCTGACACGAACGATCGTGGGTACCTTGCAGCATGTGCAACATGGCACGCGGGTGTCGCCCTTCAGACAGACCACACGGTGAACTGTTTCTGAACACGAGCATGCCAGCATGCTGTTCCTGGATACATACGAACATAGGCGGATCCACTGCATGATGGCATATCTTCCCAAGATACGCAGCAACGTTCATTGAAGGGGACTATCTCAGCTGTATCCCAGTCTTGCATCCTTATATTCGCCCAGTTGTACGAACATCCACGCCAACATCGGGGCCGCTTGAGGAATATTGCAGCTTGTTCCTCTTTCAAGACCCTTGACACATTGCTATTCCCGTCCTCTCCACGGTTCCCATATCCGTCCCTCGTTTCATCATCGGACAAGGCGTGGCATGTGGAGTCAATGAAAGGACATTGCATGAAAGACTGCATTTATGCGAGCCCCACATTGTGCTCAGACTGATTGGTTCACTGCACATGAACAATCATGCAGTAAATAATATAACGCGTCGCTATGAGCGTTCGACTGATCTATGTACACACTGTTGTAAAACGCGTGCCAGGGTAAATGCAAGAAACGCCAAAAGACAAATGCCGAATGCCTACGCCCCTGTGGTCGAGGTATCATTTTGAATGCTCCCAGGACGCCATGAAACCGCTCCCATTCGGAGGCCCAGTGTAGGCGAAGAGCCATCTAGGAAGAATTAATCATGTATCATCTGACGCCACTTGATGCACTGCGTCGTCTTATGACTCCTCGTCTTCAACCACAATGTGTACGACTTCGTTCCGGTGACGTTCCTTTGAAAGGCAGCATCGAGCAGCAGTGCGAACTCGGGCATTGCACTCGTGGGCTGCGCGGTTCAAGAAAGGCACCTGAAGAGCTCCGCATATGGCAACAAACGCAGAGGCCCACCACGCCAACGGGGTGAAATGGAGCTCAATAGAAAGGCCATAAAGCAGGCCTGCGATAGGACTGGCGACTGTACGACAAGCAGCACCCGTAGAAGCGGCCAGCCCATTGATCTTGCCGAGATGTGACTTGTCAGGAGTAGCTTCTTTGATCATGATGAGAAGTAGGGGAAATGCCAGGATCGATGTCAAGTTTCGCACAGTGAGACAGGCGAAGAGGCCGGAGTAGAGCAAGTTCTCAGGCAAAAGCTGCAGGAACGGCACGATGAAGTATGCGATCGGATGCGCCAATGTGACCATGCATAGCAGTTTCCATATGCCGAAGCAATCAGCCAACAACGGGAAGACGAAAGCTTGGATTACGAGCTGTATGATGCCGTTGAGGGATAGGATAACACCGACGTTTTGGATTGGAATTCCCAGGCCACCACCCAGAGAGGAGGACGAGAGTTCGAGTGCGTTCATGTCATTGTCTGCGCGTTTGTCTTGGAGGAAGATGGGAAGTAAGTGGTCGTATGTCATCTGAGTGAAAATTAGCCACCATTCCTTTTCCGGAGCAGTAACCAGACGTACAGAATGATATGTGAAGATGCCCAATGCCACGACAAACATGACGACTGGTCGCGTAAAAACCTTTTCGCTTGCTGGGGATTCCACCCAGTCCCCGTTAGATCGCACGCGCCAGATTTCACTGCGCTCGACTTCGACTGAGTTGAAGGTTCCATACGAATCGGCCGTCAGGTTTGCTGCGGAATCAGCTGTTGCACCTTGGGCTGGTAGAAGCGGTGTCTCTGCAACGGTTGCATCGTATGGCTCCAAGTAGCCTCGCGGTTGCTTGTCCGGATGCGTCTCTTCTAGGAGAAAATATGCCATCAAGATCGATAGGAGTAGCAAGGAAGCGCAGATGAGGTTTGGTAGTAGATAAGGAAACTTAGCAAATAGACCTGTAGGACTAAAGACAGAGGGAAAATTGAGAGCGGGCTCAGCAAAGTATCCACCGATCGAAGCTGATCAATTAGCATTAAGAACTCATATAGCGATTGAGGAGGGAATCTCTTTACTTACGACCTATGATGGTACCAATGCTCCAGACAAAAGGCATCACTGCATATGCCTTGGCTAGAAGATAGTCAGCAACGTGTTATGGAGGCAAATGATGTTACTTACGCTCGTGTTCAGGTCGTTTGACTAGTTCTCCTACCATGGTCTGGATAACGCCTATGTTGCCATTAAGCGCGCCGCCAATGATTCTGCCCGCGAGTGCGACCCAGAAGTTAGGAGCAAAGCCAACAAGTAGCAGAGAGGACATTGTCCCTATACATCCAAGTATGACGACGGGTTTTCTACCTATGCGATCGGACACACCGCCCCAGTACATGCCTGAGCAAGCCTCGGCCAGCGAGAAGGCAGAGATGAGCAAACCGGCGAAGAAGGGTGCATTGGTTTCGGTACCGATGTGAAAGTTGGAAACGAGTTTCCAGGCGTATGGAAGGATTGATGTGAGAGCAATAGGCTCTGCAACTCGTACGAGCGCTGTATCGCAGAGTTAGTGAGAAACTCAGGCTGACATTCTGACAGCCAGGGGCGGTGGGGTGAAATAGGCGTACCTAGAAGGCCCAGTTGGGCAGCGGGGAACTCGTCGTCGTCGCGAGCATCTTGAGGGCTTGTTCTTCGGTTCTTGGTAAGAAATGACATTCTGTAACCTGGTATGAATCTTACGGCTTCGCCAACACGCAGTCGTCCTTAGCCCAGGCTTGATTTTACTGTGTGAGTAGAGCTATTCCCTGCGTTTGACCTGTGTAGACCCCAAAACAAACAAAAGAGATGGCTGTCGTAATGGCTGCAAGCAGACGTTGTACAGGCTGCTGTGAGTTGCACGAAAGAATGTGGAGAGAAGGATGGTGGAAATAGGAAATCTTCTGGTTGGTGTTATTGAACTAGGACGGGTGCGATCGGCAGGCGCGCCCGAGGGCCATACTGCACTGCAGGTTCTGCTTGCAGCCAACACTAACCATGACCATTCTGCCTCGCCCATCCAGCCCAACGCACTCGTCGCGTGAGCATATTCGCGCCAGTGATTGTTTAGAATAGAGAATACCGTCTGCAACCGCGTTGATTTGCCCGTAAATTCGCCGCGAAGACATCGGGGAACCTTGCTCCTATCCCGCTGTGACCCCACATGGTGGCGATAGCGAGCCGCTACCGAGTTAGCATGCAGAGCCGCTTCCGCGCTTCTTTGCATTTGCGCCTTTGTACCATGACTGACAGGGGACGACGTCATTCTGTTGAGTTCCGACCGTTTTGCCTACTTGTTTCTTGTGTGAGCGTGTTGCACTTCCACTTGCACTGGGAGGAGCAGCAAGCGTATCGCGGGTAGGCCATACTAACACTTCACCGCCACCTCACTATGTAGGCGCATGATAAGGAGGCCAAGAGCACTAAAGAGTCTGGCCTTCAACCTGCATCAGTTCGTGCATACAACCAATAAGACTGCGGCGGTACCTTTTGCGGCTTCACCACCTCACACCACCTCACACCTCGTCAAATGCGCTGCATACACGTTATCTTGACCTTCTCGCTGCATATGTGTTGGCAATAAACCGAGCATCTTGCCTTTCCAAACTGCACGAGGCCAGAGGCATCTTCCCTAGCCAACAAGTCGCAAACACGCCCGCCTGAGATAGCCAGAAGAATCCGACGGTCATAACTCGGACGCAGACATGTGGCATGTGAGCAAGTCTGATATTTTTCTTGTAAGCCGACTAGAAGCGAAAAAAAAATGGAAAATACGAGGGTTGCACTGGCCTGAACCGATGACCGTTGTCCAATGACATGCTGCCGTCTTCGTCATCTTCTTCTACGCCAGAGACTCGAGCCTCGTCACGAATACCGAACATCATGACATGGAACGGACAGACTCATGTCGCGTGCGTATCCTTTTGCGTGTTTGCTTTGTCGACTTGCCTCAGGACGTCCACGGACTTAGTGTCGCTAGCGCCCGCCTCGGTCCCACATGTGCATCCTACTGCTACCGTTACCATGGCGTCGCTTCATCGACTTCACCACACCTCCGCTTTCATCATCATCGTCTCTAGAAATTGACAGCAGTATCTGCCGATATACTGCAACAGTCTGCTGCACCCGAGGTCCGCATTTCGGATGGCTCAAGCACTTTGCCAAGCGACCAGCCCCAGTTCGACAAATTTCTCGAAGAATTTTACGTGATATGTGGATCTCCAGACGACACGGTCACACCTGAGCATGAAGCTATTACTCACCGCGACCCACAACCTCATCAAACCTCGAAACTCTGTCGGTTCTGGCACCATGCTGCGACGATATTTACGTGACCTATGCCGCATGTAGCCTTATTGTACTCCTTCCCCCGCAAACTGCACTCCGCTTTGGCAAACTTGGCGGCGGATCTGTTCAAAGTACAATATGCTAGACGAAAGTCAGGGTTCGGAATGTAGCCACCGGGAGGCGATCTTTCCAGGGTGTGTTCGGCCGCTAGCAAACATTACGTGCTAGGATGATGATCAAGAAGGCCGATACAGGAGATGTGCATGTTGAAAAGACCATGTGTCGCCGCTTGTCGGTACCAAATTATTTCCTACTCAACGAACCTCAGAATCTAGTGGGCTTTGACAGCTCACACTGCATTGATACGGCAAAACGAAATCATGGGTTTAAAAGCCTTCCTCAAGAAAGATCGTACAACGGCCTCGAATGACGATGTCGCTTCTCACATTACTGGGTCGGAAAAGGACAACGAGGAGCAAGCATATGGACAAAGCACAGATGTTACGACAGGGTGGACAGGCGACGGTTTTGCAGGAGCTTCAGAGTATCCCAATGCTCCTGGAGAAAACTACCGCACACTGGGCCGATGGCGAGCGTGCGTGATTTTGATCACGATTGAAGTGGGAATCGGCATTCTCAGTCTTCCCTCCGCCCTCAAGACACTCGGTCTGATACCTGGAATCATCGCAATCCTTGGTTTTGGTGGCCTCACAACCTACTGCGGCTTTATCCTTCTTCAATTCTACCGGAGATACCCTATGGTGACAAACCTCGTGGACTGTGCGCTTTACGTTGGAGGCAAACCGTTCGAATACTTCCTTGGTATCGCCTTTGTGTTCAACTTGGTACTTATCTGCGCTTCCGCAAACATTACCTTATCGGTCGCCCTTAATACGCTTTCGCGCCACGCCCTGTGCACAGTGGCTTTCCTGGCTTTCCCGCACATACTATGCTGGTTGTTGTGTATCCCACGGAAGCTTTCTTTTGCTGCTGCGGCTAGCTGGGTATGCACAATCTCTATTGTCGCTGCAGTTTTGATCGTCATGATCGCACTCGGCGTTGCTGGACCACAAGCTCCGCCTGGATTTAAGGTTTCTATTCAGCTGGTTGGCAGGCCTACCTTTGTCGAGGCTGTGAACGCCTTGCTCAATGTCGCCTTCGCATTCGCAGGAAACCAGAGCTTCATCAGCGTCATGGCTGAAATGAGAGACCCGTCGAAGGATTTTCCTCCTGCGCTTTTCATGCAAAAGTCTTTCGAAGTGGTCATCTATATTGTTGTAGCCTGTGTCATCTACGGCTTGGCAGGCGACGCTGTCACATCTCCTGCGCTTGGGTCAGCCCCGCAGTTGACGGCCAAGATTGCCTACGGCATTCTCATCCCTTCAGTTCTCGGAACTGGTTTGATCATTGGTATTACAGCGATTAAATTCATGGTTCGTCTTCCTCGCTAAAGAGGAAAGAATGATTACTTACATGCGTCTAGTATATCACCATTATGCGCAACGCGAAGCCCGATCAAGTCAACGTACACAACACGTTCACATGGTCACTCTGGATCGGCCTCGGAGCCCTTTTCTGGATCGTGTCTTTTGTCATATCTAACGCCATACCGATATTCTCATCCATCCTCAATATCTCGTCGGCTATCTTCGTCTCATGGTTCACGTTCGGGCTCACGAGCATCTTCTGGATACACCTAAACTGGAAGTCACAATGGAGTTCGCCATGGAAGAAATTCTTGGCAGTCTCCAACTACTCCATCATGATGATGACAGTATTTCTCATGGTTGGAGGGCTATACACGTCGCTGAAGGCGCTCATTGACATCTACAATGATCCTGAAAGTACCATAAATGGGCCGTTTACCTGTGCGGATAACAGCATATTCTAGTCCATCGCTCTTAATTGAATGAAAATCTTCTCTTTCACGTTCAAACGTCGCCTGATTTACCTTCAGTATTCTACTTCGGTTTACGAAGGATTCTGATAGATGTGGTGACCCTGCTTCGACTACGCCTCATACTGGCATCGAGTCTCAACCTCTCTTTACCCACATGCCGAAATCATGATACACGATCCAAGAAACAAAGATATGAAGGAGATCTCATGCGAAAAAGGTACCTCACGCATACTAGCGCTCGCTCAGTCCATCGCGAGCCAAACCGCACTCATCGACAAACACCTGCGCGAACACAAACTCCCCGAACCGTCTTTTGTCGCTGGCACCCCAGTGGAGCCTATCGGAGAGGTTGAGAAGGCTAAAACGTCTGTCATAGCATTCATCGGACTTCGGCAATTGCTTGAAGGTCCAGCCAAGGAGCTGGTACCAGAGGTACTGGATGCTAACCATACACGCGAGATTTCCAGTCACTAACAAAGCTGTAGTCCAACTTCGCACTGCTAATGGCCATGCACCGTTTTAAGATCGCTTCTTCAGTCCATTTTGCCGAATCCTTTCCAGCGCATATCCGGGCCATTGATGCGATTGCAGAAAAGAGCGAGGAACCAAACATAACAGGCTACGCGGTGCCCAACGGAACTAACCTGAACATATTCGAATTTCTAAACGCCAACCCGGATCGTGCCAAGCGCTTCGTTTGAGTCATGTCGTCAACTTCACAGACTTGCCTCGATGATTTAGTTCAATGTTTTGACTGGTCAGAGCTACCCAAGAATGGCCTGGTAGTTGATGTAGGTAGTTCGCACGGCTTCGTTTCCATGTACCTTGCCAGACGCTTTCTGGAATTCAATTTTTTAGTGCAAGATATGCCTGAGGTAGTCAAAGGCGCAGAAGAGACGATGTGTTTTTGTTGCAATTTGTGCTCCATGACTGGCCGGACAAGTACTGCATCAAGATCTTGCAGTAACTCATCCCAGCGCTGAAGCGAGGCGCGAAGGTCGTTATTCGGGATCATTTGCTGCCTGAGCCTGGGACTTTGGGCCTGCTACGAGAGATGAAAATTAGGTAAGCATAATTGACCGGCATTGGGAACCTAACGCTAGTAGGTCCATGGACTGTATTATGATGTCTTTGTGCAGGGCCGTTTTCGAACGTGCCGACCCGCGATTTGGAGGATTCACAGCCGATCGCGTCAAGGAGAGTCCAGCGACAGGAGTTGTCACAGCCACATGGCTTTGGTGACTAATCGTAACAGCGGGATAGGTTCGGCCTTTCTCTCGCAGTATGCGTATGCTCGCTATTATACATGCGATCGGTATCTGGAATGATCTCACTATTGATCGGTATACGTACAGTACCCGGGTAACCTATTTGGGCTGTCAGTGCTTACCAGATGTCATTGCGTAGTGTGGAGTGGTACAGAGTGAGCAACGAACCTAAACATTTCGTATTGCGCCACATTCGTTAGTGTTTGTAAGACATGCTGGTGACGCCCCATATTCATACCAGTCTCCAGGGTAACCGAGGGTTGGAAAAATGGACGAAGCAGCTTTCTGAGCTAATTTCCATAATCATAGAGTTTTTGATCGCATTGGACGGATATATCACGTGTCTAGACCAAAGAGAAGGAGATATATGTATAATTTGAGTGACACAAAGCCCACTCACCTGTCAAACCTCTTAGAAATGGTGCTCTTCTGAGGCTACCGATTTATGTAGAGTATGCAGTCGTCAAATAACTTCACAGATCAAGACTCAACTCAAAGTCGGGGCTACAGCTCTACCAGCGGACTTGTGTGCCGAATCCGGAAGCAAGCATCCGCCCCATGTTCTGCTAGCCCCCGAGGTCTCGTTGAATATGCGGAGACATGTCCCCGCAATTAACGGTCACTCGCCAGGCCTGGTCTTCCCCACCCCTGCTACCATGGCGACTTTTACATGATCGTTGCCTATAACTAAGTAGGTACCTTGGGACCTAATGCACAGAGCTTTTCATCGGCCAAGAGATATGCCAAACACACATAGGGCTTACTCAGACAACGTGGTCGGTAACGGGAGTGTCCGTACGACTGCCCGTGTACGATCGGACGCTATACTTGGCAGAGATCGGAATGCCGCGATGGAAAGATTCTCGCGATGAGCCATCGTCGGACAAGACGAGACGCAAAGTAGTGGATCGGATGCTTGTTTCCGCGAATGAGAGAGCAAGTCTACCGAGTAAGGAGCTTGGCTGTGAATAGCGTAGCTGAGTCGATGCGACGAGCTCCGTGAGTGTTGTAACTACCGGTGGTTGATTGCCGCAGTTCCCCCGGCGGAACTGCCGAGAACTTTTAGTGTGTTCACCATCACATGCGCCGTCCGCACCGCGCACGATGGGTTCCGGGTATTCATGATCTTGGAAAAAGCATGCTATCGAGACGAATTTTCCATATCACCAGCGGCAGGATACTTTGCGATGGAGCCACTCGACTCTTTGGGCATAGAGGGGTACCTGATCATACGCTTCCCATGAAATAGTTCTGTTATATCGGAGGAGAATGCAGCGATGATAGAATTGCCATGCATGCGATGTCATGTTCTGTACCCCACAGTCTAGTCCAGCCTGCCACGCTACACGCTAAACGACAGCCTTGCCTCCTGCCGGACAAACATCGGTCAACAATTTGACCAATCGCACCCAGGCTCCCCACCTCCCGAGGGATGGAAAATACAATCGCGATGTCATTATCCCCGCAAAATGTTGACCGCGGTTCGGGATTCGATCACATACGGTGCATATACCGTCAAACCCCGGATTCATGAGCGGACGGCAGATGGCGACTCGCATAGTTTTTTCACGGGCTATGTGCCCAAGAGGGGGGTATCGAAGAAGGCTTGGTTTAGGCTTGAATTCATGGTATAAAGCATGGCATACCTGAAGTACTGCTTTCTTCTTGTCCTTGTCCCTGTCCTTGTCCGCTATCGCCTTTGCCCACCATGTTGTGTAACGTAGCCGTAGCTACCGCGCTGTTCGTCGGGCTTGCCACTTCTCAGGCTGCTGCACCAACTGCTCAGACGCAAAATGGAACATACGTCGGTCTACACTCGGCCGAGTATGACCAAGACTTCTTCTTGGGTATCCCGTATGCTCAACCGCCAGTCGGAAGCTTGCGGTTCAGGAACCCGGTAGCACTCAACACTACGTTCAGTGAACCAAAGCCGGCTACCCAGTACTCTAGCGAAGTAGGTGATATATCCCAATATAACTTACCCTTATTGACATGTCTTTTTAGTGCTATGGTTATGGTTCAGACCAATGGAACTACCCGGTCTCAGAAGATTGTCTGTACATCAACATCGTTCGTCCAGCAGGATATGAGGATGAGAACCTCCCTGTCTCCTTCTGGATTCACGGCGGTGGATTCACACAAGGAGGAGGTATCGACCAGCGTTACAACCTATCTTTTACTGTACAGAACTCTGTCAAGATCGGCAAGCCTATCATCGGTGTTAGCATCAACTACCGACTAAGTGCATGGGGCTTCTTGGCTGGAAGTGAAGAGCTCAAGGAAAACGGTAACTTGAACCTCGGTCTACGAGACCAGCGTTTAGCTCTTCAATGGGTCCAGGAGAACATCGGAGCGTTTGGAGGCATGTCGATGCATTTCATGTGACGAGAAGACGGAAACTGACAGACTACAGGTAACCCCGAGCAAGTGACCATCTATGGCGAGAGTGCGGGTGCTCAATCCGTCGGTTTCCACTTGACAGCATACGGTGGACGTGATGATAAGCTTTTCCGCGGTGCCATCATGCAAAGCGGAAACCCCGTCAACTACGGCCCGCTACCGGACCCAGTGACAGGCTATACGACCATGTACAACTTGATCACCAGTCGGACCGGCTGCGCCAACGCAACGAGTCCGCTTGAGTGCCTGCGCGGGGTTCCCACCGTACAGCTCAACGCCGCCATTAACACGACGACTCCGTATATGAACACTACTTCGTTCCAGCCTTGCTTAGATGGCGACTTCATCCAGAAGCGCACGTCTCTCCAGCTTGCTGCTGGGGAGTTCGTCCATGTCCCCATCATCTCTGGGGCCAACTCAGACGAAGGTACTGCATTCAGTCCTTCGCCTGTCAATTCTACCGAGGATCTCCGCACCTTCATCATGGCTGAAGGTGTTCCCGCCAATCTCACTGAGCAGCTGCTGGTTGCCTATCCCGACGACCTTTCGGTCAATGTAGTAGCAAACTTAGGCCTCAACAGGCCTGATCCTCTTTTCGGGCCACAGTTCCGCCGTTCTGCATCCTACTTTGGCGATTACGTGTTCATCGCCAACCGTAGGTTGACCTGCCAGACATGGGCCGCTGCCAACGTCCCAGCATACTGCTACCGCTTCAATGTCATCCCCGCCGGCATTCCCCCATCCATCGGTGTGACACATTTCCAAGAAGTTGCATTCGTATTCAACAACCTCAACGGCGTTGGGTACTTACCTGCTGCTGTAAGTCTCCACTAATCATATAATCGGACCTCTCTAACTTTGACTTCTCTAGGTCCCGCCATTCGAGAACAAGACCGAAAGCTACCGTGAACTTGCAAATTTCATGAATAGCAACTGGATCAGCTTCGTTCACGATCTTGACCCTAACGCGTGGAGAGAGACGACCGACTTCAACGGTACAGAGGCTATGTGGCCCGTTTACGACGTGGCTAACCCCATGGACTTTGTCTTTGACGCCAATGTTTCCAGCTATGCGGAACCGGATACGTACCGGAAAGAGGGCATGGCTTTGATAAACGCACACAACTATGACGTTTACATGCGGTAGGTGAGAGTTGTTATGGTGTAGTGATAGCAAATGCAGGAAATGAAATTGATATAGGCTTTTGACAATGTCAATTTTGTTGCCTATATTATTGCAAGACGTGATGATCTATCAAAAATAAGGCAGATGTGGTAATGGCAGCCTTTTATGTGTTCGATGTAAGAAAAACATGGTGAATGGTTGCGGTAGCGTATCAATACTGCCTAACAAGGGCCATTGGCTCCCCCTAAAAGAGCTCAAGCCTTCCAGAGCTGGAAAAATACAGCAATGCTCAAGGTAATTCCATATGTAGTTTATTTTCAACAATACATTGTTACGGAATCTCCTAGTCAGTATCGATATCCCTTCAAGTACTTAAATAGCTGTGGCTAATTTTAAATGACAAAAATAGAAACATATCGACGTTTCTGTACGATATTCGATTAGTGAGGCCCGCTAGAAATATATTATTGTTGGTTGCTCTTAGTTTCGAGCCACCGTACGTACGTGGCGAGCACGTGACTACGTGCGTGGCCCGTGCCGTGGGGTGGGATTCAGTTCGTACGCGAGCTGCAGCCCACCTCCTCTAATCAATCATAACCATCTACTTCAACTCGTTGCAACGACCGTTACTTGATTCAACCTCACCTTTGCCGTATCAACAATTATCTATGTTCTTCTCATTGGTGATTGCGTCGTGAGCGGAATCATCAAAACGATATTGTGTAACTTTTGGGAATAGGAGAACTACGGAAATCATGCTAGAGTGTCGTCTACCGTAACGACCAATGCGGCATCGGGCCAAGCGATAGCCTGGCGACTCCCGTAGTGGCAGATACGACGTAGGTTGCACCGAAGGCCAGCGAGTATGTAGTATGCCCGGAAGACGTAGGGGTAAATGACAGCGCCGAAATGAAATTCATCCTGAAGTGAGCGGAGATTAAGGCCGATGGAATACTGATCGTGTGAATCCCAACGGAGGAGATGCAATGTCATCAAAAACATCCTGGTCAACCATCTTATCTACGATCACCAGTTGATGTGAACCCAAACTGGTAATGAATACGAGGGCGTGCGGGGGTGCAGACAAATTTAGCGCTAGTCCAAAAGAGTTAGATGTTGGACGAAACTTCTTCCTTCCCCGCATCGCGAGCAAACAGCCGATGGTTCGCCTGCGAAACTCGTGTACGTACAACTCGATTGGATCAGATTATCTATTGGCGCTTAATTTACCCTGGTAGTGACGGCGGGCCGAACATGAGTCTTCGATCCCACGTAATTCCACTGCGATCGCTCATAAACGAGGTCAATATTGGTACCTACATTTACGGAGGTGTCAAATGTACTCATATACACACCTTTCACATCTGGGAACAAAAGCAGTATAGTTGGACTCTCAGCACTTGTCAGGGCTTTCGCCCAGAATGAGGGGGAACTGTTCAGAGAGTGTGTAATCAGCGCTAGTACAGAAGCCAGGTTGAGGATGCTGAACATAGTCAAAGTACAGGCACCTCAGAAATTTCGGTTAAGAGAATGCCCGTAGTTCGCAATGTTACAAACGTGGAAACACGTAGTCTGACCGCCGATCCGGTCGATACTGATACTATAGCTGTGGCCGTTTTAGACGGTGTCTAGGAAAATGGCGCAAACTCGGCTCCACCCGGGCGGTTTCTAGGACCCTCCGTCAGATTGATTGTCTCGTATTATTTCGGGTAATTAAGTTATTACACGAATGCCATGGCAATGCTTATGTGGCTTAAGTAGCTATTTGTATAACTGGGCACTCGCGTTTACGCATCGCGATTTGTACAAACACGACCCATCACGGTTTTTGCGTAGACCCATGCGTTTGGAAAAGTGTAGCAATTTTCCCGATGAAGGCGTGCGTAAACACTGATTGACCGGCCGATCTACGATATCGGAAATTCTCGTAGCTGACCTGCTTGATCTGGTAGCCATTGAATGCGTCTGGAGAGGGCGGACCAAACGGAGCATAGGCTGAAATTGGAATCGGGCGGCGTCTGCAGGAATTCGGTGCCAAGAAAGCATGATTCCTTAGCGCGTTGCTTGACTTTCCTAAGCTTTTCTCCGCATAACGTTCCCGTTCTAAAACCTTAGCGTGCTAAACTTCCCGAAAGCGCTTCTGAGAGGCCGCCCAACTCGCCTGAGCTTGTTCCACTCCACATCTTACCCGTTCTGGAGCGAATCGCCCCTGCTTCAGGTAGGTAGTGCTTATCATGGACAGATCATTCCCCAAGTGTGGCTTAATGGATATGTTCAAGGGCGGTAGTTAATCGGCCTTGGACTACGTAGATAAGTTTAGCATTGGGACGCTGTGAGCCCTCAAGAATCGATTTTCTCTACACCAAGCGGAACCGCAGAAATTCTCAGTTTGTCGCATTACCCACAGTCGGGAACCCTGCGATAGGTTATCATGGCACATATCGATTCAGATCCCATTGAGATCTTGGGTTGGGCGTTAGACAACCTCTCACCTGCAGAAGTAGTACGGGCATCTGTAGGACAATTTGAGCCAAAGATCGCGAACAACGCTAATGTTGCATCAGCAGGTTCGAGAGAGCTTTCGGGGTTTTTTGCGGCGCGGCACAGTTCCACAATTACAGCAACTGTTGATAGGGGTTCGAGAGCTTCCTTGCGATGCGATTGCCTCCCAAAATGACGCAAACAACATACGTAGACATAGTCTGAGAAGAAAGCAGCGTCTTCTACATGGCGGTACCTCTCGTAAAGGCTCCATAAGAGCAGGTCAGCCTCTCATCATCACATTTGAGCATTCAGCGTTCTGACTGAACATCTTCAAGGTCCAACTGAAGTTGGCACCTCGCCCGCGAATACACAAAGTACAGCGTCGGCGTCGCCATTCCCATCGCATGCCGATGCTATATTCTCTCCCAACGCTCAAGGATCCAATGGAAATGTCGGTCCATCTGAAGGCACATGCCCGAGCAGCTGTTCCAACTCGCCTCAACACGACCAGCAGCTCTTTGTTCCGTCGACCAGCTCAAGTCCCTTGCTCAGTAACCCATCGCCAGAAGCCAACTTGGTGCTGGAAAGCCTCCATGCAGCTTCTTCCCATGATATACTTTGTAGAGCGATGACATTTTTCAATGCTAGAATGGGACCACGACGTGCTAGAATCAATTACCTAGTCCGGTCTATTCAGGGCTTTGTGGAAGCGCCAGCACTGGCTGCTGACTTCGCCCGTGACTTGTGGAGCTCCAGATCGGCCATCTTCGTCAAACCTGAGACTTCTGACTGCAGCACCCGACTACGGAGTCTATATGAGGGTCATCGGAAGATCAAACGAGCCCGAGAGCAGCATTCATACGCAGCTCGATTCTGTTATATCTACTTGGAACACGATCTCGAAGCGCTGTCGCAATCTCAGTTTCTTGTGCTTTCGCAAGGAAGGGGCAAGATGACAGCGGCTTTCGAATTACAAGCACAAATAATATCAACAACGGTTGATGTCGTGAAGTCAGAGCGGAAAGCTGGGCGAGGCTATCTGCAGCTCCTGATGGAGGGCGGCCCGGGCTTCATCTTGCGACTTGGCCGTAACGTCTCCACCCTGTAAGTCTCAAGATCGTACTCAGTGACCATGATTCTAAGAGTCTTCATAGCTGGGAACGCAAGTTAAGCAGCTCGGATATTTCGTTGATCATTGAATTCCTCAAAATCGAAACCCCAGATCTGTTTGACGAGATCAAATCATACGACGAGAGTGCAGCCAGAGCTCTTCTTGACGGATTTATTGCATACGGCTGGACTTCGGAGGAGATAATGTCGTCACGGAGTTCGTTATTTCACAAGCTGAGAGAATATGTAAACCTAGAGGATCTCCTTCACGACAGTACAAGTGGCGCGCTACCTGCTTTGACCCAGCCCACGTCTACATCCACCAGCTCAAGGTTTTTGCAACACCCAGAGAGTAACAGTACAAGCTCAGACGACAATGAAGAGATGAGTAATGCTGGCATGTCCTTGGAACCTTTGTCCCTTGCAGATCATCTCGGGCTGCTGGAATATCCCCTCTCGGGCCCAGAAACAATAGGAGACCTATGGGAGATGTCGGCTATGGAGCTTGAGTCAATTTTGGCTCAAACAGAGGAGCTAGTCGATGCTCAGAATTCGATGGATTTGCCGACGTGGAACGATTGCTTCACAGAGGGTATTGGAAGCTTCTGATATCCACCACAATCGTAGGCCAGGGTTTGCATTCGAAGGCGCTTTGATCTTGGGTCACTAGCAAACAAATGTATTTGTGTAATATTCTTGTGAGGTCGGCTAATGTGCTGTGTGGACTTCTCTTTCTCCTATAATGCAGTCTATCTTCCAAGTAGAACTAGAGAGCTTCGTCCCAGTTTGAAGTGGGTACTGGGTAATATTTGGGCTTCCGGTACGGTGAATGCAGTGCTCGACATGCTCGACAGACCTGGATTGGCTATCCAAAATATAAGGCTTCAACATCCTAGCTCTCAGCTGTTTTGCCCATATATACACACAATGCTGATAATGGAAAGAGCCATTTGTATATACGACCTTGTAATTTCCCAGCCTCGCTTCAACTTCAGGCATCGGCTGTGTAGCCTCTCTATCCCTGAAAAAGGCGAAATTGTTTTCGCGAAGAAATCGATCGGACAATTCCTGAGGGTAGCAGGGTGGGTGAACCCAGCCAGACATCATGAGGTCGAAAATACATCCATTTTCCCTTGCCTGTTCTGGTGTGCGTCCGCATTCGCCCATGCTCGTCGAGGCTGGCCGAGATAGAATGCTGATGGCAGATCCAATACCCAACACAACCAACAAAATTATTAGTCCTATGCTGATGGCTCGATATTTTTGTATCTTAGTCGAAGTATGTGCGGCCTTTTCGTCGATTGACTCATATTCCTGGTTGAACGTGACCGTGGAGTCACTCCCCTCACTGTCCCCCCGATATGCTGGCAAGGAATTCCAAGCGGCCGGATCATCATCATGCGACTTGAAGCTGTCTTCTTGTTCCATTTCTAGTACATTAGCGATGATCACTACATTGTCTACGAATTAGGACTCTTACTGCGTTGATTCCGGTGGATGGAGTGGAAAAGCTATCTGCGATTGAAGACTTCAAGACCTTAAAGCGAGGATTAAATAAGTTGGAATTGCTAGTGTAGTCTTCAAAACGTAATTAAGCACCCGGGTTTGTGCTGTAAAATGAATCAAAAGACCGGAAATGAGATTTTCGGCCGGCGGTCTACAGGCAAGATTTGTATGTTGACCTGTCCACCACCTCTATGGCTAATCAGGGACGAGGAAGTGAAAATGCGCCACTGAATCTCTATTTTCATCTGTATCGGACCTTTTGAGATTTGAGCGATGTTTGTTACGTTACAAATCTCGGGATCTAGTCACCTCGGCTAGAGACCGTGCGTTGCTTCATGGAATCTTTGGAGTAGACATTGCTCCTCGAAAGCTACGCTAACGCATCTTTCATGTCCCATGAAACCTTTGCACGCAGCCACGTTGTTTGTATAAGAAACACGATATTTGCAGCATTGTTGGAATCATCACTCACAATAACTTCTTCTACTACAGCCAACTCACTTACTTTAAAACCAACACTCCCAAAACTTCCAATATGCAGCTCTCAGTCTTGCTCATGGCCACTTTCGTCGCCCTTGGCGTTGCTCATCCAGGCTTTAACTGGCTCCAAGACAGGACTGGCGCATGCCCCGCCGGTCATGAATGCAACACTTCCAGCCATACAGAGGACTGCTGCTGGCTTGGAGATGTCGGCTGCTGCTACGAATGCAAAGAGGGGTCTGATGCCGCTTGCGTGGCAGAGGTATGCAAGGCGATTTAGTCAAGCTGCTTGCAGAACTTACTAATCACGCTCCAGGTTACCGAGTAAATCTCCCGACAATCTTGATCGAGGTGGCCAAGATACGCTTTCGGTAAGGATTCTAATGCGTCTCTATACCTAGGTAGTATTGTGACTAACTTCCAGCCTTAGCCTCCCTAGGTATCACTGCATCGAAGGAGGACTGGTGGGGAGATTTTTGGACTATCCTATAGCAATGGTCACCTGTCGCTTTTCTTTCTAATTTTTACAAACGGATTTTGTGAGAAAAACGAGGATTCGTTACCTAGCCTTTAGCCTGAGTAGTTTCACAATACAACGCTATCTCACCCTGACCCAATTGAGTATGAAGTTAGTGAAGCTGTATTGTCGGGTACCTAGGTAGAAAAAGATGCTAGAGTATTGCTTCAATTTTCGTGTCTTAAGGCCTAGTAGATCGTAAACAGCCCAGAAACTATGCGATGATCTGAAACTCTTCCGGAGACAACAATGTATAGGCAACGTAATAGAGCTCCTGGATGAAGTCTACGGTCTTTTTCTAACTATAAGTGCGGCGCTTTCTCGTGGTAATGTACTAGACAGTCAGCTCCATATGCAGATCTCCTTCCCCTGATCCTGATACCCACCCAAAAGGCCCGATCAATCTTCTCTCAATACACCCCTTGCTATGGTTCATTTCCTTTACTTCTCGTTGGAATATATAATCCAACCCTAGCTGGGCATTGTAAAGTCCATGCTATCCATCATGCGCCAGTTCACAAGTGTCGCGATCATAGGTTCAATGTTGGACGTCGCGGATCACGTGACTGAGCCGGGTCTTTAATATGCCGACGCCGAGCCAAGGATCCAGCTTACTATGTACAAATACCGGACCTTCCGTCCGATCTTACTGATCCTTAGAGCAATCAATTTTTTCACTCCAGAACATATCTGATCCGTGTGTGTTTCAATAATGACAATAAGTCCTTCGTTGTATTCCCGCTTGGATTCAGACAGCAAAAGCACCATCGAAGAGGAGAGCGACGATGGCTTAACGAAACCTACAGCATGGTCCCTACATATCGCTCTATTGTACTTCATAATCGCATTCCTACTTCTTACCCAGATTCTATTGATTACACTTATGCCCATGCCAACAAAACAGAGCCACTTCGGTTCTTACGAGACTGGATTCCGAACAGAATTGCGTATGTCTTCCCGGTCCAAACAAGCATTTCTTTACCTGTTTATCTATATGCTCACTGAGAAATCAGGGGCTAGCCAGAACACATTCACACTCCATAGGGTCAAGTTCTATGGAGGAGTTTTGCATGATGAGAACGGCACTGTTTCGCTGAGCCACAGACCTGGTGAGCCCGACTACTTTGGCACTCCTAGCCCCGATATCGATTTGGCATGGACGAAGCTTATCAGTGGTATGTCTTCCTATCTATATGAACAATCGAACTCCACAGATGTTCTGATTCCAAACTAACTATTACAATAGCTCGTATGATCAAGATAGAGCCAAAGGACTATCCAGAAGAGGCAGTCAAGCTTTCTAAACAGGATCTAGATCCTCGTTTGGAACACCACACAGATCCATTAACATATCGTGTGGAGTGAGTAATATCCCCCCAGCAAACGGTGGTATAGCTGATATTGAGTAACAACGAATAGAGCAAGTGGCTTACATGCGCTTCATTGCCTGAACTACATCCGCAAGTCCTTCTGGCCTGAGTACTACAAGGGGTTCAAAGACCCACCTGAAAACGAAAGGGATCCAAAGAATCTCATTCATTCTGATCACCTGAGTGAGTCACACATATGGACACACTCTTTAGGTATCGGACTAAGTATACTGATGAAAAATTATAGAGCATTGCTTATTGCAGCTTCAACAAGCTCTTATATGCCAGGCCGACTTGACACCCACACCTCGGACTTGGCGCCCAGCACCGGCGGGGAAGAAGGGACATGGCTTGTTCCATGCGGACGTAGATCAGTGGCATACATGCAGGAATTGGGAGGCGATGAGGGAATGGATGCACCCGCTCCAAGAGATTCGTCTTTGAGCAATGTTGAAACGACTTTAGTTTTGTTGGGTATTTGAAGTTTGTCTTTTACTCAAGTTCGGTTAAATATGTTGTATACCTTCTAGCACCTATATGAGGGCCCGAACATTGATTCTCAGTATGCTGAAGCATAGCTGGCGGCGGACCGAACATAGAGTCAGTTAAAATGTTTATAGATATTCCTCTACAGATCTCCGTCTAGAGAGACATTAAGTTATTTAATATTAATCTTACTATGCAACAGCTTCTACTAGTTCTATCGCATAATCTGTCAGGAAGTTGTACTATCGTATATTCAAATGCATTAGAATCTCCAACCCCTGAAACCTCCGCTTCTACATCAAAAAAACTTCGACACTGTTTGCCAATACGTCCCTCACTGGATTATAAACCATCCCGTCAGGTGACTTTGACTATTCAAAAAGTATCTTAACACCCAAATATCTATCGATTTGCTACAAATTCCTTGATAGAGTCCCAATCTCGACAAGTGTGTACCACATCCGATTGGACAAAGCTTCTCTTATAACCGGGGTACCAAATTACCGGTATTGGGGTTAGATCAGCATGACACATCAACTGCTGTCTGATGTGGTCTAGACAATGATCTCGGTGAGCTCTCTCCGGATAACCCTTTTTGGTTTTCTTGTTGTAGTAGTGGTCCTTGTCAAGAGCTCTTCTGAGTTCATTGACGCAGTGCAGGGTGTGTAATACGTCAAGACCAACAAGATAGCCCAGTCCATTTGTGTGGTTGTACACACCGTGTGGCTTGCCAAAAGTCATCTCTGCTTCTTCTTCGGTGACTGTGAAGTAACGGTTCTTAAGCAGCGCGTCCCATGCCTTGTCCATGTCGTCATTTGGTGGTCCAACATAGATAGGCTGGGATGGGTTCTGGACACGATAGCTGGTGCCGTTGTTGTACCATCGGGGTCCTCCATAGAACATGGTTTGTTTCTCTTTGATGTATGGCTTGATGGGGTTGAACTCGGTCGGGAATCCATTACTGAAGGGGCCAGCGGGAGCGATGTCGTTGTGGCCGATCACCACCAGCGGCCGAAAGAGAAGAAAAGAAGTGGTGAACGCAAAGACGGTGGCTAAAATCCATCCCAAGTACGATATTGCGGGCGGAAAAGAACGGTGTGTTGGGAGATCCTGGAACTTCTCATCCTCACTTCGGCGTACCGGAGTGTATTGCAATGAGCGGAGATGATCCATGGTGTACTGTGATGAATGTTAGGGAGGCGGGCAAGAGTTCTATTTAAGACCAGCCATGATTGCAACGTAGGTGATCGTCCTGGTCAGTGGCATGGGGATTATATTAGATCATTTGCACCCAAACGACGGGACAGTTTGGATAGTCAGGGTACATTAAGAGGAATCTCAAGGTACCACAATTGAAAGGATTGTCTCAGACATATAAGAAGCTCAACCTTAATATCCAAATGGTGAAAAAGTCATCTTTCCATCTTTATTTGTCTACTTTGTGCGGAAGCGTCATCTGCAGCTCCTCATCATGGACTACCGCGATGAGTCGGTAAAGTCTCTGATCTCGGAACCCTCGGAACATAATCAGTCATCTACTTCAGCACTTCTACCGTCCGGAGTAACTCAATGCGAGCATGACATCAGACCACGACCAAACCGATTCTCGTACCTACTTACGGCAACCCTGGTAGCAACGATTTTGATGTGGTTATCAACTTTCACCTGGTACTACTATCACAACAAAGCTGTCTCTCCCTTTGCACTCATAGACAGAGGGAATTGCGGTCATTCGGTAGAAGAAGCAAAGGTCAAAGATTGCGTTTTCGACATCATGCTATCGGCTTGGGTGCCAAAGCCTTGCTACGACAAGGAGCTATCTGATAGCATCCTTGCAGCAAACAACTTTACCTATTGGGACTCAAACAATGGGGGACAGGAGGTCTCCGAGGAAGAAATACGGAAAGGGGAATTCAATATTCGTTATACCCACGGAACGTACCATGCCCAGCACTGTCTGTAAGTACTTAGAACCCGTCTTCCTGACTTCTACCTAATTTAGACAAAGCTACCTCTGGAAACTCCAGATGAAAGCACAGAAATCGAGTGTTAGGGTGCTGGACTCACTCTCAAGAAACCAGATGCACATCGCGCACTGTCACAAGGTTTTGTCCATGGACCTTTCAGAACGTCATATCCAGAGACTGAAATCGAAGGGCGGAACACCGATAAACGGTGTCAAGTCATTCTTGACATGTTCAGAAGGTTGAAATCAGTGGGCGAGACTTAAATATAATGTAATACGTACTGTGGAAGAAGACTAAATTCAAGTACGGGTTTCTAAATGCAACGCGTCGCTCTAAACATACGGAAATTTCCAAATAGTCTAGGTACTATGGGTACCATGATGTATGGGGATCTTTGGACCCCGAGGTATTGCAATGCTACCGTTGTATCGTGCTTTGGAAAACTCATGGAGCTTTGTAAAGTCTCTGCAAGTATGAAGTTGCTTTGGGTTGATATACTGGCCCCGGCGGGGATGAAACTCGCTGGGAGAAATGACACTAGTGCCTTGACACTGTATCACTTGTCGCAAGTGGTCGATGCAATGCACTGTACGGGGTTAGTCACTATGCACCGTGAAGCGAAGCTCGAAGATACTAACATTGATGTATCATCCCGCGATATCGCTCTTCTGGATAGTAGTCCCGTCGTAATGCCTTTCGCAGCTGATTTAGGCAGTGTAGACAGTGAAACATATCCAGTCTATTCAATATGTTAGTATTCCAAAGTTAGAGGCATGAAAATGTCAACACTTACGTTCCGGTCCATCCACCATGAGATCTATCCCTGAACCTCTCATAGTCTGCACCCCAGAGCTCGACTGCCTCCTCCTCGGAGACCGAGAAATAGTGGCTCTCGCCTCCGATTATTGCATCCCAAGCTGCATCAATCTCTGGTGAGGGCTCACCAACATAATCTGATGGGCCAAGGATTTCTTCACCCATTGGGTTAAAATCAACGCCCCCGGAGAAAACTCTCTGAGTTAGTTGGAATATATGGGAGGGTGCTGAGATTGAGTCAGTCACAGACGGCCAGATGCTAGATAGAATGGGAGGCCTTTGGTACTTACTCACGACCCGTTCTTCGACAAATCCCCTCTCAAAAGAGCCCCATGGACCTTCACGCTGTGCGTTTCCCAATACGAAGCCCAGGTAAAAAGCAGCCATGGCACTCAGAACTGCAACAATTACCCAGACGACCAAGTGCGCGGATGACTTGGCACTCGTACGGTGCAATCTAAGACTGTCGTCTTGCTCGTCATCTGAAGCCAAAAGCGATTCTCCTTCCTTTGAAAAATCTCCAGTAGGGTCTCGATCTAAACCCTTCATATGTTCCCGGCTCCAAAAGGAGAAAAGACTGCGCATGCTGATTGTTTGGGTTATCTTCAAACACGACTGAAATCACTCTGCTATTATATCTGTTCAGTTGCAAAAGCAGTCTAGCGCAGGCACCAAATCGAAGGTGAATAATGCGCCAACAGTACAGACGCTTGCTACGATGTGATGGAGGTTCGTTGCTCCGCTTGGGAAAGTACGAGACATATAATTGCTACGTGCCTTGGAGATATCTCACGGCCCGTGCATCAACGGCGGTGACGCAAGTCTGTTCTGTAAGGAGGACTAGTGCTGATATTGACAGCTGGGTTCACGTAGCAAATGCCCTTCGAAACATTTTTGGCAATGCAGATAGATTGCGACAGTTCCTACCTCTTGCTCTTGCTGTTGCACGGAATTGATATCAAGGACCCACGCATTAGCGCAGCATAACCGCAATATATGCCTCTTCTTTTGTTCAGGGGCTGATTTGATCTTCGGTTGCGGGGTGGTAAGCACTGGAGATCACCGACGTCATCGGGCCGACGAGACATGACCCCGATCTGCAGTGAAGGAGTCATCCTCCGAATGCCAGCACGCGTAAGCTGGCGAAGGTGTAATTGCGACCATCGAAAAGAGCCCTGATTCGACCATACCGTCTCTCGTCAATGAACGGCAGGCAATCGTATGCAATCCGTGGCCTAGCTGAGAGCTGCCTCGTGTTAAGGCTACATTTTTGGGTAGTAGGCACATGGGTAAGCAAGTGTATCTACGGCTGCGGTAGCAGTGGAGGTGAGATGAGTAGGAGAGGAGATCTCACCGTAGTATATATACACGAGGAAAATGGTTCAACGCACAGTGTTGTGGCGGCCCGTGTCTGAGGGACGGGTAAATGGTCTGATCTTCCAAGAGACATGCGCCCCTTTCTCGACCGCGGATTGAGAGGCTCTTCGACGGCGCTTACTCACATAGAGCACGGTCCATTGTGGAAGACTTCAAATTTTCAACCCTCTGGTGATTGCTGACCGTAGACACTTCAGGGGGCTGATGATACGATTAGCGACTTGAGATCAGTATTGCTTTCCGGGCGCCATACGCCCTTCAGCCCACCAAAGTCAACATCCTTTCTACTTACACATTTGCGCTCTGTACCTTCCAATTATTCATGCCCATAAACACACCTGGTTTTCGTTGTTTCGTCGCCACGAGGCTCCTCACAAGCCCTAAACTGGATCTCTCATGGGGAACTTACCATTCTGAATCCCATCAGCACCGTTTGCTCGCATCCCGATCATCGTTTATCCTTTTGTTAGAAAGACACCACCAAAATGCTCAGCAAGAGCTCTCTGTTGGTGCTCGCATCACAGATCTTCGGCGTGATCATCCACAGCCTCGCCAAGTCTCTGTCAACTACTGGCAAGGTAGATCCTCAGCAGATACTCCAGATTCGCATGTTCATCACCTTGAGCTTCAACATGCTTGTCCTCACCTATCGGTACCCAGACGAACCTCCACTCGGTAGTATTGATATCAAGCATCTGCTTGCGCTACGATCTCTTGGCGGATTATGCGGATCGTTTGGATACTACTGTAAGCCCCATCTCATAGGCCAACTGCGCTCTTTCATAGTGTTCTTTCTGTAGTTAACGGTTCAAGATTCTCTTCAATATCTCTCCCTCGCTGATGCAACTGTTCTGAATCTCTTGTCGCCCTTGATAGGGGGCATCGTCACAAGTCAGAAATTCAGCAGTGTACGACTCGGGGCGGCAGTCGTATGTTTGTTCGGAGTCGGACTTGTGGCCAAACCGGCCCTCATTCTGGATATCCTTCATTTCGGCATAGAACAAGAGAGTCAGGTTCTCGGGCACATCGCAAAAGATAAATCTACTGGGACCGGCATAATGTTTGCAGCGATCGGGATTTTCGGTGGAGTGGTAGGTCATCAAGCCCTTCCAACGTTGCAAATGCTGACTGACTACTTCCTTTAGTGCACTTACTTTTCTCTCTCAAAGATTGGAACTAGGGCACATGCATTAGCAATCACGAACTGTTACGCGATCAGCGTCTTGTTCGTCAGCACTTTTTGCTTCTTGGTGGTCCCTGGTGTGAACTTCAACTTTCACCTAAGCCTCTTGCAAATGCTGATCCTTTTCACCATTGGGATCTTCGGGGCTCTTATGGTAGACGCGCTCTGTTCGCTTTGATGACTACGCTGACGTGACTCCCAGGAAAATTTCTTTACAATGGGAATGACTTTGGAGAAAGACAGTGTGGCTGTGTATATGGCATACCTGCAAGCAGTGCTTGCTCTTATAGTAGATGCAGTGGTTTGGAATAATCTACCGGACTTGGGGTCGTTGATAGGTTCCATTCTTATTGTATCCGCGCTCTTGGTGGTTGAGAAACATAAGATGCAGGAGCAGAAGCTGAGCGATACTGAGATGGCGCTTGCGGAGATGTCTTTTACCCCCCTCAGTCAACCTAGAGCAATATAGAATCTTTCGCGTGCAAAAAGGAGATGAATTCGATCCGGCTTGGCGGATGACTGGTTGAACATATTCCAGGTCGTCGACGAAGTTGTCAAGCACCTTGGACGGCGAAGGTGGTGGTGCCCATGCCCATGCCACCTGCCATTCGCTAGCTTCAAAGCTTGGGCCAGGAACCGCGGCTTCATTCGCATCGATGATCGACTTCCAACTTGGCCTCGACTTGCTCAACAAGCATAGTTGCGACATTGTCAACCACGTAGTACTAGTCGCGGGGCTCGCCAGAGCAGGATGAAGCCGCCAAATAGCGCAAACGGCCAACAGGGCCCTGGCAATGGCGCGCCAAACGAGATCGGCGGCGCAGCCAATATGTCCGGTCCAGCTCCATCATCGCATTCGACAACGCCCATGCCACCTGCGTCGCAAATGTCCAGCTTTCCCGTAAATAATACCGGCGCAACGAGCGCTCCCAGTTTCCCCGAGTACTCTGCATCCACAGCCGCGATTCTCGAGAGGCTCCAGGGTAAGAGCGGCCATGCTGCCGGAAGTGCTGCGTTTGAAGCGAAGAGGGCGGAGATCCTACAGAGCTATGTTACTAGCGATAAGCTTCCGACACCTCCCCCGATCATGGGTCCTGGACGGAGAGGAAGAGGCGGGCGGGTTGGCACGCCGAGCGGACTGAAGACGGAAGTAGGCGCATCACCTGCAGGCCCGCCCACATCTGGTCGCGGATCTGGCAGAGGACGTGGAAGGGGACGCGGAGGTCGTGGCGGCAGAGGCGGCAAGCGGAAGCGGTCCGAGAGTGAGGAAGAAAGTGATGTCAGTGTGTAGGACATTGCACGAGACTGCATGCTAACACCATGTAGAACGACGACTCCGACTCCAATGTCTCTGACTCGTACACACCACTCCCTACTCGAACAAAGTCCGGTCGCAGTGTGAACAAGCCCGTCGCATTCGTACCCATCATTCCAGAACCAGTGCAAGGCGTCAAGCGGAGGAAGTCGACCAAGACTCTGCTGGCAGCCAAGTGCAAGACTTGCCAGCGAGAAACCGACCCGTCCAACAACCGCATAGTATTCTGTGATGCGTGTAGTACTGCCTATCATCAATATTGCCACAACCCGCCCATCGACAATGACGTTGTCACTGTGCTGGAGAAGGAGTGGTCATGCGGACCCTGTACGCGGGCAAAGCAAACCGTAGTAGAAGGCTCACAGGACCTGGTCGCTGTTCAGAATCTTTCCATAGACGAGGTATGCTTCTCCACCAGCAGAAACTGCAAGCTTATACCAACATGACCAGAAACGCGCCTACTTCTCTACCCTCCCCCAACACCAACTCATCGACCTCCTCCTCACAGCCACAGTCCGACACCCAGAACTCCCCATCTTCCCACCCAACGTACGGAGTCTGATACCCAACGCCTCAACCATCAAACCCGAACCACACCAACAAGCCCCCTCAGCACCCCAGCGGTACCCGCAGTACCAAGCACAACCCACAGGCTTCCACCCCAACGGCCAAACGCCGGCCGGCCACACCCCACAGTTCTCGTCGCACCCGCATTCTGAGATGGACCCTGCAGACGCGCAACTCCTCGGCGAGAGCAGCCATCAGCCGTCGCGCACAACCATCGACCTTGCTGGCAACCAGTACGACGAAGACGATGGCTACGATACGGATCCGCCCGCACACTATCCCAAAGCTGGAAACGGACTGGCGCGGACGCTGCGCCCGGAGAGCGAAGATTTGAATTGGCTGGTTGACGATAACTTTGAGGTTTTCAGCCATGGCTGGAAGGGCGATGGCACGGGTATGGGGGCAGATGGCACGCTGGACGAGGGACAAAAGGTAGTCTAGGATGCTATAGAAACGACGGCGGAGCGGCCTTCTGGCGCGACCCCTTCTTCCAACCTGTCGGAGATGGGCAGTGAGCGTTTAAGGGAGCTGTTCCTGTCACTTTGAAAAGCGTTTTTTCTGCTATTACGGCGTCATCGGCGCTGTAGATGCTCTGTCGTCGAGGCATATATACAGGCCTTGTTGCAAAAGAATAATTAATAGCTTCATCACCCCACAAACCATATGTGTACATAGGTCGAAAACTGATAACATATTACTAAAGAAGAGTTTCTGTTGAAGAAGAACAAGAAATCGTGGTATCACAAATGCATGCCTAGTAAAACAAGGCCCATTAACCCAACTGAACAACCCAACTCCTCCCATACGCCGCCCATGCAACAATGCAGTTCATCACAACAGACGTTAACATCGTTCAATCATCATACATGCGCAACCCCCCATCGGGATCCTCCCACTTCTTCGTCTTGAGGATCCTCATCTTCTTCACCGGGCTCGCAGACCTTTGCATAGTCTCGCGCTCCTTAGCCTCTAGCTTAGCCCGTAGCATCTCGTTCTCGCGCTCCAACTCCTCTACCCTGTCGCGGAGTTCCGGGTCTGGGTCTTCGTAGACTTTAACCTCTTGCTTCATCTGAGCTTTGGTGGCGCGGATGACGACGTCGATTTTGGAGTCGATGTGGGCTTGTTGGTTATCTTGTTCGTTTTCTAGGGCAGCTTGCCAGCGGCGGCGTTCTTGTTCTACTGCTGTTTCCATTTCGAGGTAGCATTCGTCGCGGATTTCCTGCTCGAGGTCGACCATGTGCTCTTCGGCTGCTGCCCAGGAAGATTCTGCTGCTCGTCGGCGGGCTGTCTCTTCAGAGAGGCGGAGGGCAAAGGCTTCGATCTCTGCTGTCAGGCGTGCAACTTCGGCGTTGGCGTTATCAAGCTCTTCCATTATGGCGGAAGGTGTTGCGCGGCCGGAGCAGGCTGTGCCGGGACGCTTTTGTGGTAGACCGGAGAGTATGGCCTCCGTAGTGGATGGTACTCGCGGTACAGTTACCTCGCGAGCGAGTGCAGAGTAGCGCAAGATCTGAGATGTGGCGTTGAAGTCGCCCTTGGGGTCTGCTGTGACAACCATAATGGACTTTTGTGGCTGGCGATCGTGTTGAATTTGACGACCAGGGGTAGGATAGGAGTTTGAGAAGAGTATCTCTGTTAGTTTACATTGACGGAAAGGCACGATGTTCTGCTCAGTTGTTAGTAGATTGCTTTGTGGGTAGGATTATGTCCATACCTTTGAGCCACCCTGATTGTCCGACTGCATTTGCATACACTGGCCCAGGTACATGAGCGATTCGTTAATCTTGCCAGCCTCAGCAAGTGTCTCGCCCGCTGTCTTTGCGTTGCGGGCACGCTCAGATCCGGCCAAGTCAACAATGGTGAGATTGCTGCTAGACCAAGGACCCTTGGTTTCAGCATCGCGCTTCTTGATCTCAATGTTGAAGAAGCCGTGACTTCGTGAGCTGACGGCATTGCTGCCCGTGCCAGTAACTTTACGTTCCATGAGCCCAGTCTCCAGGATCATCATAGCCTCCTCGAAGCTGCCACAGATGATCTTGGTAAGACCAGCAACGACCTTTCGGTCAGGACTCTGCTCAGTGTTCTTGAACAGCAATGCTCTTCGCTTCACATTGGGCTGCTTATTCTTGCTTGCACTGCCGCTCAGGAGATCGAAGATGCGGTCGTTGTATACCTCGTACATAGACATAACGATAGCGTATTCGACGGTCGGGTCTGCGGGAAGTTGGATGTCTGCAACAGAAGGTGTCTGTGGCAGCGTTGATGGGCGTGGAATCTTGCTAGATTTCCAGTTGCTTCCTGTGGAGAATATACTACAATCCTTTGGCACTGGTGAGCTTGGGCTCGCACATGATTGAGCGATGACTGAAGGTCGACCATGGAAGAGGCTTGGGGACTGAACGCCAGCAGTACGTGGACTAGAGAACGTAGCTTGCAGTGCTCGACACAGATTCCTAAGCGCAGGCTTCCGGGGAGAAGCCAGGGGTCCAAATATAAGAGAACGTGGTGACGAGACCGTATCAATATCTGATCTTTAAGAGCTTATAAAAATGTACTTACCTGCATCGGGGTATTCGCTCGCGACGGGAATCGCTCTGACTGATTGTCTCCATACATGTTGTCCAGATATGCGGTCGCCGTATACAATTGAGCTTCAGAGACATCTGCTGTTGCCAAGGAGGAGAAAGCGGGTGCGCCATAAAATGATTGTACAAGTTGCTCTTCACAGGTCTGGAAGACGACATCGAGCGTCATCTGGACGAGGCCGCGCTGCGTCTTTGTTCCGAGAATTGTGTGACTCTATGTTATGGTTAATACCTATTACAGTACAGTCAAGAGCAATCCATTCGCACCTTGCCGGATCCGCTGCAACCCAGAGTCGCAAACAATCCATCTCGTCCGTGGTGGCCTGGTGCACCCATGACTCCCTCAATCATTGGGATCACCCCAGTGCCCTTGAACACATCCATTTGCCGCGCATCTTCCTCAAAGACTTGTGTAAACGCGAAGCGCTCAACAGCTCGCTTGCGCTTGTCGTTTGTAGGGGGTTGTATGGTGATGTGCGTCGGGTGGCTTTGCTCGCTCTCCTCTACACTCAGGAACCGCGCATCCTTGGAATTGGAAGGGCGTAGGCGTAAGAAGACATCGAATAGCGAACTGGAGGGGCGGATAGGGGGGTCCATGTTAATTGTGTATAAAATGTCTTGGAGAAGGCGTCCAAGATTCTAGTCGGCGTTGGTGTACCAAAAATTAATAGGGAGCAGATCGTGTTCGCGCGCGCTGGTCAATAAGTCCGGGGCGAATTTCCGTTACCCTAAGCAACCAACGCGCCTCCCACAACGCGCTAGTACGTCCGCTCACGTGATCTACTCGCCTATGTAATCTCCATCAACAGAACAAAACCTGCTCAATCTCTCCGCGGTAACATCGAAATCCTCTTATTCTAGTTGTCTTCATAAGTGTCTGCGCTCATTATGCTACAACTCCCTCAGCTCGTAATCCTTTAACCTCGTCCTTGCTCATGCCCAATGTGTCGCTCAGAATCTCGTCCGTATGCTGTCCCAGTGTAGGCGGTGGTAAACGAATCTCGGGTTTCGTCTCTGACCATTTAACAGGCGTGTTGACCAGTTTGATGGGCCCGCATGTTGGATGGTCCACTTCTTTGACCATGTTTCGAGCGAGAACTAGGAGTGATCAGTACCCACGAAGACTTCCGTGCCGTGACTTTTATGCGAATACGTACCGTGCTCGTGGTTCAAGGTGTCTTGTATATCGTTAATGGCAGCATAAGCTATTGGGATTAGTCATCTAGCATGAGCATTAGAAGAAAGGACCACTTACGCATCCCACTGCCCTCGAAAACGTCAAGCAACTCCTTTGTTGTCTTCTTCCTTGTCTCAGTCTCGATCAGTTCCTCTAGTTCATCTCTATGCTGTACTCTCATCGCATTCGTCTTGAACTTTTCGTCTAGAATCCACTCAGGCTTTCCCAGCCTATTACACAGTACGCCATACAGCCTATCGTTTCCACCCCCTAGGAGGATGTCTCCATCTGCTGTTTTAAAGGCTTTGTAAGGCACAATTGAAGGATGCGAAGTTCCCCAGCGACCAGTGTCACGCTGTCCGCTGATGAGACTGGAGCTGGCGATGTTGGCTAATGTGGCTACTTGACAGTCAGAAAGGGCCACGTCAATGTGCTGACCCTTGGATTTAGGATTCCTCAGGCGACGGAACAATGCAGCAATAATGGAGTTCGACGTATAGAGACCGGTTGTTAGGTCGGTCACTGCTACCCCAACCTTGACTGGTGGGCCATCTCGGGTACCGGTAATGTGCATCAGACCGAATTCACTAAGGTGGAGTCAGTTATATTAGTGGATTGTGTGTCGGATTTGGCGCACGCTTCGACCATGACATCATAACCAGCTCGATTTCTGTAAGGTCCTGTTTGGCCGTAGCCCGTGATGCTTGCGTAGATCTGGAGATGGACGTATACGGTCAGCACATGTCTCTTATGTATGTTGTGTACGGGGATCACTCACTATACCTGGATTTATCTTTGAAACTGTATCGTAATCCATGGCATACTTTGCAAGCGAACCCGGAAGATAATTCTCAACAAGTACATCGCATTCTTTTACGAGACGGTGCAGTATGTCCACGCCGGCTGGATGCTGGAAAGACAGACCTATTGATCGTTTGTTACGGTTGACCTATTCTTGGTGAGTTTGAAAGCAGCCGGTTACTCACTCCTACACTTACACCCAAGTAGTAAGCACTTTCCCCTGGTCCTTCTTGATTGTTGAGATATTTGGCATAAGGCGGACCCCATGCCCTCGTGTCATCTATTGAACATGATTAACTTCGATTTAGGTTAACTCAAACTACGTCATACTTACCACCTCTTGTAGGATGCTCAATCTTGATTACGTCTGCTCTGGATCACTGTCAATTCTCAACTTCTCAACCCTGCCAACCTCGGTGTTGGTTCATACAGGGCCGTCCATGGCATACCCAAGATCGCCCAATATTTGCGTGCAGTATGGCTTTGCTTGGTCAGACTTGATCAAAATGACTGTAAATGTGACTTACACCAGCCAGGACTCTCGTCATGTCAAGCACCTTGATGCCGGCTAAGGGTAGATTAGAGGCATCTGTTGCCTCAGTCGCGAGTCGTCGAACATAGCTCGGTGTTGCACAATTAAGCCTTGAGGAGCGCGCACAGGTTTGAAAAACACGCCTTGAGTTTCTTACTGCAAAACTTGCCATTTTTGAGGTATGGATGATGGCATCTGGAGTGAGGGCGGAAATGGTCCACGATCGGTATTTCCGAAGCCGAGCTAGCTCCAGTTCCGAGGCTCACAGGCTAGCTGCAGAACCCCACCATCGTGACTTCCTCTCCCGTACTGCACCCCACCATGTTTACCGGTATCGTCGAAATAATCGGCAGTAAGCAGGAATGCTCTTTCTTTCCGCGCGGCTTGGCTGATGATGGCTAGCTGTTGCCTCCCTTGAGAAGCTCGATCAGACAGCCTCAGGAGGCGGGGGCACGTCTCTGACAATTTCGGGATGTGAGGAAATCTTGGGGGATTGCCATTTGGGCGACAGTATCGCTGTCAACGGTATGTTGGACAATTTCAATAATAATCACGGTCTGATGTGGCCAGGAACATGTCTCACTGTCACGCAGTTTGACAAGTCGTCATTCAAGATTGGAGCCGCTCCCGAGACGCTCCGGCGAACAAACTTGGGGTCGTTGAAGCAAGGCTCTAAGGTCAACCTCGAGCGCGCCGTTTCTTCGACCACGCGTATGGGCGGCCACTTCGTACAGGGACATGTCGATACCATTGCAACTATAGAATCCATCACCCCAGACGGCAACGCGCTTACCTTCCGCTTCAAGCCCCGAGACCCCTCAGTACTGCGATACATTGTCGAGAAGGGCTATGTCACGATAGACGGAGCAAGCTTGACAGTCACCAAGGTGGAAGATGGCCCAGAAGGCTGGTGGGAGGTCATGTTGATCGCATACACACAGGAGAAGGTGGTGACGGCGAGCAAGAAGCCGGGCGACGACGTCAATGTCGAGGTAGATCAGGTGGGCAAATACGTGGAGAAGAGCGTAGCCGGCTACTTTGAAGGGGCTGCGAATGGAGAATTCGCGATACTAGAGAAGATGGTCACAAAGCTAGTTGACGAGAGGCTGAAGGCTCTCGGAAAATAATTAGGCTCATGCTGTACCGTACACCGTTGAGCTTTAGCGGGCCCATAAGACTGCCAAGTGAATAGATTGGCCGTCAATGCCGTTAAAGCCACTGTCCCACAACAGCATCCAACAATATCGCTGTGCCGTAGCTTCGATGCGTCTGGTTGCCTGGAGAGGAATGACTGGGTGGATTACAGCCCCATCACGGTGGCTTGGACAGAGTGAGGCGCAGCCCTACTTTCCTATCATACACATATATAGACGACTGTTCGTACAAGAATTAGTTATATCTCTAGGTTTTTTCCCGACTGTCTCAGCGCCATCTTATACTGTTCTGATACCCATCCATTTCTGTTCGCTGGTTGTTGACGCCTAGCTCGTGATTAGTGCCTTTTGTTCCCCTCCAAGGGAAGATCGGTTGACAGCTGTCAAGATGCGCAAGTTCAACCGTTTCGACTATCGAGTCTCGTTCCTGACCAACCACTACTTCAGACTGCAAGGCTATCATGAGCAATAGTGGAGAATTGTTATGTCAGGCAGCGCGGCTTCTGGCGGTGCCTCGAGCCGACGTGCATACGAACGAGATCATGGCTTGGAATGATCTGGACACTTTGGTCGTCATTAGGACACCCGTACGACGATGATCGTCTCATACTGACAGCGCAGCTCTGCAGCCGCCTGCCGGAGTGGCGCCTCCGACGATCCAGAATACGAAGTAGCACCTTGGCCCACCATCGTAATGCGGTTGCGCGCCGAGAGCTGGACAAAGAACGCCAAATAATTTCTTCTGGGGGCCGAATTTATCAAGCAGACCGCCTTGCGAAAGAGCAAGCGAGAGCTGCGGGTTACATGCAGGCTTGGTAAGGCATCTCGTCTGCAGAAGTTATTGGCTTCTCTCACCGGCGTGCTGCATAAACACGTCAAGAGCCGACCCTCTTTGAGCGCGCATGCAACTACAGGTCTACCCCAGACGCTCATCTTATAGCGCTATCGCCGGGGCGACCTCTCATTCCTTCCCCGCCGTTTCCCTGGCATTCAAACCATGGGCCGCGATTAGAGGTTCCATTTCGGTTGCATAGTCTCAGATACACACTCCACCATGGACTGGCGACTGCTTGAGTACGCCGATGAAGCGGAAGAGACCGCCAAACGTCTTCTTGCCTTCGAGGGCGAGATTCCGCAATATCGAAAAAACATCAGAGCACATATCGCCGAACTCTACGCCATCTCACACGCTCTCCATGAGTTGCATGATGATCTCGATTTGTCACGTTACGGACGTAACGCAGGCTACATTTTGAAAGATCTCGAGGTTTGTCTTTCGAGTCTGGATATCACGCTTGCAGACGTCCAAGATATCTTTGGCAAGTCCAAACGAAATCGACACTCAGCTCCAGGTGCATTCCCCGGCACACCACCGTATGCCATAATATGGGAAGACGCACTCGCGGACTTTGAGACACAAGGCATGACCTTGCCCCGGAGGTTTGAAGCCGTAAGAGAGTATCTCCAGTTCATGCACGATGCTCTGAAAGGGTAAGCATTGCTAGTAAAGATGGCATTTCAATGGAGGCTAACCGGCTCCAGGCATGAGGATGAAGGACAATTGGCAAAGTTCAAAGTCATGCTATCGAAATTGCTAAAGAAGCAAAAGCCAATCGATTCATATTTTACCAAACCAGCTGGGCAAGGCAGTGGCAAGGGCAGTGCCAGAACTCCAAAGCCGTCTTCTCCAAAGGTGCCTAGACCCAAGATACGTAGTCACCCTACGTACCCCTCTACACAGTATGTGTACCAGGCGCCTTTGCCCCCACCAGTACCACAACGAGCCCATACACCACAACGAGCTCATATTGCCCCAACGTGGGGTGGCATTGGCATAGGGGATATACCGTATATTCCACCACCGGTGCCGGAGATCCCTCTATCACCCACATCATCGGCTGCCTCATCACACGCGTACTCTACTCAATCAACCGACTCGGAGCCTGTCGCCCACTGGGCTATGAAGATCTTCGACGGGCGCCATACCACAACATCGTTCGAAACCTTTGCGGAACCTACAGAATGCGTTGGGCCCGAGGAACCCAATGTTATCCAGATGCTTGAGGCTGATGGGTTTCAACGGGTCGTTGAGCTACCTTTCGAAGCTGCCAGCGTATTCGTGAGGATATATTGGCGGCCTCACGATGAACGTGCAAGGATGATCTTCCTCACCAAGGATACGAGTGGAAAACGTATGCGACACCAAATGCTACTCACCTCATTGGTATTGCGACGCTCGGATTCATGCTTGAAGCTCTGCACAAAGAACCATAGAGATGGTGGATTGGATCTATGGGCTAGGCTACGCTTTACTCTCTACGAACGTAAGTATGCATATACTGCTTGTGCTATCTCATCTGACACTACACCAGGCATGGTCCTATTTTACTGTACTACCGTTGCTATGAAGCGACAGGATCAGAAGGGCGTTGCAGAGGGACTGGATGATATGTCCAACCCCGGAGACGGGGAAGAAATTGTATTCAGTGGGTACGTATTCATCCACCACCTGCCATGTTCACTCTAACATGAAGCAGTGAAACCGTCGACCACAAATACAAACATGCTTTCCGTGTGTATCGCGACCACGATTCAGGATGCGTACGTTTCGAGGCTACAGCTCGCCGGGGGCCAATGAAGTCAATTCCCATTTGGACCGCTTTCGTCACGCAATACATTGGACGGAGGGACTGGATGAAGCGTACTAGTCCAGACACGATTGAGTTCCAGAAGCTCCATCCATATGTGTTCTGTGATAGCTACAAGGTGCCTAAGAGTTCCAAGGGCGGTAAGTATCAGTTGACGTTTACGTTGGCCGAAGGTATGTTCCCGATGCTTTTATTACGGAATCATTACTGATGTGAGAAACAGACGCGAAATACTTCAAGGATGTCTTCCATCATATCGACGTATCGTAGACTCGCCTTGCTGGTCTCTGAATGAGACACACGCTAGCTCTTAACGACGTTATGAACAAAATGCTTATGACTGAACGATCACGACCACGACCACGACCACGACTGAACGATGAACATGAGGCGGGTGGACTTTGCTTTCTGGGACAAAATAGCTTTTGCGCGTTTCTCTTCTGGAACCCAAAATTGACACTCATCTTTTCTTCACGCTGTAATTTGTCATACACGTTCATTTTATAACTCTCGCGCATAGTGTAATAACCCAAATTGGTAGTCTGACTCGTAGAGTCATGAAGGAAAGGTGACCTCAGAGCTTAGACAAGGCCCCTCGGGACACCATATTCTCCACCTGAAAACGCCTTGCCATGTAAATGTATGCCTGTCCCCAAACTCCGTGTTGTTCGTATCCAAAACTGCAATCATCGACCGCCTCGGGCAGCGCGGGCTTGTTCTCTTTCGCTGGCGTTGTACCTATGCTAGTGTTAGTCCCTGTCCGGAACATAACCGTGCTTTCTTCTCATCGCGCTCTGATTGCTTCTTGCGCATCGCTGCCACCGTAGTAGCGCGTTCGGGACCGGGGGCGTACTTAAGGAGCTTCTCAATGAGATCAACGTGGGTGAGAATCATACGGCGGCAGCAGTAGCGCTGTAGGCCGACGGCGTCAAGGGCATCGCTAGGGAGCCAAGCGTGTCAGTAGAAGGTATGGAGGAGGGTAGGGTGTGCATGGCGTAGGCAGAGTATCGACGGTTGACGGCGGGGAAGGAGGGCTTACGCTTCTTCGGCGCCATCACTCAGTAGGTTCATGTACTTCTCCCAGAGGTCGCCAGTGACCTAGTAAATGATCAGTATATGCGCGCATGAGCTCCAGGCAGTTGTAGTATTACCTTGCCACAAGAAAAGCATCGGATAGGGACGATCATTTTGGTGAGTTGAGGTTTCCGTGGTCTTCGGATTTCTTCGCGACTGTAGTGAAGGAGGTGCCTGGGTGTGCAAGACTAAGGCGAGGTTATAGTGGTGCTAGATGTTCGCGATGTCTGTCTCAAAGAAAGTTACGGGCGCGCTAACAACGCGGGCGGTGAAAAGCTCGGGCCAGGTCCATCAAAAAAGATTCTCAAGATGCTCCCTCGACACGGCCATTACGACAATTTTCCGCATTTGTACATTTTCACGTCGAGCTCACCTTGAGGAGTAGCTACCATGGCCGACGTCGCTCCCCAGTTAAAACGGAAGAGAGAGGAAGCGGCGGCGCAGAAGAAGGCCAAGAAGCAGAGGAAGGACGAGGCGGCGGCTGCGCTCGAGAACAGTCGCAATGGCCAACCTGGAACTCCGGCGACCAATTCGACACCCAAAACCAAGAATACGTCTACGTCCAAGAAGCAATCAAATGCGATGCCCACGACGAATGGTGCGAGCAAAGATGCGACGAGTGAAACACCCGTAACTGCATTGAAAGCCAACAAATCTCCAGCACGGGAAAATGGGTCTGCCAATGACGATGAAAAAGATGCAGCCACTGCGACGCAGACTCCAAGTAAAGCGCCTAAACGATTAGTGGAGGAAGTAGTGAATGGCGAAGCGCATGGCACACCACAGGCGGCGGAGAAGGTAGAGCACAAAAAGAAGGACAAGAAGGAGAAGAAGCGCAAGGACAAGGCGAAGCGTGATGAACTTGTCGAGACAGAACCGTCAGTACCGATAACGAAGAGCAGAAAGTCGACACGTTATACTACATCTGCATCTCAAGGAGGGTGGTTTTTGCCTGCGGATCCTATATTTTCTACTGATGAGAAATATTTGCTTGTCGCCGATTCCAACATCTTGCGCGTCTACAGCACCGAGACATCTCTGCTCGCACATACTCTATCCGAAGGAGACATCGGAAACATTACAGCCTACGCTCTATCGGCTACTTCGCCTCACTTAGTTTACGTCGCCTATTCCGTCGGACAAATCATAATGTGGGACTGGGTAGCTGCTAGACAGATCGGTCGCTGGCATGTTGATGTCAAAGTCAAAAACATGGCAGTCATCATCAAGCCTGCGTCTGATGAAGACTTTGTATACTGCCATGAAGCAGACAGCGTCTGCATACGAGCACTTCGCACCAGCCGCCAGACGTCCGAAAAGTCCGAGAGGTCACAACTGAAGCAGTTGCTCAAGACCAACTCCGAGATTTGCGGTATCAGGGTGCTTCTTCAGGGCAAATACGTCGTCGTGGCTACTGCCGATTCCATCACTATTGGAAAGCGCGTAAAGCCCAGCAGGACAGCTCTCGCGGAGTTTGAATATCTCTGGCGCGAATTCAAGTTGTCAAAGCACATCACCACTTTCGATGTTTATCACCGCGAGCAAAATGAGCCTGGCAATGGAAAAAAGGCCGCACATGACCAACGAGACGTTATCGACATTGCCGTTGGTGACGAGACTGGTGTCATCCTGCTCTTTGAAGACATATTGGCCTCCATTGCTGCGGTTGAGAGCAGTCAAAAGGGCAAGAAGGATAGGCTGGACAGCGCTGATAGTCTTAGGCCAAAGCGATTGCACTGGCATAGAGAAGCGGTGGGTGCAGTCAAGTGGTCGCTGGATGGTATGTTAGTTCTCACTCATGGCAAATCAAATGCTAACCCTATCAAGGCAACTATGTCATTTCCGGTGGCGATGAAACTGTCCTTACGATCTGGCAGCTTGCCACGGGACTACCACAGCATCTGCCCCATCTTTCCGCCGCTATCGAAAACGTCGTCGTCTCTCCCACTGGCGCATCCTATGCCTTGACACTAGCCAACAACTCGATCATTGTCCTTTCCACGACCGAACTCGAGGCGCGGTCGAACATCATCGGTATTCAATCACGACGAATTGATATCGACCAACTGCCCAGGGAGACAAAGTCTGACAAGATGCATCTGGATATGTTTGAAGCGGTGCCTACATGTGTCAATCCGACAAACCCTTACGAAGTTGTTTTTGCGGTACCTTCGTCACAACCTCGTCGTAAGAAGGAGGGCCTGAGGCCCGAGCCATACCTTCAAACTTTCGATCTAGCCAATGAACGCGCCAAGGCCCGACAGGCACTCACTCGCAACAATGCCACAGAGTCAAACGTAGGACCCGATGGCAGCCGGATCAAAGAGCCCAAAGTTACCCATATTCAGATCAGCCATGATGGAGAATGGCTCGCAACTGTTGACGAATGGATTCCACCGCGGTCTGATACCGGTTACTTGAACGAAGGCATTCCAGAGTTTAACGAGCAAGAGCGTGTGAACCGTCGCGAGGTGTATCTCAAGATCTGGCGACGCGACAAAAACACTACGCAGTGGAAGCTGGAAACTCGAATCGATGCGCCGCATTTCTTTGAGGATGTCTGCGGCAATGGCCGTGTCTTTGATCTCATTGCCGATCCTGCTAATGCCGGCTTTGCTACTGTTGGAGAAGACCATGTCGTACGGATATGGAGACCCAAGACGCGCTCACGCGACGGGGTCGTGGTTCGCGGAGCTCAGCAAGAAGGACTCGTCACGTGGTCTTTGGATCGCACAGTTGAGATCAACGACAAGCTTGATATTACCGAAGGTTCACAACAATCATTGCCGCCACGCACTTCACGCCTAGCCTTTTCTGCAGATGGATCCGTTCTTGCCGTCTCCATCTCATGGGACCTTGAAGAAGATGCTGGTGTCACACACTTGATTGACGCACACACTGCGACAATCCGACGATCACTAACCGAGATTGACGTGACAGCGCTCTCTGGCATGGGATTTGTAGGACAGTACCTCATCGTAGTCGCCGACGCCATTACCGTCTGGGACATGGTATCTGACCGTCTCGCACACAGCCTTGCTATCCAAACCCCTAGTATGGGACGTCTGGAACGCGTACCCTTGGTTCGACTAGCCATCAATGAGACAGACGGCACTTTCGCCGTTTCGCTCCCCCAATTCGAAAAGAACGAGAAGTTCTCGACCAACGTCAAAAGCGCTTCATCCAGAGTATGCATCTACACGCCCGAGCGCCAGAACCCAATCTTCAAAGACACTTTCTTCGGCATCTCCCTAGCCCTCGTCTCAAGAAGAAGCGAAAGCGGTTACGTGGTGCTTGATTCTCGGTCTTACATCAAAACCATCACCCCGACTGCCGGTCCTTTGCAACTCCCCTCTCCCCCGCCAGAGACAACCGACATGCGCGTGACTTACCTTGCGACACAAGAACAAGAGGAAGACGAGGAGATGGCGGACGATAGACCATTGGCGAAGTTCGTTGTGGAGGAGGATCTCACGCAGGACATGGAGTATGATGAGCATGTGTTTAATCTTCAGGACCTGCAGAATGTGCTGCATGATGGAACGGTGCCTCCGCCGCCACAGGGCCTTTTCACCAATATTTTGGCGCTTATTGGAGGGAAACAACAAAAGGTTCATGCGTAGGATGCTGCTGTGGGTATTGTAAGAAAAATCAACGACGATTTCTTGTTTACAACTTGATGATTGAGTGGACTGTTTTGCATGTGATGAATGATGTGTTACGCTAAATGATAAGATGCCATACTTTCTTTATCCGTCTGTGATAACAAGCATCATGTAACAAATAGCAAGTAGAAGCGAAGATCTGTATTTATACTTATCCGTTCTTCCTCCATCTGATTTTTACTCCTCACACTACGCTACATGAACAAAAAATGAAATCACTTCTTCCTCATATCTACCTCGTCCTTTTTCTCTCCCATCCAAGACCGGGATTTCGGCAAAAAAATGAATAGTGGTGAAGATCTTAAGTGCCCGCTCACGGAATCGAACCGTGGATCTTCGCATATCGAGCAAAGTGCGTTACGAGTGCGACGCAGTACCACTGTGCTAAGCGGGCGATGGAAAAATTCAAAGTTGCAAGATTTATGTAGTGGGGTTTTGTGAAAGGGGTGGGACATCGTACGTAAGGGGAGGGGAATGTGGCTTGGCGCTGGTGGGGCTGTCGCGTGGGATGATGGGAGAGTGGTAGCACGTCACATTATGTCAGGATAGGAAATTTGCTTATTGAGTTCCACTCCATGATTCGTAGAGTGGTTGGTTGAAATATTAATTTCGTGACTCACGTTTACTGAAGTACATGCCACACATGCCGTAAACAAGGCAGAATACTATTCCTACTATACCCCAACTCCACTACACTATTCAAACCACGCATCGTCCCCCCAATCATGCGAAAGCAATCTCATGTTATCAAGTTTATAATTTTACTGTATACCTGTTTTCTCGTCTCTCCTCCGCCCCGTTTCTATAGCGACAATCTTATTGCCGAACACCATGACTGGGATGTTTACATATACCAGACTTTGCTATAGAGGACAAGCGAGCAAGGCATCCTAGGTGTACTAAAGTCGTGTCTTATCAGTTTGTGATTTATGTGAAACGCACTGTGTATTGGGAGATTTGATATAGGTGTTTTGCGGGGTGGGGTAAGTAGGTTGGGTGGAAATTCGTAAAGTCAATGCGTTGTGGTGTTTTTGGGTGTATGTGTGTGTATGTGTGTGTGCGAAAGACTAAGACCACAGCCCACGGTACTGTATATGCGAAGACGCTTTAGGGTTGTCAGACGTCGAGCTGTATGGTCGGTATCCTGTCAGTCGGGGTCAATGTTTGGTTCGCGACGGGAGACCCTGAAGATCTGTACGACACATGGTGACGTAACCTTGAAACCACCCCATGTTGGCAATCACGATTGTGATGACGATCGTCGAGATCAAGTCTTTTCAGACATAAGAAACGTATATTTTTGCAACTGTCAAAACGGCCTACTCTGTTCATGGTACAAAGACGGGTGGTGAATGGTAAAAAACAAAAGAGGCTGCCGAACCACGTCACCCTCCCCAGTCGTCACAAGACACTCATCTCAGACGCACATACAATCTTTCTTTTCCCCTCTCTCTCCATCTCTTCTGTCCGCGCGGCTCCGCCATCGCTATACTGTTGTCGACTGGGGTATCTTTGTGCATATGCAAGCCAAAGCGCAAAAGCCAGGAAAAGGACGCAAGGAAACAATATGTAGAACAAAGCCACAGGTTCTCATTATCAAGAAACTCCAACCTGTGGTCGTATCCTAAAGGTATATAAGCGCAAAAAGGACATTAAAAATTTGTTGAGATTTCCGTTAGAAAATGCTTTCATGAACATGGCTCTCTGCCTCTCGGCCCAAGTCATTTCTTCAGTTTGGGGTGGGATTTTACGTGATGCATCTACCATCTCGTCGACTTGGGCACCTCTGCTTTTCCTATATTTGCAAACATGTCGTCGGCACCCAGACTCAGCGTGTCTTCGTTGACACCAAAGGAGCTGAGGCCGGGAAGGGCAGGCGGCGGCGGCCCCTTGGGCTTGGGTGCGGGCGCGGCCTGTGCGACGGGTTGCGAGACTGTACGGCCGTTGAAGTTTGTCGTCGTGTCGACGTTTCCTTCTGGCACGGCACCGACGGCGAACGTCTTCCGTTTGCCGAACCAGCTTCCGCTTTTCCTTCTGTTCAGACTGGGCGCCTGGCTGTTTATTGTCGCTGGCGAGCCCGGGCGCTCGGACTTTAGGCTGTCTGAAGAAGAAAGGGGTGGCGGGATGCCCAAAAACTTGCCGAACCGACCGCGGGCCGCTTGCTCGAAGGGCTCGTGGGAGACATGGGTGCTTGCCGCATCACTTGTGCGGCTCTGAGCCAGATGGGCAGGCGCGGTGGAGTCGTCTGACGTCTTACCCAGAGGCGGCGAGTCTGGCGACTCTCTTGTGGGCGAGGCGCCAGGTGAAGTCGGATGCGACGACAGTGGGCCCTTGCCGGGCGTGGGAGGGCGCGGAGTGTCGGGTGGGCTGTCGAGCGGCGCGGGTATCGAGGTGCCTTCGGTGAGAGAGAAATTGATGGGCGCCAATGTGAGCGGCTTGAAAGAGAACTTGGACGACATGATAGCTTGGGGTGCTTTGGTCGGACTGCAGTGGAGTGGTCGAGGTGGTTTGTCCCAATTTAGAAAGTTGGGGAGACAATTGAGTTGAGAGGGAGCGACACGTCAACAGAGGAGCAGGAATTGCAAGAGCCGCGACGTGGTAGAAGCTCAGGAGGCGTGTTGGTGAAGCGGAGGAGAGGGAGCAGGGTTTCTCGCCCGTAGCAGGGATTAGCTGGGTGCACGACACGAGAGGCGCGGCAGATGGGGCGGATGAAGGTCTAAAATGGCCTCGGCCAACTCCAGTGCGCTTCCCCGCGTATCCATGATGCACCCGCCCGCCTCACAACTACTCGTCGTGACAAGCGTGGCACAGCATGGACAAGGTGAAATCACACAGAGGCAGGAGGCGTAACTGTTCCTAGGCCGTTTACCCGCGGCCTGCAGCTCAACCCTCTAGCGCACCTTCCGTACCAGATGTTGCAGTGGGGCATCCTGCGCGAGTCAGGATCCAAGGTGCATTCAAGCTTGCACTTGCACCGTCGTTCCGAGCGGGCATCGTATATGGCACATGTCGCCATCGGAGCTCCGCATTGAAACTGCCATGACGATACGGCCCGGTGTTTCATTCAGTCCACAACGCCTTCCTATCCGTAGAGAACCATTCACCTCGTTACGGCTTTGCTTAGACTTTCCTCGGTACCACGCCTTTCCACCACTTCGTCCGCCATGATGCCCATCTACCCGGACTTCCGACGCTCCCTCGTGTCATGCTGCAACTTAGTTTTGAACATGTCTACCTGGTCTTGCGCTGGTGCTCCTCGTCGAGCTCCGTAATCTCGTCCAGCAACTGGCACGTCTCCTGCGGGTTGGCAATCCATGCCGTCGTGCACGCCAACCGGGCCTTGAAGTCATTTGCTCCTGCACTGAGAAATTGGTCGCCCACGTGCAACGTCTTGCTACCGTCAATGCCCCCAAAGATGCGCTGACAAGCCAGAACACCCCACGACTTGTCTCCAATGTCGACAAAGACGTCGTTGCCTCCGTTGAAGGCGCAAAACGGCAGACGCCGGCCAACCTCGGAGATTTCCTGCTCACGTCAGCGAGTGAATGGTAACGCTGCAGTACCACCTACGAGTATCTTCTGTACGATCAATACCGTTTCTTCGAGTGTCTCACGGCAGAACTTGTGGTCCCCCTTGGGAACGATACCCACCGCCCTCTCCTTTCTGACAATCATTGCCTCCATACGGAAGTTCCTGATGGTGTCGTTCAAAGAAGCTTCTGCCAGGTCAAGAAGCTCCTTGATGTCTGCCTCATGCCACGTCAACATTTCCTTCAGTAGCCACTCCTCCCTGGGCACCAAGCGTAGCAAGACTGGACTGTTCTCGTCAAACTTGAAGCAAAAGTTGCTCTCGCCGCCCATAATGATGAGGTTCTGCCTAGACTCCCTCGGTAGGTCGGAAGCTTGGATTGCGTCTAGAAGCCCGTACAGTCGTCCATAGTAAGGTTTAGCTTCCGTGTAACCCGCAGCTGTAACGATCCCAATCTTTGATCCACGACGCATGAGCTGGAGGATCTTTGGAATGATGGGGTTTTCGGGCGTTAGGTTCTTTCCATCGTCATATAGCGTGACATCTCCATCAAATGTCACAAGTTCCAACGGACCACTGCGTATCAGACTCATTACCTGGGCTGTGTTGAGGATCAGACGGATGTCGTTAAAAGAAGGGGGAACAAAGCGTCGGTGACTGATGAACCGTCTCTGATCTTGCCAGATGAATGCATCGTGTAATGCTAGAGGCGTGAAGAAGTTTGCTACTGATGGAACGAGGAGCTTTAGTTTGGATTGGTCTGGCTTCCCATCTTTTTGGTGTTGGACTATTCGATACATCAGCATAGATCATATGAAAGAGCCACAATGCTTACTGTGGTCGTTGATAATCTCCTCAACATCGCGCAGATTCTCAGCATACCGGCGTTGGGCGACGTTGGCCTGGTGTTCTACTGAATCGCCTCTGGGCTCAAAGACTGCTGTGGGTTGGGATTGCAAGACAAAAGGGACGGCTAAGAGACCCTGGATGAAAGTCAAGACCTGTCCGGCGTCATGATGCAAATGTAAGAGAGCATTACCTTAATCCACTCAATCTAGACGAGCATTAGCTGCATGGTCGGGTGCTAGAATGGCCAATACTCACAAGCTGGTCCCTCCTGTGGGTCTTGGGAGCATTAGCAGGTCGTACTAAGTGTATTTATCCTCTCCTCTACGGACCTTGAGGGCGTCTACGATCATCCATCAAGTTAGCATGCTACCCTTCAGCTTCTCGTGTTCGTTGCGTGGCGCCTTACATTCTACACGATATCTGGTCGTCATTTTATGATTGTCTCAATTCAATTAGTGCAAGCGAGGAAGTAGGAGTGAAGCAGACGTCGACTGTGAGCTGTCACTGTGACCCAAGCTGCTTGTCCAAGCTTATCGGAGACGGCCGCTAGTGGCTGGAGAGGGAAGGGGCCATGCACATGTGACACGGTAGCATCCCCGCACAGTGGTGCACTAGCAACCCGAGTGTGCCTATTTGACTCGATGAGTTAGTCAGTAATGCATTCCAAGAGTGCCCACGCCCATGAGCTTTGGAGACTGTACGTGGGTGAAGCTGCTATCGATAAGCAGGGATCTGCACAGCCGCTACGGGGAGCTCCAGCCTTCATGCAAGGGACACAAAGACCTAACCAGCAACTCAACCGCAACTTCAACACACGTCTTTTGTAGTGCGCTGTGGGATAATTAAGATGGATTCGCTAAACAACGTGGCTCTGCGGCCTTGGCCGGCGCCAAAGAAGGAGGAGTTGACCCAGGAAGACTTGCTATTTAAGATTGAGCAGCTAGCCAGCGAACGAGGACACTTACGCAACATCACCGAACAATCGCTGCAGGAAGACATAGACGCCGGCAAAAATGCTCCGGGTCATGGTTCAGATGCAGGTGCAGTGAAGGAGGAAGAGAAGAAGGAGAAGGAGGCACCGTCCCTACAAGAGCAGCGAGAGAAGGTGTTGAAAGTAGGAATGGAGATGTATAGTCACTTGGAGTAGGTTTGAACGCAGTGCGCATACAAGAGAAACAACGACTGATTGTTCACAGATGGGCTAAATTCGCTGCAAACAATGCGCTCGATCTCGTCTCGCTCATACTTTCCCAAGACCCCAACAAGCGCAGCCTGAACTTCTTCAGTCCGACATTTCAAGAGCAAGGGCTGAAACAGGGCATACCCCTCGGCTCTTTTGGCGTGAGCAAGGAGAATCATGAGCACCGCGTTCGCAAGCCCGAAGAACAACATAGACTACAGGATCTGGAGGCTAGACAAGAGGCTGTAGCGCAGGGTGCACGAATGGGCGCGCTCGACTCCTCCGTGGACGAGATACTGAAAGCGGCGAAAAACTTGGAGAAGCAGATACGCAGAGAGACAAAATACTGGCATGAGATTGTGACCGTCTCTGACAAGGGGTGGCCCATTCAACGACTGCGTCAGAATGTGCGCCATGCGCCCTTTGGTGTGCGTTATGGGCTTCCCGAAGGTAAGAAAATCTCATCGTTTGACATGCCATGTTCAAGCTAACCGTACAATAGCCAGTGACCACTTCAAGGCTCGTGGCTTCGCTCCGCTACAAATGGACAAAGACGGCAGTATCATCCTGGACCCAGCTCTTGCACTGAAACCAAAGATCCTCCGCGTACGAGTCAGCATCGATGGAAACATTACTGGAACGACACAGTTATCCGCTGCCGACGATCTTGCGAATCAAAGTCTCGAAAAGTCGATTCAATTGGCGCGTGACTCTTTGCTCGAAGAAGAGCTGTACTACGAGATGAGTCTGGAGACGCGACAACTGTTGGCGTATGGTGTCGAGTTCCGTGATTCCGTTATTTATGTGGACGCGCCTCAAATGGGCGGTGTGTCACATGAACGCAAATTGCTCATTGACTGCATACCCCGAGACGACCCTGTACCCAGCAGTCGGTCTCATGAGCACGATTGGATGGCTCGCAACATTGCCGAAGGACTCCGCCTCTTGCTTGCGCATGAGCACAGCATGCGCCTCTACCGGAGATCGCAGCTTCCACCTCCTTTGACAACAAGGAAACGCGAGAAGCCATCGCCATCCTTACTTCGTACTCTTCTCGCAGTCATTCACCACATTGAAGCCGTAGACTCGCTTTACGTCTACCTTGAATCGCTTGCAAGGACTCTAAACAGCGTTGGCCTAGATGTGACGCTAGATACGACTCGTGAGACTTCCTGGGCGACGCTTGTGGAGAGCTTAGGAACACCATCAATGAAAGGCCAGTCAGCAACTGATCAACTATTTGAGGTCTTTATGAAGCCATTCGATGGGAAGGCTACAATGTCTCTTCCTGTGTCCACTGGTGCACAACATGAAAGCCTGAGCATCACAACACGCACGATTATCGGCCAGCCGACTTTCGGAACAGAGCATAAGCTCATACTCCCACCCACACTGGGTATTGATCTTGGTTTATCCCAGCAACAAAAATTTGCTGCCGTTGAGGAAATCACGTCGTACGTGGATTGGATTCTCTCCCTCCATCTCACACATAGACTGCTGCAAAACGAGTATTCATCACGCGCACAAGCTTTGAGTCAAGATGCACGTCTCTCGATCAAGGGTAAAGATAGGAAAAAAGGCGTAAAGTCTTCGAAAGATATTGAGATCGAGCTGAATAATGGGGAGTTGAAGGCCTCTGTGTTGATTGTGGATACAGTACAAGACATCGAGGAGGTCGAGCAATCGCGTACTTGGTCTGGAAAAGATGGCAACAACAGCTCTTTGAGAGAAGTCATTAAAAGCTGGGTTGACTGAAGCTATCGCATGTCGATCTACTGCAACCAGTTTCGGACAGCACTGTCATCGAATTCAGCTGTGCTAGTCAAACTTTGACCGAAGTTTCATCAAGCACGGCGTAACTGAATGTTATCACATCCGACATGCGAGTGGCGTTCTTGAGTATAACTCTGCTTGCGGTTTTACGGTACGCGCAAATCCCAGGAACGGGACCGCCAATGTAGTATTGCATCACAAAAGCGGGGTGAACCGCTGTCAAATCTAAACCGCAACCGGATAGTTCTCCCCCATATGCAACTCCAAATGCAGATTAGACCGTCTTTTCTTGTACAACTTGACCCTGTACCTGACATGTACATGACGTGAAGACTAGCACTGACGTTCACGTTCAGGTATTCCTGAGGTCATGTTTACTTGTCAATGCTATGGGTTTTGGCACTATATAACTGGGCAATGACAAACACAATGCTTTCGGACAAGCTCCATTTTCACAATATGTTTTCACTTTCTGTTCTGGTGTTGAGTGCATTGCTCCCAGCCCTGTCTGCAACACAGCAACTTCGCTCAGATCCTGGTGTTGCCGGCCCACCACTTGAGCTCGTCCATCTCTACAACAATCAATGGCCTACCGGTACCACCTCAAACCATGCACACATAAAGTTCTGCAACTAAGTGTCTTAGGTATCACCGTCTCAAAAGCCGGTCGCAAATTCGCAAATTACCCATCCGGTCTCGATCCCAACAACACAAACACCGGCACCAACCAAAAATACGCCGTCCAAGAGATCCTATCCAATGGCACTGAAATCCCCTACCCCGGCGCCGACATCAACAATCCGCCAGGCGGCGCCATAAACTACACCATAACTCCCCCGAACGGCGCAAACTACGCAACCCATCTCCTTGGCGTCCAAAGCGTCGTCCTCGACCCGCTTGACCGTCTCTGGATCCTCGATACAGGCCGTTCCCTAACCACCTCCGGAACGCTCGTCCCCGCCTCCCCAGGCGGTCCCAAACTAATTGGCGTTGACATCTCCAGCAACACTGTCATTCAAACCATCGTTTTCCCACCTACAGTGGCATACCCAGATTCCTACCTCAACGACGTACGCTTCGACCTCCGTCCCTCCGTCACCGCATCCGGAAAAGGAGTAGCCTACATCACAGATTCTTCTTCCGAAGGCCGCAACGGCATCATCATTGTTGACCTGGGTACGGGGGAGAGCTGGCGTCACCTTGACGGCACACGCGCCGTACGCTCTGAACCCGGTTTCGTACCCTATGTATGGGGTCAACCGCTTTACTACATTCCCGGCCCTGGGCTGCCACTTACTACCGTGCCGTTGGGGTCTGATGGCATTGCGTTGAGTGCGGATGGAGAAACGCTGTTCTTTGGGCCGATAGGCAGTCGTATGTTGTACAGCGTTCCGACAGTGAGAATCCGCGATAGGAGTGCAAACTCTGAGTTATTGGCACGCGCGGCTGTGAATGAGAGGGGGGAGAGGGGCGTGAGTGATGGGTTTGAGACGGATAGCAATGGTTTGATTTATGCGGCGAATATGGAACAGAATCTTATTGGGTTTTATGATCCCAAGAATGGGGGTATGGGGGTGCTAGTTAGGGATCCGAGGTTAAGTTGGGTGGATACTAGTATGTTGATCCCTTTTTTTCACACTGTCTTACTGTGACAAAGGTGGAACGGGGGTTGGATTGTGCTAACGTCGTGTAGTGTCCGTGGCGTCTGATGGTTACCTTTACTTCAACGATAATCAGCTGGCGTTTAGTTCGTCGTTTTACCCCGGCACTGATCGCAGGGAGAGGCCTTTTGCGTTGTTCAGGGTGGCGCTGCCAAATAACGGGTCGAGGGTATTCTTGCAGTAAGAAGAGTGTAGGTTGAGTATGATCCAGCATGTTCACACACTAGGAAGAGGAATTAGGCATATATGGCTGCTTTCATATTACTCCTTCCACTCACATTACGAAACCAGAAACAGATTCCAGGTCACATATTTGCATCTTGAACCATCCGAGTTTCAGATAACGTTCAATCCATAATACTGCCTGATTTGCCCACTCTATATGACTGCACCCCAGGGTGATTGGGAGATTCTAGATACTCTACAATATTGTTAAGAAATAAAAACTATGTAACTTCGAATGGCTAGGGCGCAAATATGCGATTCGGACAATGTTCTAGTCAAGTACTGTCATCTATTCTACGTCTTACCAAACACGAAAATACCCTTTCCGTCCCTATACCCCTCCAGTGTATCCTTGACCTTAGCCACCAGCTCGTCGCCCTTTGTTTCCCACTCCCACTTGATCTCATCCACTGGCATGTCCTTGAACTCACCCTTCCTCATCATATCAAGCACATCGGCAACAGTCTTTTGCTTCTCTTCTGGATGCTTCTCCGCCCACCTGCTTACCCAGAAGCCGTGGAAATGGATGTCCTTGAATATGAGCATGGATGCGGGGATGGTCAGTGGTTGCTTGGACATTGCGCCGTAGGTGACAAAGTGTGCAGATGGAGAGAGCAGTTTAGCCATTGCGGTAGCCGCTTTGCCATTGACACAGTTTAGTGCCAGACGGATGGGGGAACGACCGCCATTTGTCCATTCCTTGGCTTGGTCTTTGATACCCTGTGCTTGCAGCTCTGCGTCTGTGATTACAACGTCTGCGCCGAGATCATGTAGCTCCTTCTTCATGGCTCCCTCTTTGTTCTTGTCTTCACGGCTGCGTATGATGTTGATGCTCTTATAGCCCCATTTGCGTCCTAGCTGGATGGCCGCGCGACCAACGCCAGAGTTTGCGCCATTCTGTATGAACCAATCGCCTTCGGAGAGGGTAGTGAAGTCGCGCAGCATGCGGTATGCTGTGCAGGGGTTGATGGATACGGTGCCGGCTTGGATGGCGGTGATGCCTTCGCGCATCTGATCGTCGAGCTTGACTACATCGTTGGTTGTGGCACTGGCGTGTGTGCGCCAGGTGCCGAAACCAGGGCCCTTCATGAATACCCAATCGCCCTTCTTGAAGCCTTCTTTCTTGACGCCTTCGCCAAGGGCTATTATCTCTGCAACACCTTCATTTCCTGCGACGGCAATTGGGTTCGGGGTACTGAGGCTGGTTGTGAATGTGGGCTTTGAGGGATACACGCCTTGGATTTGGTTGATGTCGGCGGGGTTTATGGGTGACGCGAGGAAGCGCAGGGTCATGTAGTTGCTGTGTGGCGGGGAGATGGAATGGCTGTGAAGCGAGAGGACAGCTGGAGGATCGCCATATTCAGTAAATGTGAGGGCTTTGGCTTGTTCGTAACCGTAGGCGGAAATGTAGCGGCGTTGGGGGAATCGTGCTGCGACAGGCGCGAGGTTCCGTGTGTGGCGGAGACATGATTGTGCTAATCGCGGCGACGGCGAAATTAATCTGGATGTCATTGTGTGTAGCGTGAGATGTCACTTCTCAAGCTTATGCGCCGGAGCTTGTGGAAGATGTTTTGGAAATACGGGGCTATGACGTCGGGTTAAGCCGAGGTTTTGGTGGAGCACTGGAGCTTCGCATTCGAACCCAATTCTCCATATGCCGTTATTATATCATATGATGCAGGTGTTGGCCAGTCTGCTATTGTCCTACGATAGCTGTATGCTTGGATAGTCGTAGACTCCAAACAGTAATTTCCCGCCACTCTTCGGATACATGGATTCTCCACCACGGACATTGCAGCCGCAAGGTGCGCGAATTAGTCGCCGTGAAATGGAAGCTGTGGCAGTGCAGCTTCACATGCCAGGCTAAAAAGGCGCAAACAAGGCCATTCCTGAAGCTTCTCGCAAGGTAGGGGCAATCTAGGCGCCACAACACAGCAGCACCGCCCCGCGTACGTCATCCCCTCATGCACATGCGTCGTGTCCGCGCGCCCCTCACTGTGTGATCTTGCTTCCCAACAACGCCGCGTCACTGCTACAAATAACACCTCTTCCACGATCCATCTATCATTTTCAGTCTAGGAATCACCACTTTCAAATTACCTACAACCACACCTTCTACACTTCAACTCAACTCAAACACCCCACATACACATCACCATGGCTTCCACCGTCAACGTCGAGAACATCTCCACAAAGACTAGCGAGGATGAGATTAAGAGCTTCTTCAGCTTCTGTGGCAAGATCCAGTCCATCAGCGTAAAGCCCTCAGGCGAAGACACGCAGTCTGCATCCGTCACCTTCGAGAAGCCGGCCGCGGCGAAGACGGCCCTCCTCCTCGACAACACTCAGCTCGGGCCCAACCCCGTACAAGTCACCTCTGCCAAGAGCATCGATGAGATTGCGGGCGAGAAGGCTGCCTCGGCCGAAGAGGCCAAGGACGGCGACCACCACATTGAGCAGGAGCAGAAGCCCCGCGCACGCATCATCGCCGAATATCTCGCCCATGGCTACGCCATCTCGGACAAGGCCATTGAGCGCGCGCTCGCTGCTGACAAGCAGAACGGCTACAGTGCAAAGTTCATGAACGTCCTCCAGAACTTCGACCAAAAGACACAAGCTACGCAAAAGGCACAGGTCGTCGACCAGAAGCTCGGTGTTACAAACAAGGGCTACGCCGCCTTCAACATGATGACCAGCTACTTTGACAAGGCTGCCTCAACACCCACGGGCCAGAAGCTCCGTGCGTTCTACGAGCAGGGTAACAAGACAGTCATGGACGTCCACAACGAGGCAAGGCATTTGGCAGATCTCAAGAAGCAGAAGCCGGCTGGTGAGCAGGGCGCTGCTGCCACTACCGCCGAGGGCAGCGAGAAGCCCAAGGAGGGTACCAACGAGAAGGGTAGCGAGTCCTACGCTGCTGCTGCCGCTCCCACCTCCTAGGAGATTACGTGGCCGCAATGATAGCGCAGGGATCCAACAGCTTTTCTTTCATGTTTGACGATTCCCACTTGGTTTACAGTTTGTACAAATACCTACGTATGACATGATGTCGATGACAGCACGAGCATGGAGTTCGGGAGGATAGGGACAGAAAGTCTATTGGGAACAACGCAATAAGTAGTAGACTTTGAAATCCGAAATGTGCATGATCCATGTTTGCTTTTGTATGTGATGTAGTTTGTGCAATGATGAACAGATCCAACAACCGTCTATTACATCTCTTCCTAACGATAAGGTAAAGGAAATCCATATTCTCATCCTGAAGCCCATGGGAAATGCAAAATGCAGAACAGACAACTGCAACACCCCCTCACCCATGTAGTTCGTCTAATACCCCCACTCCCCCGAATCCAACAAACTCTGACTAGCCACAAAGCTGAACCCCCCAAAAGGATTGGTCTGATTCTCCGCAAACACATCATCAAACTTCTTACTCAGCACAGGACTAAGCGGCAACTCAGTAAAGTCCTGAGCAAAGTTCTCGGCCAATTCCGGGTCAGTAATGAGTGGTTGAATCGGAGGTTCCAGCTCTCTAGTCTCAAGTTTCTTCCAGTCAATCTTACGGAAAAAGCGGTGTTTCTTGATAGTCTGGAGGTCCTTTGCTCTGTTGAAGCCGAGGCGTTTCTTGGGGTCTTTGCGGAGGAGGCGGGTGAGCAAGTCTTTAGCGTCGGCACTCAGGTAGTAAGGAAGGGCTAGCTTTTGCTTTACAATCTTTTCTTGGATCTTGGCGTTGTTGTTGCCCGTGAAGGGGGGTGAGCCGGTGAGCAGGTCGAAGCCGAGGGCGCCGAGGGACCACCAGTCTACCGCTGCACCGTACTCGAGGCCTTGGACTACCTCGGGCGCCATGTATTCGACGGTACCGAGGAAGGAGCGGCAGGGGTTGTCTTCGTCGAGGGTGACTTTGCTGAGGCCGAAGTCAGTGAGGAGGAGGTGGCCTTCAGAGTCTAGGAGGCAGTTTTCTGGCTTCAGGTCACGGTAAATGACGCCGACGGTGCGGTGCAGGTGGTCAAGTGCGAGGACCATTTCAGCCATGTAAAAGGCTGCTACGTCTTCGGAAAACATGCGCTCGGCAGCTAGGTGATGGAAGAGCTCACCGCCCTGTGCGTACTCAAGAATAAGGTAGAGCTTCTCCTGGTCCTGGAAGGCATAGTAGAAGTTTACGATGAAAGGGTGTCGGTTTACACTTTCCAGGACGTTACGTTCCGTCTTGGTTTGCTCGATGAGCTTCTTATGCACAGTGATTGAAGCCTTCTTGAACTGCTTTTGCGCAAACAGACGTCCGGTCGCTCGCTGCCTCACTAGCAGCACAGTACCATAGCTTCCCTTGCCCAGACACATCAACGGCTCAAAGTCTTCAGCAGTCATTTTACGTGCCATAGTGTTGTTCAGTATAGTCGACGTCTTGGAAAGCATGTCGATGCTGAAATCTTCGGCATTGAGGTCAATCTCGTAGCTCTCCAGTTCCGTACGGTCACTTTGTCCAGAAATGCTGGTGTTGCTCGACATATGAGATGCGACCCTGCTCATGGGGGCACCCCTTCCTGGGAAATCCTTCATGGGCGAGTCGCTCCTCGGGGCAAGGTTCAGCGCATCAAGCTGGGCTTTGAGGCTGCTGATTCCTCCAACTGCGGACTGCGGTCGCAGCGCAGGACTACTAGTAACGCTAGGAAGTCCAGAGCGAACTGGTCCGAAGCGTGGTGTAGCCGTGAAAGAATAGTCCGACTCCTCCCCACCCGAAGTCACTGGTGTGTGGAAGCCACGAGTGACGTTTGTAGCCTGCAGACCGTCCTTGAGACCCTTCTTCTTCTTTTTCTTGTTCTTCTGAGCCTTCTTGAAGACAGCATCAAAGTCCAGCTTGTCCGGTCCCTTCAGTTTGCCTTCGGAGTCGGGCTGCGCCGCGCGCTTGGGCATAGGGCTAACAATGGTGATCGGCGGGGTGCCTACGTGAAGCACAGGTTTCGGGGGACTCATGTCCATCCTTTCAGACGCGAACATGGCGTCGTTGGAGGCGGCAGGCCCGGCATCTTTGGGCATCTTGCCCGGAAGATGCGCATCGTCTTTGTCGAATGCGAAAACCATGCTAGCGGGTAGTGAGGGGTAATACAATATAGAGCAGTCACTCTCTCGGTTGCGCCGGGATTCTGGGCATGACGATCAGCAACTGCGGGCACTCAATTTAGGGTTTTTCGCACATCCAATTCCGGTCTTGGGCAGCCCAAAACTAATGTCCGCCGCGTGGATTCACGGCGGAACGCCCACCCCTACTTGTCGAACGAGCGACGCGAACGAAGCGTCGGTCTTGTTCAGTCCCTCGCTCAGCGTGCTATATGGGAACAGGGAGCCAACTGCGGTAAGCTGGGCGGTGAGAAAGAAAGAGGTCGCGTCGGGAGAAGCAGAGCCCATAGATGGTCGTGTTCGAATATTGGGAGAGATAGTAGTCGAAGCCAGGAGTGCGATCCCGGCAGTAAAAGTATTCCTCGAGTGTCGCGGCGTGGTGAAAAATCGTGTTTGAAGGGGTGTAGGAAGAAGGGACGGCGGGCGATCAGCTGCGGGAGAGGCTCAACTGCCAGGTTTCTTATTTTGGTGCCTTGGCGGTTTGGGTGGCATGTGAAAGGCCTGCGCTTAAGTGGTCGATCCACGCATCAGCCCCAGAGTCCTTCTCCACAAACACTCGGGGCTCTACCCCGTGCATGATTTACAGCTTGTTTCCTGCTATGGATCACGCGCCTGTAATTGCATCATCGCATGTAAACCTCATCTGCCAACCTGCAAACAAGCGCCCTGAAACAGGAACTGCAACAAGCGCTTGAAATTGATTCATTTCGCGCAAAACGCTTAAAGTCAGCTTACTTACGGAGTTGGGCTCCGATTGAAAAGAAAGCCCTTTCCTTCACGGGCCGCACTTTTACTGACATGGAAGACGGTCGGAGTTACGAACACGTGCATCTGTTTTACGTACATCATGTACGATGGTGTGCAGCCGCACAGGTCTAAATTGCGCCAACGTTCGCTACAACGTGTCAGCGGACAGCAACCCCTGAGCAGCCCTACGTGTTCTTCAAACCTAACATCGGGAAGAATACGGGTTAAAACACATACAAACGCCGACTTGATTTGTGTCGCTTCACTTAGGGCGCCAACAAAGTAAGCACAATGCGCGACGGCTGTCACCTTACCCGGTCTCGGGAAGCTAGGCGCGTGTAACCGCACTGTACCTGGTGCATGGGCTTTGCGATCTGATCACTTCCGGCTATCGTCATCGTGGGTCAGTAAAATATCCTTCTATAATTTGGCTTTAAAAGTAAGATTTCTTCATTCAAGCCTTCCTAGCTCAGTGGTAGAGCGCGTCACTAGTAATGACGAGGTCGTCAGTTCAATTCTGGCGGAAGGCAATTGAACTTTTCTTTTTGCCCTATTTCCTCGCACGATATCTACTTCAGTCCTGCTCTTTTTTGTTCCCACAACCTCACTATCCTTAGGTGTGTATCTAGGGTTTTACACATACATCCTTTCCATTACACTGTTCGCGACAATATAGACATTGACTTTATGCTCGCAATTTGAGCGACCCGGCCGCCACGTGCAGGTAATATTCCAGTCAGCATTATAGTAGGGGCGATGCTGCGAATACGGGTCGTCGCACTGACACCCCTAAAACACCTCGTCGTTCACCAACGACCAATATTGAACTTTTGTTTGGGAATGTGGCATTGGATTGGTGCCGATGGGATTAGAGATTTGCATTTACATAGTTTCAGGAAGCAAACACCTCTGATGTTTGGGTCGATACTTATTGGCATCACATCACAAGAATGGCACATACTTGATTGTCAAGAAAAAAAAATGTAATTGTCTACGTCGGCGTTGTTATAAAGCACAACTACTAGACTTTCTCGTCTACACAAGTGATATAAGGTATGCAAAACAAACACTGCTTCAGTGCTGCACAATAGTAAATACACCCAAACACCACAGTTTTGAACCTCCTGATGCTCTTTTCCCTATATCCAAGGGACTATACACGCGTTTCCCGTTTTTCCCGGTGGGGGCCATGATGATAGAAATGAGGAATTAGTGACACACAGAATGCTTAAGTGCATTTGCCGAAAGCCTTCTGGCACCCAGTGCCGCAGTATGCAGCGCCAGTACCGCAGTAGCTGTACTGCGAGCAACAGTTTCCGAAGGTGCTTCCGGCGCAGGTTAGCTTGGCGGTACCGCCGCAGGATCCGTCGGTGGTGACCTTGCCTGCGGCAGTGGCAACGGGCGCCTTGCTAGAGGTGGCAGCTGGCTTGGTAGGGGCGGCACCGTTGCTACCGCAGTTACCGAAGCCAGACTGGCAACCAGTTCCACAGTAGTCGGCGGTGGAGCCACACCAGCCGTTGACACTGCAGCAGTTGCCGAAGGTAGATCCGAGGCAGGTGAAACCGGTCTTTCCACCACAGGTAGCGTCAGTGCTGACCTTGACTGCTCCGGTGGGGGCGGGGGCTGCGGCAGAGCTAGGTTGGGTAACGGGCGGGGCAGTACCGGCACCACCTGCAGTACGGTACCAGTTGGCAGCAGGGTCGCCAAGGCAGTCTCCAACGGTAACGGCCTTGTATCCAAGCTGGGTAAGGGTCGAAAGCATGTACTCGGTCAGGTTGTAAGCAGTCTGCTCGTGGATGTCGTGGCCAATCTCGAGCCATTGGGTGCTGGCAGCCTTTCCCTTGGTAACGTTGCCCATGAAGACGTCCTTGGAGTACTGAATCAGGTTAGGGGCGTCGTGCTCGTAATCATCAGTGTCCAAATCGAAGTAGGTGACGTGGTAACCAAGATCAGCCAAGTCCTGCTCGCAACCAGACTCAGCAGTGCAGCTGGAGTAGGGAGGACGCATGTAGGTGGGGATCTTTCCAACAATGTTGCGGAGAGCCATCTCGTTCTTGATCATTTGGTTGTAACGGTCCTGCTTGGAGATGGCACTGAGGTCCAAATGGGTCCATGTGTGGGACGCAAGCTGGTGGCCGGCTGCATCCATGCGCTTGAGAACAGTGACAAACTCGGGAGTGATATCGATTTGACCCTTGTTGATGTTGTTGCCGGTGATGAAGAAGGTAGCCTTGGCGTTGTACGAGTCCATGACATCAAGGATGTGGTTAGTGAACTGCTTTTGTGGGCCGTCATCGTAGGTAATCGCGACGGTACCAGGGGTTGAGCAGCTGTAGATGCCGTTTCCACCGTACTCGACATTTCCAAGCTTAGGACGAGCAATAGTAGAGGTGTTGGTTCCAGCTGGGGTCTTGTTCTCGGGGCAGCCCGGACCAAACTGGTAGAGGCATCCAGGGGAGTAGCAGTAGTCGTCGGTGGTTCCGCAGTCTAGGGACTGTCAGCATGTATTGATGTTTCTAATCATGGTGAAACATACAGCCTCCGGAGGAGCAGCACTGGCCGGCAGGGCAAGATCCAATACCCTGTCCGCACTGGCGGTCATCCTGGCGAGCCTGAACAGGGACCTTTGAGGCAACCTTGGGCTTCATAAGCTCGTCGACTCCCATGAGCTTTGCTCCAGTGCGTGAAAGGAGATGCCTCGCCCTGAGGTCCTTGGGGTTCAATCCGATGATGTTTGGGAGGCCAGTTCCATGGGCGCTGACAAGAGGTGTCACGGCTGCAATGGCCGCGAGGGCAGAAGTGTAATGCATGCTGGAAGAATGTGGCTAGTTTGATTACTAAATTAGAAGTCGGTTTGTCGGTAGGATTAAGAATATCGAGGTGAGCGAGTGGATAGTGGAAGTCAAGACGACAACACACTGAGAGAGACCGGAACCGGGAAAGCGAGTGAGGTCTTCGAAAGAAGGTAGAGAAAGTGTCATGATGAGAGCTGGCGGTCTCGGCTTATGAAGGACAGAGACGATCGACCTCTACTCAGAGACCCTTGTATGGCATGGTGCTAGGGTTGACTCGCGTTGCCCCTAGCGCTACCAACTTGTGCCCGCACAGATATCGGACAGCGTGGAAAAAATAGGCTTGATGCCCGCAGACCCCCTAGAAGTCACACAGATCAAGCACTCGACCCGTGGCTTTGGTTTCGCTTAGACCTGACATGGTTCATTATTGGAAGGCGCGACGGGCTGCGGGTGACGCGGACTCGACCGTCATGCAGAAACATCAACTCTCTCACGCCTGTGAACAGAAAATAGAAGGCGATACAGGCGAGTCGTTTGAAACGTGTTTTGGCACCCGTGCCTCAGAGCCCAGGAAGCTTTTTCTTGGCCGAATGTGACGTCGACTACGGGCATGGGTATTGCCTCAAAACAATGAGCGATTCACTCGAATACGAACGCTACCCGCTACTGCTTACACTTGGCGATTGGCGTCATTCTGTGGTTGTTGGAAGTTGCATGTATCATCGTGATGCTACCTAGGTGCGTTGCAAGCGCTAGGAAATTGCTGCTTGTCGTGTGCATGATTAGCTGCCGTACAACTTCCAGCGCATGGCCACGGTAACTTGACGTCCAAGAAGCGGCTTTTCCGCCACCGCCTTGACCCTATACAAGCACGACAAGCATCGGCAATCCCTGACGCCCTGGTGTATTGGCAACAGTTGCCGAGCACCCACAAGCGACAGCTACACGTCTTGGAAGAGTGCTTGTTGGGATTAGGAGATCCACCCCGCATCGAGATAAAAGTCAATGTCCACTTCGAACGCTCGGTACGTCCACAAGAGGCAATGTGGTACGACTATCCACCGCCGTTTTGCTTGGTTTTTTTTCTCTGCCCCTGGAGCCAGGCGCTTGCAGCCTCCGGGCAAAACTGCATTGCAGGGACTTGGCCAACCACACAGTTTGCCAAGTAAGACTCGTCTCACATCAATTACCACTACCATGCCAGCATACTTGCTTCCGCCACTTGCTTCATTCTATCCATGGTATTCATGGCCACCTTGAGGAGCCGTACTCTCCAACCGCGACGCGGCTCACCATTCAACGCCCAAAACGTATCCACAGCCAGCCACCCATGGACACCACCATTCTCAGGTAGCCACATGGAGAGAACCGTCGTCACTACTCTGGCTTGGCGATACGAGGCGAGTCGTATTGAGCGGAGCGGTAAGACCTCGTATGTCCCGTGCAGCTAAACAGCTGCACACTTGATCCACAGCAGCCTCTGCAACAATGGACACACCCTTCGCAATACGATGCATGCAGAATTGCTATACCGCCGGGGATATGGCCAGGTATAAAGGCCGAAGATCTATTTACAGCGCCATTGTTTTAGACTAGCAGGACAAGCTTTTTGCCCTAATGACCAGGGATCTCAAGCCGTCGTTAGCCTGTTGACTCGCACGTCGGAAATTGGCAACCACCAAACCTTTTCCGCTTACTGCACACCCAAGATGCCCGACCTACTCCACTGCAAATCTCACACGACCCAGACTTGACGGTGGAGTACAGATTTTCATGCGGCGATGAGCGCGACCGACAGAGCCCTCGCCTCGCCTCGTTCGATCTTGCACATGGACCTACCCTATCCCGCTGCCGCGGCAGGATTCTACCCACTGACCGACCCCTGAGCGCGACTCGCATATCCGACTACCGTTTTGTCGCACACAATGTCAGAGGCCAGATCCGGGTAACACGGCCGAGAATCCTCGTTCCCAACAGTAGATAACACCCTCCGCTGTGTTTTCGACTCTAGCTGCAAGTCCCGCGAGTCGACGGCAGGTGCCATGTGGAGAAAGACGCACGCTTGTACTTGTTGCTTAGTATTGCTTAATCTACTGAGAGAGGCAGGCACCCAGCTCCCGAGAATAAACAAGCATTGCCATCTCCTGCCGTCTGTAATTCCCACTTGCTTTTTGTTTTGTCCGATCTGCCATGCATACCGGCAGATGGATTTGGAATGCTAAAGTTGCAGAGTGTCGATTGGATTGTCAGAGTTCTCCATGGCCCACAGACTTTGTTCGCCATTCGCCATGTCGCTGCAGGATACGTTCTTTTTCTCACCCCTATTGTCGTCGGCATCTCCACATGACGCTGCGTAACGCCGTCGTACCAAGCGGCTATTGTCGATAAACCGGACCAAACACTGTTCGTACGGCTATCAGACAGCGGGTATTAGCATGAACTGTACAGATGTGATGTTGCACACACGATCGGCATAATACCGTTGATCAACAGTAGATCATTGTGGCCGGGCGCCTATCGTGGAGGCCTGACGAGTTTAAGTGTACCACGCAGAGTCAACGACCGCCAACATCACTCCGTAGTTTCGATAAATGCTTTTTTGTGGCATGACCGTCGGGTGATTTCTTTTCCCCCGTTACCGCCACGCGAGCTGGTACATGCTGCGAATTTATTCGCCTAACAGACCTCACTTCTCTTTGCCAGACCATCATCACCCTGTGACATGCGTGCCATATGTTTTTTCTTGGTCGTTGATATTTCAAAGCAGGGATGACCGTGCCCCTACATCATACTCCAATGCTTCGCTTGCTCGCCATGGACCCTTGATCCTGTCTGCGTCATTCAAACTCGCTCAAAGTTTAGTATCAGATAGCAGAGCCAACCTTCTTTTTCGGTGCATGGAAGGATGTCACTAGGCTTTCCAATGACATTCGTGCGCCGCTACCAATTTTACGTATACCGACATTCTGCAAGACCAATAGGAAAAGCCATGTATGTATCTATATGCCTACCATGTATCTCTTACATCTAAGGCCCAATGGTACTAAATATCCGACGTGCCCAATTTACAAGCATGGTCAGGTAGGCCCACCTCCCAAGATCATCACACTTAATATACAAAAACAGCATATCACCTCACCTCCCAGTAACCACCCCATTCCTCCCCGCAACCCCATTATTCACCGCAACGGCCAGCGCTGCAATATCCGCATTCACAGGCAGTCCTCCCCTCGGCTTATCAAACGGGAATACAACACTCTTATCCCTCACACCCAAACTATCTACAAATAGCACATTGGGGAAAGACTGCGGCGTAAACGCATTCCAAGCATCACTAACCAGCTGATCAAAAGCCGTAGCAGCCATATTCCTGACCGGTAATCAGCTCCTTTGATCCCAAGAAACAGCAAGAGAGGCTAGGGGATACCATACATGACCGCTTTGTCGAAATTCAACACATCCTCTGGCTGCTGCGTCAGCGTCCAGGAAAATATGTGAAACACATCTTTCCGCTCGGTGTTGGAAGCCACGATATTTCGATTTGCTTTCAGCTTTGCTATTTGGTCTGTTTTCATACTCGCCAGGTTGTTGCTATTGCTGTATTCGTTATACGTGGGAAGATTTCGCGTCGTACTGTAGAAACCCTGGTTTGCGAAACTGCCAAGTGTTATCCCGTCTGGTAACTCTGCTACGATCAGTACAGCAGCACGGTCGGTGATAAAATCCGCGAGACGGCTGTTTGAGAAATCCGTGTTGCCGGGGTTGGCCACTATGTGCCGGTTCTTTATGGCTTGGAGCGTGGTGAAGAGGGCGTTCCATTGGGCTTGGGATAGTTCTTTGTACGCGTTGTCTGTGTCGAGTGTGTGGCTGAGGTTTATGATGATTAGCTCCTGGTACTTTGATGTGAAGTCATTGATCTGCTGGATTATTTCCGAGAGACTCTGCCCATTGCCGCCGAGCCAGATGTCACCGACGGAGCTGTAGTGGCCGGTTACCCAATCGCCTCTGGATATCACAGGCCGCAGGTCGAAGTATCGTGATCCGGCCTTGAGTTGGCCGGCGAAATCGAGATACTGCGTTTGTGTGTTTGCAAAATGTGCGCCGATGGTGCCTGGGTGGAAGGCGCCCATGCCGGCGTCGTGGCTGCCGGGCATGCAGATGTGTTTCAGGGTTCTGTTTGCTAGAGAACCCATGCTTTGTTGCATCCAGTCTGTGTAGGTACCGCTGTTGGACCACCATGTGCCGGCTGCGTCAGTGGAAAGGATCCAGTTAACAGCGGCGTTGTGGCGGAATCCTAGGTTGACGTTAGTTCCTTTGGGGTTTTGCTTCGTCGACATGTTGTCGAGGGAGATGGTGAGTTCATAGTCTGATGGCTTTCGTGCGAGGATTGTGAATTTTTCGGATGTTCTGTCGATGTTGTAGTATGCTTCTCCGGCATCGTCGCTTGTGTGGCCTCTTGTGCTGAACTCGACACTGATGCTTGATGCCATTCCTGTCGCAAGTCAGGGACAACATACTCTGAAGCTGGAGAGTTTCCCTACCTGCGCTTATCGTCGGCCATTGCCATGTATCCATTTGATACGAATGTGAACCACTCAACGTCCAGTCGAATGGCGATGCATTCACCAACGTTATGCTCCCGCCTAGAGAGGGTAAACGGTTAGTTTAGCTCTCCGTATAAGATGCTTACTTTGCACATACCCCAGCCCATGATAGATAGCTCTTCTTCTTCCTCTCTACTTCTCGACGCGTCGGAGTCCAACTCTTTCAATATTTGCTGTTGATACTCAACACGCCCGTCAACCGCAGCATAAGGTGAATGTGAATAATCGCGTTGAATTACCACGCCTTGCACACCCCAGCACCGGGCCGCCACCATACTTAATCCCCATCTCACCCACGATCTAGGATACGAGCGCATGATGCCCGTACCTTGCTCTGACTGTATTCTACTGGGTCGGCCCTCCCCGTCATTCCCGTCCTCGCGCCGCTGTCAGCCACTCGATCGCAAGCTCGTATATCGTACGACAGGGTTTTAGTTCCGCACGAGGCTGTCTGACTTTGCTGCTGCCGGTTGATGATTTACTCCATTCCCCAAGTCAACAGCAAAGCAAGAGCCAAGGATTGGCGGTGTTCCCGCTGCCACTTTCCTATCTGGGCGACCTTGTCTGTTTCAGGCGCACATCCCACCAGCCAATTCAGAGGTCAGGTACGGCTGCGAAGAAAGCACCAAGACATGAGGGTTGGATGTTGGCGCAAAGGGCGATAAGGATTGTGGCGCAATGCGGCGCGGTTCATGGGTCCAGGGCGTTTTGTGGCTGTGAGTTTATGTGCAAATGTCGCCGTTGCAGGACGCGAGATTAAAGTGCCAAAGTTCCCATACGAGGTTGTTTCACGACGTTATCAAGGCGCTAGGGTACGAGACATTACTTATAGGCGTGTTGCACATTATAATGCATAGACAGGGCAGATGACCACATGGGATGAACATGTTTAGTCACAACGATACCACGCTAGAAACTAAACTACTCCAGGTCATGGACGAGCATAATGTCAGGCGTATGACAGTTAGCCAAATTTCATTTGTCGCATTGCCATGCTCCATCTTCTTCCCACCCACATTCGCGTGCCGCGTGACAGCTCACCTGTCAACAGTCACCATCCAACCATCACCTAGTGTCTTGCCATTTGCATCGAGACCTCCCCATACAACGCATGTCGCTCCATCGACTTCTGTGCCCTTCGCGATGCCGAAATGACCTCGCGCGCCCAGTCCCCTTTTAGGTTTCCCGGGGATCTCGCTCTCCTCTTCCCCCTTCGTGTCTACATATCGATATATTGCCTCCGCCCATTGCGACTCGTGTGTGTCCCTTTTCATTGTATTGCGGATAGAATCCTTGGTTGCAGCGGCCGAGGATCGTTCAGATGCAAGCTGCAAAGCCCAGATATCGTCTAGGTAGCTCCCATTTTCAGTTTCGCCGCCGATAGCTAAGAGGTAGTGTCGTCCTTGGCCTGTTGTGACGCCCACGAGTCCTGCGCCGGAGCGCGCTTGTGGTGCTGTGTCTGCCGTGCCTTGCCTTTCTACGTGCTTGACTTCTTCCCAGCCCCAACCGCTGTTGACTGGTGTAGTCCCGCGCTCTGCATGTGTCCAGACATGTGAAGCGTCAATGAATTCGGCTGCGCCCGAAGCGAACGTCTCCACACCTTTACCCCCAAACCGATACAGTCGGCTGCCGACGAGGGCCAAACTCGCGCCTTCACGGGGATGTCCTGGTGGAGAGGGAATGATTTTCCATGTTCGCGTCTTGACATCGAAAGCGTATGCATCGTTCAACAGTTCATGGCTAGTTGTGTCGCGACCACCAACAACGAAAACTGTACCATATGTATTCGACTCTGGTGGTTCCGGAACGTTTTGAGCAGGGTCTGCAGGAGCTTGCGGTGCCTTCTCCACATAAGTTGTTGTTTTGGGGCCTGGTAGGTCTGAGCTCGCAGAAGCATGACCTGTTCGCTGGCTAGGAAAGACCGCGTCGGCGGACTCTAGAGATGACCAAGTATTCGATACCGTATCGTACACCCACAACCTGCCATTCTCATTTGTCACGCCCTCTCCCTCACCACCAAAGATGTAGATGCTATCATCAATCGCTGTTGCCGTGTGTCCTTTTCTCGGGCTCGGTACGTCGTCCAAGCCATTTGCTGAACGGGGAGGGTACTTTGTGTAGTCGGCATCAAGGACGCCACTTGAGGGCAGGATCACAACATGCATATCGTTGTCCGCAAGTTTGCCATCTTCAATCTCTCCACCGAATATGTAGGCACGGCCTTTGACTACCGCGACCGTGTGGTGCGATCGAGGAAGCGGTACGGACGATATGCGTGTCAGATTTGCTTTGATCGGCTGCGTCGGGTGAGTGATTCCCTTCACGAAGGCTGCAGCGCCCTCGAGCAGGTTTTCGGCTGCATAGAGAACACCGGCTGCCCCGGCTTCCATGATTGATGATTAGAAGCGTTGTAATAGCAAAAACCAAGGCTGAAGTTGATGTTTCGAGTGCCAAAAATGAGTTGGGTGCTTTCAATTGTTTGATTGTGAGGTGGTGTGATATAAAGGTGTACAATATTCTAGGCTTTGTTCAGTTCAGCCGTGAGCTTCCCACTAGCGTGACGTCATAGGACGCGGTCCCACGTCCTTGTGGGGGAGACTAAGCTACTTCCATCTCTCTGTCAAACGTATGCATACATCAATCTGGATGAGTCCTCTTGGCCCATCATCGTCATCAGGAATAGACAGTCTGAGGAGAAGGCACAATCTATCTATTGAAGTGGTGTTATTTGGAGATTATGTTGGTACAGTGAAATGACAACACCAGGTTGCCGTCCTCGAAGTCTAAATATTAGGTGAGAGCTGGTCGGACTTGACATATCGTTCGACCTGGTCACTGGTCAGCATTGCACTACAATAGGCCATCGCAACACATACCGTATCAATTGAGGCTTGCAAAAAGCTGCGTGCTTCAAGACCAACCCAGACCTTGAGCATGGAGAAGTCACCACCACGGATCATAGAGGAGCCACTTTGCGCACCGAGTTGACGTAGAATTGGGAGTGCACTGATGAAGGTTAGCAAATAAGTCATGTACGTCGTCAACAACACTTACCCCGCGAAAAGATCCAAGTTGGGATTCAAGCTTCGCCCGATACCCTCCAAAAGGAGAATACTCAAAACGACGTTCACAAAGTCACCTTCGAGGCGGACATGATGTGTTCGTACCATAGACAAGACCTCATTAAGGATGTCTCCGATTTTGATATTGCCGAGAGCAAAAGTGCGGCTCTTGACACCCAACACCAAGTGCTGCATGCGCAAAGCGAAGACCTCACCATCGAGCACAGCATCTGGCTGTCTGCACCTCTCTACCATCAAATGACCTGCTTTGTATCCATCAAACTCCGCAACTGCCTTGAAGAGGTCTAGGAAGTTGGCGCGGTTCCTCGCATTGAGCTCCGTCACAAGGCCTGTATCGATAAAAATGAGTTGTGGTCTGTAGCCTTCGTTATCAATCTCTTGGAGCGTCGTTCTCCATTGCTGTGGGTTTTTCCTATGCGGTCGTAGACGTTCCAGCACCTCCTCGGTAACATCTGGCGACTCCTTAGGCCCGGTCGTACGTTCCTCTTTCTTGGCGAAGATGGAGACATCTAGCTGCTGTGGCTTATAGAACCGGACCATGATATTTCCCGGGTGCAGATCCGCGTGAATGAAGTTGTCGATGAGAACCATGGTGAGGAAAGCATCTAGTCCCTCATCTGCAATATCTTTCTGGAATACGCCGCCTCCGTTTTGTAGGAAGTCTTCCATAGGTATACCCTGAGCGAACTCCTCGATCAGCACGTTGCGCGTAGTGTATTCAGTGTAGGGGTAAGGAAACCAGGCTGTAGTCCTGTGTTTAAAGTTTTGGCGGAAAAGAGTGAGATTTGCAGCCTCAATGCGCAGATCAAGTTGCAGTCTCATCATTTCGCCAAACTGCTCAACTTCATCTGGGAATGAGAGCCACTCCATGGTAGGTACGGCGTTGATGATGGCAGCAAAGAAGCCCATTATGCGTAAGTCTCTGCGGACTATCTTCTCAATCTTGGGGTGCAAGACCTTGATTGCAACATGGCTGGAGGGTACTCTTGATGGTGAACTCTTCAGAGTCACGTCAAAGTTCTTCTTGATCCTACGGGCCAGGTTGGGCTGCTCCCGGTCGATTGAGTTGCTCTCTAACGTCGCGAGCTCAGGCTTCAACTTGGCCTTGTATACTTGGGCAATGGCACCCACGCCCAAGGGCGTCTCGTCAAACTCCTCAAAGATGTCGTCAAAGCTTCGTCCATCAAATGCGGCCTCGATTGTTTGCTTTGTGACCTGCAATGTGTGCGCTGGAGCATTGGAATGGAGGTTTGACATAATGGCGCACATTTCGGTCGGGAAAACGTCTGTTCGGGAGGCGGCCCATTGGCCCAACTGTAGTAGGGTCAGTCGTTACTCTACGCCAGATGGTATACTACAGAAACACATACTTTGATGAATGCGGCCCCCGCGCGCTCCATAGAGGTAACTAAGAAGCCATACCACCATAGGGTTCCGCTCCGCTCATCGTCCCTATCTGGCTGCCGTGCTCCAAACCATATCACCGGTATCGTTACGATGACGGGCACGAAGATGATGACCAGATGTAGAAAGCGGAATCCAGTGGCTATGGGCTCGATTATGTAATCTTCGATGAAGAAGTATATGCCTCGTCGATATTTGGACGAATTCCTCAGCGCATGCGGGACCTGCTCGTCAAGCTCCTTCCTCGACGCCTCCAGCATAGCCTCTTCATGCGTTTGCTCCCCATTGTCTGTCTTCTTATGGGCTACATCGACAAATGCAAGCGGGCTGAGTATGGCACCACCAGCGGCGGCACCAGACCATAGTACCTTCCCAGTCTTGAACCTCGGCGGCGCAAATTGTCGGCGGAAACGAGAGGCGTTGACCAAGGGTCGCGTCGATGCGCGGGCGGTCAGTTTAGGGAGACCCGGGCGGAGATATTGGCGACCAAAAAGGAGCGCAGTCCTCATGGTACCGGACGTTGGCGAATGCAGCGCGTAGGAGATCCATGAGGCATGTACGGGCATCCAACACTACCCAATTCCGCATCGTGACGTCGGTCGGCGTAAATTCAATGTCACATGCCGATCGTCCAACACGAGACCGGCTTCTCTCTCCGCGCCCACCCGTCGACTTCCCGACCCATTGAGGCCTGTCAATATTCTCGTACTTTCTTACATGTCTGGGCATGCAGTTTGATGCAGAGTCAGCACTGTTATTAGTAATGACCACCAACGTTCGATCCACGGAAGCACGGTTCCGAGCCCCACTTATCCCGCATGCAACAGAAAGCGCACAAATCACCAAGTTAAAGAGATAGATTTGATATTAGTTGCAGTGTTGAAGAAAGCGTCTTCTCATGGCATCTCACGCCGTGATGAATCCCTCAAACCCATTCTCTAGCGCGCTGCGCGTCATCTGCCTATACAGCGGGAATCCCCCGGCAAAGTTCAGCTGCTCTCGAAGCTTGCCCGGCACATTAGCACCCATATACCAGCTATCCGTCTGTGGAAATAACGTCTTGTCGCTCAACTCCACAATCTTCTCGCGCCATTGTTGCTCGGCTTCATGTGTGGGGTCACAGTAGGTAATTCCTTCATCTCGTAATTTGACTATGGCGTCGACAATCCAATCTCCCTGTACCTCAACACATGTCGGTCCATTGGAAAACGCCGTCGGGCCTTGAGCGCCATACATGAAGAAGCAGTTGCTGTGTTTCTGTCAGTATCTCCAACCTTGCGAGCGACCCACAACTTACGGGAATCCACTCAAGGTCATGCCGAGGTATGAATAGGTGCCGTTTTTCCACTTCTCTGCAAGCTCAACACCGTCGACGTCCTTCAATCCCATGTTCTTTATTCCTCCCGTCACCGAGTCGAAGCCGGTTGCAAGAGCAATGACGTCGAATTCGTGGAGTGTGCCATCAGACAGCACAATACCCTTTTCGTTGAACTCCTTAATTGGCGTCTTCTTCACATCAATAACCTTGTTTTCCGGTCTATCGAGCATCTCGTAATAGTTCTGCTCCAGACTTGGCCGCTTGGTACCGAATGCGTGTGGCGGCTCCAGGGGCGCAAGGATTTCACGTTTCTCCGGATCTGTTATCCGGGCCCGGGTCTTCTTCGCCCAGAAGTTGTACGCTTCACGATTAGCCTTGTTGTCGAATAACAAGTCTTTGTAGTTCGCCTAGGGTGAGCGGTAAGTATCTGTCTGCTAGGCAGCGTTTGAGAATATCTTACCAGCCAGAACTCGAAACCACCATTCTCCCACATCTTCTCGTAGAATGCCTCGCGCTCCTCCGGTGAGTCGTCGAATGTGTTCTTCTCGATGTAGTCGTATGCGAAGCCGGCGAACGTGTTCAATCGTCTCTTGAAGATTTCCTGGTATTCGCCCTGCTTTCTCTTGTCTTGTTCTTCCTTTGTCAATGATTTTTGCTGCATAGGCAGACACAGGTTCGGTGTCCGGACGAATTGCGTTACACTAGCTGCCTCCTTTGCAGTTTCTTGGGCGATCTGAACACCAGTGGAGCCAGCACCGATGACCGCAACGCGTTTGCCCTTTACATCTACTCCGGATTCGGGCCAGAAACTGGAGTGGTGAATCTCTCCTGCAAACTTTTCCATGCCCGGCCAGTCGGGGAAATGTCTCTTTGCTGCGAACCCGATGGCCAAGAGGAAGTACTTGCAACGCGCCGTCCTGCCATCTTCTGTCTTTACGATCCATCTCGAGGATCGCTTGTCATATTGCGCGCTGACAACTCTGGTGTTGAAGGCACAATCCTTCTTGATTTCCAGTTTCTTCTCCACGTGATCAAAGTATTTCTGAAGCTCCCCCGCCCCAGGATATCTGCATGACCAATTCCAGTCCTACACAGCTGTCAGCCTCTCAACATACATATCCGTTAATTAAACACCCACCTGCCAAACTTCAGGCATACTATACTCATATACAGGCACCTGCGAATCAACCCGTGCACCTGGATAACAATTCCAGTGCCAGATACCACCAATATTGGAACCAGCCTCCATGATCTTGCATTTGAGACCCTGCTGACGAAGCTTATGCATCATGTAGATGCCACCAAACCCAGCACCTACAATCAGCACGTCGGTCTCGAGCTCCTTTGCATAATTTTCATTATTTGGGTCCGCCGCCTCGTTCGTCGCCCCAATATCTGTCCTAAAATGAACCATGGTGTTCGAAAAGAGATAATGAATGCACAGTCAAGAACGGAAGAGCAGTGAATACACAGTCGATTCAGCAATCTTCACTTTACTGACAGAACCATGGCAGAGCCGGCATGCAGATCTATATATACGTCAACACACATCGTACCCCTCACGCGGCAGCATCCTGGACGACCGGCACCCTTGCAGTCCCGGTTTCCCATCTTACCTGTCATCGCCGAATACACTGCTCACCACTGCACTACGTAGGCTTCCTTGGTCCTACCATGCCTATACCCATACCACACACGTCCACATCCGCTAGTATTTCCATCTGCCCGGTCGCCCACATAAAGTCCATGGAGACGTTACTAGTTCCAGGGCAAAAGCATCTAACAGCGGAACTATTGCGCATCTGCGCCACCACAAGTCCATGTGTGTACACGCGACCGCGATGGGGTGGTAAACGTCTAGTTTGCGGGGTAAAGAGGAACCGCTAATCCCGGTACCCCGCATACCCAACAACACTATCTAACCCGCTCTTTCTTCAAGTTGCGAGTTGGGTCGGATGGCTGAGACTTCCGGGTTGCCGCTTTTGGTAGGTCCCGGGGCGGAAGGGGTGTTGGTCATGTAGATGAGTTAGGAGGTGTTTGAGGTGCATCTCTGGGCCTTTGCACTTGCAGTCGTGTATCTGCCTTCATCGAAATAGAAGTTTGACAATAGGAATGTGTTGCTACACGGTAACATGGACAAAGTCAAATGTCCCATACCAAATCTCCATCACATGGTCACAAACTAAGTTTGACCATGAGATCGCTGTTCTCGGTCTAACTACTTTAGTACATCGAAGCGAGAATCCGACTGTCACATATGGTCGCCCGGTCGGAAGGAGTATGGATGCGGAGCCGCTTTGCTTGTGGTGATCATGAGTTGGTGTATCTGAGCCGCTTATAGTAGGACTGGGTGAACGGAAGTTTCTGGAGTGAGTCTTGCTTGTTAGATTTTGCCTCTTTTAGTGCGTAAACAATAACTAGCACACTGTCACGTGATCCAGCGCCGATAACTTTACAACACTTCGACACCATGTTCATATTGGAATGTTTTGGCATTTTTCCAAATCTCGGGAATAATTCAATAACTACCCATATCTCGAGCCCCCATACCAGAAAAAAACGCCAAAATGCAGCCGCACCGCCCATAGGAGAATATCTCCCAACCGTCTACCGCAATGTGTTGAAGACATGGTTCATGCGTAGACGCCCGGAACACCTACGCTGGGTGCTTGTTGAAGCGTACCCGCACCCTATATGCAAAAAGGTAGTCCCCAAGAAAATACAGTTAATCAAAAACGCCAAGTGCAGATTCCGCATCAGCCCTCACTGAAGAAAAGAAAAGGGGTATTTATGTCGGGTTAGGCGCAGCAGCACCGGTGATATCTGTCTCCTCTTCCTGGACAGGTGCGCAGGTACAGAAGAGGTTTGTGTCGCCGTATGCTATCGATCGGTTAGTTATTTGGGCACAGAAAACGGGGGATAAAATCGACTCACCATCATCCAACCTCGCAACGCTGGGCCAGAACTTCTTCGCCTTGAGGTACGAAAGTGGGTACGCCGCCTTCTCTCTGGTATAGCTCCTGTTCCACTCGCCAGTGATGAGATCTTGCTGTGTATGCGGGCTCATCTTCAACACGTTCGCGTCCTTGGGCTGCTTGCCATCCTCGACTTCTTGGATCTCTTTCCTGATAGCGATGAGAGCGTCACAGAACTGGTCTAGCTCGGCCTTGCTCTCCGACTCTGTAGGCTCGATCATGAGTGTATTGGCCACGGGCCAGCTCATAGTCGGGGCATGGAAACCGTAGTCTTGGAGACGCTTGGCGATATCAATGGCTTCAATACCGGCGGTTTCCTTGAAGCCACGGACGTCGAGGATGAATTCGTGGGCACAGCGGCCTTTTTCGTTGGTGTAGAGGATGGGGTAGTGAGGCTTGAGGCGGGAGAGAATATAGTTGGCGTTGAGGAGAGTGATCTTGGTGGCTTCGGTTAGGCCGACGGCACCCATCATCTTGATATACGCCCAGCTGATGGGCAGAATGCTGGCGCTGCCCCAGGGTGCACCACTGACGGGATGGATAGCTTGCTCGCCACCGGTTTCGCCGCGGAGATGGCCAGGAAGGAAGGGAGTAAGGTGCTCCTTGACACCGATAGGTCCTACACCAGGTCCACCACCGCCGTGGGGAATACAGAAGGTCTTGTGGAGGTTGAGATGGCACACGTCGGCACCAATCTCTCCTGGCGAGCAGAGACCAATCTGTGCGTTCATGTTTGCGCCGTCCATGTAGACTTGACCGCCATGCTGGTGGATAAGGTCGCAAGCTGCCTTGACGTTGGGCTCGAAAACACCGAAAGTACTGGGGTAGGTGACCATGAAGGCACCGAGCTCCTCACTGTGCTTCTCGCATTTGGCTTTTAAATCAGCCATGTCAAGGTTACCAGTCGCCTGATCGCACTTGATCGGCACAACACGCATGCCGCACATGGCAGCACTGGCAGGGTTAGTGCCGTGTGCGGATACAGGAATCAAGCAAATGTCTCGCTTCTTGCCAGGCTGTTGCTCAAGGTACTTGCGGATAACGCGGAGGCCAGTGAACTCGCCCTGGGCGCCAGAGTTGGGTTGCAGCGAGACCGAGTGGAAGCCAGTAATATCAGCAAGATCATCTTCCAATTGCTTGATCATCGTAAGGTAGCCCTTGGCGCGGTCCAGCGGAAGGAAGGGATGCAAATTGGAGACCTTTTCAAATGATACGGGTGCCATCTCAGCTGTCGAGTTGAGCTTCATGGTGCAGGAGCCCAGGGGAATCATGGAGTGTACCAGTGACAAATCCTTCGATGATAGGTGGTTGATGTATCGCAGAAGCTCAGTTTCTGAGTGATGCGAGTTGAAAACTGGGTGGGTCATGAACTCGCTTGTCCTCTTGAACGGCGCTGGGACCTCAATATCGACAGCCTCGTTGAAAGAAGTAGTATTTTCACTGCTGCCAGATCTTCTGAACGATGCCAGTAGACCTGAAATGGTCTGCACACTGGTTGTCTCGTCAACAGAGATACCGATGTGCTGATCATCGACCTTTCTCACGAGAATATGCTTCGCGTCGAGGTGGGCAATGATGCCATCGGTCTTGTCTCCTGTCTTGACGACAAAGGTATCGAAAAGGACAGGCGAGTTGTCCAATTTTCCACGCTGACCAGTCTCAAAGCCATAGTTGATGAGTGCTTGCTGAATTAGACGGGCCTTTGCAACGACTTGCTTAGCAATGGCGGTAAGGCCGTTGGGACCATGGTACACGGCGTACATGGCGCTCATGTTTGCCAACAGAGCCTGGGCCGTGCAAATGTTGCTGGTTGCCTTCTCACGTCGGATGTGCTGCTCGCGAGTCTGTAAAGCAAGTCGTGCCGCTGGGTTTCCCAGCCTATCCTTTGAGAGACCGATCAGACGACCCGGAATCTTGCGCTTATACTGCTCGTCGCAAGCGAAGAAAGCAGCATGTGGTCCACCAAAACCCAGGGGTACACCGAAGCGCTGTGCGTTTCCGAAAGCAATGTCGGCACCGAACTCGCCTGGTGGAGTGAGCAGCGTAAGAGCGAGCAGGTCGGTTGCTACACTGAAGAGAGCACCGGTCTTGTGCACCTTCTCAGCCAAACCGCGGAAGTCGCTCACACCTCCCTCTGTATCCGGGTACTGAGCCAGTACTCCAACCAAATCTTGGCCTATCTCCTCAACCCTCTTGCTGTTGTTTGCGAGCACGTCTGCAACCTCGATGTTGATGCCAAAACCTTCAGCGCGAGAATACAAGACGGCGAGAGTCTGCGGGTGGCACTTCTCCGACACCAGGAAAGTCTTGTTCTTGCTCTTCTGCTTGGACAGTGGCATCATGCCCATAGACATGGTCATGGCCTCGGCGGCCGCAGTCGGCTCGTCCAGCACCGAAGCATTCGCAATGCTCAGGCCTGTCAGGTCTGACACCATGGTTTGAAAGTTCAGCAGCGACTCGAGACGTCCCTGGCTGATTTCAGGCTGGTATGGCGTGTAGCTTGTATACCATGCCGGGTTCTCCAGCACATTCCTCTTAATCACCTCCGGCACCTTTGTTCCATAATATCCCTGTCCGATGAGGCTGTTGCCCGGCATATTCTCGTTCATGATTTCCTTTGCGTTGTTCAAGAATACGGACTCGGGCACGCCGTTGTATTTCCATGATTCGGGGGACTGATCCACCAAGCTCCCAATCTTCAACTCTCGCGCCGAAAGAATGTCGGCGGGTATCACCTGCCTCACAAATTGGTCGAGACTGCCGACGGGCGGGTCTAACGCCTTGAGCATGGCTTCGGCTGACTCTGCAGAAGGCCCAATGTGACGGCGGGGAAATGTGTCGAGCGCTTCGAAAGGCTTCGCCGAATTCGTCTGCTGAGGTGGCGTGTCGAATACATCATCGGCAGGTGCAGCAGCCGCGGCTGCTTGTTGTGCGGTTGTGGAATTTTGCTGGAAGGCGCGTTTCTGAAGCGCCTGCTGAGTGAGATAGGAAGAAACTCTTGACGAGGTGCCTGCGAGCTGTGGACGCGATAGCTGTGCTACACATGTGCTTCTTGTGAGCCTACTAGCAGTGCTAGCAGCCCGTAGACATGCGGTGCGCATCTTGGCTGGATTCTGGTAATGGTGCTATGAGGATACTCCCCAGGAAGCAGAAGTTGGCCAGAAGAATTGTTTTCTGCAGACAATTGGCGTGAAGACTCAAAGTCTGGGAGACTCGCCACGGTGAGTAAGACGACGTAGATGGTGGGGCAGGGCGCTCAACACCTGATTCTCAGAACAGAGTAATGGAAAGAGGCAGTATTTCACAACATGTCAGAAGAAAATTACTCTACGAAGCGGTGACGGCGTCTTGTTAATTGCTACCTACATGTTTTCAATCCAAACCCGTCATTATCCGTATCAGATGCTTTGGTAGCCCGATAAGCTTACGAAGTACCCTTGCCGAGCTAGCGGGGACGCGCCACTAAGCCCCAACGCGCCCGTCCTTGCATCCACATAGCATTCTTAGCACCCATTGGGCAAAACTAAGCTGGCCACTTAGGCATTCTATTACCTGATATCAAATGCTAGCCCGTCGCGGTGCCATTGTCCGTCGGAGATTCTTTTCCTTCTCCGTCTCTTCGGTCACTGGGAGCACTCCTTGTTCGCGGAGTTCTGCTAGGTACTCTTTGCCTGTACCAGCGGTTAGTCAGGTAAATTTTTTGCGAGACGGGCCGTTCACATACCATACTTGTAGCCAACCTCGTAGATCTCTTCAAACTTGGCAAAATCTAGCGTGCCGTATGGATCAATCGGCGGCCGCATGTATCTGCATCCCGGTGTGTTCTTTGCACGCTCCAGCGCATCGATACTGGACACATACGCAAGTCGAGATTGGATCTCTGATAGCGTCGGCGGGTTCGGAAAGCTGGAGAAAGGGTTCCACCGGTTGAGCGTCGCCCAGAAACCACTCAACGAGTCGCCAAACGCTTGCGGCGCATTGTCGTCGAGACTGCCAACATCAACTGCAAAGATGACATCGGCACCAAGACTTTTCATGTGTGCAACAGTCAAGTTGTCAACATAGCCTCCATCGAGAAGCATGTCACCATTGTCGCATAGCGGGGGAAGTAGACCGGCTAGTGACATGGACGCACGTACATAGCGCCAGACATAGCCTGAAGTGTGAATCTCCGACCGCGACTTGCTGATGTTAGTGGTATTGCAATAAAACTCCAACCAGAAATCTTCCATCTGTGAATTTCCGAAAGTCTTGAAGATACCGCGGTTGAACTCGTGGCCAGTTGTGTACGAAGCACTAGTCTCAGTCAGCATCCTCCAAGCTCAGCCAACATGTGGAATACATACGAGGGGTACGTGAGGTCGAGTGCAAATCTCCACATACTACCCATGCGACCTGCGAACTTCTTTGCCCTCCCGTACATGGGCACAACGTCTGCATCCCAAGCGTACAATGCACCTATAAAGCTGCCAATCGATGTGCCTCCAACAATGTCAATCGGAATTCCTGCTTCTTCGAGCGCGCGGATGATGCCGATTTGCGATATACCGCGAGCACCACCGCCTCCAAGCACGAGACCGACTGATCTGCCACATAGCCGCCTTGCGAGTCGATGGAAATCACCCTTGAATGGCGTATCGGCAGAGTAGAGTGGCGTTTGCCGAACTTTCCTCGACGTGTACTTCTGGATCTCAGCCTGAATTACCTGCACGCGTTGCTTGAGTGCGTTTCCAAAACGTCTTCCAGCATGATGAACTGGTTCTGATGTGGCGCGGAACGACATTTGAATATGGTGATGACTGCCATTGATCCAGGGACGGTTTCTTAGCCACTTGCGCGTTAGACCGGAAGGGCAGTATCTTTCTGAATGTAGAAGCACGAGTTCTTTTCGTGCAGTGGTCTTGGTCGTCAGTAAGAAGCGCTCGTACTCGCCGATATTCGGTGACGCCTCGGCTAGGCCTACAAGGAGGATGCAATCTGCCTGATTGATACAAGTCTGTGTCCACGGTGACTTGACAGGTGTATCAGCGACATAGATAACCATTCCATATCTTTCTTCCAGGTCTGCAAGATATTGCGAAAGTTTAAGCTTGCCCATCCGGTTGAACGCATGCCGACCGAGATGGTTGAGGATGGCGGCTTGGTTTAGGGAAACCACGCCCTGCGGCAGACCGATTTGCGTGAGTGCATTCACTAGACGACTCGCGAAGTCGACCACTGGGATTCCAGCAGTCACTGGAAGGATGGTTACAGTGCGGAGATTGATAGTTGACGAGACATTGGCGCGGGTAGCTTTCGTGTTTCTTTCTTTGCTTTGCTCGTGTAGCGGATCGTCAATCAAAGCTCGCATACGAGAGGCTATGATCTTGGAGATCTTGATGGTGATTCCGGGGTGCTCCAAAGCAAGACTGTTGAACAGGGTCTTTGGGAACTTTGCAAGCTCTGTATCCCGAATGGCGTGTAGTGACCCAGGACGGGCGGATTCTGTCAGTACTTCAAGCTCACCCACACTATCACCCTGACCATATTCCCCAATGACTTTGACCGCACTGTTCTCAGCGTCACGGATAGCTCGTAATCTTCCGTTCAAGACGATATAGATCGCGTCACTGTCGTCACCCTGGTTGTAGATTACCTGGCCAGCATTCACTTGAACCCATTCCAAGGCGAAATCGATATGTTGAATCAGACGTGGTAGAAGCGTTGTCAGACGCTTGGCCATTGTAAGTAAAACGACTGGATAACGCTCCACTATCTTCTCGATGGACCCGCGAGGCAGAAACCCTACGTATACGTCTGTCTTGGCTGTGACGTCTACAAAGGATCGATTGGATGATACTGTCCCGAGATATCCAGCTAGTCCGCCAGGTTTTGTCATGAAGAGACTTCGTCTTGTGCGTTTCTTCTTGCTGCCGTCAACAGGAGGCCGTCCAACAGTATTTGAACTGGTTGGTCTGAGGGGGGAACCGAAGAGTTCTTCTTCAGTACATCCTTTCCCATCTGGAGCCGTTCCAAACACATTCTTCTCGGAGGCTTCTTCCACCTGGACACTCACGTCCAGAAATCCGTCAATCACGTAATACAAGCCAGGGTTCCTTTCACCTTGTTCCACAAGAACAGAGTCTTTGGGGAAGAAGACGATTTCCACATCATTGACAATCTCTTCCAAGATATTGTGGGAGCCCATTCCACCCATGCCTGACAGATTTGACGCCGAAGCTATGGATTCGGTGTCTCCATCTCTGGAAGCGGCGTATGGATCGATGAAGCCGAATGCGTTTGTAAATACAGCCTTCTGTCGACTAGCATCAAAAGAGACAAGCTGTGGTGATTGCTCTACTGATGCTGTTGCTCTTGGCATGGGGGTTTCCAAATTAGTAAGTCCAATAGCCTTGAACATACAGCCGAGAATCGACTCTCGGAATACAGTGGCTTCATCAATAGATTCTTGCCTATGTAGTGTCTTTGGACGTAGTGATGGGGAGGCGAACGGATTAAATGAGCTGGCATCGAGTGGCGTACGAACATCTCGGCGATCCTGATGATAAGGTTGGGAGAAACTGCTGCGCCCAGTGCGGCCAGCTCCTCGCGCCATCTGTGAGTTGGTCAATAGATCCCCTGCACTTATCCGGTCATTGCGAGGACCCTGGTCTGGGGAAGTCATCTTGGGTAACGCGACGCTGCCCGCAGTTGCAGTCGCACTTGCTTCCCGCGCAGCCGCGAGGCGGGCTTGAGCAGCTGTCCCTCTTCTGAGCGATACACTAGATCTCCGTCGACGACCGGCTCCAGGATTATGTAGCGCAATTCCCTTCATGCCTTCGTCTTCTCCAATACGCTCTGTCTCCTTTGCAAATTTCTCCTTCAGGCGCTCAAGAGGAGCGTCACGAAGAAAGCCCGGAAGGTCGTATGTAGTGTACTTGTTCATGAGCTTCTCTGTACGGAGGACCTCATTTGTTAAACTCAAATAAGCATGACTGGTTGCAAGAGTAACTCTTTGCAGGCGTGTGAGAATGACTTGAACGATGTGCGCCGTTGCTTTGGGATATATGCGTGTCAACCGTCGAAATGCAGTCGCTGGAATGATGGCAATGGTGGTATCTACAGTGGCCCGCGCAACAATGTCTGGATGAGCAGATTTGGGTTTAGCAGGCCGTGAAGGTGATTTTCGAGTTTTGGGTTGTTTGAGACGTTCATTGCCAAATTCTTCCAGGTCCAACGAGAGGGGCGGTACTCTTTCAAGCCGTCCACCCGCCGTGGGGCTGTTCAAGGTTGACGTTCTTCGATGTCGTAATCTAGCTTCAGGTACCTCGCGCGGACTTTGGGGTCTCGAATTATCTAGGGCAAAACTGCTCGTTCGCGATACTGATGGTCTGCTTTGTGCTCCATTGGGTGTTCCCGGTACGCTTGGCCCCGTATCTGGGTCTTCGTCATGACGCAGCTTGACATCTTCTGTGAACAATGCGAGTATGGAGAACAACGAAGACATGGGTGCGCCGTTTTTAACTTCAGTGAGAAGCTGGTAGCCTTGTCCATGGCCCTGTTGTGCGGAATCGCCCGACTCGGTGCCGCCCATGTCGTCGTCAGAATCAGAGTCAGCCCGATTGGACTTGACAAAGATCTGGACCAACCCATCTACGACCAGACAGAAGCCTTTTTCTTCCTCCAAGAGGATCGTCTCGCCGGCAACTAGGCGACGAGTCTGCATAGTGCGAGTGAGTTCATGGAAGACGGGGCGTTCCAGATAACCAAACACCTTGATTGCGCTCAAGAATTCATCAAGGTAATTAGACAACCCCCTCTTGGAGTCACTCTCGGCACTGTCAGGGAAGACCTCAACCTGAGGTTCCTCACGTTGGGGTTCTGGCGGAAGTCGCGCGTACATGGTCATGTAGCGGTACCTCACGAACCAACTAATGGTTGATACTAGGAACACAACCACGAGCATTCTACAAGAAAGTTCAGCAATGTTCAAGCTGGAATGTAGGCAACGTACAGGGATGTGAAGCTCATGGTGAAAGTTAGGCTCATAGAAAAGAGCGTGAACAGCCATGTTGGCAAGGTGTATGTCACCCAGTACAGGATGGTGGGCAGTACACTAAAAATGGACAGAACGACGCGGCCCAGTAGACCGAAGCTGGTCGAAGACGTGGTGGTATCGGCCGACTTCATGCCGAGTACAGAATTTGACAGAGCCTCTGCAGTATTATATACAGCTGCCTTGGAGACATCTGCGAGCGACCGAGACGTGGCAGTTCCCGGAGTAGCCATGGTGGGCGACGATGGGCAGCGAATTGGGACGGTCACGAGCAGTTCCCTATCAACTTCCTGTACAGCCTGGAGAAGACAGAACACCCATGATATGCCGAGTATGGACTGGGGAGAGGCTTATGGCGTACAGGACAAGGGTATGTGGGGGTCACGGCGGCTTGGGAAAAAGGTGGCCGTGCGTCTGCTAGCGCGGGTACGCGACTGGAAAGTCCACCGCGGCAGCTCAGAAGCTCCAACTCGCGCCGGAGCTTGTATACATACTCACTTGTATACATATCAATCCAGGTGCGCCGTCGCCATGCCGCCTTTTAAAGATGATCAGATCATTGTAAGATTCGTCTTCTTCTTGCTGATTAGGTAAAGCGCTAATCCTGCCCACTCAGATTATCGCGCCTGGTTCAGAGACGACTGTCGCGCAACTAGGCCTGCCCGAGTCTTTTACTCCTGCACGCCTACGTGTAAGATCGCGCATGTTCCCGGCCGAAAAGGAGGGCGAATTCGAACCGTACAAGATCCGGAGAAGGCAGGACAAGCCAGCTGCTGCAAATGGCGACGCCCAGGACCAGGCACAGCAAGAGAGCAAGCCTGCCGAGGGCGACGACGAGGTTATATGGGAAGAAGATCGCGTATCTGAAGAGGGCGCAATATGGCCAATTCAACAGGGCAGGATCGTCGACTGGCCATGCTTCTTCGCTCTGATCACGCACGTCTACAACTCGCTAAACCCGCCCTTCCACACCCCAATCCTCCTCGTCACCCAGCCTGCATGGACGCCCCGCGAGCACGAGAAGCTCACCCAGTTCTTCTTTGAGAAGTTCAAGGTCCCCGCGTTTGGCTTGATGGATGCAGCACTAGCAACCGCCTGGGCCTATGGGGTACACACCGCAACCGTCGTAGACGTGGGCAAGGACAAGGCCGACGTCACTGCCGTCAGCGAGTTCATCCCTCACACCCAGGGTAGGGTCATATCGCTCGCTGGATGTGGAGGCGAGGCTTTTACCCAAGGCCTTCTTGCCAAATTGAAGTCCAAGGGTCTCAACCGTGACATGTGCGAACAGCTAAAGAGGTCGCCGATTTGCGAGCTTCTGCCGCCGGGTACCCCATT